AAATGTGACTTAACCCCATGAGCTCTGTGTAAACATAGCATAAGGTAGAATAGATAAAGACGCCCTTCCTTCCTTTGTCCGTCTAACTTTCTCGCCACGTCCCCCTTTTTTCACTGCGGTGACGTGGTTACCACTTGGACTCTTTGGTTCTCTGTAACAGTCTGTTTATGTGACATGTGACCGACCGACTCGCTCTCTCTCTCTCTCCATCGCCTCTTGTCTTACTACGTCTCCCTCCCTTGTTCTCGCTGGTTATGATACAGCAGGAGGAGGAGTCGAGGGCAGAGATCCACAGGTCCCGTCCCTCTGCAGAGTGATTGTCCTTTTATTTACATCACAGTCAGTCACAGAGGGCTCCGTTATGTGGAGGAACACATTCCTGTCCTCGGCCGTTTTGTCCTCGCTTCCTGCTACCCCTCACCAGCCAGGCGTGTGCGCATGACGGCCTGAGATCTGTGTGTGTGTGTGTGTGTGTGTGTGTGTGTGTGCACGTCTGTTTGTGTCATCTGTGTGGGTGAGGGGCTAGGAAAGGTCGTTTTTGCTGGGCGACTTCCCCCCGCCGTTAAGCAGGGCCGAAGCGCTGCGGCTCTTGGTCGGCGTGCCGCTGCCTGACCGCGACAGCTCAGTCAGGTCGTGGAGGGAGGGCTCCCTGTACATGGCCACTGCAAGACACAGAGGAGACCGCAATCATTAATTAAGCTGGCAGCTGAGTGGCGGGGGCCGACATGAATCGCTCCCATTTTGGTGTGCGCGCCTCGTGCGGGTGGTCAGGTACGTTGAGGTCCCCCCCGCACAATCACCACGGAGACAACTGAAAGGTTTTCGAATGGAAGCTCTAATTGATTCTGGTTTCACAATCAATTCTGACTGAACCGCCAAAAGGGAATTCCTGCAACGCAAGGCTGTAATAAAAATATGCCACGATGATCTTAGACGATCGTAAACCATCTTTGTTCGCTTAAACTGGAATATTTGTTGGCCTCATGGAGACGGTAAAAAAACTAAATGTATTACTGAAATATGTATCACAAGCGTGTTAAATTAGAAACAGTTCTATTTGTGCACCCAGCCGGTGCAGAGCAACATTAGCATTCATTCTGAGTCGTGTTTGTATCCAATTTCCACTCTCCTTTTAGCTTTGTTCGCTCTCCACTTATTGCTGAGGGAAATATTGTGCTCTTTAGCCGTCAACAACAGTGCTGCACCGATAAGTTTTAAATCCCAGACACGAGTTAGCATTTTTTCCACTCCAGGCGCCGTCCACTGAAGATGTTTTTTTTGAGTTACATGCATGAAACGAGGTCTGTGGGTTGTCACAAGCTTGGGCAAATGTAAGGTTTGGTTCCATGACAAAACATGGAATCTGTTAGCAAAAGAGCCAAAATGTTTTAGCTGTCTTAAAAGAAGAGCAACGAAGTTGGTAAATACAGCTAAATCCTCCTCACATGGAGACAAGTGCTTCTTTGACGAGAACCATGGCGATGCCGACGTCCGTGTTGTCCTACAAAAAACGTTCCTCCTGCGTCCATCAGCAGATGGACGCCGTCTTCCTCTGCTGTTAGCACAGATTGAGCACAGCGCTTCTTCTCTTTAACGGAAAACAACGCCTTTCACGGTCCTGGATGTAGACTTTTTTAATACAAATATATATTTTTTCTCTCATTCAGGGTTTTTGTTTTTGAGCCCTATCTCTAAAATCCTTTGACACGCCGGGCTTTTTACTGTACCTACTTATCTACATCTACTATCTACAGAGGTTCTGTTAGAAAAGGGCCGGCTCACAACAATCACACTCGAATGACGGAGTTAAAGTCAGATTTCATGGTGGACTGTTTGCTCGACACAACCTCTTTTTTATGGACTTCGATGAGTCAGAAAACTGGATTTTGTTTAGCTAACAACAGATTAACAGAATATTCATGAAGGTGTAGTCAATCATTTTACTTTGGATCAAAGTAAGTTTGGAGTTTTGTTATCGGTCCCACAGAATATTTTATTTGCTTCACTCTTCACGCCGTCGAATGTTTGTGGTGCTGAAAATCCATTTGTCTTTGTTTCGTTTAGTCTGTGAGGCTCACTGCTAAAATACTGCAACTTTATCATCATCGTCGTACTTCATCATTGTCACTTCATATTAGTTTTTTCATTTAGCTGACGCTAAAGCGGCTTACAATAAGTGCATCCGACCAGGAGCGTGCGGACCCAGAACATCAACAATCAAGAAAGTACGATTTCCTCGAGGAAGCCAGACGGCAAAGTGCCATCCGCGTCGTCATTAAGTTTTACAAGCCACGTGTGAAAGTTCCCGAAGGAGGTTTTCGTCATCTCTGGTTACTGCTTATTTTGTCATGAATATAAATTATTACAGCAAAACATTTACTATTTATACACCATGTTTTCACACGTTTTTAGGGCGTATCAAATTACCGGTCTGATTAATAAACTACTTACAACGTCCAAAATTACTTCTACTCCTTCTGGATCATTTTAAAAAATCAAGCATCTATGACTATACTCACTTTAGAAGTTTAACGCTTAGACACAAGATTAATTTCCTTTATGTTTCCTGGGAGCTTCGTAAGTCTGTAGGTTGAATATTGGAACATGATTCGCTTGCAGTCGAGGCGTGATGTTGCTCTTGTGTGAAGAACATTGTGTGAACTGTGATTTAAAGTGTGCAAATCTCCTTAATGTTATGGAGAGTTTCTATAGAAACCAAGTTATCTGTGTACACTTATGCAGAATAAAAGCCTGCTTAAGTTAAAAGTCTGTTGCTGTGCTTCCTTTTACCTTTCAGTGGTTTCGGTATGAAATGTGCGGCGGCTTTGTTCTTCTTGACGTGGTTTCCCTTCATGATTCCCCCCTCCTTGTTGAGGCCCAGGTACCAGGCCCGACCCGAGGCCTGCTGCCGGTACAGCATGGAGGAGTAGGTGACGTAGTAGTTCTCAAACACCGACTCCTTGAACTTACACTCGGGGGTAAAATGTTCCTGAGGGGGAAAGGGTGTAAGCTATTACAACAAGTCCTGGAAGACAAGAAGACAGGACGGTGATGAAGAAGACGTGGAGGGGTGAGGGCGTCTCACACGGAATGAGTTTGTAATGGAAACACCACTAACAAATGGTTATTGGTGTCACCATGTATCAGTGCACTCATCCAGCAGCGGGTCGGCTTCCGAATCAATTATTTTCAGCCGGCCGAATAGTTCTCCCCAGAACCAACTGCGCCAACTTAGGCACAGCTGGACTATTGCCATTTTCTTTATTCCTGCATTTCCCATGGCCACCCGGCTACTCCCCTTGAATACCCAACCAGCCCGCAGAGGAGAAAGATGTGCCCAAGTTTGCCGGGGGGGGGGGGGGATGCGAGGATGAAATCTTTTAATTCACTGTAATTGAGCTGTGTGGCTCTATGAACTTGTCAAATCGATTGAGAGCAAATAGCACATATAAAACGATTCTGTATTTAACATCAGGTGAGAAGATGAAGCAAGAGATGTGAGTGTTATGAGCGACGTAAAACCCCCAGGACGGGACTTGGTGGTGGTGTACGTGCCTGCCCTGACGTAGCCGCATGGCTGTTACTACCTTGAGGCGTGTGCTGTTTTTTCTAATTCCTCTTTGTTAGTTTTCATCTTTTAATCTTGGATGCCCGTCTAGATTGCTGAGAGTGTGTTATTGTTTCGTTGTTATTCCTTCTACACCACCCGCCATCCCTGCTCAAAAGCTAAAGTGAGGCACTTAGTGCACTGTGCTGCAACCGACACCGCCTCCTGACCCGTCTGAGAGACCATATGCACAGCGCGGATGAGTGTGTGTGTGTGCGAATCAGAAAGGGATGAAAACAAATCTCAGGATCGGTGTGTAACTGTGCGGAAAGTAATCGTCCTGTCAAGGAATGGCTCCAGGGAGATGAACAAAAAGGAGGCCAGAGGATGAACTGGAATAAATCCCGTGAAGCCACAATATCAGCAGGCAGATACGAGCGTTTCTCACACTGGATTATAACGTTTGAACTCACACGACAATACTGTAATTAAAGTATAAACGAGATCATGTGAAAATGAGACGGTACTTCTACTGAGATCTGCTGATTCATTACTCAACCTGACCCAAAGTTTGTACTGATGATGATGATGATGATGGGCGAGCGTGGGGACCTACAGAGGTGTAGAGAAAGCCTTCGTTGTTCATTGCCAGATAGAGTTTGGTCTGGACGCCCTGGATGGCCACCACACGAAGCCCGACCGGGATCAGGTTGAACACCCCTACCAATGCAAACATTAATACACACGCACACAACAAACACACACACACACAGCAAACAAACGAGCAGTGAAAAAGCAAACACAGGGGAAAATCCTCATCAATATGGAAGCATTTGGTCTGAAAGGTGTTGTCAGACTTTGGTCTGACAACACCTGCATTTTGCCACGGGGAAGCTATTCGACAAGGTCAGTGAGGCACCAAGGCCACGGAATCAAAACCAGCGATTGGCAGCCCGGGACGTTTAGCAGTGCAATGACAAGTTGAAGTTTACAGCTATTCCTACTCTGATAAATGAAAATACAAATATTCCAACTGTAATAAGGAGGATTTGCAGTAGCAGCTAATCTGTCAACTTTGTTTTATCCCATTGGATTCATAATACAGGCAATAAAATATCAGTTAAAAAACGGACGCGAAGGTAAACAACCAAAGTGGTTCAGTTTACAATTATATGAATATTTAAGAAGATTAACTCACAGCAAGCATACATACATACATATACATATAAAATCAAGTAATGATCAATTATCTAATCTTCTGAGAAGTACTTTCTTTTTTTGTCATATCAAAATCAGGAATTAGTTCTCATAGAGGGTAAATATGATTGAATATTCTTCTGACGTAGATGTTCTAAAATGTAAGGCCTATGTATATAAATGCATCCGAAATGCTAAAAATAAAATTAAAAATCCCAGGATGTCCGATGCGAGGGAAAGGGGGACACAGTGTTCTTCAGTGTCATCTTAATGTCCGTAAGTAGGACATTAAAACACTTTGTCTGATCTTATTTAAATGTAAATCTCTCTTTAAAAGAATATAGATCAAAAAATCTTGCATCAAAAAAGAATTGCGTCACAACACTGATGCTGTTTGTTTCACATTATTTGCAGTTCTTTTCTTGGTTTGTGCGCAATCAGACAAGAGCAAATAATTTGCGTTTGTACAGTAGAAGCTCTGCAGCACGGGGACATACTATGCCGGAAGGGCTTGATGAGCCATGGGCCTGGAATGATTACACTCATTTAGCCAACCGATGTTCTTTATAATGAATGTGTTTGTACAGAAACGTGGATTACATGGATTACCCATCGACCCCCTGCTCACGGCCGACTGGTTTCACGTGGGTGAGCGTTTACTTGATGCATACACCTCCTAATCATCTAATTAGAGAGCCTGCCGTCTTTCTCGCGCACGCAACAGTTCGGCGGCCCGGGAAGGAGCAGAGATCAATGTGTGATGCTGGCGACACCAACTGTGCACGAGAAGGAGAGCGATCGCCGTCTGAACCACAACGGCAGATCACACGTTGCCGCCTGTGTGCGTTTGTGTGAGGCAGAAAGGATTCTCTGGACCACCTTGAGTATCTTTTCCAACGTGCATACTGTGGATATTCAATCCATTTCTTTAGCCAGGTAACAATCAACACAGATTGATTGGCGGGGACACAATCTGACAGTTGGAGGAAAAGCAGCCGCCAGATTCCCAATTAAATGGACCCCTGACATGCTGCTGAGTGACTGCCTGAGCAAAATCCACAAATCAGACAATTTCCACAGAATTAAGTGTACCGTTAAATTGGTTTTAGAATCTTTGACATGTTGCATTTATTTATTTATTATATTGAAGAAAAAACTTGGTTTTAGTTTTGGCTGTAAATTATTATAATGTTTTAGCTCCCTTTACTTAACAAGCAATGGAGGTTTTAATATGCATGCATGACCAGCGTTGGAGCAACGCTACAATGTTTGTTGCTACAGCAACCATTTATGGTAACTGTAGTTTTCTGAAGTAAATCATTGAGTTCAACGATGAGTTAAATAATCGATTAGTCAAATGAAAATGTTCTATAGTAATAGTAGTCGAATAGTTTCAGTCATTTGCGCGGCAGAAATATAATATGCCGGTTCCAATTTCTAATTTGTGAACGTCTACAAGTCTAAAGTCCAGAGTTGGATTTACCATAAGTGCTGTCTTCATCCTTGGTTCCATCAATGGTGCCATCAGGCTGCATCTGCAGCTGGAAGCCCTGGCTGCTGGAAAGCCTGGTCACGATGCCCTTTAACTGGGGCTCTGAGAGGAGGAGAGGAGACACGTTAAACTGCATTCACCGCAATTTGTTTGATCTAATCCAGCAATCGCCGAGAAGCATGAAGTATCCGGAGGAGGAGCTGATTGCTGGGCCTTGAGGGCCCAATGTCCATTCCTGACCCCTGTACAATGTGGCGCACACGCAAATCCCCCAAAACACGTTGACAGCCCCAACTAGACAACAAGAGTAGCTCCAGCGCCGCTTGAATTTGGAGCCTGGTTGAATGAGCTCCCCATCAGCGGTCACAGCCACTACTGCTGCTGCTGCTGCTGCTACACTTTGCTGCGGGACGACACAAAGTTGTTGACATTTTAGGTTTTCGGTGTCACGCAACAGGATTCATTCCTGCACCTCAGGGGTGAGGAATGATGCAGGGACGGAGGACCAGCCCCCGGTGATGAAATGCATGGTGTGGAATGGTGATGATGGTCATGATGCTGCTGCTCGTTGTGAAGATGGTTGAGGTGGTGCAGCTCTTGTCACCCCATCCCCCCCCCCCCCTCCGTCACCCTCAGACCTGGTGGTCGCTTTCTCTTCCGTTTCTTCCTCGACCCAAACAGTTTGACGCGTGAGAAACACGTTGAGCTTGCTCGGCTTCTCGTTTGTGCCTTTGCTGTTGATCGGGCTGCCGCGGCACGCGTTCCCCTTCTCGCGCTCCCGCGCCTGCCGCTTCTGGCGGATCAGGGGAGCTCGCATAGCCGCCGCTCGGGACATGTTCCCCGGTAAGGGCTGCGCGTCCCGTATGGGAGGGATAGGGAAGGTGCGAATAAGGCAACAAGGGGTGGAGGGTGCGGGCAGATTGTCTACACCACCCACGGCTTAGTTCGCACCAGGACCGTCCGCTGCAGTCTCGTGGTTTTTAGAAAGTGTCCGGAATCCTCCATCGGTGCGTCCGGGCGCTTCATGTCTGCCGGTGAGTGAGCGGGAATAGACGCCGCCTCACGCCGCCCGATGGGTCACAGTTGTAAAATCCGTCTCCACCCCTCCACCTCTCCACCAGGACACCACCTCCCCCTTCAGTGTGATTCTCCCGGCTGTCCCGAGAGAGCGTTGAAGAAGAAACGGGGGGAGGGAGGGGAGGCTCCGGGATCCGGTCCCGGGTTCCGAGTGGCGAATCAACAGCACAGTTCGCGCTGCGAACGACACCCGGTCTCGTCGGCACCGATCACTGCGGCTGCGCTCGTCCACGCCGTCCGCGACACCGACGCGTGTGGACCCGCGTGAGTGTTTCTCAATGAGACGGTTCGGGGCTGTTCATAAAACACTGCTGCAGCCCTGCCCGCCCCGAGGAGGATAAATGAGGAGGGGGAGTGCAAGAGGGTGGAGGGGGGAGATGGGGAAAGGGGGTGATGAGGGGGGGGTACATGTCCTTGTGTGGAGGGGTCGGAGGCGTGCGACGAGAGACGTTTTGTGCAGTTTTTCCTCATAGCACACCTGTAGCTCTGAACCCCACGTGCCATGATATTTACATGTTACCCTGAAGACTGTGTGTGCGCGCACGCGTGTGCGTGTGAGGGGGGGGGGGGGGGGTGCAAGATGTAATAAATGATGAGGAGTATTATAAACTGCGAAATGAAAGGGAAAGGGCAGACAGGCAGGTGCATTAACGAGAGGAGGACTACTGGAAACGAGGGGGCAGAGGTGGGAGGGAGAACATGAGATATCGAGTTTGCTTTGAGAGAGAGAGAGAAGCTCGTGCACAGCCTGCAGATGGATTGGGAAAAGGGAAAGATGAATGAAAGGGAGGATCGCAAAATGAGGAGTCATTGGGAGTGCGATGGGTGTATAGAGTTTTAGGACTATAGGACTCTGACAAGGCACGACTTGAAATAAATGCAAGTGAAGGGACAACAACGGAAGGTCGAGAGAGACCTGGTTAGTGTCTGTGTGAGAGAGATGGAGAAAGGGGGGAAAGGAGGGGCTCTCATATTTTGGTGCAGAGGTTCACCACTGCCGAAAGGCTGCAGAAGGACCCGAGTAACGCACACAGCTCCTCTCTTGAGATGTCACGTTTTTCGCGTTGGCACCGGAGCAGACGACACCAAAAATGCAGCAGCAGCCGATCCCTGCGTTGTCCACTGGCCGCAGGCGAGACTGCAGAAACACAGCTGCCAGTGGCAGCTACACTCGCGATGGCGCGTGGCAACTGCTGAACCTCCCCTCTAAATATGGCGCCGTGGGAGCCGAGGTGGCGGACAATGAGCCGACTGAGCCATCAGCGCCGGTGGACCTGTGGCACGTGGCGCCCGAGCGGCGGGAAGAGGCAACGCGCGCGCGGTTCGCCGGTGGGGAAATCGATGGCTGAGATCTCAGTGGTGTTTGGAGGGGAAAGACGCGGAGCGGGGACCGAAGCTGGGTTCAGGAGCGGGTCGCCGAAGTGGAGCCCGGAGGAGTTGGATATCCGCCCACTGACTTCTGGTTGGGTAAGAGCCTTGGAAATGTACAGATAAATATAGTTTATCGAGAAAGACCGCGGCTTCAGCCGTAGAATATGCCATCGCCAATGTGCGACGTCATCTAAAAACATCAAACTATGAAAGCAAACCACTAATGAAGTGACTGAAGGCAAAGCCTTCATATTTCATTCATGAGCTCGTTGCTTTTAAAACCCACACCACGTGTCCCTAAAAGCAAAAGCATGCAAGGACCAGAGGTAACAAAATGCAACAGTAAAACAAAGCAGATACAAAGAGCCGCTGAAAAGCTTTAGCCCTTAAATAACCTTAACCAATTCAAATGTTCAAAAGTGTGTGGAGAAACAAATGTGCAACCCAATAAAGATAAGTAATTGATTTGTTCTCATGATTATACCATACATTATATTGTATATTTCAAGTTTACATAGACGTTTGCTTTACACAATCAAATGGAAATAATGGATCTGAAAGGAGTTAATCCCAACAGAGAAAACTAAACTATAACCATAACCATAAATGCCAGATAGAGAACGATCAGAAACCCGCAGCGCATGGCAGTAATTTAGAAGGTAAAAGGTCAACCATCAAAGACAGCAGTGAACAGTGTGATGCATGTTGAAGATAAATGACACACAGGAATAATAATTGAATCATTTTAGAGACGCTGGATGTTAATAAATTATGAGTTAAAAAGAGAAACTTCCCTGCAGGCTGACATGGATTTTGACAGTGAGAGGATTTGTTCTAAGAACCGGGACTTTTGATTCATGGTCTCTGAGTAGCGCGGCCCGTTTGCCACGTTTTGTTATATTTTTAAAGTTTGAGTTCAAATCTGCACTGAGAGCGTGGAGGACACCAGTAGGCCTTCAAGCTTCTCAACTACTGAAATGGCAATCATACTAAGAGACATTCATTAAGCGATTTATAATAAATGGATGTAAATGGATGTGCATGCATCCTAGTGGAAGAGAGCGTCCAGCGCTGCTTTCAGCACCACGGAGAGCACCTCAAGTTCTATCTGAGTTTAAAATATCTCTTTAGTTTCTACCAAAACGATCAACTTACTTCAAACATAACTTCATAAAATCAAACATAGAACACATTTAGGTCGATAAAGCAATTTTTATAAGCAATTATAAACAAAAGCACCAAGTTAGCATTCTATGGAGACTTCCGTTCACCTCGGTTGGTCTACGTGTGTTCCTCTTCCCTCTTTGATCTCCCAAAGTTTTACAGTGGACGAGTTATGCTCGTACTGATGTAGCAGGATCAAATGTTGTCGTTTCACACCGTCCGGTCCTACCTGAGGTCGATCGGCGGAGAGGGAAAGCCATGCTGCGCCCGTGGAGCTCCGGAGACTTGTGCTCCTCTTCGGGCTTCCCGTTGTGCGCCGCTCGTCGAAAAGAGGAGGAATTACCGAAGTTCAAGGCAGAACATTCTCCACGGCATTGGGTCCATTAAGGCTGCGCGCAACGGCGTTGACGGAAGATCATTACAGAACATTAGAGGCCATTAAGCCGTTGGAACCGGTCATCAATGATTCATCTCCGGGCCCCGCTGATCTGGCACAATAAGAGAGAGAGGCAGCCAGCGGGCCGCTCCGAGATGCAAGGGTCCATCGAGGAAGTGCGTGTGCGTGCTGTAGACCTGGCCTAAGTTTAACCAGGTATCCCTGAGGCCAATCCAGAAATCAGAGCCATTTCTTCCTACTCACCTTTTTTAATTAAGCCTGTCAGTATCAGAGCAATGTCAAATTGGGAACTAATCTGAGCCACTATAAGGATTACTTTGCGTATTAAGACTCCATTGAGTGTGGACATCACACAGCTTCAACAAAGAGCCAGATGGTACAGACGGCATTCAATGTGGACATGAGGCGATTAAATGATGAAGTGGGCATAAAGAGGTCGACTGCAAGTTGATGCTCTAATGACAAACAGATATGAGTTTAAATCCAAGGAGCTTTTTAAATAGACTTTCACTGCACACACTTAAATACTCAATGCACACCGTCATTGCACTTTACTGTAACCAAACTATCCAGGATGTGTCTACACACATAACTGTCTGCTGCAGTCCGGAGCCTGTAAAAGCCATTGAAGGCAGTAACGAAGGATGTTGCTGAAGAATATGAACACCCAGCAACTTAAAAAGTCGAACTGAAAAAACCCCATCTGAGAATCTCTGAGGTAGTTCTCATTCCGTTTTTTCAAAATCTGTTTTTCTGCGGGAAGCTATTGTGTGTATGCCAAGATCTTTTTATCATTACGCTGTGGTTTCTAAAATAACTGTTGGATCAAGCCGGGGGGGATTTGCTGGGTCACTGTGTGCCTGTGGTTTGGTTTCTTGAATTGTCTCAACCAGCACAAATGCCATTTTGGTCTCCCAAAATAGCTTTCTATCCTTGGCCTGAAATAAGAAACCACGAAGGACCGTTTAGGCAAAGGTTCCTTACCCAACAGCCTGGGCAGGATGCCAGCGTCCAATCGCTGTAGTCTATCAACAATAAGCTCTATGAAGTTGCTCTAAAGATTTGAGTGCAGCAGCTGTCTTTCAGTGATTCACATTATCAGCCACTAGGTGGCGCCATACACTCAGACCACAGGAAAAATGACTGCAATGGAAATGCTGACTGCGCGTGTGAGTGAAAGAAGGGAGGGGGACAATACCTGTCGAGATAGTCAATATATTGACTTATCACACGGTACGTGGAAATGATCATTTTTGGTGCTGTGATATATTATATTCATTTCTACATAGAATGTCACCAACATTTTAGCCGATGCTGCCTATGTCATCTTCGTCTTGCTGTTTTAGAAAGTGGAGGCCCGTGTCCCTTGCACTTTTTTGTCAACCAAATCAATATTTAGGATATATATTTTTTACATTGTGGTTCTATGTATAAATATTTCGAAGAATAAAACATTCTTTGTTCTTTGAAAGAGCATAGTTGCGCTATTATGCTATTATATTGTCATACTGTCATTATGTAATCTGTGTCATAAATAGGTCTGAAAATTACAATAATATCATTTTATCGACTTTGGTGCAATATATCGCACAAAAAAAGTATTAATTCTCTATCCCTTCTCTACTGTGGCATGTGGCAGCACAAATGGTGGATCTAAGGAATATATCGATGTCATTAAACGTTCAACTGGTTTCGTCACATCACACATTGCAAATAATAGCACTGTAACCACAAAGAATGAAGAAATCGTGTAATGAAACTATTTTTGAGTCAATAAGGTCCAGTTTGCTCACATTTGCTAATTAGCACCAAAAAACAAAGTAGAGTCAAAGGGTGTTGGGGAAGTCAGTGGCATAGCAGGTAATTGGTAATAAACAGAAGTCACCAAAAAACAATTGAAACATTGACCCGATGAAGCAGTTTGAGCTCGACTCAAGTTGTTACATTACAAGTTATGTTCCGGTTCTGCGCTCGCCGTTCTTTATTTACGCACACACGTCATTACATCACAGTCAGGGGGGGGGTCAGTGATGTCTTGGATGGGCCTTAATGTTGACTTCTGCTGCCATGTCGCTGGGTCACATTCTGGGTTAATTAACAATAGTTTCTCCATGGGGAAACACACACGGGCGTATGTAGTTTTAATCCTCATTTATAGGGCTAATCTCTTGAAGAACAGGATGTTAATGAGTTCTTGTTCTGCCCAAACTTAATCCGTAACTTTACTCTAATTATATAAAGAAAAGTAGGGGGTGAAATATAATGCTGCATGTCAGTCCACCAGAGGCGGAGTGGGTCATTGATGAAGATATTTTTGGGGAGAAGCACAACAGACTTTCTGTGATTGTAACATTAAACGTTGCAACCGTCTTTGGACTTTGTTACATTGTGCTGCTTTAAATGAATGGGGACTCTGTAATTGCTCAGACGCATATATTTTTTGATATTCCGTTTTATTGAGATTGCTTTGTTACGTGGGTGGCATTGTACTGGAACGTCTAATATTTAGTGTCATACTGACAGAATTTATTACCCGTCTGTGTATTGGAATCCATTCCGGTGCGCAGAGGTTATCATGGTTCTTTTAAAGCACCCTTCACACTCATTGGCTGGCTTTTATTGCTTTTTCTGTTTGCTTTGTATCCTTCAAAGACGAGTTAAGGCTCCCATTACTAAAGGTTTATTACTATACTGTCAGCCGGCGTACGGTTCAGTTCAACACGCTAATGGCACGGCTCCGTAGCAGCTGGAGTTTAACAGACATCGTTACCTCGCACCCTTTTCTACCAAAAACATTTTCATTTGTAATCTTTTTTTCAGTGATAACCGTAGTCCTATATAGGCGGATGAAAAACTGACGGTTGGTGAGAACTGCAGTGTGAGCAGTGTGTCCAAAAGTGGGTTGGTCCAATTAAAGAAGATCTTATCTTAGAGCCTGGGGACTGCTGCTCCCCAGTGAAATGACAAGTCAACACTGATTTATTAGTCACATAACGTTTGTACTTCAGTAACAGCGCACCCGTAGTTATTTAAACCCAAACCACGAGCTTTTCTTAAACATAATTAATATGTGTTGTTGCCTCAACCTAACTGAGTAATCTTTTCATAGACGGAACCAAGTAGTTTTGTCGGATAAGCTTTTTTTGTATTAAAAACTGAGGTTTATTGTGAGGAGACTGTATGCGATTAACAAGCCAAGACCGACAGGTGTTGATGGCTTTCTAAAGAAAATGTATATTACAATATCTTTTCAAGTGTGGAATTGTCTTATTGTTGCCCCGTTGCGGCTGTCAGGGGAAAGGCACCTGCAGTTCCGACTAACCATCAAGGACCAGTGGATGTTTCCCTCCCTCCAGTGGGCAGTGCGGAGCTTATTGCGGTTTAACACACTATGATACTTTTCAGACCAATCACAAATAATTGTGAATAATTTGCACATTCATTTAAAAATATTAACCCCTCTGTCACACAGAGCCTTTCTTTATTAAATCAGAAATGTTCTCTATATCTCAGAGGACATTTATTTTTTACCCGGAACTCTTTGGATTTTTACCAAATTCAAATGCGCATTTAAAAAAAACAACTAACCAATCAAACCAGCATATGGTCACCTGGTCGTTACATTTCCAGTGTCACAATACTGTTCATAAATGTCGCTCAACAACATGGATGTCAAAAGTATTTTAATTGTAAAAAAAAAAGTAATTTGATTGTCAAAGTTTTCAAATGTTTGAACAAAACCAACTGCTGGCTTTATTGTTAGTTTGCTGTGCACCTGTTCACAAGGTAGAGCAGAAGATTTACATTGGCTTCAACCCCCCAACATGCTAAATATCTGAGATTATTGCAAAGGCAAAAATATAAATGACTATTTTCGACTTTCGGCCGGAGCACGGAAATATTCTTTATAGCCAATTTGATTAATTGATCTATTAAGGCAAATTGCCGGCACGCTCCATCTTCCTGCTTTCTCTTTTCGTGAATGGACGGGTCTCGACCATCGGTTACACGGGCAACACCCTTTTCATGTCTCCATGGCAATGATAGTTTCCCGGTTACCATCGCTGTGCAACGTGCGTGTATATTGTCCAAGAACATGTGTGCGCGCGCTGCTGAAATTACATCAGAAAAGCCGGGACCCCTTCAGAAGGGAATAGTCTGTGTCAGCGGATTTATAATACAAATATACGCTGCGCATTGAACCATAAACACCCTGGTTTATCGCCTCCTCCTGTTCGCAGCAGAATGCGTTGTGATACTGGATCGTTACAGAGAACACGTGTTTTAAATGGGCTTACCTCAGCACTATTGTGTTAATATATTAGGTTTTCTTAAGCATATTTTTATTTTATTTTTAAAAACACGTGTTCAACGTAATTCGTCGACATTCCATCGTATGTTTTCTGGATTTGTGTGGTCAATGGGAATAAGTACCAGTTTACTGATGTCAGCACAAAACCAAACCGTTCCCTATTTCTCACAATAAAGACAAGAAAAAAGCCTTTGATTTCTTCCTAGATAGTGACTGTGTGATGCGGGTTCATCGTCACTCACCTTTGGCGGCATGGTCTTTATCCTCTTTGCTTTTTTTTCCGCTCATGGACGAACCGCTGCGTCTTACCGCTGGTAGTTCAATCAAACTTCAGTGTCTCCGCACACACTCACACTCACACACAAACACACACACTCACACACACACACACAAAGACCCACAGACGCACACGGTCCAACTCTCACCGGCCCGACTGTGCCGCGTCTTTATAAGCCTCCATTCACCGGCGCGAGCGCTAGCGAACGTGCGCGCGCACACTGAGAGATGTGACACATTTGCACAGAGCCGAGGCAATTAAAGCAGAAGTCCTATAGGAGCTCTTTAAACATTAACAGGTAAAGCTCCCTTTGAGGGCATTAAGCTGTAACAAAATTATTCCTAATGATTTAAACCCCAATAAAACAAATACCTTAATAACTTTTCCCCAAAGGGTATTAAAAGGGTTTAAGGAAACCCCTTTCCTTATTTTTATCTCTAAACACCTCGTTTTTCCCCCTGGGGAGGGGGGGGGGGGGGGGGGGGGGGGGTTAAAGGATGGACATCTTAAAGAAGGTCACCATATTCACGGTTGGTCTTTCCATCTCATTACTGCACAGTAACATGCAAACTCAGCAGTAACACCACGCGAAGTAGTCAATGCATTGACCACTTAATCCATTTATGTGAGAAAATGTCTTTTTTCACACAAAGTGGGATACACTTTATTTTCCCTGAATATAAGAATATATCTCAAGTCCCTTCTAACTGTTATGAATATAACATTGTGTATTTGGAGGTTAAAATGATGTTGGTCAGAGTTTACAAAATCTCTTCATTTACTCAGTCGCCGTTATTAACTAATGAAATACTGACGGTGTTTTTGAAATTGTCAATAACAACTTCTGACTCACTGTATACGTTGCCTCGTTTGACAAGAGTTCATGGCTCTTGCATAACATGTCTGTCCCTGTTTTTAGTTTTTTGTGGACTCCAACTACTAAATGAACCATCAGCCCAAAGCACAGCCGGCCCTCGGTAAGACCACCCCACTCCCCCCCCCCAGCCCCTCCCCCCCACCTCCTCCCTCTGGAGGATTACTGTTCTCTGCTGAAACCAGCTGCTCTATTAGAACACAAAGTGCCACATACACGCCCGCTGTTCCCTTCAGTAGAACCCACTCTTAATAAAAGAGTCAATGCAAACTGACACAGGCGAGTTGCCAACGACCTTTGAAATATGTTCTTCTCATTGGTTGAATGTCCATTATTATATTTTCTTGTATCTTCTCAACTCTGAAAATTGTATCTGGAGCACATAAAAAAAACAAGCCTCGGGTACATTAGTCATGTGTTGCTCTTTGACACAGTCAGTCAAAGTAATTACTTGCTGGTCCCAGGTCAGATGTATACGCTTCATGCGTTGGAGTGGGGGACACAGCGGTTTTACAATGGCTGTAAAAGCGCTGTGTGATCATACTGGGAAGAAGCGTGGACATTTCTTTATTGATCCAAGAAGAGGGTGACAAGAAAAAAGCGGTCATTGACTTAATCGCTGCACCATTTAAGCCGACTAAGCTAAAAAAATTGCGTGACCAAAGGATCGCTGTACTCCAAGTGATACTTCAAGTGTCGGGACGGATACAAATAAGCACACATGTAGACGGCCACGTTAATCCACGAGACACAAGTATAGATGTTGCACCAATGAGACAGATGCAGATGCACAAATACAGATGAAGTGTGAGTGTTATAACGACTTGATTGCTGAAAATAATTAGAGCACCAATATAACTTGTTTATTAAATAAACACGTAGATTCCGAGGGTTTTATTGCCTGTTTTTGCCGCTCCACTAACGGGTCACGTCCCCGGGACTTTCATCAGCACAGAGTGATTTAATCAGATTTGTTGCCAAAACCGCAGCGGACCTGTTAATTTTCTCTCAGATCTAAAGTTGGCCGTGGTGATTGATTCAATGGCCCTTGCATAAAACAATCTCATACCACCCTCCCATTTAAATCATCCCCAGCCGATAAGTCACCACAAGGCAACTGTTGCCAAGACGCTGCTGGCTGGAGGCCAACGGACCTGGCTGTCAGTCACAGTGATTTGTCCACAGACCCACCCGGAGTAACTCACAGTCTGAGCAGAGAGAGCCTTCAATGCTCGCGCCGCTTTGGCCCCCTCGCCCTCGCTTCCTGAAATTTGCCGTACACCAGGAGGAAGTGGGCTTGGGCCTTTGTGTGTGTGATAACGCTGCCGAAGCACAGCCGCTGTTGCAATGAGCGATGCTTGTGTCACAATGGTAAACAGCCGAAGCACAGCGTGACAGTCGCACAAAGAGGAGATTAGTCAAAAAGTCACTGAAGTGACTGAATGTCATTTCACAGGAATGTAGTGACATTGGTCCTCAGAAGCTACTGTTCATACAGACCGAAGGAGGCCGTGTTGCAAAAGCTGCTCATCGGTCAACACTCATCATCACAAAAAAACATGATCATGTTAAACACACACGACAATGTTGAGAACTGCCCTTCATTCTGACCCGGGGTCAGTGTCGTCGATCGATTTCAACCTTACGCAATGGAATGAAATGTACTGCTTCTTGAACCTTAATATTTATATAATATATACACACAAACAAAATATCTCCCACACCTTTTCCCTGATTTGCCCTCTTTCTCTCTCACACACAGACAAATGTGAACAAACTCTGGGGCCATCCGGGTGAGTAAACAGAGCGCGTTGTTGTACTTTGGAGCGGTGGATCAATCCCACCGGCGCTCACTTCACGCTGTGGTTCCACATTCGAAATCGTTTGGACAAGATGGCCAGACTTTGTCAACTGGCTTTTACAGCTGGCCTGCTGCTGGAGCTGTACGGACTGGCCGCTGAAGTCAGAGAGCAACACCCAGGTACACGACAGAGGAGCAGGTGCTGAGAAGCTAGGAGGCTGGTGGTCATGTGATAGCAGACGCTACTCAAAGATCTAGTTTGGTATTGTTATAAAAAGGTGGTTGTAAGTTTGTTGTGTTTGTAACTGTAAGCCGTAATGTAAGCACACTAGAATGGAGCATTTGATACTCAACAGAAGATAAGAGAAAAATAAGATAAGTTCTCTTTTCAAACTCTGCCGAGAGCTCGAGGCTCGTGATGATTGGTGGGGACGAAACAACATCTGGTTAATACCTTTTCAAAGGGTACAGGACCTCTTTCTTACAGCAATACATCCACGGGTGAAGCAGGTTGTGTGCTGTGTAGTAGCAGGAGTACTGTATAAAAATGGCTGGAATTCCAAAGTGGTTAATGTTAAGTTTTTTTTATATCCATCAAATTAAGGATGAAAGTCTAAAATTCAACCACACATTGACTGCTTAATTTCAAAGCCATTCGACTCACGTAAGAGGCCAAATTAGAAGAATGGTGTCACTCTAAATACTTGGTCCCTGACTGTCTGATGATCCATAACAAATGAATGTGCACAAATCTACTTAGAAAGCATTAAGAAAGACGCTCTATGTAACTGTTAATGGTTTTGAAGCGTTACTGCTGGAGAACGATAACAGAACTTTTTTCAACAATCTCCTCTTTTGTCTTTTATTACCTTTTAGGAACTGTGTTTGTGTCTCAACAGACAGCCGACGCGGTGCTGCGTCGCCTGCGCAGGTACAACAGCAAGGTCTTTGAAGAGCTTCAGCCAGGCAACCTGGAGCGGGAGTGTATTGAAGAAGCCTGCACGATGGAGGAGGCCAGGGAGGTGTTCGAGGACGATGACAAAACCGTGAGTTAGACACACACACACACACACATAACAACAACCTCCCAAGTGTCTGAAGTTTCTCATTAATATCTGTGTTGTTTTCTTCCAGACGGCGTTCTGGGCCCGTTACAAGGGTAAGATGATTGAAACACATGTTTTCACAGTTACTTTGACTTTTAAGCCAACCGTCACCTCTGAACCTGTGTGTGTGTGTGTGTGTGTAGACGGTGACCAGTGTCAGCCACCTCCCTGTCAAAACGGGGGCGAGTGTGAAGATGGAATCAACACATATACCTGTTATTGCAATCCAAACTTTAATGGCAAGAACTGTGAGATTGGTGAGTTCTTTCTTTTGCCAACACACGGTGTGATGTGGCGTCAAACAGTTTAATGTGAAACCGTCTCATGACAAACACACAGAAAAGATCCCATCTGCTTTCGCGTCTGTTGTCAGAGTTGAAGAAGCAGTGTTCGCTCAACAACGGCGGGTGTTCCCATTTCTGTTTGATGTCGGCGGACGTTCCCGTGTGCCGTTGTGCAGCTGGTTATACTCTCGGGCTGGACAAGAGAAGCTGTGAGCCATCAGGTAATTTAGATAAATTGTGTCTATTTTGTTGTGTGACTCAACACGGCTCTAATCATCATGCTACTACACTGCACATCACAGTGAAAGCAGACTGAAAAAAAGAGTGCATACATGCGTTTGTGGTAAAGAAGTAAATAATGGACAAATGTCTAAAAAGTAAAAGTACATAGGATTTAGAATGCCTCATTTAAGAATTGTGTATTTTATATCACTGCATTATAATTATTAATGATTGATGATCTCTTGAACTATCTAGTAAAATGTTAAACATTTAAATGTTTTAAATATACTGGAGTAGAAGCAAAGTAGCAGAATGTGAAGCTACAATACATGAATGTACATACCGTCGACCTTTGCAGGGTCAATTTAAATGCCAAAGAACAAAGTCACATTTGCACAAATGCAAATAATTCTGCATTTCTGGGACCAAACTACTAAATTATGCGTGTTTCATTAAATCCTGGTTTCGGTTGCTTTCCATAAACTTCCTCACACACAAGTAAAAAGACTGATTAATGTACGAGCTGTCTTATAATCCACAATAGCAAAGAACGCTGAACTCATCACGTTACGCTTCTCATCCTACTTCTAACAGACTGGCTCATAAACTGTGCGTTGTAAATAAACTGTCAGCTGTCAAATGACTTACATAACGCGTGTTTTGCAGACAGCATGAACACCCTGTTTATAGAATCACACAACGAGCCTGGGTTTCAAACCAACAATAATCTTTGGTTATCAGTCAAATCGCATCAAAATATTTGAATCTGCCCGTAGTTTAAAGACTACAACTAAAGGGTAGAAGAAAACATTCTGGGTAGAAATCCGGCTCTGAAGATGTCTGAGAGACACAACTAGAATATCTCTTTCTGCGTTATGTCCTTCATTCCCCATTCAGAACAATTCAGCTGCGGTCGCGTGGACATCACCTCGCTAGCCCCGCGGTCATCACGCAACATCACGGAGCACAGCTCTGAAGGAAAACACAATTCCAGCTACAACCTGGAGGACGACTACGACATCATGCAGTTTTATGACGACTACAGCATCCACGCCAACGATTCAGGCCCGTCCAACGTCTCCGCGGCCTCCGCTGCAAAGACGCGGTCGGTGAGGTCGGATCGGAGCTCCTCCGTCAGTCCAGATGAGGCGGTCATGAGCAGTGGGGAAGCAAGGAGTGCGACGGAAGTGGAGAAAAAGCAGCCGCCCTCCTGGGCTTTCTTCCCCACACTCCCCACCATCACGGCACAAGACAACACTGACCAGAGGATTGTGGGAGGCAACGATGCGATTCCTGGAGAGATACCTTGGCAGGTGATGTAGCGTGGGATGCACAATGAAAGGAAGCACAGAGGTCAAAGCGGGGGGAAAGGAGGTGAAAGGTTAGACTGCGGTGTTGAGAGGGTTGATGGAGAAGAGGAAATGCACAGGGGACGTGATGTGGCTCTGCTTATTGGTTCTTAGGAATGTTCTTGTGTTTCTGTGCAGGTGGCCCTGATGTCTCGCTCAGACACCCTTCAAAGAGAAGGAGTTTTCTGTGGAGGATCTTTAATCAGTGAATTATGGGTCATCACAGCCGCTCATTGTCTGGTGCCGACTAATCCTAATTTGGAGGATTTCTTCGTCAGAGTCGGTAGGAAAAACGGGACATTCGTATCATATAACCTATGATCCGTAATTTAAAGTAAAGACAAACTGGTCTTAATCATCAAAATTGCCGTTGTGTCTTGTCGGTTATTTGCACGTTTCATTGCAAAAGGTGTCGGGGTTGGGTCAGCTTTCAGCGGCGTTGTAACTTTAGATCAGGAGATGCTATCGGCCTGGTGAGTAATACCATGTCATGGCATTAATCTGTGTTTACAGGTGAACATGATGTGAGCCAGGCTGAGGGTTCAGAGCAAGATCACGAGGTGGCAGAGAAGCACATGCACCACTTGTATGATACCGCAAAGTCCGCGTACGACAACGACATTGCACTCCTGAAGCTCGCCAAACCAGTGGTATTGTCCAACCGCCGGCGCCCCATCTGCCTGGGCCTCAAGGACTTTACGGAAAACCTGTCAAGGGAATCCAGCACGTCTCTGGTGAGCGGATGGGGGAATCTGCGGACCACAGGCTCGCAGCCCAACAAGCTACAGAAGCTGGAGGTGCCCTACGTGGATCGCACCGTGTGTAAACAGAGCAGCGAGAAACCCATCACAAGCGGAATGTTCTGTGCCGGCTTCGAAAATGAGGTGAAGGATTCGTGCAAGGGGGACAGCGGGGGGCCGCATGCCACTAATTATAAAGGCACTTGGTTCTTGACAGGCATCGTCAGCTGGGGGGAGGAATGTGCCAAGGCAGGAAAGTATGGCGTCTACACTCGAGTAGCACGTTTTATTGCATGGATCAGAAGGACAACAGGGCTGCGGATTATCAACTGAAAAATGTAGAAATATGAAAGGAATAACAGTGTGAGGCAACAGGAAGTGAAAGAGGTTCAACTGAATCATCTAATTTGGGATTCTGCAATAAAAAGTCAGCAAAATATCTGGGTATTTACATTTTTCCTTACTGCAAATACTGAAACTGAATACCATGTATCTCTTTATACAATATGTGCTTTGCAGCTAAATGCAATCTTGGTTTGCAATTGTAATATTAATTGTATGTTCTTGAATCCCGAATCTCCCTCGACCAAAAAGAATGAGGAAGGCGTAATCTGTCCCGGCCCAACACGGGTCGACCAAGCTAAAAGTAGAAGATGCGTCGTGGTTACACCGTGACGCCGGCTCTACTCCCGGTTGTTCTCTGTGTATGTGTGTGTGTGTGTGTGTGTGTGTGTGTGGCTGCAATCAGCTGGCATTTGGGCTCCTCACCTGTGGATCATTAGACCTCCATCAACAGATGAAATACCCCGGCTTCCAGGGATCTCGTCGCCAGATTGTTTTCTCCACCAGAGTGGTAGCGATACTCTCGGCTCCTTTGAGTGCAAAAAATCAGTTCATCGGTACTTTGCTAACGCTGAAGCGAACCACAGTGGGTTTTTTTCCTTTCAACCCAGTGGATCTAGAATAAACCGACCAAGACGTCCGTGTGGCCCCCACAGTCCTGAGCCAGAGGTCCGATCAACCACGTTAACGGGACTGTGTAGGTGCGCAGAGGCCTGGCCTGCTCACCACGCAGGTGCTGATTGTATCTGAATCACCACAGAGAAATCTACAATAGATTAATTGTGCCCTCCTCGGTAAATTGGCACATTGATACTGGTATTTTTTAGACATTAAAGCTCAATTGGCCTTTTTCGTTACTGACATGTAGATTATTAAATACACTGGTGTTTTCTGGCAACATTGTGTCAAAACCCGTGCTGTGAAAATAGGTCTATTTTGAGGAACGTAAGATACGTTTCCAACCCTGAAATACACAGTTCTAGTGTGACCATGTGATGTGGATCATGAAGGCGTGAAGGAGACTCCGAGACAAAGAAACGCAGATTATGTGAGTAACCGGTTAGCAATGCTAGTTTAGATTGCAACCTTTTGAGTAAGTATAAGTAATATTTTGACCCTGGTGGTTTTGTCGTTTGCATGACTCCTGTAACGACACGGACTAAGATGCACTTCTTTGGAGAGATTTTAGCTTGAACGCTGCATCAGAACTACGGAGCTTAATGAAAGTGGCGCCTGATTCCCTAAACGCCGCGGTTATCTTTCCTTAACTCCTCATGAATTCCTCTAACCGTCTTTCCTTGACCTCATGACGTTTTCCACAGAGGTCAAGGAAAACTGGTTAGGAGGATTTTTTTGTGGACTATTCGAATCCAGTCACAGTCTGCACACACCAACAAGGCCGTGAAGGTCTTATTAGGCAAATAAGGTGAAAAACACCTGTGTGGGTGTGTTTACTTTGTGAGGCTTTGTGGCTGCGCTGAAAGACAAGCAATCACAGCAGTCTACTTGAATCAAATTGAATAATCCTGTGATTATATTTAGGAAAATGGGCAATATAATACATGATTCACACGATTCAAAATATAAAAAATGAGCAAAATTAGCAATCACCAAGTACAGGTACTGTGGAAAACACCTATTGAAGCCTGACCATTATTAGCACATCTGATGTTACATTATATCCTGTGTTTCACTCTGGGTGAAAAAGTGTATTCTGGGTTACAGTTAATGTATAGTTTAGTGTCACCAACAGCATTCAGAGGTGCACCATCATCTGAGTTTCACCATTTACAATATATATATATATATATATATATATATATATATATATATATATATATATTTTTTTTTTAATCATTTATATGTCCAGAGTTAAGTAAATGATATACTGTATTTTTCTCAGAGATTGTGCTCAAGCACATACAAATAAAAGTCATTTCATAGCCTCTGTCCACACTTTGAAAGCTGCTCAACTGTTAGTGTAAAGAAAATCTGCCCAGACAGTTTTAAAGGAGGTAAACGGGTTTTTTTCTTGTAAATTCAAAATCCCTGAACATGTAGTAATCCAGTGTAACCGTAATAGTTCAGCAGGCACCTATAATTCAATACTAATCTATTATTGTCACTACTATAACACTGAGCATAACTCGCTAACTAGCAATCCAGACAGAAATAAAGCAGCGGGTATGTGCAGAGATTACACAAAGCAGCAAACAAGAAGACACACAAAGCCTCATCTCCATGGCGATGACCGCTGCAGCAGAGAACGACATTCATTTGATGGAAGACAAATTGGAGGAAGAATGTGGACACAAATAAGATTATCAGCCTCAGCAAAAGACAACTCATGAAAAGTTGTACTCACTGTTGTAGTATCGCTATTTGTGTGTGACAGCTGACCGTAAACCACTGAATCAACAAGCAACAACGAAGCCAATGTTTATCCTGCATAAGCACTGCAGTACTTTCCTCAGCTAGCACACTGACAGAGTGCTGCGTCAATACACCTTTCATCACAGGAAACGCCTCTCTTGTGATATAAGGAGAAGAACTGGTGGAACTAAAAATGAATAATGAATATTAATGGAAGCTCTGCTCCCACTGAGGCATCGTGCACCACAACCAGGCTAAATAGAATATAGCCTTTCTCAAATGCTAGTAATTCAACCTATGGTAAGGCAAGATTATCTATAGAGGTTTAGCAATTACATTTTCACATACACTCCCCTCACCAACACCACATAAGCTGAACATTTCTTCAGTCCTTAGTTCTTGATCCTGTCACGTACATTCATCAATGATTGGTAAATGTCTGCTGTTGCCTGTATGAGTCGGAGTAACCATGGCGATTGGTGACATGCATAATGACGTAGCTGGCTGCTGTAAAAATGATTTGAAATGATTGAAAACAACTCCACAAAGTAAAGCTATTTCCATTACTGTCTGTTTTATGCAAAAAAGAAGCCACAGTAATTAGCTCAGCTTTTTGGCACATGAACATCCATGATATGCTAATGTGCATGATTTCAGTCACATTTCATAAGAAAATAGAAATGATAAAACTTGTCCGATAAAAGTTCAACATTTCCCAGTAAAACCCCATTTCCACATAATCTACAGCTGGAAAACAAGGTCCCAGATAGGTGCTTTGCATTTACACAGGCTCAGAGGTCCATTCTGGATTTTACAGCCTTCTGTGGGTGAAAATATCACAGTAGTTGGCAGAGTAAAATGTGCGGCTGATGTGCTTCAATCTGATGGTCTGATCTCTGCAGTGTCACGACTCCCTTTCTGATCAGACTGTGTGTCATCTATCTACTGTTCTGATTGGCTCTCAGCAGGTCTCTCCCAGAATCCTGTGCAGGTCCTCAGGTAGAACACGACCTTCTTCCCCACGACTCACATTTCTTACCACCCTGCGATTAAACACACACAAACACAAAAGCACAACATAAAAAGCAACTATTTTAATATAAATAATTTCGTATTTTTACTTCCAGGTTTGGCAACTCAATTCAAGACTGAATATTTCTGAAAGAAAAAAAATATTTTACCACATTCCCGACACTTCCTCGTTCAGCAGCTGGATGACATCGCCGCAGTTAAAGATGATGTCATCAGTGCTGGCCATGCTGCTCTCTACCATGACCCTGTACCTGCCCGCCACCTGGTGCAGAAAAGAAGACAAGAACAGCGCCGCCCAGATGAAGTTGAAGCGACAAATGAGCGGTCAAAGTCGAGCTCACCGGGGTTTATGCAAAACTACACCTAGTGTCGCCAACCAATGGCGCTCGTTGTGGCCTGTAAGTAACTGTTACAGCAGCACGGCAGAGTGTTGGTAAACGTAACAACACATCATTTATCCTGTGCTAATCGCGTTATGAATAGTAAACCCTCACCAGGGGGGCTGGCTGATCCTCTTCGTCCGAGTCCGATAAGTTCGAGAGGTCCGTAGCTGCACCCCAGTCCTCCAGACCCTCACAGATGGCCACCGAGTGGGCAGGAACCGGCCAGGCTGCGGGCGACAAGACGTAAAAACAGTGGTGCTGTACACTTTTTGGTCACTGATATCGACATGATTTACGTGTTTTCACTGTGAAAAGAGGACAGCCGTCACAAAGACGTATTTTAGTCTCACCGGGACGCTCGTGAAAGAGGGAAATGTAAATAAATGTGTGTTTAAATAAAAAACAAAACACTAGTCAAGTTATTGTACCGGTTCAGGGCAACAAATATTTCTAACCAGCTGGCATTAAAGTTAACACCACTAGGATCTGTAAAAAAGAAGAAAAGAAAATCATTGCCCCCAAGGGTTTAATGTCAATTATTATCTATTGTAGGTTTGAAGCATTTATTCATGCCTTACGTTTCATACATTTTATTTTGAGGGGGTTCTTTATTTCCACTCCCAACAACACAGATTTGCCCTTAAACACAATGTCACAGTTAAGTTCTGCGACGTCACTTAACATCCATCAAAGGAAGACGAACCGGTCTTTAAAACAGCAAAAGGTTTTCAAAAGAACGTTTGGGGAGTAATTTGTGTACGTAGTAAAAATGTTAAGGTGAATGCCGTGTGTGTGTGTGTGTGTGTGTGTGTGTGTGTGTGTGTGTGTGTGTGTGTGTGTGTGTGTATTTTGTGGGTAATGTCTCCCAGCAACTCACTGCGTCGAGGTGAGTGCACTATGGGCTCGGTGTGGGCGGGGCTGTGGTCTGTTGACTCCTCCCCTCGCCGCCTGTAACTTGTTGTCGAGGAGCTGTGAGGAACAGGGAGACACGCTGAGCAGCCTCCCACCGACGCTCCGCCCCACGACACACACATCTCTGATGCACTAAACCGCGTCGCCGTGGGAACGAGGCACGACGGCAACAGACGGAAACAAACACAAAAAAAACCAACAACAACAGCATCCACATGGTATCACAAAACGAGATCATTCGCATTCTGTCAATTTAAAACAGCATTCCATCAAGTTTACACATCACATATATTTCAGCGTCTGATTCAACAATCAATATCAGAGATCACTGCAATATATGGAAAAAGTACACAGTATTCTGCACACATACAAGGCCTTAATGGCATCTGCAAATAATCTGCCATCTGCCTCCCCAGAGCTCTGTTTCCAGTGAGCTGCAAACTCTTTACAGCCATTTATCACATCAGCATTTTATTTTGATCAAAAGTGCCAAATATTATTATAACCTTTTATATTTATACGGCCGACAGACTTTAATTACTTGAAAATGCTATTTGACCAGACTAGGTCATATACATAAATCGTACAAAAAGCCACATATTTTATCTTTTTGTAAGTCTCAAAAACCCAACAAAACATTCTCTGAACAGGATAGTCCCATGTATATGTATGTATAATACATATATGTATGTATAATACATATACTCAAACATCTGAGCAACATGGGCTCGTCAATTTCTCTATTCTTCTTAATGTTCCAGAAGACTAATTCCCCAAAGCAGCTGGGCGCTGTAGTTCTAAACAAATGCTTCTCCATTCATTAGAACGAGTGCATTCGGTGGGGCTTAAGACGCAGATGATCGCCCAATTAATGAGCTGCTATTTTTACAACAGCAATATGTTGTATGTGGTATCGGCCAAATAGTAGAGCGCTTGTATTCATGGTGATGGAGGAACATTGGGACATTGACGTATTATTTAGAATTCCTTTTGGACAATAGAAGAAAGTGAATGAGCTATATCAGGCTTTCTCTACATAATAAATACTTGTCAGTAGGACACGTGGATTGTTAGTTTTGATCATTTCCCTACACAATGACAATTGTGAACCTCAGACAATTCAGTCGTTTATCAAATTGATGACATGCTCGCATCAGTAGACAGAACAGTAGTTTAACTTTCAAAAACTCCACAAACACACATGCATCCCTGCCGACACTCTGTTAAAGCTCCATTTCCATACGTCCCTTGAGAACCAGTGCTCTCGATAACTAACAGTGAGTCGACGCATCTCCACCACCACACATCCGGAGGTCATAGACTGACAAAGAGAACGAATTGGAGGCCATGCGAAGTGAATCACCTGTCAGAGAGTGGGTTGTCTGAAAGTGGAAGAGAAGGAGCCTCATCTGAGAAAAGCAAAGGAACAAAGGAGACGTATTGGCAAAGCCTGACATTAATAAAAGTTTAAACTAAAATAAAATCAGGCTGTCGAAAAATGGAGGAAACATGTCATTGAATTAATTATAGCGTTAATAGAAACCTTGACACAGTTTCTGCTGGTTGGTGAGGATTCTTCGAATCTCTGTCAGCCAGGCAACTTTTACCTCCAGAGTGGAAGCCTAGACAAACACACAAAAAACACAGACCACAAGCACAAGAGGTTTATGGGAACTAACGGTACACACACCGAAAGTGATATCATAGAGAAATGAAAAGATAAAATACCTGAACTATGTACACTACTTCTCTGCCACTGTACCAGATCTCAAATTTCTTCACATCTCCTTTCACATTTTCTGTGATTCCCACTGCACTCATCTACAGAAAGATAGAAAAGGTAACTACATTTGCTGGGCAGCTGTGTTCCTCACTGACTCTTTATTCATTTATTACACTATATCACCAATAATATGCAGTACAATTCAACAAAAAGACAAGGTACGCCTCATATTGAGGGCTGTTGTATTGGGTTGCATTGGATGTAGCTGGTGCAGAGTGACTTTATGGTGTGTTGTTACTCGGAGGCAGGATTTGAAGCTGTAGAAGGGGGTCCTCTCGTGAGTGTCTTCGTCTCTGCGCTTGCAGAAGAGCAGAGCGAGGTCGTAGAGGAAGAGATGCCTCTGCATGGGTTTGAACCTGGCCAGCTCCTTCATGCGCACCGCCGCCCTCTTGTGGCTGATCCACACGCTGAAGCCTCCCTGCATCACCACTCGGCCCAGCTGGCTTAGGTCCCCCTGGGAAAGACGTGGAAGGAGGAACTCAACCAACATGTGAGAAATTCATCACACAAAACACAACATTTGTTTTTCGACTCCCCAACGCGTGCATGTATTGTTGGTATACCTGGTATCCGGTGATGGCTATCTGATGCATGGAGTCGTTGACAGACTTCAGCAGCTCGAGCATGGAGTCCAGAGCCTGCTGCAGTTCACAGCGGTATCGCTCCTCCGTACAGTGCTTCAACAGCTCCTGACCCAAGACAGGGACACGGGAGGACAGGTCAGTGGTTTACAGGGTAACTAATCTTATCTGCGGGCGTAGATGTTGTTGTGTATGTGATTTGCCGTGGGTAGAAATGTCTCCATTGCTTGGGTCTCTGTGCCATTGACCCTTTGTCCAGCTGATTGCAGGCAACCAATTATACGTAATGTTATGTGATGTTAGCATTTGGCTGGCATGGGTCCTCTTGTAGGCAATATGATTGTGTTTATTAAATATATATATAGACCGGAACTTTGAAATGCAAACAGACTTTGCAGCAAAGAGACGCTCTGCTAATCAAGAGTTGCTAATTTCCTGAATCAGGTTTTGTATCAAGGCAGCAAAATCTTCATTTTAGGGTTTTCTGAAAAACCCCACAGGTAAGCTAAAAACAATTTGCCTTCACCGCAAATTGCAATAGCACCTAAAATCTAGATCTCTTCGGCGGGCAAGTGATTGTCTGATGCTGCGGCTCTGACTCAGATGCACCAAACCTTGAGGAGCAGTTGGTACTTGGTGAGTCGTTGGACTGGTTTTAGGAGGTAAGAGTCCAGACCTAGCTTGTGGTCCAGCTTCTTCTGGCACTCCTGCAGAGTGAGAGCAAGAGGTTTTACTAAACGAACAAGGCATAATTGAAAAAACATCATCGGGTTCTAAAACAACAGATTTAAGAACAATCTTTATATTAAGTCTACTGTCAACACGTCCTGAAGACTTTTATTTTATGATCATGTTGCAATGAGTGGAATCATGAATCACACACACACGGTATGTAACTACCTTAAAGAAGGGTGAGTCGGAGCACTGTCTCCATAGCAACTCAGAACAGGGCTTGTTCTGGCAGTAGCGCTCATACACCTGGAACTTCACTTTCTGCCCACACAAACACATGTACGATTCGATATTTAATGTCGCACCGCTTCACATAAAGTTCCAATGATTCTCCTCGTGGTTTCTTTACCCGTTGCAGGAAGCAAGTCCCCGCCCTCTCTGGTGTCTCCAGGCAACCCTGCAAATCTTGGAGGAAGATCCTAAATGGAGAGGAAAACAAAAGGAAATTGGATTTGCATGAAAACAACTCTCTGACAGCTTGCGTGTGTGTGTGTGTGTGTGTGTGTGTGTGTGTGTGTGTGTGTGTGTGTGTGTGTGTGTGTGTGTGTGTGTGTGTGTGTGTGTGTGTGTGTGAGAGTTGCCTGCTGTGGAACTGGTAAATCTCTGGCATGTTGCCAAAGAGAACGTCCTTTTGACTGCGTAGAGCTGAAGGAAGAAGATTAGATACGGATGGGTCTTCCATTTCTGCCCTGTAGCCCTGAGGAGACGGGAGAGGAGATTTAAAAAAAAAAAACCGATGACATGACCAGAGAACTTAAAAACAGGAAACGCAAAATGCTGTGAACGTAACCTGAAATCAACTCACCAGAAGGACAGAGAGCAGCTCGTCCACGTAGATCCTCTCTGTAGCTATCAGCTCCTTCATGATGTGACTAGTAAAAGTCAGAATAAGAGAAGAAATTAGGAAAAGATGATCGACGTCTTAGCACTACGCGCACTGCAACCGTGGCAAAAGAACAAGGCATACAAATAGGAGGGGAAATCAGAGTAAAAGGTCCAGCTTTTTTTTTTCAGAGATTGCGTACCGTGAGACCTGTTCTGGATTGTCTTCTGCCTCTGAATCGGTTTCCGTGGTGGAGCCATACAGGCAGCTGCGGTTGCCTTGGAAGTCATGCATAACCTCGATCTGACAAAACACACCACATGTTTTGTCAGCTTGAAGCCTCGGACACATTAGTGAAGTGGGCATATTTTTATTAATACCGTTATGCCGTTAAACTTTGCTCATTTACACTAAACACAGGGGGGAGTATCATTAGTTTTGCAGGAATCATAAACCAAAGCATCACATATATTGGACAAACTCAAGTAGTTGAAGTAATGATAGCGCTCGATGACAAGGAATAGCGTTATTACAATTCCCCCTAAAGTCTGTGCGAATGTGTGGACCAAAATTCTAAACAACTTATTCAATAGTTGTTTTGCTCTAAAACACAAGCGTGGACCTACTGGTTACACAGGAATCAAAACCATTAGGATTGATCCTCTGAGGACCATGAATGTCTGTACAAAATGTAATTGCAATCCATTTTACGGGTGGCTTAAAACACTCACACACCTTGCGTTGGTTGTTGTTCCTCCTCGCGGCTCTTTTGCCGGGTAGCAAGTCAAAGGAGAACTTGGAGTTCAGAACGTTGAAGTCTACGCCTGCGGGGAGAATCACGGATGCACACATATTCGACTAGCGATAGTTGAGCAAAGACGAAATGCACACTAAATACTGTACATTGGGTGTGTAATAGAAAACCAACCATGGTTCTACATGTCAAATGCAACGATGGTGAGAGGAGAAGTGGGACTTATAAGGAGTGAAGTTAAGATAACTGTATCATAATATAATACTATAGTGAGAAATAATCCAAACCATGAAAGCAAATCCATAGTGCAAAAATAAGTGCAGCAAAGCAGTTTAGGCAATAGATGAGGAGCAGTGGAGGGGGGGGGGGTCGTACCATGTTTGGGGGAGAAGAGGGGTGACTTGCAGCGCTGCGAGGCCTGGTCGGGTTCAGGCCTCGGGGCCACCAGCTGAATCGGTCTGACTTGTACGTCCGCCAGCTTCCTCCGACACTGCTCCCGGTTTCTGATCATCGACTGCACGGCGCTCAGCTTCTCTGTCACCGTGGCGATTTGGGACTAGAACGAAAAGAGGCGTAAAGCGAGCGGAGGGGCGGATCAGCTGGCATTGGTGTTCAGCAGCGGGAGGTTACCTGCAGCTGCGGGGTGAGTATGCCCTCAAACTCCAGGCTTAGAATGTCCTGGCTGTTTTTCAGTGCAGATGGCGCCCTCTCCTGGTGGCAGCTCAGGTACTGCAGTGCCTCCTGGGCACCTTCCCTGGTTTGGAACTTGTCGACCATCTGGCTGGCCAGGAGATAGGCGCCGTCGTCACACCACCGAAGGGCCTGCACACACGCAGACACACACAAGCATCATGCTTTTCTTGCTCAAACTTGCAGGGGGAAAAAAGAGCGAGCAAAACAAAACATGCACAAGTCTTATTTATTTGTTTGCCGTGACAGAAATTTTACCCCTTCAAGTCGGAGCAGCAGGTCTCGCGCTCGGGTAAGCGAGGCCCGCTTGGTGCGTATGGCGGCAGTGATGATGTCACAGTGATGTCGCAGCTCGTTGCAGCGCTGGACGATGAGCGCCAGGGCGTAATGGTGGCTGGCGGCCAACTGGTGGCCGTGCAGGATCACCACCTGGGCACGGGCCATCTCCTCCTGAGACAAAGACAAAGACATGAAGCTTTAAACTGGTTTTCATGTCCCCACAAAAGGTCTTCATGACAATCATGGTTGTCTGTAACCGGATTCAATAGGAAGGTTTTTCTGTTTTTGGAGGCAAACCCAGAATCAAACATCACACTGATGACCTCGACAAAAAGCCAATGGGATTTTTTCTTTGGATTTTTGATTATTGCAGTAAATTAACTGAGATATTCTTATACATTTTGTCCGGAAACATAATCTTCATAGACAACCGTCACTTTTAATGACGTGAAAACCTGACCTTATAAACTAATGACACTACGTCAGATAAGCTTGTAAACACAACGGGGCTGTGAAGGCGCCCTGTAGTCTTTCTAATGGGAAATGTATTTTTAAAAAATAAAACAGAGGAGCAAAAAATGCTGACTCATTTCTGGTTATTAATTGAACTGTTCCCTCACTGCTACACAGCATTCTGCTCTCGACACTTCAGACTGTGATCGTGCGCTTGTTGTGTGACTTTTGTTTGTGACCTGAGCGTGTGTGTCCAGCATCTCCAGGTCCGTCAGCAGCTGTGAAGTCTGAACCACCGTGGTCCCCACGGAGGCAATGTCTATCTCCTGTTTACCGATTCTCTCCAGTACCTCCTCCATCTACACACACACACACACACACACACACACACACACAGTTAACTGTCACAGCAGTGCAACGTGCAGCCAGGGTTAATATGACAGACACCAATCATCTCGCCTGCTGAAAGCTCATTTCGTAGTGCAGCAGCTGGAGGTACTGCTGCATCTTCAGGTGGTGTTTTTCAAAGAAGCCATCGAACGCCTCCTCCATGTCTCTGAGCTGGGCGAGGAGTCTGAAACACACACACACAAAGACACACAGACTTGTTCACGACTTCTGTCAGGACTATCTCTACTTATTTTAAGTTGTCTCGTGCCAAAGCCATTTCTCTGCAGAAGCTGCACCTTTGAACAGTGTCCATGTCTGATTTCAGGTCCCTCTCCTCCTCTGCGTCTCTCTTAGAGGCCTTAACAGTCTCCAGGTTCACAAGCAGCAGCCTCCCTTCTTTCTGCACGCTCCGGATGTCGTCCTGAAACAAGAAGCAAAAGAGAAATTAAATCCAAAAGCACTGGCAGACACAGAGATACAGAGCGAGGGAGGAACGAGTGGAGAGGCCGGGGGTGGGGAGGGGGGGGGGGGGGGGGGGTGACCTTCCTCTGTCCGTATCGGTGCGTGTGGGAGTGCAGAAGGGACTCGAGGGCTTGGCTTCCTCCGGGAGTTCCGTCTCAAAAACTCCGATCCAAGGGCTGGCAGCAGCTGGGCCATCTCCTTCACCGTCACTGCGAAGGTCTCGATGGCCTGCACGCACACACACACACACACACACACACACCCATCACACACACTTCTAATTCAAATTGAGTAGTTTTAGCCAAATTATCACAAGAAGAAAAATAAAGCTCCTCTGAATATTATTTTCAGGGAGGTAGTAACGTGTGCAAACATGGATTTATACATATTTCACGTCTTTGTATTCGTATTGACATGGGACAGAAGAAGGTACCGTTCGGAGGACGACCCAGTCACTCTGGCAGTATTCCACTTTGGCCGTGAAGTCTGTTGTCAGGTGGTTTTCATCGATGTATCGCAGCAGGTCACCGACTGAACGCAGCATCACCACCTAAAATCCAGTCAAACGTCATCATGTTTCATACTTTTTCTGTTTGTCAGCGTGTAGTTAGAGGAAAGAGGAGAAGAGCATCTACTGCTTCTCAAAATGGACACAGGAAGAGTGTGTGTGGAGTGGAGTGGAGACGGGATTGTGCTGAGCCCGGGTGAATAAAGTCGAGTCATGTGAAGAAAGAAATCCCTCTGTCCTTCTCACCGGCATCTTCAACAGGAAGTCATCCTGGCTGAAGCGGAAGCCCAGGTCAGTGCTGGAAGACGGACTGGGGGCCGAGCTAAACAAGCCGGTGGGGCGGAGCACCAACACCAAGTGCAGATTCCCTGGAAATGAAGTCTGAAGAAGGAATTGGGAATCAGGAACATTTATCACCAAATGTTATGTTATTCATCCATGCATCATTAGATAATTAGACACATAAACCATGGATTCCTTCAGGGGAAACATGCAATGTGCCAGACTGACGTCTGTGTTTTCATCCTCTGGTTACGGCACAGGATGAGAGGAGTCGTGCAGTCAGTCAGAGGTGTCGTAGGAAAGCTCAACACAGCATCAGCACCTCTCTCCGTGTCGATCGGGGAGAAGCTCTCTGACAGTCAGCTCCTCCCACAGGCTCCCTCGTCACTCTCCTTCACGCTGAGGAGCCTCGCATGGACTCCCTCTTCTGCCTGAGCTGTGTTATCATTATTGCTATTTACACAACATGTCCATGTTTGTGTTTACCTGCGTATTGAGCACAGTGGCGCGATGACCAAATGTCTCACATTACTTGCAGTTGTGTGCGGTTGACAGTACCGCAAACTTGACGACGACTGCGCAGAGTAACAATCACGATGAGGACTCTTTCCTCACCTTTTAGCCCAAACTCCTCTCCTCAGAATACCCGCTGTCCACCCCACATGTATTATTCATCAGCACAGATCCAACAGTCTGAGGAATCACTGACACTATTTCACCAGGAGGGAAGGTGCACTGCACCTATGTGGTAACGGGTAAATGGACTGTGCTTGTTTAGCGCTTTTTAGTCTTCTGACCACTCAAAGCGCTTTAAATCTTCACCCACACTGATGACAGGAGCTCCAATACACAGTGACATCCCAGAAACTAACATTCACACTACAGGAGCAATGTTGTGGTTAAGCGTCTTGCCCAAGGACAAAGGTTAGCAGGGGGGGGGCGGGGACGGCCATGCTGTCCACTCACCCACAGTCGCCCACGTGCACCTTCACCTGTGCTCTAATACTCACAACTTTTATACTGTAAACTGCTGACCTCACAAAAACACAGAGACGCGTTTCGCCTCCAATTCACACGGGCCTTCATTTCTACAGCAGCCTTTTCATAGCAAAGTCATCCGTCGCCAATATGAACCCATCCTCCTCATAGCTTTTATTGGACGATAGCATTCCAACAAGGAGATGGTGGGCATCAATGTTTTTTTTCACACATATTCCCCAAATCTGTTACATAACTTAAAAACTCTCCAGGCTACACTGCAGTGCCAGAGCATGCTGCTCTGTATACCTGCAGTCACACACACACACACACACACACACACACACACACACACACACACACACCGCGTTTGTCATTGTCCTGCACACAGCCTCTAAACATTTAAGTGCGATCTGCATCGGACCATCGGATCTCTGCGCCGAGAGGCGATATCAATCTCTGGATGCAGTTTGCGCTTCTCCAAGCACAGTGTCGCAGTGGTGAACCGCAGTTCTCAGTGTGTGTGTGTGTGTCTCTGCTGCAGTGTCCTCGCCGCCCCGTTCAGAGCATCTCTCCCCCCCCCTCACCCACTCCTCGCTGCCCCGAGCGGTGCTTACCGCGGCCCGGCGCAGACGGGGAAACCCCCGTAGCGGGTTGGACTCGGCCATGGCTTTCGGCGCTTTCCCCGGTTCCTCCTCCCCTCCTCCCCCTCGTCCCCTCTCCTCTCCTCCCCGAAGTCAGCAGCGGGGCGTCGGTGTCGGTTGGAGCGACGGGACGGTGTAACCTCCGCTGACTGCAGTGTCCGGGCGGGCCGAGCGGCGCGCCGCGAGTGCGCACCTCAGCAGGCGCAATGCTCCTCCGGACCGGCGGGGGGGATGAGGGGGGATGATGAGGGGAGTTATGGTCCTCCTACCTGACGTCAAAGCCCAAATAAGTTTGTCGCTCCGCAGCTGCACAGATGTCCATCTCCTTAGTCAACGGGCCAATAAGCGAGGATAGAATTGGGTTTGCGGGGTGATTTCGTGGTATTCATATTTTAGGACTCTCGGCTCTGGGACGAGCTGTCTGAACCGTTTATTAACTTGAGGATTGTTATGTGTAGTTGCTAAATCGGGACACGTAGGCTATGAAGCACTAGTGGGACCAGAAGGGAAAAGAGAGATTGTACCTCCGGATTTATTTCACTGGATCCGCTAGATGGCGCTCGACGCTCTTTAGATTTGAACCCAGCTCTGGATCCACTTGTTCTAATGTCATAAGTTATGAGACAGTAAAACCGCCAAAGCTCTGAGACCACAACCTAAATCCAAGAAAACCTTCCAAATCCTGTATAACGTTGAATAAACGTAACTATTCAAGCAGTAAACGCAAAAGATCCTCTTTAAAATCATCATTTTAATTCTAATACGAGTGTAGCAGTGAACCAATGTGTTTGATCACGCCTGTGAGGGTCTGATACCGTTATCATGGACAACGGCTTCATCAGATGTAGTGTTATTTAAAGGCGTCCTGTGGGAATTGTCTATTGGCGTCCCTTGAACGCAGTTGCCGAAAAACAGTCCAGTGTGCCATTAACAGTATATACAGCAGTCAAAGTCAGAGACACCCAGAAATGTCCTAACACACTAATACAGAGTCCCTGCAGATACAGACGCCACTACGCACTTTTAGAGGTTCATAAAATGAGAGGTGAGAAGTATTATTTGTTATTAATGTCAGTGTGTAGGAAATTCACCTCTTTGTCTTGACCATCTTTCTTGCCCTAAATGTCAGTTTCAGTTCAAGTTTTTCCACTATTTTGATTTAATTCTGCAGATTTGTTACACTGGTTCTAAACAACATGTTGTGATATCACGACACGTTGTCATTATGTTAGCATCGCTTTCCATTTGTGCGTAATTGTTTGTCGGTTGGTGACGTGCTCCTCGGGGAGATCCTGCACAGGGAATCACCTTGTCACACTGCGTTTGGCTCTGTGCGAGCCAGAGAAGCCGCGCTATTTCCAGGAAACTAATTGCTCCACAGACAAAACAGTGATTAGAACGGAGGGCTGTGACTCGTTCTAATAATACCTGACCCTACTCGTGTTTTGTTTTTCCTCCTTATGCACTGTGTTGTCTAAGGCAAGAAATAACCACACGTATAAATCAACTGCTATATTGTGTGAACTCGCACCTCGGTGCATTTGCAACACAGCGACCCATTGTCCGCTTTACTCATGTCTTAATAACAAATTATGATTTTAATACATTTTATGATTTGATCTTTTTAGGAATAGTTTTAATCCAAAAAACAATTTGAACCATTCATTTGCCAACAAGTCTCTGGCCCTCATTTGTCACATCGTCATGAAATATGCTGTCATTTCAGCCCTTTTCCAAGACACTAATGCTACGACAGAACTAATTAATCGGTGGGAAAACTTTGATTTCTTTGATGAGATGTTGAATAGACTTTGACCTTCGGACTAAGCTTGTTAGAATCGATCTGTTGAAGAATTTGCGGGGTTTCAAAGGTCAAAGGGGAATTATGCTGGTGACCCCTGACACCTTCATGAGACACTGTTGAATAAGTCAGCTTAGTGTGACTTTGCCGCCGATGCTCCCATCATCCACACCATAATAAGACTCGGAGCCCTTAATCTGCTGAGATCAGATTGGAATACTGATAATCTCCACACTGCTCCACAAGTACCAACAAATATTATATGCCTTTTATTTGTGCTGTTTCCCCGTTGTTTTACAATGTAAAACAATTACGTTTTAAAGCAGATTTGTAGATCCCTTGAGAAGAATATCTGGCGAACTGGAGAAAAAAGCTTTTGTTCACTATTGTATATTTTCGGGTTAAATAAACCTCCCTTTGTCATCTTTTGGCTGGAGAATCGTGTTGGACATTTGTTAATTGATAAACTTTGTGATCACGTGCAGTCAAAGGCAAAAAAATGTTCTAAGCATAAAGCAATAAAGGAATTTTCTTTCAAATACAACATCAACATATCTTGCAAAACATGAAACCGGACAGCTTAAAACCCCCAGAAGCCCTCTGTGGTCAAATAACCTTCATTTGCACTGGCCTTGAACTCAGTCACCCTGAGCATTTCCAAATTAAAGGCGCGTTGGACTTTGTGGACGTGCGAAAGGGATTATCGGCCTAACTACTACCGCAGACACGTGGCGACCATGTTGTTGTATGTTTGTCCCTATGATTTAGCAAACCCTTTGTAGTCCAAAAAAAGGGATGCACTGATGAGTTAACCGGATTATGCAGCAGGCATCCACAGCAATAATGGAAGAGTTAAGCCGAATGATGCTCAGCGAGAGACACCCCATATAAAAGGGCAGAGCAGCGATTGCAGAACGCACTCCCCCTCTGACACACTTTACCAAGACGACTGAGAACAGGTAAGACTTCTTCTTTATGATGGATGGATGGATGCATAGATCCATTTAGCCTTGTTACTTATGTTCACATGTTGCTGTTGCCCTTAGTCAATTCGAGGCACGATTTCACTCCTTTGATAGAATACGCTTATGAAAAAATGACATGGGCTCATATCTGAAGGATAAAGTGTTGCGACAGAAACTTAACCTATTTCAAGCTGAAAGCAGTGTTGTGTTAACTCCTTTGGAGATAACATACATTACATACATAACAACATTGGCTTTACTCATCCTAATTGAATCCTACTCCTCCGTCTCTCACATCATACGATTTCCTAAACGAGAGTTGCTAAGCGTTGACCCTTAATGGTTGATGGAGGGTTTGCGTGTTAATGTGCTGATCTAGCAGAATGACTACAGGCAGAACACCACTGCAACCCCTGATGTCAGCTGGACTGATATCAAATGTCAATCATGAAAAGAATTCCGCTGTGTGAAATACAGATACAAGACACAACTCGCAGCCACTTTATCCGTTGACAACAGCCTAGTAAGGCGCGACGCGTAATCACAAGATCAGCAAGCGATCCTGCTTCTCGCCACCTGCGCGTGGAAGCGTCTTTGAGCCAAACACTGAACCACGAGCTGCTCCCCGGGCGCTCGGCAGCTTCCCGCCGGCCCTACGTGAGGATTGGTTACATGTAGAAGTCTATTTGCTCCTACTTTTAAACATATATATCTGCACTGACATTAAGGTTACGTTTCAAGTGTGTTAAACTGATGTAACTGGGAAAGAGGAAATATAAACTATTATTTATGTAATAGTAATAGTTCTTGATGGTTTTAACAAAGTAATGATTTGGTTCTTGCAGCAGTGAGCCGGTAAGCATTTTATGCATATTTCACAGTTGTCCTTGAGTGATGCACCTGAGCAGTATCTCTCCATGATGCTGAAATGCACATGCGACCCTTGTTCCTGAATTCACGTTGTTGGTTTGGAAACCAAGCAGTCTCTGTGTTTTCCTGCACAGGAAAGTCTGTTTGGCTTTGCGCTGGTACTGAATATTAAGTAAAGGGAATAGGACCAAACAGTCTCCAAGCGACAGATGATATGAGAAGCTAGAAAAAACGGTTCCGTCATGAAGGAGCAACAATTAACCAGGTTCAAACGGCCCACTTGACCTTTCTGTGGTAATCCTTGTTATATGGTTATAGAGAGCTAAAGTTAGTGTTCAAATAAGTCCATTTATACTACAGCAAGTTACTGAACAGGTTTTATCCTTTTGACTGTCCTTGAACAGTCCAAACAGCAGCCGTTGGCCCCGTTGGTGCGTTTGAGGGGAACACCGTGCGACATAATCGCGTGACGTGTAGCCCTTTACACGGATGCTGTAATCTTATCGCCAAGGATTAACCTTATAAACCCTCGAAACAAATCAGAAATCCAGTCCGTACAGACAGTGGATGTGGGATCAATCAATGTCTTAATGACATTATCATCTGACCTCCTATTCATACTGTGACCTCGTACTAACCTAAAGTCCCTTATTTCTTTTGTTTTTCCTTTGAACAGAACACTTGCAGAAATGGCAAAGTAAGTGTTGTTTTTGTTGTGTGCTTTCCTTTCCCTTAAGGTATCCTTCAGCTTTACCTGCTTAGAGCAACCAAAATTATAGTGATTATTAACGAAAGAAATCTTTAGAATGTTACACCAGGGGTTTAAATTGGAAATTTGGAGTTACAGTTAAGTTACGGACTTTGACCCGGGTCACCCTACCCCTAGAATTGCCAAATAATTTTAAAGTATTTATCTAAGGTTTGCAAAAGCTGAGTTGTTTGAGGCGTGGTTGAGATCAGGTTGAGAGGTGGTCACAGGTAATCAGCTATTACGGAATCCTGCCACACCATTTGTAGCTCACCTTGGCCAGCCTTTCAATCCGGGCGCGGTGAGGTAAAGCTGCTTCCCAATTAGCTGCTCTTAACTGGATAAAGGGGAATGATGGATTACTGACCCTTCTGGTGCTTGCAAAGGAACAAACATCACTTCTCAGAGTCTCAAAACTAATCAATGTATTATCTGGTCAATCAAGACAGTAACTCAGTTACAATACGAAGCAACTTACATGTTGACTGTTCTATTCAAAAACTATAGTTCTGCAGCTACATAATCAAATACAAATAGTAAAATAGTAATATGACAATATTAATGATAAATGAACATTATATTAAAGTGATGTTTCTCTTTTTATTAAAGGGTTTTCAAGAAGACCAGTAAAAGTGGAGGGGTAAGTTGCCGTTTTCATAAATATTGTAATTTTAAAATGTTTTTCATGAATGGAAAATGAAACACTCAACTGTTCCCCTTTGCTGTGACAGCTGACCCTGTGCCTGGGGAAGAGAGACTATGTGGACCACATGTCCAAAGTGGACCAAGTTGGTACGTTGGCTCTTCAATGCATGTTTGTGTGCGTGCGCGGCAGCTCGGGGAGGCTGATACATATATAATATCGTCTGCACTTTTACATGAACAGATGGCGTGGTCAAGCTGGACACATCAGAGTTTGGAAGCAGGAAAGGTAACATCATCCGCAACATTACGGTGCTTCAAACCCACTATCAAACCGAGTCATGCAGGAGATGCAGGACACCGTAGTGAGATAATGAATTGTGTGTCGACAGTGTTTGTGCAGCTGGCATGTGCCTTCCGCTACGGTAGTGACGACCTGGATGTGATGGGCCTGTGCTTCAGGAAGGACATCTGGATCCATCAGGTCCAGATCTACCCAGAGAGCCACAAGCCCACTCTGACCGACATGCACAACACTCTGATGAAGAAGTGCGGAGACAACTCTTACCCTTTCTCCTTTGAGGTATGACATCACGCAGACACAAGCGTACATTCTGCTCACGTTGATTGTTGAGCGTTGGTTATTTTACAAAAGGCTCCACACAGGCACATTATGCCCGCTTTAAATTCACGTGACAATTTATGGAATCATTAAAAAGGCCCAAAAATATTGCCCGAACTTTCACAACTATTTCCTATTAAGTGTTTTAGCTGCGTATTCTTTATTCTTTGTGCAGATAAAGCTAACGCCTCTTCTTTGTCCCTCTAGATTCCCAACAACCTGCCATGCTCCATCTCTCTGCAGCCCGGACCAGAAGACAAGGGGAAGGTGAACCTCACGCCAACATGCAAACACCGCCCACCTCTCTGTGCACGGGGCTGCAGTGTGCAATGCGGGCACGCTCGCGTTTGTGGTCGCTAACGTGTCATATTTGCTTCGCAGTCTTGCGGCGTTGACTTTGAGGTGAAAGCGTACCTCGCCAACGACAAGTGCAACCCCGACGAAACAATTGACAAGAAGTGAGCATGTTTCCGTTCTGTCATCGCCACCTTGCAAACGTTTGCCGTGTTACTCGTTCTGAATATTCGTTGTCTCATTCGTCCTCTCAGGGACACCGCTCGCCTTATCATTCGTAAAATCCAGTACGCCCCGGCCCAGGTGGGCGCCGGGCCCAAGGCTGATATCTGCAAGGGCTTCATGATGTCCGACAAGCCCGTTCACCTCGAGGCCTCTTTGGAGAAAGATGTACAGTAGCAAAACTTTAGAGAGTAGCGGTTTAGAGAGTTTTCTTAAATGTTTGTCAGTGGTTTCCGGGTGACTTGCTGACTTTATTTACTGTACTTCTATTCCCCACCATTGACTGGTTCTTTCCTGGTTTGGACCACAGCTCTACTTCCACGGCGAAAACATCCCAATCAAAATCAAAATCAACAACGAGACCAACAAAACTGTTAAGAAATTCAGTATTACCGGTAAGAAAAACACAGTTTTTCTACAGACGTAAAATGTCTTACTGAGAGCAAAATGCAATAATCTGTTTCCTTCTTTAGTGGAGCAAACCACAGACATCGTCCTCTACTCTGCAGACAAATACTCCAAGCCTGTTTTCAACCAGGAGTTTGGGTAGGTGGACAGAAAACTGAGACTCACAGTAAACGTAGTCTTCCAAAGCCAAGCATGCAGGTTCACATCTTCCTGTGTGCCTGATTGTGTTTAATCCTCCGCAGAGAGACAGTGGACCCCAACAGCACCTACGAAAGCACTTTGAGCATCACCCCCGTGCTGGCTGAAAACAAGGAAAAAAGGGGACTGGCACTGGACGGACGACTGAAGGACGAGGACACTAACTTGGCCTCCACCACTATGTGAGTGCAGCGATGGAGCAGACAGGGCTGCGTTCATGTACTTTGAGTAACTTTTCTCGTTTGTCCGGTCTTATCTTTTATTTTTTAAATAACACTTCACTTTAATGTAATTCCCCGTAGGCTGCGGCCGGGTGTTGAAAAAGATGTGTTGGGCATCCTGGTTTCCTACAAGATTAAAATTAACCTCATGGTGGCCGGAGGAGGGTGAGTGATTCATCCTATTGAGATATCTTGTTCATAGAAACCTTGGAAACCTGGGAAGGAAAGAAGGGAAATAAACTTAAACTAACTCTGTCTTGTCTTCCCGTAGCCTGCTGGGCGGCCTCACTTCCAGGTGAGTGAAGGTTTATTTACAGTCATAGCAAAGCTCGTGCTTGCCGGGATCGTGAATCTCCTGTATTGATCCGATTGGTTGTGTTTTATCTCTGCAGTGATGTCACAGTGGAGCTGCCGTTGCAGCTCATGCACCCCAAACCTGAAGGTGATTTTTAATAACTCAGATTAAAGATTATCTCGCTAATACCAGTGCATCTAATAACATCTTCTGACCCTTCTCTTTTCTCTCTTTCACAAAAACCCACCTAACAAACTGATCAGAGTAAAGGCTCAACATCAGTGTAAGAACCACATCCCTTTTTAATTGTATTTTTGGTGATATCACCTAGAAATCATAGTGTTCCGATTTACTGTATAAATTCCCGAGTAGGAAAAACATTTTGGTATTTATTTGAGGAATTATTGCATAAATGATTGTTTAAATGTTTTTCTGATGCAGTATCTTGTAACCAGTCAGTGTGAGGTTCATATAAGTTGAGTTCAGTTAAGGTGGACAAAAACCTGAGAAGATTATTTGTCTCAAATTGTGTTATTTTTGTCCACATAGAACATGAGTTTTGAACGTCTCTTTGCGTTTGCTTCTTCCCAGAGAGGATGTTACCCTGGAGGTTGAAAAGAAACCCGGAGAAAGACAGGAAGGCGACAAGCGGAAGTAACACAAAACAAAGAAGAAGAATGATGTGACTGATGAAATTAACTCATATTAAACAATAACAAAGCAACTTAAGTTGATTCTCTTTTGACCCCTCACAGATTTTGTTCTTATTGTTTTTGTTGTTTGATTAAATCAATTAGTTGTAGACTAGGTATTCTGTTAGATAGTCCCCGACATTTAGACACCAAAGACTTCCGTACCTACATAAAAAACTAGAATCCTTTTCCCCTTACTTCAGAGTACCGGTGGAGTAATCCGGGAACTCAGTTGGAAGCCTGTAAAAGCCGCCATGCTTTGGACGACGGTGGTCTCTTCGTGTTTTTAAACGGCTCTATTCCCTTTCTGTAAAATGTGTCAGATTTGGATTTTGATGCCAGGTCCAATAACCCATAGTAAAATAAAACTATTGTAAAAACAAAATTGTTGTGGTGTAAGTTTTGTTTATCTTCCTGTCTTTGTTGATGTTGTTGTTTATTTTTCTATTTTTTTGCCTGTGAGATAACAGCACCTTCCTGGATTTAACTGGTATTTGTTTTATCTATTAGGTTGATAGCATCAACCGTGTGCTAATTCACTTGGACGGACGACTGAATTCACACACACACACACACACACACACACACACACACACACACACACACACACACACACACACACACAAATTTGCAATCTAAAAAGTGTCACAGCATATTTTGGTGCTTTCCCTTCTTCTTCATATCAATATGGCATATTACAAAATGAATCTCTTGTCTTATTATTTGTATCTGTTTAAATGTTATTGGTTGCAGAGGATTGATGCGCTCACTGGGCTAGGAACACTAGGAACTGTATACTTATTTTATTATCTTAGTCTGTTTCTCACCTTGGAGGGTAATGGTGGAAGGCCAGTGCATCAAACAGCTTACCTGAAAGCCCTATATGTGACTTAATGCAGTGCAATTTTCAGTTATAATAATATATATATATATATATATATATATATATATATATATATATATATATATATATAAAATAGACTGTTCCATAAATCGTCATATTTATAACCAATATAGTGTAATACATATCATGTGGCATATATTAGGACATAATAAAATAAATAAATAATATACTCGAAAATGATCTTCTATGAATTAGCTATAATCAAAAACATCCAAAAGGAGATACACGTGGTCACAAATCATCTTTAATTAAGGATTCATTTTTTGAGGAATTTAGAGGCACTGCGGTTCAGATATATCTACACATTTAGGCTAGTAGAGGCCAGTTTAAAAAAATAAAAGTAGGCAGTGGGAGACTCCAGGAGGGGCAGCAGTGCACTGTTAAGGAGGCGGACTGCCGGACGAAGAAGAAGCAGCTCTGACGTCATCACGTAGAACGTGCAGCACTGAAGCAACATGGCTCTGAACGGAGGTTGGTGAAGTTATGATCTTATAAGCAAGCGAACTTTGACATGTATAAAGTTTACCGGTGCTATTTCCAATAAAGTAATTTGTCGCACGTGTGCTCGTTGGTTAACGTGTATAGTTTTATTTTTACTTTAAGTGTTCGTTGGCTGACGTGCAGGCGATGTTAGCCGGGTTGGTTTGCTAACGTTAGCTAGCTTATCATCATGTTCTAGCAAAGCACTGCGGCAGTCCTTAACACATTTTTTAAATATTCTAATATGTGCAAAAGTCTTGTAAAGTCGCATTGCTACATTTGAAAAGGGGCTAAAAGACAGTCAACAGACACACACGTTACAGCAGTATTTGTCCTAACGGCAAAAACGCTTTGAATTGTGTGAGCAGTGGAATTAAAGCAACACTTTTGTCACTGACTCCAGATGACAAAGACTTTGACTGGGAGCCTCCGACCGAGGCCGAGATGAAGGTGATCCAGGCTCGCAGGGATCGACAAGACAAAATCAGCAAGCTGATGGGAGACTACCTGCTCAAAGGGTTCAGGATGCTGGGAGAGTGCTGCGATGTGTGTGGGGTGAGTGAAGGTTGACTTTTGCTCTGTGGGCCGTAGTCGCCTCGATAATGTTGTAAAGACGGAGTCGTCCATCATGCGTGTTGAACCGCGTTTTCTTTTTCTGTTTCCAGACAATCCTTCTCCAGGACAAACAGCATAAAAACTACTGCGTCTCATGTCAGGAGCTGGACTCTGATGTTGACAAGGACAATCCTGGTACACGCACCTATATTTAATGCACACGAGTAATAAATATACACCCAACGTCTCCTTATTTCATGGCTGCTCCTCTCCCTCTGCTTGTCCCAGTCTTACCCTTTTTCTCCTGTTTTTTTTTTCGTGTGCTCCCGTCAGCTCTGAATGCACAGGCAGCGTTGTCCCAAGTGAGGGAGAGACAGCTCGCAGCCCAGTCCACTGCACCGTCCCAGGCCCCGGAACTCAACGGAGGCCCCAGCAGCAGCAGTCAGGCAAGTGTGTTGGTTCCTCTGCCCAGGCCGGAGCACTGCGAGGGGGCTGCAGCAGGGGGGCGAGCTCTCCTGCCTCCACCTGCTATCCCTTCTCCTGCCCCTCTTCCCCCCACCCCTGCTCTGGCCCCTCCTCGACCCCCGGTGGTCCCACAGAACCCGCCCCTTCAATCTATGTTGCAAGAAGCTGAGGAGGCCGTTCTGATCAAACTTCGGTGGGCCACGAACCAGCTGCAGAGTTCGGCCTCGCTGGAATCAAGTATCCAGCTGTGCAGCCTTATCACCAGCTGTGCCAACTCGCTGCGCAGCCTCAAGGAGCTCAGCCAGTAACCAGCATGGCGAAGGCTGGAACCCTGGAGCGCTGTTTCTACTTCTCCTGGAATACTGACTCTGGTCAACTGCTTTGCAGCATCTCTTTGACTGACTCCTTGCATAGAACTGAATTTAAAATTGGTCAGCAAATGCACTCAAAACAAGATTTAAAATGTCATAGGTTCACAAGCTGCTCTCAAGTTGGCGTACTTCCATGGCTGAGAGAAATGTTGTGTTCCGTTGCTTCTGAAAATGTCCAAGCACACATGTTTGAACATTTGACAATTTGTAAGTTAGGGTATGTACCCATCATGTCAAAACGCACATTCGTCATTGGTATGAAATTAAAACCATCTGGCCGCAAACATTTTAAAGGAAGACGTGATCTATAATCTATTGTAAAGGACTGCTAATGTTTTCCTGCAGGTGACTGGCTTTGGTTAATCCTAAAAATTCCGCCACATTGATACAACATCCGCTTTCTGCTGTTTCAGTCGATATAAAAAATGCTGAAGGTTTGCAAATTCGAACAAAAACTAATGCCCAAATGTCTGTAGAATTGTGTGTCTGCAAATGCAACAGTACAATGGTGATATACAGTATGGTCCTCGACTTAAGGTCAATTTAAATGTGCAGGCCGCTGGAGTATTGTTGAAAAAATACCAGCCATCCGATAAGACATTTTTCTATTTACTGTTCAATCTAGCTACAGATTTTCAATGTGTACGAGCAGTTCTGAGGTTTTTATTGTAAATATATTTGATACCCGAAGGTGGTGGTGATGATGGTCATTTGATGCTCAGAGGAGTATGACATTCAGAAGTCAGTCGAAATTGTTCATTCGTTAAAACCATCTGGAGCAAATGAACCAGGCACTGTACCTTCATAGACTCTTTACATCCAATAAAAGCCAGCTTCGGGGTTGATCTAGAGAGGTTTCATTCTGAAGTTTTCTTTCTTCCCACAAGAGGGCGCCAAATGCAAAACGCAACGGTTTAAGGTTGAATTGGAGAACGCTGTGTTTAAGTAGCATTTAAAGTACCAATAAACATGTACATTGCAACAATGTTTCAAATGTGTCCCGTCAATGACAAACTGCAGCCACATTTAACTTTATGCATATTTTTGTTACGATACAAATTACCGCTTTCATACTAGAAATGGTTTAATTTTTATTTCTTTCTAATTTATTTAATTTACCCAATCGTGTGTGTGTGCGTGTGTGTTGTTGACGGACAGTCCCATCCCGAAAAACCCACCGTAGTGGGGCGTGTCGCTGCCGGGGAGGGGGGAGGGAGGGGAGTCAGCCTGTGTCTGAACTCCCACACAAAGGAAAGGAACCAAAACAAAGACAGGAACTGGAAGACCTCAAATATCTACCGCGCGCGGCTCCGCTCCGAACGCGAGCTTTGCTAAGTCATTAAAAACCGCTTCCGCTGAGAAAAGGGAACGAGTACCATTAGGGAGGCAGTAAAGACCGCTTTAAATAAGACCGCATGCGCATCCGAGGGGTCTTTCTCGGGCGCGCGTCGCAGCTCGCGCAGGGGGGCGGCCGTGCGGCGCGGCGATGAACGGGACGGGGCGCGGCGCGGCGGACTGTCCGCTGGAGGGTCTCCCCGCGCTGCCCAAAGGCCTGAGCGGGATCCTCAACTCCAGCGGCGGGTCGTGGCGGGACATCGAGAAGGTGCACAGCAAGAGAGCGCGCATCCAGGCCGACATCAGCCGGGGCGGCGGAGAGGCGCCGCGCGTTCGCGGCAGAGGCGGCGGACTGGACGCCGCCCTGGCGCTGCTGCGGAAAGAGATGGTGAGGAGAAGTGGGGGTAATCGAGGACACCGCACCAATGTTTCTGTCCAAAGAAACTCTGTGCAATCGTCTGTTTTAGTTTTATTTTTTGCTTCATAAAAATGTGCACTTATTATAAATAAACAATCTTAACGCACCACTCTGTCCTTTTCGAAGAGTTTGAAACAATTAAAGTAAGGTTGATAAAGGATATTCTTTTTTTTAAACAATGTGGTAGAAAGTGAGAATGGAAGTTTCCTCGTGTGTGAATAATATGTTTGTGTTTTTGTGTAACAGGTCGGCCTGCGTCAGCTCGACATGTCTCTGTTGTGCCAGCTGTGGTCTCTCCACGAGGACATCCAGGAGTTCAAGGGCTATTCGCTCCTGTCCGGGACCTCGCTCAGTGCTGATAACGCATCCGAGGAGGAGGAGGAGGAGGAGGAGGAGGAGGAGGAGACGGGAATTCCCTCACAGCCTGCGTCCACTTTGTCCTTGTCTCTGCCTTCGCCCAGCAGCAACTCCAGGGACCAGTGGATCAAAGACTCCTTTCATATTCCCTGATGTAGATACGCACGCACAAACACAGGTCACTGGGATTTTTACTTTCAATTAATGCTGTTCGGCAGCATTTCCACTGGTTTGAATACCATTGTTCCTCTGTCCAGGTTGCGAAGCGGTCAAATGACACAACAGCTCTGGTTGTTCGGACTTTTTATTGTTGTTTATTGGAATAAACCTGAGCGTTAAATGCTGACTGATCATCTCCCTGCATTGTGAAACATTTTAGGAAATCTTGTGTTTTCTGCCATTCAGTGTCTTGACTAAAGTGCCTTGACATGTCAGTCTGTATGAGCATTTGGCCCAGTATGCACATTTTTCCAAAATATATACATCGTTTAAAAAAAAATCATGTATTGTTCTCCAACACACGTAATTTTTCATTAACAGCTATAAATAAGATTACACTGTATGTCTTAAAAATCACCTTGGCTGCTGTAACCTCTCTTTTACGTTGGATGTGCTTTAGGGAACACACTCTTGGTTGAATACAGATGTGTTTTTTTGACATAATACATTTTGCTTTATAAACCGACAGAACTCATAACAAGTCTGAATAAAAATAAGACAAATCTTTGACAAAAAGCCACTTTGGATGAATTCCGCTTGTGTGAAAGCATGCTAAACTGTAATTAAATTCTCATTAATAATCTCCTTTTTTGAGTGTCATCCGTGTAGTTTTCAAACACTCACTCCTCAGAAAAGCCAATAAATAATACGACCTACAGACACAATACGCCTGTATTTCAATCTAAATCACGGGGTGATCTTGCTACATATGACCAGCAGGGGACACACTGTCCATAAAAAGGAGCTCCCTCACTCCTGCAGGCCTTCCTCCTCTGAGGTCATGTTTGAAAGCAGCAGAGTGGGGGGCGTTTGCTGTGTGGAGTGCAGGAATGAATGAAGGGGGGGGTGAAGTTTAGAGTAGACCGCCTCATGCTGTTCGCTATTTATAATAATGAACCATCTGGCCGTGGTTCTGTCTCTTCCGTCACCAATGCGCGTCTTCTCACCTGTTTGTCTCTTCTCTATTTGGTCCCCTTTTGCTTTCTCTGCCTCTCTCTCGTTCTTCTCTGTTGCCCATCTCTCATCACCATCTCGCTGTTATCATCCCTCCACACCGTTACCGTGGCAGCTGTCTGAGTGAGCATTAATGGTCGCAGGTCAACAGGGAGAGAGAGCTGCTGGTAAGGATCCTCGTAAGAGGTCGACGTACGTACAGAAGGCCGCGGCGGTCCCGTCCGTTTACGGGGGAACGTACGCGTCGGCGAACAGGGAGCCGTGTTCGAGCTGGCACCGAGAGCAATAATTGCACCTCTGAATAATCAACCCACGTTGTAACGTTAGACCGACTCTGAGTCATGAGAGAGTTGCTCCAGCTGCTGCCGCCCTCCACCCAGCTGCCTCCGTCCATCCATCCATCCCTGTTCCCCTCCTAAAAATACACTCCTGCTGTCACTGAGGAAAATCCCTGTGCTCTGACCTGGCTTAAACACACACACACACACACACACACACACACACACACACACACACACACACACACACACACACACACACACACACACTAACTGGCCCTCGAAATGGAAAATATTCCTCTGTAGCTAACTGGAAGAAACACGTTTCCAGGCAGCAGTGAGTGAAGCAACTGAAACTCAGAAAGTGCCTCAGGAAGTGACTCCCAATTTGAAACAACAACAAAAAAACAGCAATGGCTTTTGTACTTGAGGACAGATGCATTACAGCTTGCTTGGTTTTACACCTGCAGAGGTGATTGTGTGAAATAGTCTGATACGCCCGTTGCAGTGACACAGACAGACAGGATCAAAGTCTGCAGGTAAAAACTGCTGACTCTCTCACACACACACACACACACACACACACACACACACACACACACACACACACACACACACACACACACAGAGCAGCAAAGACGAAGACATTTTGCATACTGCTGTATCACCTCACGGTCTTTGCATCTCTCTCTATCTCTCTCTCTCTCTGCCTGTCTCACGGTTACAGACTGCTGTCATTGAAAGGAGACCTTTACAAGGCTTGGCTGAGACAGACGGACAGACGGAGACAGACGGACAGACAGAGAGGAGAGACTTGTCGCCGTTTGAATGACAGCCAGCAGGGCGGAATCGGCTCCTCTCCGCTTCTTACTTAATTGTCAGCTCTCCACGTCTCTTCAATTCGCCACATTTCTGGGCGTGAATCGATTTATCGCCAAAGAGTGCAAGTCGCAGCTTGTGTGAAGTCCATTGCCATCAGCAGCAGAAGAAGAGGAAGGAGAGGAAGAGGAAGAATAAGAGGAAGAGGTCCTTTTAAGGGACTTGGATACTTGTTGCGCACGAGGAGCCGGAGTCTTTCTTTCTTTCTTTCTTTCTTTCCTCCTGCGTGTTGAGTTTCAGACATCACCGGAGTTATGACTTCGGTGTGGAAAAGACTGCAGCGCGTGGGTAAAAAAGCTTCAAAGTTTCAATTTGTCGCCTCATACCAGGAACTCGTGTTGGAGTGCACGAAGAAATGGTGAGTTTTGGATCATTCTAATTATTTTGATCAGGAGTTGTTGTTGTTTTTCCTGTTCCACTGTGTGACCTTAAAGGGACTCCGCCAACAGGTTTAGTGTGTTATTATGAGAAACAGCATTCTCGTGTTGTGCGGCTCTCCGCTACGCTGGTGCGGATAAAGGCGTTCCTCTCTGAGGCAAAGCGGCTCCACGGCGATCGCGGGTTCGATTCCCACTGCGCCCATCGGCGTGGTTGCTGTTAACCTTTACACCGGTTCCTTCTGAGGGGATCGTTGTTCTTTAACGACCGATCCTTTATCTAAACACATATTTATGCAATACGTTATAACAGTGGGCGTTACTGATATGACAGTGAATGGCATATAGTGTTTATTTGTTTATGTTGTTTACAGGCAGGCAACACGGGCCAAGTGTGGACCATCGTGAGCAAGATTTAGTATGACGTCCAACATCAATATGCAGTCGTGTATCGTTGTGCTTGCCATAGAAATCGTTTGTCTCACATTTCAACCAAATGACTTTGTAGAGCTCGGGCTTCGGAGGGCTTCCCCCTCTTGTGCAATTTCCTGCATGTGCAAAACATTTGGGAGGTGATGCAGCAAGGAGCATTATTCTGCTCCGACTAAAAACATCAGGCTTCTAAAAGCGTCTTATCTGTCCAGATAGCTCTGAAGTGGGGCGTAATTGTGTAAGCAGCTTGTTGTCAACCAGAGTTTGATCAGCAGCGGAAAGCTGTTGTGCAAATAGAAGGGAAGGGATGGAGCGATTAAGAAAGAGTGACTATTCCACACGTGATGAAATCAGAGTTGATAAGACTTTACCAGGGTCAGAAGGAAAGACCGGAGATACTCCAACATCCTGTTTTTTCACAAGCGGGTTGAAAGTGCCTCACAAGTCACATATTTGTGTTCCGGGGTGGTCTAAACTAGTGCTATGATTTGATCCATTGGTCTTTTTTTAGAACCTGTCGCTCCTTTACGCGCTTGTTACTCTGATGCATTTAAAACTCAGCACAAACAAACAAGCCCTGTGGCCCAAAGCAGTGTTTCCCACCATCAGAATCTCTTTATGAAACCCCTCTTTTTACTGCAGCCGGTTCAAATAGTGTGCTTCCTGCGGGCCTGGTTCTGGTTCTCCTTCCCTCCAGCGTGCTGAAGAAGACAGCCTGCAGGGTTTCAGCAGTTTGGGGTTTTTTCACCTTGCGCCTGCAGGTCAAAGGCTGGGATCTGAAATGAAGGAGTTTTTAGGTGCATTCAGAATGTTCTAAAATGTGCAAGTAGTGCACCACATCAACTTTCATTTCCATGATACTGGCAACGTTGTCTTCACAATCTAGTTTCCACTGCCTCAGAAAGGACTTTAACACGATGGCTTTAAGCAAAGGATATTCAACTTACAACATGGCGCGGAGGAGATAAACATACAGAGGGGACAAAGATAAGCGGACATGGACGTTTCTATACTAAAGGAAAATGTTTCTGTCTGATGTTGACAGACTTAGAACCCACTTCACTGGCGGAGATATAATTAAAGACTTAGCAACAGGCTATTTTTACAGTAACACAATGAGTGCTTTGTGACCAAAACACGAGCTGGGCTCATTGAGCGAGTTCATTTATTTTACATGTTCTATTTTTACAGTGCTATTACGAACAGAATCGTATGCTGTTTAGAAGAAAAACAATTCAACATGGATGCGGGTGATCTTTGTCTCTGTCAGCTGTGGACTAAACATTTGGCTACTGAATGACTAAACACCAAACACCATTACAGTAATTACATGTTAGACAACTGCATCACTCCTTAACACTTGCTCATGTAAATTGCTGAGTTACTAAGCTCACTAGTTCAGGAAGGGGTTTCAAAAGTAAAGATAATATATATTTAGAGTATGTGGTGAGATTTGGAAAGTATTACAAATTATTATTATGTACTGGTTTATTATTTGTGGGGGTTTTGTTGTAAAGGAGCTTCCTACTTCCTGTCAAGATACACGCCTCACATTCAAACACATGACTCCATTTCACTTCCTGTGCCAGAGAGGACTGAGAAAACAAACACACAAGTGTTACCAACACACGTATACAAAAATAAAGGCACGCACATATAATACATTGAGTAGCCTAACTACGAATAAACAGCTGATTGAAATGCTCACATGCTGTGCACACAATCAATTTACCAATGAGATCTCAGCCATCTGCACATTTCAAAGCTTTGGATTTGACCCAGAGGTGTTTTTACCCTCCAGTGACTCACAAGATATTGTGTTCACTTTTTTGTGTGATATCCACTTTGTTTGTAGACGCTCAAAGAAGCTCAAATATATCAACATTTATTGTCCTTTCTCTGAGGCTGTTTTTAAAACGACGTGTCCTGATAGTATCAAGAAACAACACGAGGCACAATGTGATACCTTTATGCTGATTTATGTTTTTTGTTGGTTTCTGTAGGCAACCGGACAAGCTGAGGGTGGTGTGGACCAGGAGGAACAGACGCATGTGCTCCAAGGTGAAACCACTAAACCACCAAAAACACAAAAATACACACAGAGGCACGCGCACAGTCTGCAGAGGTGGAAAATAACTCAGTACATTTACTTAAGTACGATACTACAGGATGATTTTGAGGTACTAATTTCCATTTTCCGATTCTTTATATGTGTATTCTACTCGATTCATGGGAATTCAGACTTAATTGCAGTGCTTTTATTTTGCAGCTTAAAAAATGACTTGCAGATTCCGATTATCAAAAAAAAATCTAATTAACAACAAATTATGTTATGAATTAAACTACTTGGTGATAAGTGAGGTTTAAAATGATCTCCACTGTTACCAGGTGACACAATACACATATGTAGTGCTTTAAATATGTTGTTACCCAAATTATTGCTTTTTACTATTGCTATATTTACCAAAGTAAAAGTCATGACTGACCGTCTCACCATGTTGTTTGTTTTGCAGCTGCACAGTTGGCAGCCTGGGATCAAAAACCCTTACAGGGGCATGGTGGTGTGGCCGGTCCCAGAGAACATCGACATCTCTGTTACACTCTTCAAGGTACCAACACACCAGGAGACACTGTTTACTCCAAACATACAAACAGGAGCGGTTTACTACACACTCACACAAACAGGAGCAGTTAGAGGGAAGATGGAGACTGAGAATACATCCGATGCAGATGCTTCCATAGAGAGAACGAGGGGTCCTAACTAGAGACGGGAGAACTTTATTCATCCCAAATGCATATTGCAGTGTTACACAAGCCAAGTTGCACATGAGTCAAACAACAAAAATAAAAGGTAGAATATTCAAAACAAAAATTTTAACAAAATCTAATAATCGAGTTACAATATAATATACTGTATATTCTTTTGCATTGATATGGCAAGTTTCTTATTTTGAGTTGCATAGATAAATATTGGAAATAATAACACGCTGAATGTACACAGATACATAATGCATATGTATGTACACAGGCGTTCAGTTAAACAGAAATACGAAGGTACGCTATTTATATTTACATATATATATATAGATATTTACACCCAAGACTATGTTGCGCAACCAGAACTATCCATCCATGCTTTCATTTAAATGGCCACATTTACAAGAAGGTGTGGGTGAAACAGCAAACAGGTGTATACGCAAAATTAATTATTGTTCTCACCTCTTCAGGAGATCAATACCGATGAGTTTGAAGACAAAGATTGGACATTCGTAATTGAGGGTGTAAGTGTCTCTTGACTACTCCGCCTCTGCGTGCAATTTTTCATTTAATTTAAATGCTTGAAAACCCTTGATGGATCACGCCTGTGTTTGTTCGGCCCGCGTGAAGGAGAACAAGGGGCATCGTAAGGTACTGGCATCGGCTGACATCAACCTGAAGCGATTCGCCAGTCAGACGCCGACCCAGACCGACCTGACGCTGAAGCTGAAGCCGCTCTCCGTCAAAGTGGTGGAGGCCACGCTCAAGCTGTCGCTGTCGTGCGTCTTCGTCCGTGAGGGGAAAGCCACGTGAGTAGCGGTTTGTTCTCGGAAAGTCGTTCTTTGGGAGTAGTTTTTAGGTTGAGGAAAGACCTTTGGACGAATGTTTGCTCTCTTGTTCCTCAGGGATGAAGACATGCAGAGTCTGGCCAGCCTGATGAGCGTCAAGCCCACAGATATCGGCAACATGGACGACTTCAATGAGAGCGATGAAGAGGAGGAGAAGAAGTCGCTCACCGCTTCAGGTGAGTCCACTTAGACAAACGCCGCTTCTTCTCTGTGGCCTTCGCTGTGAGGTTTTTACTTTTCTGACAATCTCTCCTCCTCTTCCTTCTTTTTCCTCCTGTCATTCTTTGCTTTTTCTGGCCACTGCAGTCGTTTCACACACACTAACTCGCCCAAATCGCCCGGCTCCCCCTCCGCCTGACAAGCGAGACTCCGCTGGACCCACTATTCCAGCCTCAGGTAGCTTCCTCCTGCCCCTCGTTTCACCTGCTCCTGCTGTTTGTCTCTGTTGCCAGAGAGGAGCAGGTGTGGATGGGAACAGTCTCTCGCCCTGTCTGTGTGTCAGTGGAAGGCTCAGGTTATATAACTGTAATTCACACATTCATGCTATTTGTTCTGCATGCCACATGTTTCTCATCCTGACATTATTGACAATTATGTGATGACAAATGCCACACATGTTTTGGATGTTTGTTGGGAGGCATGACATTTTCATGCAACAATGGCACGTGACGGTTCATTTGTCCAGAGCGGCATTACTGTGAAATCCCCTATCTAGTTGTTTTGCTTTCAGTTTTACATTTTTATCAGTGTCAGTTCTTCAAAGAAGACAAAAATAGTAAAAGTAAAACTGAAGCATTTATTTAAAATGTTACTTCAGTACAGTTACTTCAAGGGCAACAAAAGTATACTGATTATGCAGATTGGGCGCTTTCAGGCCTGTTACAATAACCCACATTTTAATATGTGAGCAGCATTGTTGTTGTTTTTTTATTTGCCGAGCTAAAAAATATCTAAATTCATAATACTTGTTTTTGAACAACAATAGTAATAATGATTATTTTGAAAAGCCATTTCCTGCACGTGGAAAATATAAAGTTAAAAATATTGTCAAATTAGTTAATTTGCGTAAAAGTTTGTTTGAGTTCAATATTTGATCAGGATGGAAATATAAATACATTTATTAACAAAAAATGAAATAGTTACTACTTACAGTATGTAAACACAACGTTTAGAACTGTCAAACAAAGAGGAAATGTACAATATTTCCCTCTGAATTATGGTTGGGTAAAAGTATACAGTATTAGAAATTGGAAACAATGAATAGTAAAGTACGTCAAAACTGCAATGAAGTACAGTACCTTCCACCACAGATGTGCTCACTCACCTTTAGTGAAATGTCATCGACTCCCAGTTTGTTTCATTTTAATTCTCAATTCACCTTTCCCTTCCTGTCTTTTTCATTATTTCTCTTTCTGCAAAAAAATCTCCCTTCACTGATCCATCCATCCATCCATCCATCCATTCATCCATCCTTGCGTCCAGCCTGTTGGCGTGATGGTCCTCCCAGCCCCGCAGTGCTCTCCCGCCCTCCTCTACCTACTGCTCCTCGCCCGTCGCCCCGCCGCAGCCGTCACTCCTTCCCCACCTCCTCCGTTCAGTCAGAGATCCAACCTTCCCCCGGCCCCTCCCCTCAGCCCTCACCCAGATCCAAGCATAAAAAATCATCAAACCCTCTTCTCCTTGAGGCTGTACCTTCTCCTGACCCACTACCTGTTCCTCCCAGCTCACACCTCGCAGAGGCTGCTCCCCCGGTCCGAATGGTCCACTCTGTCCTACCTCTCGCTGAAGTGTCTCCTGCAAATCATCCGTCCCCCAAGTTTCCCGAAGCACCCACGATCGCGACTCCAGCCCAAGACATTTCCTCTACCATCCAGCCTCCATCTCCTAAACCCTCTGGGTCTGTGTCAGTGAAGCCTGCTTCAGCAGTGCCCCCCTCCACACTGCCTTTGAAGCCGCCCAGTACCTCCGAAGCTGGCATTCCCTCGTTCCCTCCCAAACCTCCCTCCCCTGCATTGTCATCACCCAAGACAATGATCACGTCTCCCTCCCCGGCTCCCCAAATGTCTTCCTTCACTGTATCCACTACTATAAGCCATCAGAGCAACTCTACTGCCTCTCAGCCACTGGCCCCTAAATCCTCCTCTCCATCTAAGCCCACCCTGTCCTCTGAGCCTCCACCTGCCCACCCGCCACTCACCCGGACCCTCTCTCAGCCTCCGTCTCTGCCCCGAATCTTCCAGCCATCCTCAGGAAAAGGTATCGATGTGGCTGGCTGGCAGACAGGCATGCTGCATGCTTTCCACTAACTGGTGTTTGCTGGTTTGGTTTCACCTTGTCTTCATGTCCATGTTTCTTTACAAGTACGTGTGCTTTGAGGGAGATCAGTCTGTCATGACGTCAGAGTTTAGAGCATCTGACTTTCCTTACGTTGCTGCAGTACCTCCGGCAAGAACCAAGGAAAGTTTTGTTTCCTGAGAAATACCGATCTTTTCTGTGATGGTGCAATGCAATTAGTAAAATACATAATATGGATTTATCTGTGCTGTTCCCCTCTTACTTGGTCTTTGTTCCTTTTTTTGTTCATCGCTGCTCTTTATTCCTCCCGTCTCCTCAGTTCCTATTTCAAATCAACGGCGCCCCCCGGAGGATCAAACTCCTGATGATCTTACTTCAGTCTCTGGTCCGTCTCTACTGTGAATGTCTGGAATAAAGACATATTCTTCTTCTCTTCTGTCCTCCTATGTTTCCCTTTAAATCACTTCCATTATCTGTCCTCTCAATTAGGCCGTGGCCACATTTTCAGACCTCAGGTTGTCAAATCACTTGGAAGACCCTCATCTCCGTCTCCTTTTTACGCTGTTGCACCTCCTCTTGAGTCATCTGCACTCCCCAAAACTCACCTCAGTACCTTAGAGTCAGGTAACAAATGTCATGTTTTATTATTTTACCATTTTTTCCCTTACGCATAAACCTTCAGCTAGTCTCCCCTGTTTCCCTCTCTGCCTCATCTTCCTTCCCCTCCCTCCCTGCTTTGCTCAGGTGCTCAGGGGACGTGGTTGACATCTGGTAGCGACATCACCCCTGTCCCCCTGCTGAGTAGTCCGGACCTTGATGCCCTCTGTGATCCTGCAGCTCCGGCCCTTACCGCCTCCCTTCCATTCTCTCCCCCACATCGCTCTTCCTCTCTTTCCACCTCAGTTTTATTCTCCTCTCCTCACCCTCAGCTCGCTCTACCTCCTCCCGCTACGATCAGCTCCTCTCAGTCAGGTACATCGGCCAACTCGGGAAACACTCTCCTGTCAGTCACCTCATGCTCTTTGACGTGTGAAAATTGGAAAATTTCATAAAATAGTAACATGTGCTTTTGCTCTTTATAGGCCCAACCTTACCCTTCACTCACGTGGATAAGGAAACAACTCAGAGCCTTCTGAGCCGGGACAAGGCTTCTCCTCAAAGTAACCAGTCAGTGGACAACATCAGAGTCTCCAACCAGCCAAGCAGACCAGCCCAGGATTCACAGTTGGCCGTGAAAAATAAATCAGCAACTATCAGGTGAGTGATTCAATTTATATTGCTTGTGTGGGATCATTAGAAGTGTTAAATGTTTGGCACTGAATCAGTGTGTGAAGAGAGAATGTGTCACCAGACCACATAGCTGAAGAGGCGTCTTAAAGTGTTTAGAGCACATTTGAGACACTCGGGACACTTGATGGGCTACCGGCTTGAAACTGCATGAATGCTTGAAAGAATATAGTTTCTTGTAGAATTCTCTGGTCAACTTTTCTGATGAGAACATGAAATATGAAGCTACAACTGGGGGAAAGTTAGCATTAGACATAAAATAAATAAACATGAATAGGAAACGGGGAAGAGAGTAAGCCTGTCTCCACCCAAAGGCAACAAAATCCCCCTACCCATACCTTTAAAGTTGACTAATTTACATAATGACAACAATTGACAGCATAGTTTAATCTGTACAAAAAATACTCAAGGCAAGTGACATCATTTTTACATCGTGTTAAAGGAAAAAAGTAAATATTTTGCCAAAATCTGATGCTTTTGTACAGAGCAAGACTAGCATGTTCCCACTCTGAATGCAAACATATGATAGCACAACGAGGAAGGTGGCTTCATATTTGACATACAGCCGAATGCATCTTTGCGCTCCAAATCTATGGATTTATGCCTCTTATCCAATCATGTATCGATCAGCATCATGGCAAACTCACTATGGCCCAAGCTAACTCATCGGAGTGCTGACTGAGGCAAACGTGCCTCAGCTCGCGAATGAGGTTGAGCAACAGTTCAACATGACTTGTTGTTCTGAAGATTTGTCAAACTATTGCTCAAGACCTCATGGTTGCTTCGTGCGTGTACACTCCTGATGCTAACGTGTGCTAACAGTGGCCGAGTGTGTTGCTTACTGTTGCACTGACCTTCCTGTGCACGGCAGTAAAATCACATAAGATCTTGCTTCCACCTCCTGCACGGTCAGCCTCGTAAAGTCCCGCCCACTCAGCTCATGAGCCTGACCTCCGGTGTTTCTGTCTCCAGTCCTGCCCAGTCACGTTCAGAGCTGATAATAGCTCCGCCCCCTCCGTGGCCCTTCTCCTGCAGTGAGAGCTCCACCCCTCAGCAGCCCTCCACCAATGTCGTGGCAGCATTTATCACTTCCAAACAGCCAAATGCTCAGGAAGAAACTGATTTGAAAACACCAACTAATGAGGTGGATGTTATTAGCGCCTTTAAGGCCGAAAAGCCGCCTCTGGCAAAGCCTGAGGCGGATCCTGACTTTGATGACATCACCTTCGAGTCATTTGAGTCACAGCGACAAGAATCAGGGGGCCTGTTTCTGGAGGAGGATAACTCTAAGAGAGATACTATCAAAAGGTGTCCTCCGGGGTGAGTATTATTATTTGCAGATAAAATCAAGGTCCAGAGCTTTAAAAAATGAGTTTGCAAAATGTGAACTGGTGGTGCTGATAATGAACACACACACACACACACACACACACAGAAATATTTAGGATTAAGTAATATTGTTTATCTGTTCTGCAGTCTGCAGAAAAACTATGAAAAAGTGGGTGGAGCAAAGCCATCCCTGACGGAGCAGTTAGAGGGAGCGGCGATGAAGAAGGAGGTGATGATCAATGCAGAGCAGGAGAAGCAGAGGGAGAAAAAACAAGAGGAGGAACGAAGGAGGAAGGAGGAAGAGCAAAGGGTAATATCGCAGAAGCAGGAAGAGAGCAAAAAATATGAGGAAGAGAGGAAGCAACTGTTAGAGGAGGAGAAGAAGAGGCTCCTGCGGGAGGAGGAGGAGGTCGAGAAAGAAAAGGAGAGGAGGAAATGTGAGGGGGAGAGACTCCTGAAGGAGAGAAGAGACAGACAAGAGAAGCTGAGGGAAGATGATGACAAGAGGAAGCGGAATGAAGAGGAGAGAAGGGAAAGAGAGCAGCAGAGGAGACTGCTGGAGGTGGAAGAGGAAAAGGACAAATTTAGAATGGAGGAAGAGAGGAGGCTCGAGGGAGAAAGATTCTTGAGGAAAATGAAAGAGGAGGAGGAAAAAAGGATGGAGGAGGTGAGAGTGTTTGAGGAGCAAAGTAAAAGGAAGGCGGAAGAGAAAAAGAGGATGCTGGAAGAAGAAGAGCAGATAAAGATGAAGGAAGAACGCTTAAAGAAAGAAAAAGAGATGCAACAACAGAAAATGAAAGAGGAAGAAGAGAGAAGAGAGACAGAGGAGGCGGACCGAAAGAAAAATGATGAAGAGGAGCGGATGAAGCGGGAGGAGGGACAGAGAAGGAATGAGAGAAAGAAAAGGGAAGAAGAAGTTGAGAGGAAGAGGAGGGAGGAGGAGGAGAACAGGGGGAAAGAAGCCGAGGAGAGGAGGAGGAGGGAAGAAAAGGAGAGAGTGCTCAAAGAGGAAAAGGAGAGAGAGCAAGAAAGAGAGGAAAAGGAGAAGGAGAGGTTCTTAAAGAAGGAGAAGGAAAGGATTGAGAGGAGGAAAGAAGCAGAGGAGAAAAGGCGTAAAGAGGAGGAGGAGAAGAGGAAGGAGGCACTCTTGAAGAAGCAGCAAGAAACAGAGAGACAACTGAAAGAGGAGCAAATGAGAGCAAATGAGAGGAAAAAAAAGGAGGAGGAAGAAAAGAAAAAGAGGGCTGAGGAGGAGAAAAGACATTTAGAGGAGAAAGAGAAAGCAGAACAAAAACTGAAGGAGGAAGAGAAGAGGCTTCTGCAAGAGGATGAAGAAACAGAGAGACGAAAGAAAGATGGTCGGAACAAGAGGAGCGAGGAGCTCGCTGCTCCGATCTGCAGTCCGGAGGCCAACAAGTCCGACGAGGATAAACAACAGATGAAAACTGTTTCTCCTTCTTTGCCAGTTCCTCGTCTAAACGCACACACGGTCGCCCCTCCTCTCAGTTTCACCGGCTCGGCTCTCAAAGATGTAACACAAACTCCACTTCCCGGCCCCCGCCTCCTTCCTCCAGGCAAAACCTGTGTGGCATCCGAGCGGCTGCCTCCACAAAATCTCAGCCAATCACAAAAGAGAGAGATGACCCTTCAGTCAGTTGATAAAGCGAGCTCCGCCACCAACGAGCGGTGAGTTACATCACCGCGGTGAAGAGTACCATTTTTTATTTCCCCACATCAAATGGCTGTCATTCGCTTTCTTAAATGTGTAAATACAATCTATTTACCAGAAAGTTTCTTTAAATGAACTTGGTATCAAGTTGGGCTCAATCAGTAGTTCTCTGTTTTTCTGTAATGATTATTTTGTGATGCTCCTCACAGAATATTTCTTTGATTATCTATGTTGTTTTAGGGGAGAGCAGATCAATCCCAAATTATTGATTGCCTCTTGCCTCATACAACTAGATCGTATTTACCAGCACTTTTTGCGTCTCTAATGTGTTTTTGTGGGCATGTGTTATTAAAATACAGTCTTTTGTCCATTAAAAGCTGTTTTTTATTAAACATGCAAATGCATTCGAGTTACGTGTGGTTTGTTGTGGTTTCCTCCTCTCCTTTCCTGTCTCCTATTTCTGTTTTTCTCTTTGAAATTCTTCAATCTGCCCCTCTTGTCCCCCCCCCCCCCCCTCCTTTCTCTCCACTTATTCCAGTCTTGGGCAACCCTCCCTTCTAAAGGAAGGTTCATGGGCAAACATTGTTACCCCAGAAAAGACAATACCTGCCAATGTTCAGGATAAACCATTCACATTAGAGGTCTTGACCCTGGTGCCACCTCCACAGAGGCTGTCCAACGCAGAGCTTCCTCTGTGGAAAGTGCCGAGAGGGAGAAGTGAGAATGATACATTTGAAAACATCTCTGCAAAGGAGGGTTTGTGCAGAGGGTAAGAATGGACGAGGGGAGTCTGCTTTGTCTTTCTTTCTGTCTTATCTTCCCCTGTCTGCTTTAGCTGATCTGCCTTGTCAATGATGTAGCGGGTAGCAAATGTAAAACTGTTACCCCTCCCGCTTCTGTCCTCCTGTTTCCTCTAGCTCTCAAAGAGAAGATGCTGCTGAGGTGGGCGCCGATGTCGGGCAGGAACACCAACCAGTACCAGTAAAAGACACAGAAACACATCACGCAGTCGCATCTCCTGCTGAACCTCACGCACCACCAGTTAAAGAGACGCCCAAAGAGCCAACGGGACCCATCCTGGAACCAGGAACCTCACCAAAGGTCTCCCCAAAACCGACAGCCGACGGGACGTCTCTGGCGCTGGAGCGGCTGCTTCCCTCAAAACCAGAACCAGGACCACAGCGGGAAAAACAAGGCCTGCAGACGTCAGAGAAACCACGACAGGAGGGAGCAATTGAGGAGAAACCAGCCGAGGCTGTGAGTGGTGGTCGGGAGAGTATCGCCAACAACAAGGAGCCAGTGTGCGAGGCAGAAAAGCAGCTGTGGGCGACGGTGGAGGAAACCACAGCCGAGACTGGAGCGCAGGGACTGACGGAAAGTAGCAAGGAAGGAAAAGATGAGAAGCACGAGCCGAGTGGCGTCACCGGGGGGTGAGTCAGTAGTGACGGTTCCGTCGCAGCACGGCTGCTTTTGCTTGGAAACCCCCACATGCAAACACACACACAAGTAAACACACACACACACACACCTGTACTGCTGATTAACATTCCTCTGTGTTCTGCAGCCTAACCAGTGCTTTATTGCAATCAACCTCTTCTGATGCTGTTCTACTGTTTATGCTGTGAGGCTGGCTGTAAATGGACATTATGAGAGCTTACAAGAGTACATATTGTGTGTGTGTGTGTGTTAGTGCCCAGATATGTGCACACTCAGAGGCTGTTACAGAGCAGCCGTTGGAGCCGCCTGGCTTCATGACAGCGGTAGTTGGGGTGTTGTGTAAAGGGTGAGTCTCTGCCTGCCTGTTGCCTATCTGACTTTATAAATTAAATATCTTTCTGAAAAGTGAGCGATGAAACACATAGCACTATAACTTAAATAAAATACAAATACTGCTTAAAATAAATAGAGATAATGTTTTGCATGATTGACTGAGTCAACTTCAAGTGTTTTATAGATAAAAGCCCACCGTCTCTAAAACTATTGCTTACCTATCATGCATTATATTAATTGCTTTAAAAAGACATTTTATTATAATTTGATGAGTTATTACGTTATATCCATGGCAGTAATTCTGGTAGGGTCCTGCTACATTTGGCCTAACACGTCTAAATGGTTGAACACAACGTGCTCATAGGCTATATAGGCTAGTTGCGTTATCGTCGTTCTGGGCGACACGGCACCAGACACCATGTGTTTTCAAGCGTTCTGGTCATGTTGTTTTAATCATCCCAGAGGGCTTCAGTGTTGTGCGAAATGAAGTCAAAATAAATCCTGGGGTGGTTCTCAGTGCAGCAAGCACCAATACATCTGTGTGTTTTGGACGAGCGCCAAAACAAAGTCTGAGAAAAAAGAGCCACTTAATCAAGCATACTGACTGGCTTTCATTCACACCCCTCACAGTCTGCTGAGGTCATGTGAGGTTTAGGGTGAGAGCTGTCTCAGAGATGTCCTGTCCCTCGTCTCTGTCCCTTTAGCTACGAGACAGTGACCTCCATCCTGCAGAGAACCGGACCCGCTGATGCAGGTCATTCACATCGCCCTGCGGGCCCAAAACGCTCGCGTACAAGTGAAGACGGTCAGCCACCTTCTCGCGGAGTGGAAGCAACGACTCTGCATTCCGCCGAGCCAGATGACGACCCGCTGATCCCCGCCGTCGGCGGCATTTCTCCACCCACAGCCTTCTCCGACGGGACAGGAAGCCAGGCCATTAGTAACCAGATTGGATTGACTCAGAAACGTCCACACGGGCTGAGTCTGGTGGCAAGTCTCAGACTGGCAGCAAGCGAGCAGGAGATAGAGAGAGAGCAGGAAAGGGAGAAAAGGGAAAAAGAGATGATGGGAAACAAGAGGGAGGAGAGCGAGAGAGTCCAGGCAGAGAGGTTGGAAAAGGAGGGAGAAGAGATGGAGAGGGAAGAGAAGAGTGAGACAAAGAGGCTGGAAAAGGAGAAGGAGGCGGTGACGAGCAATCAAAAGGAAGAGAAAGAAAGGAAACGGCACATTGAGGATGGAAATGAGACGAGGAAGAGAGAGCCGGAAAGGCGAGAGGAGCATGGTGTGAGGCAAAGGGAAGAGGATAGCGAAGGAGAGAAACAGATCTGTTCCGCTTCAGGATCGCTGCAGGAAGTCATGAACAACCAATCAAAAAGCGGGCCTCCTCTGCAGGAAGTGGAGTTGGATGATATTGCGTATGATGAGAGGATACAGGTGGATGAAAATCAGCCTGAAAACAAGGCTGATCCCAAATCAGTGAGAACAGATACCGTCCAACTGGCTTCATCCAGACCTGCTGATTCCGTCCCTGCACCCACACCAATAAGCAAATCCCCCTCCCCGTCAGTCAAACCCAAGGATTCTGCTGCCAAGAAAGTGTTGAATAAGAGTGTTCTAGGATCAGTTAAGAAAGGCAAATCCAACTGGACATCTGGCGCCGTTCCAGTGTGGTTGAGAGAGGAGCGGGACGAGGAGGTGGAGTATGAGAGAGGACAGGAAGATCTTGGCTCGGTCTGGCTGGCTGAGCTCTACATGGAAGGTGAAGCAGGGTGAGTAAGGGTGGGCGAGCGATAGCTGCAGGGAGAGAGCGATGAGTAACCAAGGAGATCTGCTTGTTGCGTCTTGTGGATCAGAACACTCTGCGTGTGCATTTGTGGTGTATACGTCTCCTCTAATAATTAAGGCTTTCACCCGCTGTATCTGCGCGGAAACAATACTAAGTATTACTGTCCTTCATCCACTCTTCGTGTTTGGCCTTGGCAGGATGCAGGTCTTTTTTTAAGAGAGTTGTCTTGTCTGTGTTGGCATGGCGACGCGTGTCCCCGGGTCCCTTTGTTCCGTATTCACTGCAGCTTTAGCACGTCATGGTGCATGGATAAGTGGATTGATTTGTTCATTGGATATTGCGATACCATGGAGTGTAGACTATGTTCATAATAGGTGTTTTGCTTTCTTTTGCTAGTTTGGTACGATCTTGCATAGCCACACCTCTGTCCCGTCAAACTTGTGCAACAATAGGTATATAAAAAACTAAATCTCTAGGAGATTTCAGGAGATTTTGCTTTGCTGCGCCCTGTTCATTGGTTTTGAGTATTGCAACAACTAAGTGTGTCTTTGTACTGATATGCACTTCTGCCCGCGTGAGGTAAATGGTCGTATGTTGCCAGAGGGGACTGGGTCATGCCAAGGATCTGTTGCTGTTCGCTGTTTAAAAAAGTACCTCAGCCTTTAGGTTGAGCTCTGAATTCTCCTTTTCTGTCTTCAGCCCAGGTCACCCATCCCCAGCTGTTACCCAGACGGCCCCCTCTACTCTCCTCCAATCCTTTTACCACAGCTCAGCTCCCAGTCACCTAAATACTCATCTCAAACCTCCTTCAGTGTCCAATCAAGAGGAAGAAAACAGTCAGAAAACTAAAGGCAAATCGACTGCACAGCATTGTGGAGCACAAACACATCCAATGAAATTACAGAGGGATCATGATGTCACAAACGCTGGGGACGGCCTGGAGGTAGCGGCCGATGAGGAGGGAGAACTTGTTCAATCGTCTGTGGTGTCTTGGTCACTTCCTCTGAGCACAAACACTGCCGGCGTGCACGCACACTCAAAGACGCAGACGGGGATAAACGCGAGTGAAATCAACGATGACACAAAAACGGCTGAAATAGCCACAGAGCTACGCAAGAATCTGGAAATCTGGGATGATAAAGAAGACCAGGATATGCCGACCACAAAGAGGGACAGTCCACAAATGAACCGCCTCCACACACTAACACACACCTCCGATCTCAACCAACAAACCAAAGAGCAAATGCTCCAACAGGAGGAAAGGCTGTTGTTGGCTAAAATCAATCTGATGACAGGTGACTCGTCCCCGGCCCCCGGCCCCCGCGGCATGAAGCTCCTCGTGCTCGACCCCCGCGATATTGACTGTGACGCCACAGAGCTTGTTGATCACGGTCAATACTGTGAAATATCCCTAACTGAGGCTGAGGAGCCACGGGCCAACGAGGTGGAGCAGAATCAGGAGGGAGGGGAGGACGTGTAAGTCAGCATGGGCGGTCAAGCTGCGCTGCAACAGGAAATGACCCCGAGGCTTTGTGTTTGTATGGGATGTGCAGAAATGCAGTCTTGGATTTAAGTCGCAAAAATGATCTGGACACTAACTGAACAATTTGACATGAAGTAAAATGATGTGAAGACAAAATGAAATTGTGCTATTGTAATAAGCATCATGCTTTCTTTTCAGTACGTATGAAAACAATACTGTGAAGAGCCTTTAGGTCAGTTTTTGTGAGGCTGAAGATGTGCATTAAGCTGAGCGCTTACATCAGCATGCTAAATGACAGTACTAACATTCACTCGACACCACAAAATGTCCCATCCAAAGCACTCTGGATTCATCCTCGTGGCGCACCTGTGATGAGTAAATGATGCAGGAGGCTCTGCTGTATGTTCCTTGTAACAGCTCGCATGTCTCTCGCTCGTCGCTGTTTTTTTGGTGCCTTGATATTCCTGACCCGTTGGTGTCTGTTGTTTATGTGCCGTCTCCTCGTAGGCCAAAAGGCCAATGCGCCGACATCCCTGATGGTGGGCAAAAGAAGCCGCCCTCACAGCTTGTCGACGCCTCCAGCGGACGCACCAGTGATGATCCAGCCGTCACTCCTCCCCATCACTGCGAGATGACGGCATCTCGGCTCCCCACGTTGCCGGAAGAAGAAACCTGTGACTTTAAGTCTCCTCACCCGGCGGCAATGATACGCGAGGAGGCCGACGGGAAGGACGATGCAGCCGAGGTAAATATGCTAATTCTGATGAATGAAACATTCGGTGCACATGAACCTGCTTTTTAAATCACTCACATCTCAATCTCCTCACGCAGGGCCTGGTGAACTCCAGCCAGTCGTTGCTCCAGTGGTGTCAGAACATCACCAACGGGTACCGGGGGGTAAAGGTCACCAACTTCAGCACTTCCTGGAGAAACGGTCTGGCCTTCTGTTCCATCCTACATCATTTCCATCCAGACAAAGTGTAAGCCAACAAACACAACCAACTTTTCAGCTTTTCGCCTCTTTCTGCTTCGATCTTTGTTTAAAGTTTTTTTTATTTTAGAGCTAAAAAGGTTTTCAATTACATTTGCAACTGTGAAGATCTGCTTAATTGTTACATTTTATATAATGAATGTCTTCATCGATCGATTCGATCGATTCAGCTCGATTTTTCATGTGTTTTGGGAAATGCTAATTTCTTTCACTAGTTAGTGGCATTTTATAGACCTAAATTGATACATCAAGAACATAACAAGCAGATAAATCAATAATTAAAGTTATTTTTAATGTCAGCCCTATATGATTTTAAATGTTAACCTGTTCTTACACTATTTTGTTCTTCCTTTGTTTTGTCCCATTAGAGATTTTGACCAGTTGCACTCTAATGACATCAAGCTGAACAACAAGAAGGTAAAAACGTGACTCACGTTAATCAATTTCATATTCAGCATTTAAGCGCCATCAGAAGTGTCCATTTACTGAACTGATGTTTCTTATTTCGTTTCTGTCTTTCGTCATCAGGCGTTCGACGGTTTCGAGGCGCTGGGCATCTCTCGCCTGTTGGAGCCGTCCGACATGGTTCTCCTGGCCGTCCCCGACAGGCTCATAGTCATGACCTACCTCAGCCAGATCCGCTCGCACTTCACCCACCAGGAGTTGAGCGTGCTGCAGATCGAGCGCAACAGCAGCCAGTCCAGCTACGGCCCGGCCCTCTCCGGTCCCGGCCCCACCAGCGTGGATGCCGCCGCTTTCTGCATGGCCAGACTGAACGAAGGAGTGACCTCGGAGGAAGGACGGAGCGGCGCGTTGGTCGTCCCGCCGCCGAGGTCCAAGCGACTGGTTAAAGGTAGCCTTCGTGCCACCTTTAAAACGCGTTGTACGCCTTGAGTATTTTTTAAACCAGGATTCATTCGTTTGTTTTCACGGACTTTTTTGGTGGGTTCGTTGTAACAAATCGTACAGTCGGATAAGTTGCGACTCCGGTCCATATCGAAAGGTATTGGCGGTTGTGATGAGTCGTGATGGTTTCAGTTGAACAATTAGACAAAAGTCCGAGAAAAACAAAAGAAGAAAGTATTTCAAGCCTATTTATAAAATTGATGTTTCTCATGTCTGTTCTTAGCGGAGGACTCAATAACCCCAGTGGCACCTCCAAGGTCGGTTACCAAAGCAGTCAAATCTGGACCGACTCAGGTGACACTTTCTTTTAAACCATAACTGGCTGTTATGTTTAAAATGTAATATAATTTTCTAAAACAATATTTAAAAACACCAAATGCCATTTGCTTAATGTATTAATGTATTACCCTTTGTAATACTCCATGTTTGTCTTGTCCAGGATGATGACACAAAGACAGGAATACACAATAGTAAAGGTGAGTACCGATAAGCCCAAACCCCTCATCCTCATTTGTTTCTCTTCATTTTATCTGACATCTTACACTTTGATTGGTCCTGCGTGTCCCCTCAGAGTTGCAGACTGCAACTGAGACCCAGCCTCCCAAACAAGAGGCGGAAACAATGGTCAGTTATGTGTTCCTCATTTTACCCTACTTCTCTCTGCTACTTACCCTTTTCTTTATGTTTGACTCTTCTTCTCACATCACATCAAATGAACATCATTAAAAGAAAAACAATCATGTTTGCTGGTACCTCTCTCTAATCTTTTGACCATCTTCTTCTGCTTTGTTTCCCCAACTCCCTCTTTCCTTTGAGCTCCTTCCCCTTCGTTTCCTCTCTTTTGCATGTTCATGTGTGATTGTGGCGTGTGTGTGTTTGCATGCGTGATGTGGCTTGTGGTCAGTGTCTGCAGGACACCAGTCAGTATGTGCTGAGTGAGCTGGCCGCGTTGGAGTCGGAGCAGAAGCACATCGACAGCAGAGCCGCCGTGGTGGAGAGACGACTGCGAAGCCTCATGGAAACAGGTGAGTCGCCCCGAGGTGGAAGATCTACGGAGTCGTTCAGGAATAACCAGGAAGGACTCCGGAAGCGTCGGTGAGGTTTCCCTCAAACGCAAACAAACTTCCGTTCATACAGGAAGCGACCGCGATGAAGAAGAACGGCTGATCCAGGAGTGGTTCACTCTGGTGAACAAGAAGAATGCTTTGATACGCAGACAAGACAACCTGGAGCTACTGTAAGAAGTCTCTGCACACCAACGATGCGCCAGCATGTGCTCTGCTTTACCTGTGCTCATTATCGAATGTGTCTGCAGACATGAGGAGCAAGATCTGGAGAGGAGGTTTGTGCTCCTGAACAGGGAGCTTCGGGTGATGATGGCTATAGAAGGTTAGTAACCAACAGAGATGGAAGAGATATAACTAAAACCAATACAGTACATGTATTTTTTTTAAATGTATTTCATTACATTCCCCCACTGGGAACCAGTCAGCGTCCTATCTGCTGTTCTCCACCAGTAAAACAGCTGGATTTTAAGTCTCTTACCCAACAGTTTTATTTTCTTAAACAATAAAGCTGAATTAGGTTTTAAACCCTCATTTAATACCAGTCAAAACACAAAAGCGTAAAGAACCGGGGGGGCATTCGGAACCGTTACGTAAAGTTCTGCCTTTCCTCCTGCAGACTGGCAGAAGTCGTCCACGCAGCAGCAGAGGGAGCAACTGCTCCTCCAAGAGCTGGTGTCTCTGGTCAACCAGCGGGACGAGATCATCAGAGACATCGACGCCAAGGAGAGAGGGTGAGTGTGTGCGTGTGTGTGTGTGTGTGTGGGGGGGGGGGGGTTCATAGTTGTGTGTAAATGATTGTAATACTGGGTGAGGGTTCTAGGGCTGATGAAGGTGTTTGTGTTTGCAGGGCGTTGGAGGAGGACGAGCGTCTAGAACGCGGTCTGGAGATGAGGAGGCAGAAATATAAAAACAAAGACAAATGTGTCTTACAGTGAGATGGGAGGTCACACACACAGTTTTTATTATAGGGAATTGATCTTTCGGGGCTTCATATGTCATTGCTTTTTGAGTGGCTTTATTTACGCCAATAACTGTTGAAACCCGCTATGAGGAAAGACAAGATACCATAAACTGTGTCTTCTATGAAAGTGTTTTCTTGAAAATGAAAAACTGTCAACGTTTTCCATCCGTACTAAGTATTATTTTTGATTCAGTTCACAGTTCATATTTATTTAAATGGTGTGTAAGGTTGTTGTTCATCTGTTGTACACGTGTTTTGTGTGTATTCATGTGTGAGTTTGTTCGGTATTTGAACACTGGCTTTTCCTTTTCTTTTTATATAAAGGAATTGGTTACCCTTCTGAACACAGATCTGCTGGATTATTAACCGAAACGTGCCTTGTTCTTTCATAATATGCCAAAACATATCAGACATAAAAATGAGAGCTGACAGGTCATGAGCCGGACTCAGACTCCTCAACGTGACATTTTTATAAACCCCAAAAGCATTTCCACTTGTTGCAATATTAATTGTTTTTCTTTTTTTTTGTATGTTGGAAGTTATTGGACCCCGCACACTTGTGCCTAACTTAAAGTGTATGATTGTGAGGTTCAGACCCCCTTTTACTTCTGTGTCCTCGCACGCTGTTTGAGGTGCTCTGATAAAGTGGCTCTCTGCTTCACATTACTACTGTATACAATAGCACACACTGTATACCTGATGCTGTCTATATTTATGAGTGTAAGATATGTTGAATGATAAAGAGGTTGAAGAAACTGAAACATTGCTTGCATGCGTGCGTCAGGATTTTGTTCTATTGGTTATTTATTGTTCAACAAAACATACAAATAAATATTCATATATAAATATATATTTCTTTACAACATAAATGTATATTATTTTCAATGAATGTGTGTATTTGTAATTTAGTTTAAGATGGGCATTAGATAAATGCCCTTAGATAAAAAAAAAGGGTCATCTTAATCACTTCCACATCGTGAGGAGCCCGTGTTATTTAACGCTGGTGTTGGTTTTGCCAATAGACAGGTACTGTTATCTGAAGCAACTGAAAAAGTGTCCCTAATATTTTAAAATGTAACCAATTTCATGCCCATAAGTACAACTTCATGTAAAATGTAAAAATATGTGACACAAAACTAAAAGATGTATAGTCATCAAGTCAAACACTACAAGTAAAATGACAAATTTTCTCTCATTTGCATGTAGCAGATTTCTATTAAGCGAATCCACACATGTGTGTACACGCACACATGTGTATGACCCCTTTCAGAGTATTAGAGCTAATCAGCTTGACTGATCTCCACTTGCCTCCGATAGCGATACGCTAATCTGGAATGACAGAACCGAAGCGCTAGCTGTTGCTCAGCAGCAACCTCCTGAAGCTCTGGTAGGTAACCCTCAGTTCGGTCATGCAGGATCCAGAACATGGCCCCAAAATGCAGGTGGAGCACACCCACACCAGGTGTTGGGTGTGTGTGCTGAGCTGCCTTCTGCTCGCCTGCCTGTACGTTGGCAGCTTGTACGTCTGGAGAAGCAGCTTACCCAGGTACACAAGTCACCAGCACACCTGCGACTGTGCTGGTAGACTCGACAGTTAAACTAAACTGTTTATTCGTGTGAGTTTGTTTTGCAGAGACCATCCAAGTTTGATACGGCGTCGCTGTGCCAGTGTGCTGCTGGTCTCTGCGCTGTCACCGGCGGTGGTGAAGGCATGGATGCACTGCGCTAATGTCAAGGTGAGTATACATGAACGAAATACGCACAAGTTCTCTGCATCTCACGTCTCTCAAGTTCTCCTGTCGGCACTAGTTCACCGCAGTAAACAATGTCCTCACAAACCACTGTGCAGTAACCTAATAGTGAAAACACTTATAATGTAATCTGGCTGATGCAACACATTTGAGGCCTTAAAACTTTAGGGCGTTTTTTAATGTTGCAGCATTGCCACATTTAGGCTTACTAAATGGGACGTTCATCCAACCACTGATCTATAAACAGATCAATTCAGCAGAGCATCATGTACATGTACTACATGTATAGCGTTATACTGACGTATTATACAATGCGGCCTTCATCAACGTAGTGTTGATTATAGGACTGCTCCGTTAGTCTGCATCCATCTATCTCGGTCTCCAGCAAACTTAATGTATATATGCTTATTGTCTTACTGTGGCAGGTAGGAGGTGAAAGGTCATAGCCAGCCAGTGGGCATATTCTCTATATACATAAGTGTTTGGTGAGGTTAAGCCTGAGGTCACACTGGCTTAACTTCATAATCACTTGAGGGTTTAAACGATGTTTGTAAAGCGGCATTCTGCTCGCAGGTCAGTGCGACCTTGTGGGAGTTGATGGGAGTTCGTTTGGAAGGTCTGGTTCCTGCGGCCGTACTGCCACTACTACTAACCATGGTAGGCCCGAGACACCCATTCCCAATTAAACCTCACGAATGTTCCTTTCTTTACCAACCTTTTTGTAGAGAAAGGTGCAATAATTCACAGGGTCTGAATAAGAGGGCTGATTTCATAGAGAAGAGGAAAAATCTGATTAAAAGTTTGAAGAAAATTGCTTGGACTACCATACTTTTCTTCATGTTAGATGTAAAGTCAACTCAAGAACCTCAGTGGATCCCCTTTGCCTCTTAAAATGCTTTATTTATGTTGCACTAAAGCAGTTTTGACATTTTAAATATTCAATTTCCCTTCCCTATACACTACAGCATGGCTTTACAACCTGTACTAAACGAACCACATGTGTGCCCTGTTTGCCATATCCTCTTCAATCTTATATTCCGCCGCTGACTTTAACAGGTATTTTATCTCGGCCCCCTGGTTCATTCTGCGATGGACAACCCCAAAGGCTTCACAGGGGCGCTGCAGTCCGCACTGGGTGAGTCATGCGTTGGGTCCCGTTTAGGGCAGCTTTACACGTGTGCCTGCATGCTTTCGATCTGTGAGTCGAAGCTTTATTTTCCTAGACGTTCAGTCGTGGATGTTGTGTGCGGGAGACGCAGTGTGGCTCAGGAACCAGGTGGTGGCGCCGGTGACGGAGGAGCTGGTGTTCAGAGGGGCCATGCTGCCCATGCTGGTGCCCTGCATGGGGCCCACAGCTGCCATCTTCATGGCACCACTGTTCTTCGGTGTTGGTATGGAAACCAGATTTCAAGGCTGTGCGCAACTCATATTTCTTTTTACTTTATTTGACATAGATTTAGTTTCAGAGCTCCACTTTATTTGTCCTTCCAGCCCATTTCCACCATATCATAGAGCAACGACGCCTCCATGAGGATAGTATGAGCGGCATCTTCTTGGTGTCGGGTCAGTCGACTTACAAACTCTCCTCAAAGCCAATCGATCAGTTATGGGATTAATATCTGAGTAATGGATCACATTGTAAGCCACCTTTTAGTACATGAATGAATCAACTTTAAATTTGGCACGTTTCATCTGTGAAGATTCTGTGCTGGTCTGTTGTAGGGGTTCAGTTCCTGTACACGACTGTGTTCGGCGCCTTCACTTCCTTTGTATTCATGAGAACTGGTGAGAGCATATTAACGGCATATTAACCTGCTAACATGCTCTCGCACAGCACGCATGCTCATTACAGTGAATCTGCAATCTCTTTCTGAAGGTCACGTTGTGGGTCCAGTTTTGTGCCATTCCTTCTGCAACAGTCAAGGGCTTCCTGACATCAGCTCTGCGCTGCAACATCCTCAACGATGTGCTCTACTTTTCTCCTATCTGATGGGGCTACTGCTCTTTCTGGTGCTGCTCTTCAGGGTGACCGACCCTTTATTCTATGGAGAAATCCCTGTCTACCGGCTGGCTGGCCCCGCCGCGTCTGCCTGCTAGATTTAATTAAGTACACTCTCGCTCATTTGTATTGTGATGGTTTTCATTTTTTAATGGGTTTCCAAATAAAAAAGGTATTTTTTTAGTGAGTGTGTCTGCATTTATAGATGTGTGGGGGGATGTGTGTGCGTGAGAAGAGGACTGGCCTCAAATATCCCTGCACGGTTGGAGATATTTCCTACTGATTTGAAACACAACACCGGTATAACTTACACTGGCTTATAGAAAACGTGTGTCTGGCAGGGAGAAACAGATGAACTGTGAAATCGAATGAGGTGGAACGTAGGTCAACGGAGGAGAAAGCAGCAGAGGAATACACATATTGAGACAGGCAGACAGGAACAAAGACGTAACACTCCAAAGGAACCAAATTGGAGAAGAACAGCTTCTCTGGGACAAATGAGGCTATGAAAGACTGGCCGTGTTACAGCCAGAAGCAACACGGGCAATGCCAACAGACATTAAGAGAGGGGAAAGAGAAAATGAGGGAGCGCAGAAAGAAAAGATGGAGGGCGAGGACGAGGGAAACGCTTGTGTGTCCCCAAGGAAATTTAGAATGTGGAGGAGCAGAGTGGAGGAGAAGAGGCTTCAGACTGAGAGGTGAAAGCTTGTGACCGACAATTAAGATTTATGAGTCAGACTGATGAGCTAACTACACAAAAAAGTTATACAGTTATAAGCCAGACCAAGAAATGTAAAGCAAGTTTACCTTTTTTTTCCTCTTCATTTCCCTGCATGTGAAGCACCCAAAACACATACAATAGTCATTTTGTGAGACATGTACGTCTATTTTGTGTGTAATATAAGACCAGATCATGAAACATATGACATTTAGGCACATGCACATATTTGTATTCTTGACAAGAGTTGTGTGAGAAGATAAAGACCACTACGTCTGGAGGCTGCCGCCGCTTAGCTTAGCTTAGCATAAACATTTCAAACAGGGGAAAACACCTGGCCCGGTTCCTCCCGAAAGCAAAAGACAATGTTGGTAACTCTGAAACTCAATAAGATGTTTGTATTTCATCCGTGCAACAACCAAACCCTAAAAGACATAATGGTTGTTTTTACGGGATTATATGGCAAATATCTTGGCCAGGTCCAATTGCTTGGCAGTCGAGTTCGATATAAAGTGTTAACAAGTGTAGTAGGCAGTTTATTTTTTACCTTTAAACAGATGTTTCCCTTCTATATATATGCTTCTGTAATCTATTTGCTAGTTAGGGAGAGTAACAGCACCAGTTACTTCAAATAATAACTGTTCAAAAAACGGGTGTTCATTATTATTCATTTGTTCATTTCTGTGAAATGTTGGAAAGATTAAAGGAAACAAGGATGTTTTTTTCATGTCTTTGTTTATCCGTGTAAATACTGCTGACTTCTCACCATTTGCTCTCACTGCTTTGCTTTCATTCATTTCAACTCAGTCATAACTTGGGATCTTTCCAGTGCAGCAAAGTCTTCAGATGCTGACCGCTGAGACTTTGGGGATTTGGGGCACTTTGCTGCACAGGATCAATCTTGACAGCAGGTTTTGTCAGAAGCAACTGCATTGCCTATTTACCTTCCCCTAATTTCCCCCCATAGATTTACACAACGATTAAATCTAACAACCTCCGATTTGGCAGCAGTACGATATGATGACAGCAGAAATAATAGGGAGCAGAGACAAACAGGCTGCTCATTTGTCTCCCCACACACAATTGGCGTGCAGAAGATTTTAGAATAGTGTTTAGGGAATGATCCACTTTCTTTTGTTGATGCTGAGTCAGGCAGTTTACCGTTTCTTTTTCCATTTCTTCCCTGGGAGGGAGACCGCTGAAAATAGAGTTCAGGTTTCGTACGGATGTGGATGTGGGATACAAATAGTTTCAACAGTAGAAGTCTAGGGGGAACAGGAGTGAACGGTGCACAGAGGAGTCTCAAGTTTTTGTGTGTCCCCCTTGTCGTTTGTGGAGGCGTCTTCCTTCTGTTGACCCATTTACAACTATACACACACTCGAATGGCTTTGTCTCTGGGGAAATATATCTGCATCATGAAAGGCACTATAAAGGAGTGTAAAATGTCTGTCTGTGTGCGTCTGCGTGTGTGTGCTCGTGTGTGCTTGTGTGTCTATGGAAAAGCTGAGCCTATCATCTGGAAAAGGAATAATTTGTCAGGAATTCTGCTCTTCCATTGCCCTCCCCATGTCTCTCTCAGCAGTTCAATGAACCTAAATAGTTTTCTGGTTATTTCTTATCAGGGTTTCTATTTATCTGAGGTTTGTTTGTACATGTGTGAGTCTTTCTGTACTGCGAACTCCAACTGAAGTTCAGACAATCGAGCATTCGCATGACTTTAGCCTTTCCTTCATCCGCAAAGCTAAAAAAATGTTTTTGAACCAACCAATTTGTCACTGCAGTTTCTATCAGCAACCTTGTTTGTTTAAAAGTGCCACATGACTCCTAACTAGACTTTTAGGAGCAACTGATATTTATTGTCTCTAGGACACAAAGTCTAAAGAATGCAATGCAAGAATAACTTCTGATGAGAATGACGAAGGAAGACAGCTAAAAACAAGCAGATCAACATTCCTTCTATACTCCATTTGACAGCAAACCCAGTCAGCTTTGATATTTGTGATGAAGACTTGCTGACTTTCTGGGCGTGGATGAAGATCACATCAATGTCTGCTATGAAAGATGAAACACATGGACCTTGTAGAAGTGGATAAAAGTATCGACTTTTTCCTCCACTCCACAGAAATCACCCGGAATGCCTACACTCCATTATTTAACCACAAGGCCGCAGCTAATTGCTTCAGTGTGTTTGCCGGTGTGCCTGTGACTGTGTGCCTGTGTGTGTGTGTGTGCATGACATAAGACACCGGCGGTTGGGAAAAATGAACATCTGACGTGTCCGGCTGTATTTGATTTGGTGCAAACGGTTCAGTAGAAGTCAATGGTGTGAGTCTGAACTCCCCTGATCCCCGGCAGTAAGGAAATGTAGTTTCCCTGACATCAGCGTGGAAGCCTGGTGTCCTCAGGACCAGTGGTGGTCCTAAAAGTCATAAAAGCTTTCTTTTTATTCTGAAAGCAGAAGCACACTGTGTGTATTTGACATGTGAATTAGTTATGATAGAGTGAAACGGTCCAATACTTTGGAGCTGGAAGTTACAGTTCAGCTGCTTGGAAGCTAGAAGTTGAAAATACATCAAGTGGCATGTGGCAAGTGGTTAGGAGTCAAGGAGCTAGGCAGTAGGCTGTTACCTAGGAGTGTGAAAAAGAGAGAGCAAGAGGATCTGTGTGTTCCATTAGAGGTCTTCAGGTTGAGAGATGGAGCAGCTTGGAGGTACTGTAAGTAGATTCATGTTAAAAAGGGGGATTGGTAGTGCAGGACTATGGAAAGGGAAAATTTTGTCTGCTCTCTCAATTACATTTCTCGAATGTCTCTCTGGGGGCGTGACGGTGTGAGCAGGAGGAGGGGGGCAACCAGGCTGAAGTTTAGAACAAACAGACGGAGAGTGTGGGGGGGGGGGGGTATTGGGGCAAAAGCTGAGGAGCTCCTGGAGAGATCGTTGACTTGGGAGCCCGAATAATAAGACTAAAAGAGAAGAGGGGCAAAGGAGAAGAGGAGAAGAGGAGAAGATAAGGAGAGGGAGGAAAGGATACAAGAAAGGAGGGACGAGGGGGGATTAAAGAAATACAAGCAAAGGAAGAGAGGAGACAGAGGGGGACGGCGGCCGTCCAAGAAAAATGCAAATGTGAGGATAACAAGGAGATGATGATGGATGTGAAGTGGGCGGAGAAAGAGGTGGGGGACAAGACCAAAAGGCTCTTTAGGATCTCCAGGATCTTGAGGTTTCGTGTTTGCTTCCCTCTAGTTCCGATGACTACTGAATTGTTGTATTTTATTGTGTACATTCTGTCTGCCAAAACGAATACACAACAGCCGGCCAGCACATCTGTTGAACACAGAGAAGCAGCTGCAAACAGATTTAACTACACAAATGACACAACTTTTCTTCTGTCTCGTCCTGCGTTCAGCTGCATATGATAATGACATCAGGCTGCATAAACTGTGTTATGCCAGGTAACACTTTCCACATATTGCTTTGCCCAAGCTCTCCCCCCACTCACAATTTACATATTGTTCAACAACCCAGAATGTTTTGGTGTGGTAGACCTTCATTTACAGTCCCTCGGCCAGTTGTTTGCTGCCAGCAGCTTTAAATCCGTGACATTCTCATCGGCTGTTAGCTTGTCATTCTTCGTTTTCGTTTTTTGAATCACATCTCAGCTTCGACTTTTGTGCCACGGAGGACGGATCACATGCGACGGCAGTGGACGTACCCCCATTCTACCCTGCTGCTCCCCAGCTACTGAGAGGTCAAGCTGATGCACATCTGGCATTTCCTGTTTCCTCTCCTCCATATGCCCCTGAGTGGTAGAAACACAGACACACACACACACTGTGTCCTCTTCGAAATATGTGCAAGATGAAGTTATCGTATAGCAGCATAAAAATAAACTCACTTAAACACACACAGACGCACACATATATGTGGAAAGGTATTTCTGTTCCATACTCAGAAGTTTCCATTCCAGCTGGTGTGTGTAGGAAGAGGCAAGGAGGGGTGGTGGCAGAAAAAGAGACAGTGGAGCAAAGAATGGGGGATGATTAAGAATGAGAAATAAATTATGGATCACAAATACAACAAGATGCTGACATGGACCAGGAGAATCCAACAGAAAGGCAGAAGGTGTTAGAAAATAAAAACAAGGCAGAGAGGAGAAAATAAGTGGAGACAATGACAATCTTTGCATCTCTCAGAGCTGACAAACACTTTCCACTCCTGTGGATGCTGTGCAGCACCATGTGAAGGTTAAGTGTGTGTGTGACCAGATGCGATTGCATGTGTGTGTCTAAAGCCATAGGCAAGTTGGCGGGGGGGGGGGGGCAGAATGGTGGCGTATGGTTTTTATAACTCTCTGAGGGTTTTCAATTTTGAAATCCCCCCCACACCTCGACAGACAAGCACACAGACCGATCCGTAACCCCTCCTGCCTTCTCTTATACACTCACACATTTTACCAGCCCCCTCTCCCAAATAACACACAATTCTTTTTCCTCTACGTAGCCTCCCCCCCTTTCCCCCCTCCCCCATCTTTCGCTCTTTCTGAGGTTCGGTCGGGAAGACAACTGTGCAGACGCCGGAGAGCCCTGGCAGGATCAGACAAAGCAGAGGGTCCCTTACTGAAATTCATCACTTTCAGATTTGGAGTGAACTCTTTTTTTGGCTCACTTAAAGGCAGATTGCTCCATAGATTCATTTTAAACCCTGGACTATATTGGTTCTTCCCTGGACTCCATATTGGACTGTACTGCACTCAACTGGACTTCACTTGACTGCATTGGTTTTCTATTAGATGCACACAGGATCTGGTATATTTTGCTTTTTTGTGGCAGTAGTGCTGAAAGTCTGCTGATTAATTGAGTTTGAAGGATTTTTCCCAGTAGTGATATTTGTATTTTTCCGACTGCCATAAATTTGAGCAAAAGTTCAATTAGCTGAGATTATTTATTGAAATACCATAAAAAGCCAAAAACTGTTTGTTCAAGTTTGTTTAATTGACTGTGAAGTGAGTTAATTTGGGTCAGGTTTGTTTGGGCATTTCTCCTCTAATAAGTTATTTGGGTTGCCAGTGAGTTTGGAGTACTAATTTGAATGTTGGCCTAGTTTAAACGTCATGTCTTGGTGGGGGATGCAAAAGACCATCAGGAGCGGCAGCAGCGGCAGCAGCATGCCTCTCCTGTGTGCCCTGTGGCTGCTGATGGTCTGTCTGGCTCCTGGAGGCCAAAGCCAGAGGCTGAGGGAGACGGGGGCGGAGCAGCCGGCGGCGAGCGGTCAGCTGGCGGAGAGAGACGCGCTTTGCCACCAGAAGGGATGCTATGCTGTCTTCTTCCAAAAGAGAAACTTCCGGGAGGCCGGCCGGAGCTGTCGGGAGCGAGGCGGCACCTTGGCGACGATGCACACCGACGAGGCAGCGGCCGTGGTCCATAAGCTGCTTTTTGCCATCGAGGGGACCAAGTCGAGGCTTCGCCTCTGGATCGGGCTGCACAGATCGTCGCGCCAGTGCTCATCCACCCGAGCACTCAGAGGATTCGTCTGGGTCACAGGCAAAGTCTCACTTTTTTTACATTTGACCTTTCAGGGTCTGTTTAGTTGAGCCATTTTGGTGGATTTTTGATAACTGATATAAGGAAAAAGTCCCCCGAAACAGGAAAAGGTACACAATGATTGGAGGTTTCTAACAATTTATTGGGAAAAACGGTGGTACAATAGAGGCCTAATATGTTCAAAAAGGATTTTGTGAGTTCATCACCAACTTTATTAAGTTTGTACTGTGTTAAGCATACGTTTGCGTTTTAAATGAACATCGACCTTTTATAATATAGACTTAAATCTCTGTTGGCAATCATGATGCTTACTTCAATAAAACTACCTTTACACACACACAAGCCACAGACGTATCATTTGTAACCGGAGTAATAGATTTTGCTGCCCCTGACCCCCTCTCTCTCAGACCGGTACCCCGGCCAGCCTCCACTGCGCTGACTGGATGGTTATTACATTAGCTACTTGTGTTTCACAGACACAGAGTTGGCACGACAGAGGAAGTTAAATCCCTTTTGGACCTCAGTGCTACTCAACCTGATTTAGTGTCTGCTATGGTTTTGAGTTAGAACAGACATCACATTTAAAGAGTTATGTGGACAATCTGTTTTTGTTCTTTCCTCTGCTGTGATTTAAAGGATTTGCTTTCCTAAATTATAAAAAAAATCTCTTTTGATGCTTCTTTGTAGTCCATCTTCAGAGAAATAGTAGTTCCGCTGCAGACTGACGTCACTAACATACGTCAACAGTTGCATGATAACTACGTTCGAATAGGTCTGAAAAGCCAATGAAATGCCCGAAGATAAAGTTCATAAGCTAAAAGAAGGAATTTTGAATTGTACTGACCTGGCCCTTGCCTTTGTTTTCCAACAGGAGACCAGGATGGCCAGTTCACCAACTGGCTCCACGAAGAGAACCCTGGGACTTGTACGGTCCCTCGCTGTGTGGCCATGAACGTCCACACTTCTGAGAGTGGACGCGAAAGCAAGGACAACTTCCAGTGGGTCGACGGCTCCTGCGCGCTGCCGTTGGATGGATACGTTTGCCAGTACATCTACAAAGGCATGTGTCCACCACTGGAGGACGAGGGCAGCGGTCCGGCTCTTTACACCACCCCCTTTCACCTCCTCAGCTCACTGCTGACGCACGTGCCCCACAACTCCATGGCCACTCTACCGTGCCCCACGGACGGCTCGGACCCAGAGGCTCCAGCCGAGCAGACAGTGCTGTGCACGGAGAGAGACGACAAGACGGTGGGCTGGTCCAAGGATGCCCCGCTGTGCTCTCTGCACAGGCAGGACTGGTGTAGCCGAGATCATGGCTGCGAGCAGCACTGTCAGAACACGGACACAGACTACTACTGTTACTGCTCCGAGGGCTTCATGATAAGTGAGGACGGGTACAGCTGCGAGACGGATTCCCTGAGACTGACTGACCAGCCCGAATTATCCGCTGACTCCGCCGGTCCCACTGACCGGCCCCCCGTCAACGAGGCTTGTGTGGAGATGGGCTGTGAGTACAACTGTGTGGAGACCCAGCGGGGCACCCGCTGCATATGCCCCCACGGTTACCAAATGGCCCCAGATGGCCGCAAATGTTCAGATGTAGACGAATGCCAACAGCAACCGTGCTCGCATCTGTGTGTCAACATCCCGGGCACCTTCCACTGCTCCTGTCCCTCCGGATTCCAGCAAGACGATGAGGGCGAATGCGTGGACATCAACGAGTGCCTCTACCCGGACAACTGTGAAGGCCTTTGTAACAACACAGTGGGGTCGTTCACATGTACGTGTAACCAAGGGTATGTGGTGGACAGTGAAGACAAGTGTGTGGATCGAGATGAGTGTGCGGAGGGGTCGCCCTGTCAGCAGTATTGTTTCAACTTTGTGGGAGGGTACCAGTGTCACTGTGACAGTGGCTATAACCTGCAGTCAGACGGGCTTTCCTGCAAGCCTTTGGCAGATGATGGGGAATATTCCACTCTGACCCCTGACCCCGGGGACTTCGCTGACATGCCCGAAATGCACCCCGACCACGATATTCTCTGGACCGCCTCATTCACCCCGGACCCAAACTTCGAAGCTGACACTAACTTCGACGTTGGCTGGCTGACAGAAGCCCCTGAAGCGTTCTCCCCTGACATGGCTCATGGGTCAGACAATCATCTAAACCAATGGGATGCCATGTCACCAAAGCGTTCTCAGACGGCCCCACCCCCAACGCAAAAAGACAACACGGGCAATGAAATTGATAATGAGGCTGAAGATAAGACTAAAGGTAATGACGGCAGAGATAAAGGGGGAGCTGAAACCCCGAACGGGTCAGCCTCTGGAACGAGGCAAGGCGAGGGATCTAAAGTGGACACCGCGGAGAAGGCTGGGTCTGCTGCAGGTGAACGGAAGCACAACAAGAGCTGGTTACTGGTGGCCCTGCTGGTGCCCCTGTGCGTGTTCCTCATAGTGATGCTGGCTCTGGGGATTGTCTACTGCACCAGCTGTGCTGTGGACAAGAGCCTGAGCTTCTCAAACTGCTATCGTTGGATACTTCCTACAGCGCCTCCTGACCAGAGGAACGGCAAAACCCAAGCATGAACCCTAAATTAAACAAACACACACACAGATGTTTGTTCACATGTGTCTTGTGTAGCAGGGCTGGTCACAAAACCTACCATTTGGATGTAATAGCCAACTATTTTCTGTTGCAAATTCCTTGTAAATAATTCATTTTCTGACTGTTTTTTTTTAGAATTCAATAAAACCAATAAGCTGATGAAATCCTGGGTGGTTGTATAAGTCTATGTGGTTGTATAAGCCTATCTAGGTTCTAACACTAAATGATGTCCAATCGGGAGAATAACGAAAGTGTGTTTGAAAAATATGTCTTTCGCGTGTAAAGGAAGAAGAAGGTTTTTCAATGAATCACTTCCAACGAGAGAACAAGGACCTGGAGGAGAGAGGGTGAACAGCTGCCATAAACCGGAACAAGTTCTCCGCCATGTGTCACCTTGTCCAGAGTTCCGGTTGAACCACCAACGATGCAAAGTGTTTACCGCTGGCAAACAATTCCGAGAGCTGTTCGACAATGGAAAAGATGTCCGACGAGGATGGGATTCGAACCCACGCGTGCAGAGCACAATGGATTAGCAGTCCATCGCCTTAACCACTCGGCCACCTCGTCCTGTGCCAAATCGAGGAGGCTGTGGTGGTATTTGATTTCTCTCTGTCAAAATGTTGATCTGATTATTTCAGTTGTAGTGTTACAATCTTATGAGCTCACTAGTTTTCCAGATAACGGGTTTTTGATACTCTCTCTTGACTAAAATCATTACGACTTGAAGCATGGCAAAAGGTCCGGGACATGCACTGATTGGCTATTTTTCCCATCAATCAAATTGTACAAACTGTGATTGGTCGAGGGGCGGGTCTTATAATGAATAAATACAGGAAGTGTACTGCCGAGCGTGAGACTGCAAATTGACGGAGCTATTGATAAAATAAGGTAAAACGCAACTGAGTGCGTACCCACCTTTATACCTCTCCAAAATAGCTGTTTAGTTGCTAACGTGCATAAAAACTCTTTGCGCCCTATTTTGACGTACTGTTTGGTTACGGCACTTGTGAAAGCACGTTGAAATGTTGTTAGCACTCAGCTCCTAACGTTAGCATGAAAGCTAAGCCAGGTGCTAACAGTAACGTTAACCATTAACGTTAGTTAACCTAGCGGTTTGCAGCTGTCTTAATACTGAAAGTGTTTTCAGTCCTTCACTTAAAATTAGGTTCGAGTATGTAGTGGGCTGCTCATTTCATAGGATAGTTTCAATACGTGTGGGAGCATTGATTTATTTTAGTTATTGCTTTGAATGGGACGAGAACATAAAATCGAATGAAAATGTAAACCGCGCTGTCACATTTTCAACATCCCAGGCCTTAGTTAGCTTTGTGCTCGTCTTATTATACTGTAGTAAATGTGGAACTTCCATTACACTAACGTTACATACTAAAGCAAAACTATTATGGCATCTTCAAATGAAGTTCACTTTTCGTTAAGTCGTCTGAAAATATAAAACATCTTAAGACACGGCCGATAAAATATGAATGAATCCGTATTAGTTCGTTTTACATAAATGTTATAAATGCACATTAGTGTTTTGTACAGTAGACAATCTGCTTAAAGTTGCATAAAGCTGAGACAGGTGTGCAAATACTTCCAGTACACATGGTTCTGTGACCCAATGAAATAGCTCTAAATCCAAATTTTGCATTTATTTTTATTTCCTCTCCATTCATCTCATTACTGCTCCGTTCATCTGCCCTTTCGTTAATTTGTCTCACCTTTTTGTTCTCATCGGATTTACACTTCCTTTCTCACTATTCCTGCCTTCTTTTTCTCTCTCCCCTCTCTCTCTCTCTCCCTTATGTTTTTATCTTTCCCCACTTCCTGTCTCCTAATTCAGTTCCTCGTCGTCAGTGCCAAACCTCGGACTCAAGATGGTGGACTCCCAGTATTACCTCCCAAATGAGATTGGTGTAGCTGCTCTTGACTGCACCGAAGCCTTCCGTTTGCTTTCACCCCAGGAGAAGATGTATGCCCACTACCTGTCGCGCGCAGCTTGGTATGTCACTGATTTTAGGATTTTTCAAGTTCAATTAAAGCCTTACTAAAATAATCAATTCCGCCGTTGTTTCAAAGAACAACAACAACCCAAGACTTGAATAACTGAAAGCCAGCGGACCTTTTGCTGTGTTAGGTACGGTGGGCTTGCAGTGCTGTTGCAGACATCCCCGGAGTCTGCAAATATCTTTGTCTTGCTGCAGAAAATCTTCAGAAAACAGACACCTGAACAGCTGGAACAGGTCGCAACATCAACTGGACTGAGCTCTGAGGAGTACCAGGTACACTATCTTTTCTGGAAATGTCTCTCTCATACAAATGCACACGTAACTAAAAGACGTTCAAAATCATTTATTTTTTCTGATATTTTAGGCATTTTTGGTGTATGCAGCTGGTCTGTATGCCAACATGGGAAACTACAAGTCCTTTGGAGACACCAAGTTTATCCCAAATCTACCCAAGGTAAAAAAAAAAAATGAATCCAGTTCAGTTCATTCATCAACATTTTTTAGATGTACACAATAAGGTGAACGTCCACTGTAGTGCAATTCTCAATTTTTTAAGACTTTTTCAATTAAAAACTGCTCTGACAAGCCGTCTACATTTGCCCACGTAGGACAAGCTGAAAGCTCTGGTGAAGGCCAGCCGGGCATTTCAGGACGAGCCCACCGAGATGGAGGCTTTGTGGGACAGCTGCTCGTGTCTCCTCTACTCCCTTGAAGACAGACAGAAGCAGCTGGGGTTGGGAAAGAAGGTGGGATGTTGTATAATTTTCTTCACCATAAATTATTGTCTAGTAATATTAATTGTGTTGTTGGGACATATAAGATTATATGCATGTTATTTTGCATTATAAGCACCGTAATAAAGTAAATAAAGTGATATAAAAGTAGATAATAGAAAATAAAATGCTCTGCGGTTGTGCACGTTGAGACTGCAAACAAAGCCAACGATCCCAAACTTCCAGTGAGTTCTTGAGTGGACCCTAATAATAAACAGTCTTACTGAATATATTTTCTTCTCTTCAGGGAATTACAACCTACTTCTCCGGAAACTGCAGTCTGGAGGATGCTGAGCTTGCTCAGAAGTTTCTTGACTCCAAAGTAAGTGATATTTATTTTCCTTGTTGTACTGGTCTCTTGTAATAACCTGCTTGTTCCTTCCTTATGTACTCCAATTCTCCTCATAATTCCTTTCTTGTTGCACGTTGTTTTCCTTAATCTTCGTTCATCTCTGCCCTCCATTTCAACAGTGCATACCGTTTCTGTGTCTTTCCTCACTTTGTGTCTGGTTTGGCTTATTCTTTACTGTCTTCTTTCTGTTTATCTACAGAAACTGTCAGCCTACAACACCCGCCTGTTTAAGAGGGACAAGGAAGGTAAAGCCTGCTACGAGGTGCGCCTGGCCTCAGCTGTGCAGAAAGGTCAGAACTACCGCCTTGCATGAGAACTAGAGTTATAAACATTTACAAAGAATCATCAAGCACATTGCAGTTGTGACAGAATGTAATCTGTACTGCATGTTCGTCCCACGCGTGCTCTAATACACACATTCCAGCTAATGAACCTAAACAAGTGGTGATTACCAACAAATTCATGTGAAGAGATTATTCCTGTAATGTTATGTTGGCTACTCGGTCAGTTAAAGCCATGAAATGTACACTGCTGCTTTACAGACTGCACAGTAGAGGGGGAATGCAAGTCATTTTGTGGCAGCTTCACCTTTGAAGGCAAAGAGTTCACTCTGAAGAGGGGAGACTATGCTCCTCTCATGGAGAAAGTCTCTCATTACCTCCAACAAGCACAGGTAAGAGCGAGCAAGGCAGTGCAGATTGTGTTCAATTTTCAGGCTGTGTTGTTTTCACTGTTTAGAACCACAGCAGAAAGATTCTCCTGAATATGAAGTCGTACAGCAGAATTTGGTCCTTGAGCGAGACACTGAAGTTGCTCCTTGAGTGCTTTTATAGCAGCGGTCAAATGTCTTTAATTTGAAATATACTATACATATATTTCTTTAGTTGTAACCCTACTGCTGTGCTTGTAATTATTCCCCTGTTTCCAAATAATGAACACAGGCCTACGCTGCCAATGAGAACCAGAGAAAGATGCTTGAAGAGTACAGTCGCAGCTTCACCTTTGGCTCCGTTGACGCCCATAAAGAGGGCTCGCGCTACTGGATTAAGGACAAGGGACCAATTGTTGAGAGGTGAACCACAAAAACGTCAAATTAACACAAAGCGATCTTACTTGTGATGTCAAATCGTGCTCATCATGTAATAACATCTGAAACTCTTCTGTGTGCTTAGTTACATAGGTTTCATAGAGAGCTACAGAGACCCGTTTGGCTCCAGAGGAGAGTTTGAAGGTAACCAGCATGGTGCTCATTTCTTTGCTTTAGTGACCAGCTGAAGACTATTTTGGAGAACTTTCCTCAGGGACTCAGAGACCGTTGGTAGAAATCTCACTGCAGGGACCAGAGCCTTAATTAAAATATCCGTTGCTGATTGGTCAAACGACTCATCGCCGCTGTTTCAAGTTGTGTCCTGAGAAGCCACCGTTCTGTAGGGGTCAAATGTCCCTTCGAGACGATGAATCTTATTGTCTTATCTGGCCGCTTCATTGATTAAACAAGGAAGTACTTTGGTGTAGATAGAGGATGAGAGGAAAGCATTTTCTTGGTTTGATAACATTGAAAGCAACGTTATGCTGTTGGGTTCACAATTAAAAAAAAAAAAAAGAACTGAATCTGATTTTATTTTACTAAGCCGTTATGAAGAAGGTTGTTGAGTAATTTGCAACATTCCAATTTTTGTAATGACTCCTCAAAGTTCATGGTCAAGATGTTTATCTACATATACTTTGCTAACATTAAAATGGGCCCTGTGTTTACAGGAGGGTTTCTATTGCGGTCTTCAAAATTAGTCTTTGTTTGTTTTAGTTTTTTTTTTTTTTAATCTATTCACCCTTTTGTAACGCCTGCAGGTTTTGTAGCCGTTGTGAACAAGGCGATGAGCGAGCGCTTTGCCAAGCTGGTGAGCTCGGCCGAGGTGCTCCTCCCCGAGCTGCCGTGGCCGAGGGAGTTTGAGAAAGACACGTTCCTCAAACCCGATTTCACCTCTTTGGACGTGCTCACCTTCGCCGGCAGCGGAATACCAGCTGGCATCAACATCCCCAACTGTGTGTACGCCGAAGTGGTTTCAAACCAAACGCCCAGTCAAATCCCACTGGCGGGTTGGTTTAACGAAACCTTGTCTGTTTTTCTGCGTAGATGATGACATCAGACAGTCGGAGGGCTTTAAAAATGTGTCTCTGGGCAACGTGCTGGCCGTAGCTTATGCTACACAAAAGGAAAAACTCACCTTCCTGGAGGAAGAGGACAAGGTAACTCAAGCGGCGTCCTGATTCTGTTCCTCGGACCCTTGTTTACCTCACTCCCACAATGATTCATTCTTGTGTGTGTTTGTGTGCTAGGACTTGTTTATCAAGTGGAAGGGGCCATCGTTCGAGGTGCAGGTTGGACTTCATGAGCTGTTGGGCCACGGAAGCGGCAAGCTGTTTGTCCAGGTCAGTCTCTCCCTGCTGACGTCGGCCCGGAAGGACCTTCGGTGAGGAAATGAAAACCGATTTAAACTTTTCTTTGCTCCATGTCTTCTCCACAGGATGACGCAGGTAAATTCAATTTTGACCAGAGCAAGGTGACCAACCCAGAGACTGGAGAGCTGGTGAGTTGTAGTTTGTGTAGGAACCAATTTGGCACAGAAAGGGCAACGTAGTTGAAGGGATCCATTTTTTCTTTAGGTGTCCAGTTGGTATAAGGGCAGCGAGACGTGGGACAGTAAATTCTCCACCATTGCTTCCTCTTATGAGGAATGCCGCGCCGAGTGTGTCGGACTCTATCTGTGTCTCAACAAGGAAGTGCTCAGGTACGTTATGTTTTCATGTGACTTGCACTCGTCTGACATGTCTGTGAATGTGACGTGGACGGACAGCAGGGACCGACTCTGTGAGCCGTATGTCAGAATCTAAATCCTGGTTGTTTGTTACCTATGATTATCTAAAGTTGAATGTTTCTCTTTCCTTCCAATAGATTACAGCTTTTATAAACCACCCTTTGGTCAGAATATAACAAGATACCGCTCAGCTTGTTAAAGCAGTTTCACTAAAATGTTTATTGTCCCGAATGTGTAATCTCAGTTTGATGGGATCAAAGAACAATTACCTTCTATCACTTATGATGTCATTGCTCTTTCTGATGAAACAGCATTTCTACTTTATAGTGAGCAGGATCACGGTGCAGCTGCACACATTAGTTTTTGCATTCATTACGCCATCATAAACCTTTTATTGTTTTAACCTATTTTCTTCTTAGTGGCTCTTTTTTATTTTTTTTTAAGATTAAATTATTCCAGTTGATGAACCAGCTTTTTCTTCCGTTGCAGTATTTTTGGCCATGAAGGCCAGGATGCCGAGGATGTGGTGTACGTCAACTGGCTCAGCATGGTCCGAGCCGGCCTGTTGGGCCTGGAGTTCTACACACCTGAGAGCAAGAGCTGGAGACAGGTGACCCGTCTGCCTAACTGTCCACAACATGCAGTCTCTCTCGCTCCTTACTTGGGCCGGTTTCTCATTTAATCTAGCTTGATACGTGCTTACCGTTGATGTATATGTAGCTCCAGAAATGAGACGTTTCAGGCAAACTGTGTTTACAGGACGAGTCAACTCGCAGACCGTTAAGCTTGTGTTGCTTACAAGCAGACTGGCTCGGGTGTCCGTGCTTTATCGTGCAGTTTACATTAAGTATCGTCTCTGTTTAAACTTTAGGTGAGTGTCAGTATGTGTAAACGGTGTGTGTGTGTGTGTGTCTTTAAAGGCCCACATGCAGGCGCGCTTCGTCATCCTGCGTGTTCTGCTGGAGGCCGGGGAGGGCCTGGTGGGCCTGGAAGAAGTCACGGGGGAGGACGGCAAGGCCGACGCTCGAATCACTCTGGACAGAAGCAAGATCCACACCGTGGGCAAGAGCGCCATCCACAGGTTCCTCTGCAAACTGCAGGTAGCTTCTGGTTCATGACTACTTTTGAGGTCACAAATGCCCAGACAGAAGGTTCTTTACAAAAAGTGCAACATATTGCAGACCGTACACCAGAATTAAATCAAGTTACTGTAGATGCATGTCAGCTTGATTGCACATACACATTGTGAGATTATAACATTTGTGGTGCATTAACATATTATTTTTAATAAAACAACAGTTAATATTTGCTGTTTGGGGTTTTGTTTTGACGGTTTGGTTGGTGATTGGCTTCAGCAAAAGGTTCTGTATGTTTTTTCTAGACTAAACAATGAACGGTAGATTCAATAGTTGATCTGAAAATGACTAAATACATCAAATAATTGCTGGTTGTGATCATAACATAAAACCCAACACAAAAGTCCACACATTTTCAGTTTATTATTAGTAAAAATGTTGGTCATTAACTATTTTAGTCAAATTAACATGGTTATTATATACCCTTAACTAGGGGTGCACCGATCCGACTTTCTCAGTCCCGATACCGATCCCTGGGCTTTGTGGATCTGTCGATACCCGATACCGATCAGATACTATTGTTGAATTAATAATAAACTGTATACCTTGTCACGGACTGAGTCGGGCTGTATTGTCCGCTCCTTTTTTTTTTTTTTTTTTTCTCCTGAGCTGCAAGAATTCAGCGTGCTCCTTAGCATGATGTTTCTGGATGTGCTTGATTAAATTGGTAGTATTGTACCTTGCAGTGATACCACCTCCCCTCGAAACATTTAGTTTGCAGACATTGCAAACAGCTGACAAACTAGTTGGCGTGGCAAGCGTAAAATATCTCCACACAGCCGACTCTCTGGCTCGCTCCATGTAGCTTTTAGCATGCGCGACGCACGTGAAGCTGACAAATGACGTAGGTCCGGCTGCGACGAGGAGAAAAAAATAAAACGTGGATCGGTTCATTTTTCCGATCCCCGATCCAGCTATTTTGTCAATATTGCGGCCAATATCCGTTCCTAATATCGGATCGGTGCACCCCTACCCTTAACCCAACAAGTTGCTCTCCGGCTTCTATTGCGTTTCTTTCTTTTGTAGGTCTTAAAGGCAACTGCTGACGTGGAAGGAGGCCGAGCTCTCTACGACTGCTACTCCACCGTCGACGACAGCGGCGCTCACAACTTCATACGTCTCCGGGAGACGGTGCTGCTGAGGAAGGACGCTCGTAAGATGTTCGTCCAGGCCAACACCAGAGTCAGTGGTATGTTCGGACAGACGCTCACACACAAGCCATTTAATTCACTACCACCGGGGTTTATTGTCACGGCAACCATGATGATTCTATATTGTACTCCAAGGGTAAAATTACTATTATTATTATGACTAGATATGCGCATGCGCAGGCTCCTTCATAGCTCGGCACAGTGACTTTCCAAACCGTCAACAGCAACTGCTCTGGAGTTGGCAACTCTGGTTCGGTAAGGAGAACTCTCTTCGGGACTTTTTAATTGTCACTAATCTGACTGCAAACTGCTACGGAATAAACGCCACCCGGAACGTAATAATTTAGACTGCCCTAAAAGCGGACCACTGCATCTTCTCCAGGCAACACGCGCCCGTCCTGGAGCGGAGCTCCTACAGACGTAAAGTTGACAAGATATTCACAGATTTGGACTTCCCGGTTCAATAGATCGTCGAACACCGCCTCTCTGCGATGTCGACAACCAGCTACAAGGAGCCTTCTGCATGTTTCTATCTCATCATTTTGACTTTCAATTTTTTTTTGTGGTGGGAATGGGCTTCCATACATTACTCATTTTTATCTCAACGATTGCAAAAAATAAACATTGATTTAAACATTGCAAAAAGAACAATTGTCCAACTTCACTCGTCGGCGAGCACTTTAGTAGCTGTTTCCTGCGTTAGCGCCGCACTATCAATACTTTATAAATGATAAACAATAAATAGCAGTATCAAACATTCGGCCAATATTTGTCATCTGACTGATAGTGGATGTGGTGAAGCAGTTGAAAACATTTGATAGTTATTGATTTGGGCTGTGCTCATTCTCCCAGGGGACGGCGTGGAGCTGGTTGAGTACGAAGGCAGCGCGGCAGGTTTGATTCGCTCCTTCACCGAGCGCTTCCAAGACGACGCGGAGCAGCTGGAGGCCGACCTGTTGAAGTTGTGCAAAAGAGACGCGCCCTGCTTTTGTTGATGGACGATCTGCTCTATAGGCTTAAAGAATAGCAACTGAAATCTGATTCATTTTTTCTTTTTTGTATGTGAAAGCAAATGGATTCTTTATGAATGTTAAAACACACAACTGTTTGAGCACTTCTGAAGAGACTACAGTAAAGTCTCAAACCATACACAATAAAGCCATAACTGATCTTCCAAAGACGCCTGAGCCATTTTTCTGCATGTCACACGCTGTCTTCGATATCACAAATACAAATGGATGATTTGACACCATTGCTTTTTTTTTAAAAGCATTTAGGACATATTTCTAATGACACGTGTTGAACTGTCCTGTAAACTAGTGCTGCCTGACAATAAAAAAGCTTCCTGAGTGACGATCTCTCTAATTGATGGGGAACGAGAAAACTAGCCTAAATGCTTATTTGGCTTTAAATTTTAATAAAATGTTCATTATGACATTTTCTATGATGTGACCTTGATTGTCAACTTTTGAAATAATTAAAACTTGTCCTTTTTGTTTGTCTGGCCTTTTGTTGAAAGCTTAAGGATGTTAACTAGCTGCCCCTTAAAACCTGAAAAATAAGCTCTTGGGTATAATTCTGCCATTTGTTTATCAACCAAACCACTAAACAGTTGCTCATTTTGTGATCCTCAAATTCACCCACATTCTGAGATTTACTTTCACTGTATTTTAATAACTGTATTCTAATGTACATGCGTAGTCAAACGGTCTGCAGAAAGGAATTCAGTCAGAAGCTGAACACCATGGAAGGTCCTGTGGTGGATTCCCATCGAATGAAGCAAAAGGTTTTCTTCCACAAGGAAGCAGAACATTGTCTATAAAAAAACGTAGACAAGTGACTCACATCCTCTGATAATTCCACAGACTACAAGTTGATTCAATCTTCCAACTACAATAAATATATATTTTTTGCAAATACTGACATTGTGTCAGTTTAAAAACAACTCAAATATTTAAAAACAAGAATTGTGAATAAAAATATTGGCTTTGAAAGACTTATCGTCCAAAAGTTATACTCTTAGAGATCATTTCAGTTTTATGTTCTGTTTTATGTTCTATGCCGTCCCCACGTGCACGTTTAGTCGCAGTGCATTTAGACCAGTTGGTCCAAACGGTCTGTTCGCTAGAGGCTTGTAGCCTTGTCCTGTTCGTGGGCCGAGGTCTCCGCAGCTCCCTGCAGACCGCCAGTGTCATTTAGAGAAGCAGCCTTCATCTGTAAAACCAGACCGCTCTCCTCCTCTTCACTCTTTTTGTGCAGCTCCTCTTTTGTGCCACTTTCGTCGGGACCCGCTCCGTCCTTCTCCGCCTCTCTCTCAGATCTCACCCGGTCGGGCCTTGCAGACGGCGCGTGATAGACCTGCTCTTCCAGCCGAAGGAAGGACGGCGAGGTGAAGGGGGACAGAGCGAAGGGGACCTTTGGAGAGGGAGACGGGGACGGTGAAAGGGAGGGCGAGGCGCTGGGTGAGTCGTAGGGGGAGAGGGAAACGGGAGCCTTGGGCGAGAGAGATGGGGATTGATAAGGGGAGAGAGACGGCGAAGCCCCAGGGGAGTCGTAAGGGGAGCGGCACGAGGAGACTTTGGGGAAAAGGAGAGGCGCCGCGGGAGAAATGTACGGGGAGAGCGAGGGCACAGTGGAGGAGGCGGCTGTCGGGGAGGCCTGCGCGTGGTCCAAGTTGAGGACGACTCCGGCGCCGTCGGGGCCCGGTTCCTGCTGCCTCTCGGGGTGGAGGTGAGGCGTTGCTGCTGGAAGCTGAACTCGGGCCTCGCCGGGGACGCTGTGCATCTGTGCCGGAGGCAGGCCCAAAGTGTCCGGAACCGCGTGATCGATCCTGCCGGCTTCACTCGGGTTCCCGCCCCGAGACGCACCTTCGCCACCGCCGGCCCCCTGCCCCCGTCTCGGCCCGCCACATTTCCTTTTGGTTTTGGGCATCAGCGGCGGTGGAGGCGGGGGAGCGTGTGGGGGCGAAAGCAGGCTGGAAGACTCGGTGGATATCCGAACCCGGAGGCTGCGGCTGAACATGCGGCGCTTGCAGAGAGGATTCAGGGACTGCAGGAAGAGCGGGTTGATGAAACAGAGCGCGCCCTGGCCCGAGCCGCAGTCCAGTTCTCGGGGGCTGCGCGTCGCGATTGGACAGAACTCGTGGAACACGGTGGGATTGGAACCCGCTCGTTTGTCTTCGGGGTCGGACGGAGTTCCCGTCTCCAGCGGGTTTCCCGGGTCCGGCTTGGGGGCCGAATCCGGCTGAGCTGCGGAACTCGCCTGTGGGGCGGAGGCAGGTGGGTCCGAGGTCACCACGTCCGTCGTCGTCGTCTTCTCCCCGTCTTTCTGCGGCTTCGGTGACTCCCGAGGCCCACGGACGTTTAGGTGGGAATTCCAGAATTCTGTAGGATGGGACATGATCGTGAAAACTCAATTTCTTCTTCATCGTTTAATTTAAAACAATTTCCACATCTTCCTTTGTGCAGAGATTTGCTAAAACACCCTGTTGATGACTTTGAAACCATACATCACGGAATGATGTCATCCTGAAGTATCAAAGAGTATATTTTAATGGCTTAGGTCACATATACTGCGTATTATATTATATTTCATCAATGAAAGTTGATTTGAACAACTTCGGACTACTCATTCAGCCCTAAATTTAATCATCCCTAAATTTAAAAAAGTATTTACATGTGATTTGTCAGTTGCCCAGCAGCTGGGAGGTAATGATGTGTGTGGTATGCGCGCAGAAGAAGGGGTTTTGTTCACCAACCTATTCCCATGTGTGAGATGGACTCAAGCTCCTTGTGGGACGTCGCCTTTGCAATGGCTTCAGGAAGCTCCAAAGGGAAGCGTAGTACGTCTCTGGGACAAAGACAACTTACAATATTAACACCAACGTTTGCTCCCCCAGATCAATAAATATCGACAGTCACAGAAAGAGTAGGAATATCGAATAGGAAGTGATGGTAAGGAAAACAAAAGCTGAGAAAAAATAAGAAGGAAGGACAAATAGTACCTGCTGACACAGTAGAAGGAAATTAGTCTTGGGAGATCTGGAAAGCTGATGGTTGAAGTCTCCAGGGACATTGCTGGGGCGGGTTAAGAGAGGGAGAACAGTAGTTAGATGAAGACGCCTGTGACTATTTCAGCTGAGTAAAAGGTGATGCACATAGTTTTGCCATCATATGAAGCGTGCACGGGTGTTTCTAAGAGATTTCACTTTGTATACGAGGAGATCTGTTCACATGAATCCCTTCGTATTGGTTAGGCAACCAAAGCCAGATGTAGTAATTCCACTTAAGTAACACGACAACTAGCTCATGCAATGAGATAAAAATCTTAAAATGTTAAAAGCACACACATGACTACATAATGGTGTACCAAAGGAGGCCAATGGGTCAGAAATCTATTTAAAATCTGATGAAGTGGTCATACTCTTACTGGACGGTTCCTCCCTGATGCCAAATTGCTGAACGAAGGACGGCACGTTGTCGTCCGCCAGGCGGACACACAGCACGTTTCTCTTAGACGTGCGGGACCTGCGCACCAAGAAGGTCTGCGGGGACGACACAAGGGATGACTGAGTGCACGCTGGAGAGTGCAGGACGTGGAACGACAAGGCAAGAGACGTAAAAGGCCTACGCTTGATCGATCTTATTTAGATTAAGTGTCTGCGGCTCTGACCCCGGGGGGCTCCCTCTGCAGAATGTGCAGTGCGGTGGCCGGGTTGATGGACAGCTGAAACCAAACCGGAACGGTGAGCAGGAGACGGTCCAGCACGCTGATGCTTCTCAGAGAGCCCCGTCCCCTCTGATGCCCCAACAACTTCCGCTGTGGAAGCTGGGTGGGCTCCGGGAAATCGTACAGCGGTTCCTCTTGTGCCATCTGCGCACACACACACACACACACACACACACACACACACACACACCAAAAAGCACACTCATAGCAATTAGTGGCTGTGCCACACCATGCACTCCCTGTACAAGTGGTTATTAACTCTCCTTGAGGCTGACATTAACAACAGGAATATAGATGCCTTCATACACCCTTCCTCTAGCACACACGCGCGCGCGCACACACACACACACACACACACACACACACACACACACACACACACACACAGACACAGACACACACAGACACAGACACACGGGACTGCGTAATAACTCTGCCTTCATTAGGACAGCAAGTCCAGACTTGGTAAAGTGCAGCAGCTCAGACGGATTCATTTAAATGGTACAAACATTTAAAACATAGACACAGAAGCAGGACACACGCGGCAATGTGACATCATTAACTGAACCTCAGTTAGCAACGGTATTGTGGATTGTTTCGAGCCTATTGCTGTCCCCTTATTAGAGACTCACCGCAGCCCGCATGTCAACATCTGTCTAGATCCGCCGCGCGCATTCCTGTACAACGTGCACGTTTCCCACTGCGAGTCTGCCTGCTGTACGAAGACGCCGCACGAGCGTAGTGCGGGTTCTCATTTGTTTTCCTCTAACATTACCACGCTTGCTGTTTTACCTCTTTTCCACGATACTTCTTTGAATCTCCTTCCGAAGATCCACTTAAGGTCGATAAGCTGCTATTTGCCCCCCATGAGCTCTTCCACGTCGGCCTGTCATGACGTGTGGTCTCGGATCCGGAGGCGTTTCTCTTCTTTGGCTCCTCCTTCTCTCCCTCACCTGGAATCAGACATGTGATCAGTTTTCTAGCAACTTTGTTGCTTCGTTGGCAACGTTGTCTCCGATTTAGCAACTTTTCAGACTACGCTGGCAACTTCTATTTCAAACAGCACCTATAGCAACGAATTACGCTATTTAAAAATATATAGCCTAACTAGCACTTTTAGCAACTTTTGTAGTGAATCAAATGCTAAAATTCATGCATTTCCCCTCTAAAAACAGTGAGTGACTTCAACAGCAGGCGCTCAGCCCAGAGATAGCCGGAGAGATGCCTACTGCACACTCTTATTAAGTTGTTAGTTCAGTAAAATAGCACATATACCTTGTATCAGCTTGAACCTAGAATTGTTGATCGGTTTGGTAACTACCAATAGACTGCTTAGCACTATAATTGTTCACAATGTCTAGGTTTAATAACTGAAAAACATGTAATTGTTCAATAATGTGTAACGTGTAATTGTTCGATAATTCAATATGTTGTACTTAAAAATATCTGATCATGTAAAATGTGTGGCTTATATTACTTCTACAAATAAAAATACGTGATAATTAACAAACAAATCTAAACTAAGGAATCATATTTTTGCGGAGATGGACAGTGAAATTCATATTTTACCTAATGACGTCATCACGCAATGACATCACAACGTCATTTAGCAAACAATCGACCTGCCCATGGCAACTTCCCTGTAAAATCTGTTGGCAACATTGCATGTGATACTTTTTGCGATGAGGACCGCGGCACGTGTGCAAAGCGGAAAAGTTGAAGCCTAGTGAGAACACGTTACAGCAATATTTGAAGTGTACATTTGTAATAGTAGGGGAATATCTACTTAGCCATCTACTAGAGTAAAAATCCCTCACAGTGGTATACAAGTCATGCATTTGACGTCCGTGATTAAAAACGTATGTATTATAACGATATGGACGTTATTCAAATAACATAAAAGTTATATACATTTTTGGATATACATTTTTCAAAACAATGAACTAAACGATGACGTCCACTAAATGATCAAATGTTATTGTAGGCCTAGAGGAGTGTGTGCACAATATCATTTAACTTAAACCTTTTAACTGAAAAAAGCGGAAGAAGTCCTCAGCCAAGGGCACGAAGCGGCCATCTGCCGCAAATCAGATGAAACTGCGCCCCCTGTCTTTTTTCCCAGAGCGCAGTTCGCGGAGAAACCGGAGCCGGAAGTGAGGTTTAAAATACAGCTCCAGGACCGCGTTGGGTAAGAAGTCCGTGAAACGCTGCTATGCTAGCGCACCTACTATTGTTTCCCCCTCCCCGTTTACAAACGGAATTTGAACGCACAGCACGATGAGCAGTAGTTAACATACGCTGTGATGGTTTACATCAGTGACGGGACTCTAGCTTCAGTGAATGTCGTCAAACAATGTGATTATAAACCACTGAGCTAGCTAGCTAGCTTAGCTACATCTTTAATGTTTGCGTTTAACAAAATGGCCAGTAGTGTCGTAGTTTTTAGCTAACTGTTAGTCGTATAAATTGGCCGTACGTCTTCCTATAAAACCAGTTGTATGTTACAATTGTGCTCAATTAGTCGGGCATTAGCCGTAACTTTGCAGCTACACGGACCTTATTGGATCCGTTTCGCCGCCAAAGTTAACGGCTTTATTAACGTTAGCTCAGTTGAGCTAATTTACCTGGTTAGCTAACGTCAACCTGCTTTTTGGCAGATGAGAATGTATTTAGTTATTTAACGTTACTTTAATTAAACACAACCCCACTCGCTATTATGACTTGATAATTAAAACCTACTAAGCCATTATTCGACACACGGGGAAACGAGCTTAACGTTTAGCGTTAAACCTTGAACGTTACCAGCCTCCCATAGAGACGATTAAACTGACGTTTAAAGCTCCTTGTTTTCTGTCTCTTGCAGATGCCTGTTTGATACAGAGATGAGCGGTGAGAACGTGAAGTTGTTTGTCGGGAACCTTCCTTTAGATGCAACTCACGACGAGTTAACGAAGCTGTTTTGTCCTTATGGAGAGATCAACACCTGCTCTTTGCTCAGGCAGTATGCCTTCGTCACGCTGAAGGGAGAGGGGGCAGCAGACAGGTAATCTCACAACCATTGAGAGATAAAAACTAATACTGCTCTCCAAGAAAGGTTCTTAAAAATCAAACGTGAAAGTTTACAGACAAATGACACTGAAAGCATTTGCTTCTCGGGTAACTAGTAAAGTATGAATCGGTTTGGAACCCATCAATCAGAAGTATTATTACCTTTAGTGTCATGGTTTTTGAATAAAAATACAATTTATATGTATGTAATATATGTATGATTTTCAAAAATTATCATGATTATGATCCTGATAAATGGTGAAATACATACTGTGTATATTCTACAAGATACACAAACATAATGCATGATAAAAGTGCACAAGAAGCTGCAATGGAGGAAATCGCTGATACATACATGTATGTTACTAAGATACATAGATGATGAACCGTTAGAATTATGATCAAACAAACTTTTCAGTGAGGTGATTTATGTCACAGTATGAAACTCCTGGTACCTAAAAAAAAAAAAAAAAAAAAATTATATATATATATATATATTGGTCATTTTGAGAAGATGAAGAAAAAAGAAAACTCATCTTTCACATTGTTTGCTGGTTTAGTTTAGTTCTGCAATATCGCATAACTTTTAAAAATTACACAAGAGGCTTTGGCCTACAAATATAACAATTGACCCCCTGCAGAATCCAAACTGAAAAGATACTTCTTTTTTTTTAATGATTTACAGTTTGATGGATGAAAAAGACTGTTTTTCATCTGATTAATTTCAAAATTGAGCAAAACTATTTGCAGTAAAACTGATGATGATTAAAAGATATTTCTAACTTTTACTCTTACAGGGCCATACGACATCTCGATGGCAAAGAGTACAGAGGCAGGCCTTTGGTGGTTGAGGAGTCACGTGCACGCCCACCCAACTCCACCAAAGTGTTTGTGGGGAACCTCGCCGCAACATGCTCAGCGGATGACTTGCACGGGTTGTTCTCAACCTTTGGAAGAGTTTTAGACTGTGACAAAGTCAAAGGTGAGTGATATCCCATCACCAATTGTTATTATGCAATACAACTATAGGTAGTGGTGTTTTGATAGTCTAGATTTGTAATCTACTAAAATAAGCTTGTTTGTATCAGTTCAACGTAATGTAACAATAATCTTTGGTCATCTAGACCATTTTAGTAGTTATATTTTTAAATAGATGGCTCATGTTAACACTGATCTTCCTGTGTGCTCCGCAGCCAGGTTATGCTCAAATGTTGGCTATGCGTTTGTGCATATGGAGAGGAAGGAGGAGGCCCTCGTCGCTATTGATGCGCTCAACGGGACCATGTACAAGGGCCGCCAGTTAGCCGTAGAGCTCTCCAAAGCCCAACCTTTGATCAACCAGATTGCAATGGCTGGTAATTTAAACAATCCCGGATCAGCAGGTACAGATGGAGTTATCCATTTGTATTTTGCATTGTATTAAATGCTGAAAACCACAGATGTCCTCATGTTTTGTTCTCGCCGTGTAGGAGGCAGGGAGGGTCTTCTTCCGCGACCACCTCCATCACTAGAGCACCATCAGAGTCAAGCAGCCGTGCTGGCAGCGGCTGCAGCAGCTGCGGCTGGACTACCCATACAAGTTAGTTCATTCTCTAGCAGCACATCCACTCTCTTGGCAAACAACTAATTATCTCTAAAAAATGACCTCAACAGTTTATGAACAAGCATTTGTTACTAGACTGGAGCCTTTTAAAAACGTAGCCAAACATTTCCCTTTCTCTTTTTGTTGTATAGATACATTAAGTTTGACACTGTTTTTGGATGCTTTATTTTAAATGCTTGCATCTCTCTTGTCTTTGTAGGTTCAACAAAGTGTCCATAATTCATTCTACAACACCACATCCTTTGACCCCACATACGCTGCTTTAAAGGGCATTACAAGCGCTAAAGGTGCAGATGGGGTGATATACGGTGCTCTAGCCAGCCAGGTATATGGATCTGTTGCCGACCAGGTGTACCAAGACATGGCCAATCACAATCCTGCAACTGTCACCGCGGTTGAAGAAGTAGAGCCACAAGGTGGACCAGATCCAACAACGCTTTTCGAGGCAGCGAGAGCAAAGTTCTTTCAGGAGGGACAGAAGGTAATAAACGTTTACCAAATTCTCCTCCTAGTTTTATTTTGTGCGCTACATTTCTATAAACATTTATTTTCTGACATATTTTGAATTTAAAGGTTCTGGCGGAGCAGCAGTCAGGGAGAAAAGCAGCGTCTGCAGACAGCGAGCGAGACCGCAGCCCAATCAGAGGAAATCGAGTCCCCCTCCTCCCCGACCCCGTTCCAGGTTCCTTCGGTCAGATACGACCTAAACGCCGAGCCCTTCTGCCGACGCCACCTGGGGGACCCGAAGAGTCCCAAGTTGCTGACACGACACCCGAAGGGTCAGATCCTGTTGCTAGGTACACATAATGCATTTGGATTAAAGATGGGGGCAAAATAAAAATAAGCATGCTATGCCGGCCTTCACGTCCAGGGACTATTAAATAATATGTTTATCGACAAGGATCATAAAACTCACTGTTCATTGTTTTACGTAAAAGGAAATACATCAAATCTAACTTTCAGAGATTCTTGATCGTACCACTGACACCATCTGCCGACTTTTGACGATCCTATCTGTAGAGACAGATTCCCTTTGGTGTTTTGATCATAGCAGTTGGTCTACAAGCTATCCAAAGGATCATTTGAAACTGCTCTGATGTTTGTGTAAACCAGTGGTTCCCAAACTGGGAGGTGCATGAGAGAGAGAGCATAAGAAAGTTAGTTTTGTAGTTTTCATTGATATCGTGATGTAGGCTAATAATTCCATTAATCCTAATATTGATTCCAGTATTCAAAAAGATGGGTAGGAACAAGCTGGTAAAAAGGGAACCACACAAATGTTTCTATTACCATCATAGATAAATATACAGGTATCGTATACGTGGTATCTTATTGAATCAGGAAACCTTTATGCCAAAATATGTCAAACATACAAGGAATTTGACTTGGCGTTTGGTGCGTGACAGTAGACAGTGTAACAATAGACAAGGCAGCAGTGCACAAGTAATACAATGAAATGAAATGCTAATGCTATGGTTCATGATTTTGGTATTGTGACAACCCGAGAACCGTTGATTTTTAGGCTAACATTTCTTTGTATGATTCTTTCCTTTCTTCTATTCCCCCCCCTTGAACTGTAAAACTGCACTCCAGGTCGTACACAGAGTACTACCAGCAAATGCATCAATACCAACAGTATCAACAATACCAGCAGCAGTACCAGTACCTCCAGTATGCCTACACCAATCCTCCTCCTCCTCCGCCGCCCCCACCATCCACCACACAGGCCCAGGTCTCCTCCACCGCGCCCCCGGGGACGTACTCGGCGCCGCCAACGTACGCAGATCCGGGAGCCTACGCGCCGCCCGGAACCTACGACCCCTCTGGAAGTTACGCCTCAGCCGGGAGCTACAATGCTTCATCTGGGAACTACGATACCTCGTCAGGAGGCTATGACGCACCCGGAGGCTATGGGGCACCCGGAGCATATGATTCATCGGGAGCTTACGCAGCAGCGGGAAGCTACTCCGCATCCACACCGTATGAGCAGACACCCGCACACGGGCAACCCATGCCTCAGCGCCATGATTACCCTTACCACACGCCAGAACCCCCTTATCGATAGTCCCACCCCCCTCCCCCACCCAACCCCCCACACACACACACACACTCCTCTGACACTGCAGATGTGTGTGTGTGCATGTTTATTTTACATAAGGGACAGTGTAAAACCAGAGAGGGAACAAGGTCGTAATTTCGAATGTAATTCAAATCAGAAGCATTTTCCCTTTTTCTCCTTCCATGAAACTAGTTTCTAACTAGTTTGTCTCGGATACACGTGTGACACAGTGGGACAGCTGATTTTGTAATATTTTCAAACGTCACAGTTTCTGTTGGATGATGCGAGGCACAGCCGGTTCCCCGTTGGTTGTTAAGAGGCTTAAATGTTCCTTAGGACAGTTGTAGGTGTACTCGGTGGCCAGGGTTGGATGTCGCAGGAGAAGCTTTTTGTTCGCGCTGAATCGAGGCCTTTTATATACTTTACGCCAACATGTTCAACAATTTAGTGTTTGCCGGGAAACCTCTTGATGAGCAGTCCCAAAAAATGAGTTTGTTCATCATCACGCGTTGTAAAAACGGGCCACACAATGTCATGCAGCGATAAAGTACCAAATAACCCCCAAAAAATACTTATTAGTTATTAAAACAGGTGAACTTTAAAAAAAAGATCAATTAGCCTTTCGGACCGCTTTACAAGATGCTTTAAGCCTGCAGTCTTTTCTGTTCTCAGACATCCACAAAGCCAAACCCGAGTGGAGTACATAACAGGCCTCCGTTATAATTCTGCTGCATTGACCCTTTTCTGCCTGATTGGTCGTTCACAACTTTAAGTAAAACGAAGCAGTGGCTCGTTGGGGAGGTTTTTCCTTTTTTTTTGGTTGCCTTTACTGAAGAATCTTCTTTTGGTAAATAGAGAGAATGTTTGTCAGTTGACCGGCTTATTACATGGCGACTGGCTTCACTGGATGACTCACTCAGAGGGATTTATGCATCATTTTCGGGTCATGGCGATCTTTTGACATGTCAAAGGGATAGACGGATAATCATCAAAGACACTTGAGTTGAATGTTTGAAAGTCTCTGCGGTCTTGTTGAAACCGGATTTAAATCTTGGTAATGTCCAGATTGAAGTTATCCGAAGGCTGGCTGTTATTTCCCAGTCAATTTGTAGACCCACTGGCCTTTTAAACTCACCACAGCCAGGCATGAACGTGACACGCAGAAAATTCAGCGGTTACAGTTAATTTACTTGATTTCTTCAAGTAATGGTGCACGTTGTTCTGTTGGAGCGGATTCCCTTGAATTACCTCTGGAGTTTCGTCATTTAGGCCAGCCTACTTCTTGAGGTGTACTTAAACTCAGGAGTAAATTATTTCCCGTCAAGTCGTGGTTCCACTCAAACAACAGAATCATTAAGCAACTTTCTAGTCATTCAATTCTAATTTTTGTGTAGAGTTTGTTTGTGAGAAAACCCTGCAGTCTGATGGTAATCCGGTCAGACGTGGACTGAATGGGATTGAGCCTGTGCGGCGCGTGAGTGTACAACCTGAATGTTGTCTTTGAGCTGGCAGCCGGTTCCAGTGCATCTCTTCTCCTGGGGTTGTGACTGGGTGGATATGAGGCGACAGACTCTGTGCCGCAGGTGAATGCAGGAGTTGTTTGGGGTCTTAGTGAAGGCAGCAGATTTTTTTCAGAGTAGCCGTGGGAAGGGCCGATGACCTTTTCCCTCTTCGGATCTTCGTTATCCGCATTCACACCACACCTTGACTTCTCCACACCCATAATCCTGATGCATTTTAGCCAGGTCCTTTGCATTTTACTCATGTGAAGCAGGCTACACGTGCAAATCATACTGACGCACAGCTAACTCCGCCAGTATTGAGCGACATTCCGTTCCCTAGTTACTCCACTATTTCTAATTGGCCCCCTGAGTTGATAGTGCTGCGTTAGGTTTAAGTGACACATAGCCGCTCCAAATTTCCACATAACTCCACCGTCTCCATTTGAACTGTTAGTTGCATGCCTTGTTGTTGCTGCTGCTCCAGCCACCTTCTTCCTCTTGCTGATTATTGCAGCTAGAGTGGGAGGGAGCCAAACTGAGCCCTTGCCCTGGACGTACGCCACACGCAGCTGTAGCGTGGGATGGGGAAAACAGCAGCGTTAGGCCTGAAACTGCTGTGGACGATGGGGTGTCCCCCCGCTAAGGTAAACACTCAGACCACACACTCCCGCCCCTCCCAGAGAACATCCGTACACACTCTCAAACACAATCACACACGTACCGGTGTCCATTTGTTCCTCTCCTGTCGTCGAGGAGTTTCCATTTTTTTGGAAATGAATATAACATCTTTTTTTCTTTTTTCTTTTTTGAGGGGCAATAAACTTTTTCCTGCTTTTGATTTTCCTGGTCGTATCCCTCCCCCTCAACACCCCCCCTCCCCCAAACATCCTCTGCTCAAACATTCCTGCTCCCGACACACTGACCACTCACCCCGACGCCAGATTCAGACCTGCATGTCGTCTTTCAGTCTAAATCTGAAACGGGCACAATGTTAGTTTACCCGCATCTAACAGTCGTCAGGAGTACCAGGCGATCACAGCCAGAGCTGGACGTGGACATTTAGGTAGGATGGGTTGTGTTAGGTTTTGTAAATGTGCCCTTGGGGGCCACTTTGGGATAAAGTGCCTTGCGTAAGAGCACATCGGTAGGCCCTTCATTTCATAGCTGAATAACCTGGCTCAGGATCGGTTGCCGATTCAACGCTCGACTCCCCTTCTCCCAAAACAACGGTTTTTGATGCCACATTCAACTTGTATAAATGACTATAAACACAAATTATCATTTTGTTTTAAATTACATTTTGTCCTTTGTTCTTTGAAATGTTTAATTATCAATAAATGAATTTGAATTCATCTGTAGATTTTCTGTGTGACTCAGTTGATGATTATTTAATGTATTCCGTTATTTTAGAGTTTTATTACCATCTGCCATTTTCTATTATAATGTATCTATTGTGTTATAATAATTGCGGATTTTTCTGGGGTCTTCAAGTGTTTGTGTAGAATCCACCAAATAACTTTAAAAGCTCAGCATCAGATGAAGTTTTATTCCGTTTTCTTAAAACATCAACCTATGCTTTTAAAATAAAAAAACAATTTGATAACAATTCAAACCTGTTAATAATACAAAAAAATAAAATGAAGACATTTAATGTATGGAACCTCATTACCCGCTTACAAGACATTTCATGGACACTGCTGAGTTTCATGCCCTCAACAACAATGAACAGTTTACAGATGGACACTACAGCACGGGATGAGTGGTGAATGCAGTATACGCAGTACCGAGGGTATACTGAGGTAACGTGGTGAGTAGGCCGTTGCACCTAAATAGACAAAGGATTGAGCACTGAAACTGCATAGACCTCATGCGCCTTTCCCCGGCAAAACATGGAAATGCAGTTTCTACTCAAACTTGCAAGTCTGGTTTCCAGATGAGTCTGTGAAATAGCTTCAATGATGAATACAAAGGTCTTTTTTTTGTTGTAGACAAGACCGCTGACGATGGTCTCGAGTCTTCCATTATGGATAATACTAAAAGCGACCCTTTGAAGCTAACTTCCAATGTCCTTTTGGTAAAGTTAGAGTGCAGGTAGAAGTATTGTGTGCGTTGATAATTTACGTAGATATTGGGGGAGAAAAATCTTGAGTCCTTTTTAGTGGGAGAGAAAAGACGATCCAGAATGGACTAAACTGTTGAAGCAGGTGTTTTTCTCAAAGTCTTAGAATGTCGTACGGAAATCCAACCTCCGAACTTTTAGTTTTGCTCTAGTTTTTATGCCGCGTCCCTTACATTGAATTTAGTAAATAAAAATTCTGGATAATTAAACTTGGCCACGACAAATCTAGTGTACATAGACGTGGCTTGAAGAAATGGGGAAAACTGATTTTTCTTAAGTTTGTACCAATCTGCAACTCGGTTTAAAAAAAAAAACTGATGCCATAGAGCTCTAAACTGAGTCTGTACACTTTCTGGGCCTGGTTTGCCGAAATAAAAAATAAATAGTGAAAGCTTCCAGTGAATCCAAGCCTGGTTTCAGGAAACCAGCCTGTGCTTTAAAAGAATGACTGGGAAAGCATAAATCCAGTTGATGGCAACAGACGGGACAAGACTGGGCAAACACGTTAAAAAACACCACACAATGTAGACCAGACCAAACACGTATTACAGTACTTTGACTTCCAATCACGACCTCCCATGATGCTGCTGGCATAGTATGAAAAAGGAGCGAGCATTCAAACACGTATTGAAAATAGCAACGATTTAATAAAGAGCGATTTTACAAGACTTGCCATGTCTAGCTAGCTAGGTGATGACCGGCATTGACCTCCACGGTGTTTTACAAAGATGCCGTCATGGTAACCGGGTTTGAAGTCTGATGCGTCGCTTGCCAGTTTGCATTTCTGCACGCAAGGCCGCCTTCAAACCTCTACGGATCCTTCATCGTAAAACGGTTCATTATGAATGCCGATGGACGTTCACGTCGAGAGGTAACTAAAAAAAATCTCATGGAGAAATTTCCGTAACGTTTTTCCGAACACACCGGTAAGTGAGAGTTCACACAATGGTCATGCTTTTACCGGGCACACAAGCCAATAAAAAGACGACACTTAATCATGCAAAAGAAAGACAATTTTTTTTTTGTCTCTGAAAATAAAAGAACGCAAAAAATCTTTTTGAGTTCTGATATCATCCATCCGTAGTGACCTTGAATAAGAAGAAGCTGCGCTTTGATGATGACTTTGGTGCAAAAAAATGTTCCTGTTTCGAAGAGGACAGACCCTGTCCTGTCCACTTCCTCGATGAAGACACTCTTGGTATAGACCAGTTGTGATAAGTTTACCCTCGACCCCCCCCCCTCCCCCACCCACCCACCCACCCAACCCCATCTCCCCACGACCCCGCCCGCTTCCTCCTCGAGATGGACACGAACATCACAAACATCAAACCCGCCCTCCCACACACGTCCCTGGACGATGACACCTTCAAAATACAACCATTCAAAGACAGATACAGCAATAAATTGTCCCACATACAGTACGTCATCCAATTGGGCTTCGATCACTTTACAGAGAGAGAGAGAGAGAGCACGTCTAAAAACACATGAACGCATTTTCTATATACAAGAGGACACGGTAACAGTCAGAGGTTGGCCCCCCGGGACGGGTGGAGCTGCGTGGCGGGGGTGGAGTGCACGATGAAGAGAGCATTCGGCTGACGGAGAAGACAAAAAAAAACACCGGGGTGATGGGGTGATGGGAGAGAGAGCGACACGACAAGTCTTCCCAAAGGTCGGGCCCGGCCTTTTCCCATGAGAGGCCCAAAGAGAGTAAGTGATTCCCAGCTGAAGTCCTTCTCTGCTGGTCGTGGAGCTGCAGCTGGTTCGTGCGTGTCGCCAGCGGCTACGGCAGGAGGTTGAATCCTAACTACACCATGCTGCTCACAGCGAGGGCAGCTCCTGCCCTCTGTTCTACTTTTGAGATTCCAGAGCCGATACCTTTGGGACACTTTTTTTGTGTGTGTGTGTGTGTTGTTATCGCCAGACTAGTCTGATCCTCAATTTGACATTGGGTCCTACGGACGGAGACACGGCCACAATAACACTCACTGCCAGCTCACTGGAGACCCTTCAGCTGAGGCCGAGGAACTCGACCCTGTTTATCTCAATGGGAAGGCGCGTGCACACAAACACACATACAGTACATGTACATAGAACAGACACAATCAATAGAAAACGACCTCATCCCCGATCGATTATTGCCCCTTTCAACTGTACATCCCAGCAATGATTTTAGGTTTTTGTGCAGCAGAGCGTTGTCCTCTCTTTGAGGGTTTGTGCTATATATATATTTATATATATATATAAAGTTATATATCGTCTGTCTGTGGGTTGAACTTGACCTTGGGTCTACCAGAAAAGCCACATTAACATCTAACGTCTCATTAAAGCCCCCCCGCGTCTGGCTGTCTGAATGGATCTGTACGGCGTCACTGTGTTACTCAGCAGACATTACGCTCAGTCGCTTTACGCCGGGTCGGGTCCTCATCTGATTTGATCTTTAGCTGTCCTGTCCATAAGTGTTAACACTACATTAGCAAAGCCCTCTCTGTGGTCGCAGTGTCTTTGATTACTCCGGGTGGAGGTGAGACTTCTGCTGCGCTTATTTCCCTTGTCCGTGTTTTTTTCTGGAGCGTGAAGGACACGACGGCAGACTCGTTTTTGCACAGGACGAACGCAGGACAGGGAGGAAATCACACGGGTTGGGAGTCGGACCGGTTCTGATTGGCGAGACTGAGTTAATACCGACATCCCAGTCAACTCTCCGTCAGGCTCAGTGCATTTTTCACTACTTTTAGAGCAGTATTTGTATAACGGAACAGTTTAGAAAACAAAGTAAAACAGCATTCTGTACAGAAACCTGATGTGGACACATAACAACTCTAAAGCAGGGAACAGCTTCCTAATCAGCCTAAAGATGGGAGGGAAAGACGTTAACGAGATTGCATGATATTGCACAGCTGTAGACTAGGGGAGGGGGGATGGGGGGGGGGGGACAAAATACACAGTGTGTACAGCACGACCCCAAAGTTAGTGTAAGAGGCTTGTTTACATCCAAATGCGATGCCCGGTTCTGGCTCAGTGCTTTCATCAGTTAGTTCCAGTGCAGCGACACATCGGTACCTGGCAACACAACACAGCGATGACATCAGGTACCAAAAGAGGAACACATAGAGTACACACACACACACACACACACACACACACACGCACACACACACGCACGCACACAAGCGCACCCACAAATGAGCGGACTTTAGATGGGAGGTTGGCAATTAAGAAGAAATGGAGCTCATAAAAAGACTCAAAACGGTAATGTCAATGCAGCACGTTGAAATGTAGAAAAAAAAGAAACACGCACGCACACACGCACACACACACGCACATTCAAATCGATTACTTCTGACATCAGGTGATGAATGACACACAACTTGGGAAACCAATCTGAACAAGACGCTCAAATCACCTACACAGACATACACCCTTGGCAAAGTTCACATTGAGTAAAGTGCCAGCAAACAATCCAATCAGAGAAAGAGGCGCGTGTCCTCCGGGTTTGAAGTGGGAACGTTTTTTACAGGAAATCATCAGGATGAGGAGGTCGGGAAATGGCAGTTAGAGCCTCTGCGCTTCCACGGAGCGGTCATCGCAGGTCATAATCGCCTTCTGAATTGGCAAATCAAACAGAGGATGAGTGGGACTGATGCGGAGCCTCTGGTACCCCATTAAAGGACAAGAGATCCGTAGCCACATGGAGAGAGGAGAGGAGATTAGATGTTGAGGCTACATGGAAACAGATACAGCATTTTCATCTTTTATCCGTCCTCTGGTCCTCTTTCCTTCTTCCTCTCCCCTCCCTTCTCCTCTGCGGCTGCCTCTTTCTTCCTCCAGCACTGGATTTGGTTCTGGATTTGTTTTCTGTCAGCTCTTTCTCTTTCCATCTCTTCCCTCTCGCCTTCTCTCTCTTGGCTTTGCTGCCATGGTTACGACATCATCCCTACATGAAGTGCATCTGCAGAGTACGGGAGGAGAGTGGAGAGTAATTTAGTTCGACAAAACACCTCATCATCTGGTGTTCAGGCATCGACTGACAGGCACATTACCTGCCGCAGTGGCAGAAGAACAGCTTTACGCGAGCACGAGTGCTCGGGCAGGCGATTATTTTCCTCAGTTATGTTTTGAAGAATTGGCCAAAATATGCTTATTTGTTGTGAAAGTACTAACTGATGGTTACTCGCGGCGTAAAAACGCTGTCTTCACACCTGCCGTTATCTGTCAAAATAATTCATGTTGCTTCTCTGGAGTGTCCTCGCCGTGACATCACTTATCTGTTGTTACAACTGGCTATGAATAAGTGCATCAATTATGCCGGGCAGAGAGCGCATGCGGTCAAGAATACAATCTTGCTTGTTGTTATGCTGCTGTGGTTGTAAATCAATAGATGATGTCGCGCTCTTACAGCGTCTATTCAGGGTTTTTTGCTTTCAATGTGCCTTGAAAGCAAAATTTGCTTTGTATAACAGCCCCCATGTAATCGGTGATTGCTCCATGGGTAATACTTTCCTTTGAGGTACACACAAGCATAAACATCTCAATGTCAACTTTAGGTTTGTGTTGTTTCACCTCGAACCGCCTTGATTTTCTCCTAACAATCTCTACAGACATTGAGATATACGTATTCATTTCTCCAATATGTGGCATATGCAAAGATATATGTGTGTGTGTGTGTGTGTTACCTGTGTCCCCGGCATGGGTCCAAATGGGTTGGTGGATCTCAGGACGGGCTGGTTGTACATGACAGTCTGCGGGGGCATCATGGGAACGCCCCCCATCTGATGTGTCATCTGAGGAGGGAGCTGGTCGGGGGACAGGTGGGAGAAGGAACGGGGATAGATTTAGGGAGTGGACAGGAGATGACGAGGTGTTTCACATTCACAGCAGAATGTTTGATCGAGATCAAAGCTCTTTACCATTCCATAAACAGGCACTTGGGGTGACGTCATGGGAAAAGCTACTGGTGCGGGGGCCTGTTTTGGAAAGAGGACAGAAACACAATACACCATTTTCCTTTCACCAACCTATAAAACCAGTACCCTGAAGAAAGACAGAAATGTCTTCACTCGCATTAACATTTGCATTTTCCTTTCTCGTAGTAAGACGCCAAATCCTCAGCAAGAAAAAGATTTTACAGCGTAGAGTTGAGGTGGGAGATTGGCAGCCACGAGGGATCAAACACAACGCCACGGTAGTACAATAAGCTAAATAATGCCCTGTTCCTCTGATAATTCAGGTATCATCAACAACACAAAAAGCCCCATAATGCAAGCGTCACAAGCATTTCAAAGAAAAGCCAGAGAGCTTTTGGGAGGATGTCAGGAAGCGATCCAGTGCGGTAAGAGGAGGAGGGAAGGGAAGGTGAAGTGAATAAATGTACTCACGTAGCCAGTGTAGATCATCCCATTCTGAGGAGAGATACAGAGAAAGAGAGTTAGAAGAATAAAAGGCGTCATCGGGCCTTTGTTCTCCTTTTCACTGAATAGGCAGAGAAGATGGACCCGACCTCTGCCCATTCCTCATGTTTAAAACACTCCTATTTTAAATTCCTGTCGTGCCGGCGGCTTTCCGAGCCATTTGCAGAATAAATGAGCGGTTTGAGTCGAGAGGTCAATCAGGCGAAAATTAAAAGATGAAACCAGATTGAATGGAAGAGACTTTCAGATAATTGGAGTGGAGCACAAAGGACAGAGACACATTTGGGATCTCCTTCCAAAAAGCCCCAAGCAGAAAGTTACATTCGGCCAACAGTGAGGTGTATTTCAGAAAGAGATATTTGACCATTAGGAGAAAGTGAATGATGTCAGAATGATGGATGTCACCATAAATACACAATACCGTACTTAAAAACCAGCTAGAGCAGTGCAGTAGTGCATTTGCAGATTTTACTCTATATAATATAACGACTTTATCAGTTTAATTCAATTGTTTCATTTTCAATGGTTGTTTGTACGTCCCAGAGGTACGGCAGCAAAAAGAAATGTTTTAGTCCTAAATTTCTTTTTATAATCAAATGGTGGGATAGTCAGTTTTACTTCTTTACCAAACATACCAAAACACTGTCAGCGAGGAAGATCTTGGGAATAATGAGTATAAATATGAAATAATTTAAATCATACCGTCTAAACGAGAACCCATGACTATGTTTGAATGGATTCACTGATTTCAGCTCTTCCCTATTTTACATAATCATGAACTGAATATCTTTTACTCTTTAATTTAGTCTTTTGTGGAGTGCATCCAGTGATAATTGCTGTAAATGGTCCTGCTCATGACCAACTCACTCAAATGAAACAATCTGCTATGCCAACAAAAAAAAGGACCAAATTGACAACTCTGCAAATTTCCCCTTTAATTCACCATCTGAGGGACGGGCATGGGTGCAGGCGCCATGGGATGGGTGGTGTGAGTCCAGTTGGTGCTGGTGCACATGGTCTTTGACTGCCAGCCGCCTCCTCCTGTTGGCTTCTTCTCCACCAGCTGACTCCACTGGAGCTCCGGCCTGATGCACACACACACACACGCACACACAAACAAACAAACGCAGCAGTTTTAGGTGCACAGTTTATACAAAATCCGAAAGCAAAAATAATGAATCATGAAAGAGTTTGAATAGTAATAAAATTGGATAGACAGCTGAATTATTTCCTTGTGGAAAAGCCTTAGATGTCTGGAAAACACACTCACTTTTTAGCTGACGTCCCCCCAAACTGCAGATCTGAGGGAAAGAAATAAGAAACATTTCAGCCGAATGGAGGCCACAGTTGGGGAAAAATAACACATCAAAATGGGAGCTATTTTGAGACATTCGGCATACTCACTACCAACAAGGTTGGCTAATGAGGAGTCCAAATCATTGGGCAGCATTTTCCCAGAGTGCAGTGGGACTCCAGGGCTGTGAATTTGAGCGGGATGGGCTGGCTTTAGCAGGTCGCCTGATATCCAAAGGTTACCATGGTAACGAGAAAGGAGAAAAGAGGGGAAATTAGTCAAGAGCCTGAAGCAACTGGGCATATCTGTCAAAGCACATCCAGCTCTGACTACTGTGTGATTATCTGCATGCTTCCTACTATGTCTGCATTATTGTATATATAAATGTGTGTGTGTGTGTTGGTTGTGTGTGCAGTTCTACCTCCCCAGGCATTGTTGTTGTTGGGCACAGTGTGTGTGGTCTGGATTGGGGTGAAGTTATGCTGCAGGGTGAACAGCTCACTGGTCAGGTTTGGCACACTGCAGGAAGGAATATAATGAAGAGAGCACCGGTTTGGTTTTTCCTTTTTTCGTAATTGTTGAAAACAGAAAACACAATACATTTAAGGGCCTCTTGTCGAAGAACCAGAGTCTTTCTGCAGCACACACATCACTTTCCCTTTGCAGGTTCTTTCCACTGCCGACGTTAGACTCACTGGTTGCTGACTTGTACGATCGGTGAATTGGAGAAGAAATCCGTGGCCCCTCCGCTGCTGTTGGCGCTGCCCACTGACTGGGTGCTGGGTGACACATTGGGTGTCTGACTATCGATCGCCTTGTAACTGTCCTCCTGCAATGGGAAGCATCATCAGTACGGTACGACGGTACGGTTAGAAAATAGCCCTGTAGAACGTAAGAATTGTGTTAACCTCCTCTGGAACAAGAACCCCCCAAAAATGTAGCCACTGTGAGCCATCAACTTCAAAATAAATGTATCCCCAGCTTCTTCTTTATTTGAGTGGGAAACCCACTGCAGAGGGTGTTGAGGCTGTGACTTCATTGTCATTCTCTGAGCAGCTCTACGTTGTGGGCCAGCGGCCAAACACAGACGGTACATTTCACTGTACTTTAGGACTAATGCACCTGTCCGTTCAACATCAACACCAGTGCGGCGCACAAAAAGACTTGATGTCCAATCCACACAATGGAAAAGGGTTTCAATGTGCTTTCATCCCAGAAAGGCAGAAAGTGTTCATTTGTAAAAAGGTACAGGAGCTCACAATGACCACATTATGCTTTCATCGGGCACAGAATTGTTGCTATGCTGTATATACGTCTCACCTTGTGTTGCTGCAGTCTGTTGTCTTCTGTCTTGTCGTCCATGCGGGTGAGAGAGATCCCGGTGCTGGAGAGAGAGGACACTGCACTGGACAAGGTGTTGGATCTAAAGGGGGGATGAAAAAAGACCTGTTTTTGCAAAGCTGGTTGCACCATTGCTTCGCTTTGTTAGTTTCCACTCCTTTTTACTGTCCACCTTTATGATGCTTTGTGACCTCAACTGTATTTTGGTAATGAATTCCTGGAGCTTATTGCTCATTGTTATGAAAACCCAACGGTTAGAGACATGGAAGTAGTGGACAAATTAAGATTATAAGTAGACGATAGATGATACACTGGATGAAAGGCGGGACGCAAGTCATTGGGATTTGTACAGAACAGTACATCAATATACATAAATTACATAGCTATTTGTCAGGGTTAGTATTATGGTAAACAACCCCTGGTAACAGAAACGGTGACGTGAGGGACAACTAGTGCCAATAAAAGATCCAAAGAACTATGAACCAAAGTACATTCCATTTTAATTCATAACGGGAGGTGGTCCAGCTTCATGCCAAACGACTGCACCAAACGGTGAACTGTACCTGCAAAACATCAAACCGTTGGTATTTTCATTTTCGGTGTGCGGAATTAGCATTCAGCTAGCAGCATCGCTCAGCCGGCATGTGTCCCGATCTCACCTGCTCGCTGCAGAGAGGTCCTTGAGCTTCCTGCCCTCCAGAGAGGCTAGATGCTGCTCCAGAGCCTCCAGGAGAGAGCTGGGGGCCTGAGGAGGGGGTGTGGGGGGGAGGGGTAGGGTGTGGGGGGTGTAAATTGGAGGGAGTTGAGGGGGTATCGTTAGAACAACCGCCAAGTGGACACAAATGGGACAAAACCGCTTTCTCTCACTCCCATCTTCTCACCTCCTCAGTTTATCTCACTCACGCACATACGCGCACAAAGCGGCAGCAGAAATAACGACATTACCCTCTGATTCATCATCTACTCTACAACAGCTGTTGGCTCTTTTAAAAATGTTTTTTGATTTTTGCATTTGGTTTCATCAGGTTTGGTTTCACCGGCATGCAAACATCAGCCTTGGATCATGCAAGCGAGTCCACTGCGAGACTGAAAAGGTTCAGAACGGAGCAGCAGAGCATTGTTTCTGCAGGGCTCCTGAATAAAAAAACACACAACAAACACTTCTCCGAACCGCCTGACGAGCCCATGCAGAGGCCGGCATTGCACAAACGCTATTGTAAACACACACGCTCAAACACGCACACGGGTAAAGAAAATCACAGTCCAAAAATGACGAGTTAACAGGTGGTTTCCACGTTAGGTTAGACGTCAAATGAACGTGCTGTTCGTTTTTTCTTTGTTTGGAAATTAGGCCCACACATTGCATCTCACTGGAAGCCAGGGAAGTTAACTCAGTGAAATGTAAACATCTGGTGAAAAACCAGGTATACACATCGAGCAGCTGGCCAGCGCTCTTCATTGTGTAACATAAAGGATGGATGGGCTCATTTGAACCACCATGTGATACCAAGTTTTTCATCTAGAGTATTACATTTCAGCACCAGAGATCACACCAAAAACACAACAAGCAAAGAAAAGATTTCTCATATACTTATTTTAAGGGGGAAAGAGAGTAAAATGCGAATTCTGGATATCCTTCTCCAGAGAAATCTAGAATATGCTGAAGGTTTAAAAGTAAAACAGACACATATCTAGAGCTCAGTAAAAGGCATGGGTCGCTATGTTGTTGAATAAGAGCATATAAGGTCTTCTTAAGCACTACAAACATGGGAATAAGAAAAAAGAAAAAAGTATGTTCTCTGATTTCACACATTGTAAACATCCAATCATGGTGCAGCTGAAAAAGATCCTTGGTATTTGCGGCCGCATGATATGCAGTGCTTATGATGGCATTATGTACACCTATCCAAGTCATATTTGCAGAGACCTATTTAATAAAAACCATTCGCTGCTCTCCCCACAGCTAATGCAAAGGGACGTAATCTTTTTAGGGAAAGGGTTTGAACACTGCTTATGGGGGCAAAAACCTATTTAATAAAGCTGTCCTGACTTATTTATATGACAAGCCTTGATATTTACACCGGGGAAATGCCAGGAATCTGGCTGTGAAAATAATAAAGCCCCGGTGGTAGATTTCTGAAATAGAAATATGCAAAACAAAAGAGGCTAAAAACGTTTCACATTCAGCTGCATAAAGCTACTTTTCAAAATCTTACCTAAGAGTAAAATTTGTTTGGCAAGTTTTTTTGGTTCCTGCGCGAATGATGCTTAGAAATTGTGAACAAACAAATGTGCTTCAAGGCTATGTGCAGGTCTTCATTTATTGTATCCTCTCTAGTCTAGAGGAAAGGAGAAAAGGTGAAGAAGTTAAGGAGAGTGAAGAAGAGAGGAGGACATGGCAGCTGCAGTGTGGGCAGGTCTGTAGGGTGAGTAGGGAACGGGAGCGTTTATAATGAAGCATTATGGGATTGACTTGACGGATTTAAATACTGGTTGATTGATTGGTTGATTGACTGATTGAGATGAGATGTAGACTGACCTGTGTGAGATCGGGGCTGTCGCCCTGATCTATCCCAACTCGCTGTGTCACAAAAAAGGAGGGAGGGGTAGGGGAGGGAGGAGGGAGGCAAAATAAAAAATAAACCAAATGTAATAAGAAAAACAAGGAATAAACCCAAAAATCCAAAAGAGTAAGAAAAAAAAGAAGGAAAAAAAAGGGAAGAGGCATGTGAAGGAGGAGGAGGAAGAGGAGGAGGAGGAGGAGGGAGAAAGAAGAATCAAACTCAAGCATTCATTACTACATGCAGTGGCTGGAAAGGAAAACAAATAAAAGACAACAGAGGAGGAGGGCGCATGCACACGCATACAAACACCTATATATACACAGTTTAAGTACACACACTTATAAATACACACACACACGCACACGCTGAGATCTGGAAACTGGTTTGAAATGAATGCTGAGCACACCGACTGAATGAACAGGCAGGGCAGAGAGGGCAGACAACAGGTCACGTGACTGCGAGGTAAGAAACATCCAAAAGGAAGACACTCAACTAATGTTGACTTTGAACAGAAAGCGAAAAGGGGGAAGGGGGGCACAGATGACGCACAAACAGACAAACACACATTTTGTTAGACAGATAAAATGAATGGGTCCTTAAAGTCAACGTTAGTCTGGCGTTGTTGTTTTTTTTTTTTTTTCTTTGGATCGAGTGGCTGCACCCCAAACCTTCCAAATAGGAACGAAACCAAGCAGAGAAAGCTTTTTAAGATGACGCACGGGATAAAGTAAAAACGCAGGATTCAACCGTAAACAGTCTGGTAGGAACTGCAACTGCTCACTGGATAACAGCCGTTATAACCTGTCTTTCTTTTTTTTTTGTAAGAAAAGGGAGTAAATAAAACAAGAGCAAGAGGACAGAGATAGAGATAGGAAAAGAGCTTGCTTTGGCATGCAGTGCAGGCATGTGAACAGGCAGCACGCGAGGGGTCCCTCGACTGACGGCCCTACGTGAGTGACTCCCTGATTGGCTGAGACTCAGCCATTAATCACTTGTCATGGAGTTAACCCCTTTTCCTGGCCAGGGCAAGAAAAGGGCAGAAACAAGAGGAAAATCTAGAGGCAAAAAAAAAAAGACTTGGGAAGATTAGGGAGAGCCCCTGGACGCTGATCTACGGTCAGTTTCAGGTTGGAAGATAGCAACCGTACATCAGATCCAACGGGCAACACAAGTGTGGAGCCAATCTCAATAGGTTCAAGGGTTTTTGTTCGAGTGAAAATTCGACTGAGAAACGGAATAAAATTCTGATTGAGCGTGAAGGTGCCTTTAAAGGAGGCCGTGGAGATTCGCCCCAGACGGATATTCTTGCCCTCTCCAGTGGCGTCTAGGTCTGCGTTTCCTCCGCGGAGGAGCGGCAGGACAAACGAACGTTACCTCTGCCACTTTGAGAAACTCGGACAGTTTGGTCATCCTGTTGAGGAAAGTCTTGTAGATCTCCAAAGCTTCTTTGCACTGGTTCTTCTTCATGTCAAAGTATTTCTCTGTGTGTTGGAAAACCAAAATCGGCTCTTTATTCACAAATCAGAGGAAATCACATGTTCAGCCAATAACTGAGGTGCTAGATGACTTTTTTAGCGAATATATGAAGTAAGAAAAAACAAAAATACAGATTTGTCCTGATAATCCCGTACACCTGGTGCAGATGTAGCTTAAATAAAATATACTGCTCATAGAGTACCAGTTACTATTTAATTATGGATGAAGCAGCTTAGATTGAGCCAATAGAGTAATTAATCATTTTATGAACTCCTCATTCAAAGGTGCAATGAGCTGTTCGCCGTAGAAATGCATTAGAGAAAGAAAAGGTGATCTTCAGATGGACTACAAAAATTGATTTTCCCATTTTTTAAGAAGGTTTGAGTGACGTCCCTGTCGTGTTCGGCTCCGGCTTGGCAGGCTCATACCTGCAGTCTACATGCTGCGAGTCAAGCTACACTCCTGTGATCCCAACATCACACGTAGATTGGTGCATAAATGATGTATCTGCTCTGCGCTGTGTGAGGTTTACCCAGCATGTTGATGACCCCTTCGTTGTAAGCAGCAAACAACCGTATGGAGTCTTTAAACAGCAACATGAAAGCTGTGTTGATCACTCCGTTGGTTAGCTCGTTGGAGTTCGGCTGCAGGAAAGACAGAAAGAAAAGGAAAGAAATGTATGAGACTGGATCAAAATATTCCGGTGTCTTACACCCGAGGGTTGAGTCTTCAAGTCAGATGCTTCACCTGGAAATCCAGCAGTGCGTCCAGCTGGTTTTGAATGGTTGGCAGAGTCTTAATGAGCTTCTCTGTGTTCATGGTGCGCATCACACCCTCAGCTCTGGTGGCAGACAACAATACATGCACACAAACAGGCATGCAACACACACATACAGGATTTACCAGGCCTGCAGACTAAGGTGTGTGAGGAAGTCCCTCAGATATACAGTCTCAGAAACACATTAAATAATAAATAATAGCAATAGCAATATAAAGGTTCCTAAAACAATCTGGTCACTTTTTCAATGCCTCAACTCAAACAATTCCTGCCTCTGGATTGGTGAATCACATGTTTTCTAAAGTAAAGCATACAAATAAAAACACTTGGTGCAACCACCATCTGTTAAAAAGTGGAAAATAATAATCCCATTATAATAACAATAATAATCAAAAAGGCCCACAATGCGTCTCCGTGTATGTGACGCGTGTGTTGAGTTTGTTACCCTCTCTTCATCTTGGTGAAGTCCACTGCTGCTAATCTGTAGGACATGGCTTTTTCATTCAGGTAGCGACTGTAGCGTCTGATGAAAGTGGACATGTTGTACCCTGCAGGGAAGGAAGTGGACTAACTTGAACGTTTTCACAACACTTGCCTTTGTACCATTTTACCCTCATGTTTCCATGTATATTGTATTGCATTATGAATTACAAAGTCATGTGTTTCCATTTTCAGTAACATTCAGCAGATTCTGCCTTCAGGCAAAACGCACATTTATCTGTAGCATTTCCCTCCTGGAGCGTAGCTTCCCTTTGAAATCAACTCTGAAATGGGTTTATCGATGGTGTTACAGAGCCAGGGAGAGTCTGACATGAAGTCATTATGTTAGACGTGCAGCACTGCTGAGTTTACAAACAGCCAAATAGCATTAAATCACCTTGCAGTGCAGCCTTATCTAGAAAGTTGTTGAGGTTGAAAAGCGTGTTTCTGGAGGCAAGGTACTGCATCAATCTCTGATGGAAGGGAAAAGAGAAAGAGAGAGAAGAGTTTGTTAACTTAAAAAGTCATGAAATGGACACTTTCACCTCTTCCTCCAAAACTTTAGCTGAGCGTATCTTTAAAGTTTTGGTGTAAGGAACGATGGCAGCATCCTGATTTGATCACAGTCAGGACGCCACGTGCCAATTATCGGGGCTTCAACCCACACAGGTGAACTCATAACATCACGTCACGTCTTGTGCTGCGACGAGTTTGAAAGCGGAGCGGGTCAGCGTACCCGCTGTAATCCCTCTCTCTAGAACATGGTGGAGGCTTCGGATGTTCTTCCTGAAGTGTGAGCCGGCGGAGCGAGATTATTTGTCACACGGGGCGTTGAAATGTCAGCGGCGCTCTGTACATCACCAGTGCTCAGTCGGATTTGGAAGATATCGCTTCAGAGAAACTGGCCGCTAGAGTTGGAGGGAAATTGGCACATCCTGGAGAGCAAAGTGTCGGTCTCTGGGCGGATCAATGCATCGAACTAGCCGATTGGCCATCAGCACCTCTTTAATTTCCACGGGCATGGACGCGGAGGATCAGAGAGGTTTAGATCGATGTCTCGGTTTCATCCGGTCACTGACTCCGACGTGCACTTTTTTAGTGCTTCATCATTAGTTTATTATCTTGCGTTGGCCTGCAAATAACATTATCAACAATCTTTAAACAGTGTTTCCAACACTTGGAGTATCTCAATTGTTTTATGACTGTTTTCTCTACATTGACTCGTGGAGAATTGACAAATCAATTCGGTACTAGTCGGCTACGTTCGCTTGGAGGTGACCGTGTCGGGCCATGCCGGTTTTTCTTCACGATCGTGTGACCTTTTGTACTGCGAAATATATCAAGGTAACACTATATGTAGAATATTCATTAAAACTTTAAAACTAAACTCATTTTCCGTTTGCTCTGCTCACCTCGTTGCCGTACATCATGAGGTGGTGTGTGGTGATGAGCGCTTTGAAAACCACTATCCAGCTGTTGCTGGCTGTGCGCTCCAGCAGTGTGTCTGCCAGGTGGGGGATGCTGACGTTCAGCTCATTGGTGCAGTGGATCAGGTCTGGAGGACACAAAACAAATAACATCAAATATTCTGGACATGGGGAGAACGCTGCAAAAAGGACCATTTCAATAACCGCGCTGGTACACGGTAAACAAAGACGATAGAGGTTAGAGATCCTCTGCAAAGAGGATCCACGTGTCCCCACATTTTCACTCACTATAAGTCACTGTGTCACAAGCCACATGTCAATATCACAATGTATTGCCTTAGAGACCTTACGGGTAGAGTTATTGTAAATCAATGGAATGAATGAACCTCTACGATGAATGCAGTCTAGTTGACTGGTGCAATCATTCTGATTCACTCAATAACACCACAAATAGATGAATAAATGATTGTCTAATGATAGAGACTGAATAGACAGATTAATCATAACCTACTGTATCACAGAATCCATTTTGTGGCTTTTAACAGTGCTGTCTACTATGTCCCAAATTGCCGGTTAACAATCAAGTCCGAAGCAGGAAAGTCATGTTGCAAGGTCAGAAATAGACACGCGCTTTGAAAGAAATGGTCAAAATAACAGCCCTATGATGAATAATGGATCAGTCTTCTGCCAGAGCTTGTTAACAATATTGAAATAAAAACCCTAGACTGTTTTGGTATTTTGGCAGTCGCCATCTTGAATTTTCCCTTGTCGCCATTTTGTTTTTTGCACCTGCAAATTAGAACGAGAGGGGAGCGCCGAGAACAACGCGACACTGATGTACACATTGTTAGGCAACTAAAACAATGCAATGACGCACACTGTTGAAGGGTTAATGCTGAGAAACTGCAACGCAGTGGTAACAACACACTTCTACTCTAAAAGGGACAATAAATTACCACATGAACATCATGCTGTGCGCATAAAGACTAGTGATCGAGACCATGAACTCGTGCTTACATGATAAATCAACTGCGAAATACCGTTTGACTATATTAGTAACCATGGTAGTCGGCAAGCTGAGGACCAGCAAAGAGAATCCAAGTTTCCACACAGGTTCACTTTTTAGGCTCAGAGATTGTCGCCTCAATGATTTTGAGTTGACTCCGCTGTTCACCGAATGAGAATCTCATTCAGAGAGTAAATGACAATGTTCAAGGCGAACGTGGAAAGCATTTGAAAAGGAAAAATGTAGCTCAACGTTCTGCTGCTTGTCGGGTTTAAAAGGTCTGACAAAATGGCCGCCTGAGAGTTTGTATTATTAGTGAAGAACTGCCGAAATCAACACTGAAATTGATCAAAGAGAAGTTATGATGAAAAATATGTCCCACAAATCATAATCCATTCAAAACTCAACTGTGAACACTAAACATACAATGAGGTCAGATCGGTGGAACAATGCCTTACATTCTTCAAGCATTTCTCTGGCAAAAGATCGAAATGTGAAGTATTTTCTGTTTAATCTCAAAGCTTTACTGACTCAGTAGTTCAAGACCCGAGCTTTTAAAAAGCAGAAACATGCTTGTGTTCCCTTTACACTGCATATTCTGCAAAGCTTCTATAACTTTGATCCATTTGGATTATTGAAAAGAAAAGGTTAAAATCTCAAGCTATGTGTCTTATAGTAAAGCCTTTGGACTGTAATGTAAATAGACTGTATTGTGCCCTTCTGGAGCTGCTTCAGACATCTGTTCAGTGACGTTAAAGATCTTGTATGAAAAACCCAGTTACGTTTATCACACTAAATCCTTCTTTAGACTAACACAATCTTCTCTGCATTACTGTAAAACCTTGAGATTGAGCGGTTTATTTAAATTCCCGGTCAGAACCAAGGTTCTATAACTATAATGCCACTAAATAACTGCTTTATTCAATAATGAAACAAAGGGGCGAAATAACAAACATGGCCAGATAAGATCTGAAAAAATGAAAGATGAGAAGGAGTTTAACTTGAATTTGACCGCAGAGCACAACATGGAAAAGAATTTTCACAAATAAAAAAACTACATTCAAAAAGGCAGATTCAGTGAGTGAAACCTCTGGGTGGGTTAGAGGACGTGAGCTCGTCGTTAGAGAGAGAAGTCTGCCTGCTGAGTTACTGTGAGAAAACCTCCGAGCAAAATCCTTATTTTGTTCCTTCCGCCGGATCAGAGGTCATCAGGGTTTATTTGGAAGCTCTCTCGTGTTTTCTGCACTCACTGAAATGTTGGATACCAAAGAATGCCAGTTGATGCCGCGGCTTCAACCCTGTCCCTCTTTTCTTTATGTTATGTTATTTAGTAATGGAAAAACCTCGACAACGCAGACCATAATAACTCCAACAATATTGATTATAAACTTCATATACTCGTCCAAGTTTGCCCGCCATGACTGCCACTCTGCTGCATTAATCTCATAACCTTTGCTCGCCTGCACGATGGACAAATATAAAGGTCTGTGTACTTCCCACATCTAGAAAAGTAGGATTTAATTACCAACCACTATGAGTCTATGAGTTTATATCAAAATGGCACATGGTAATGGAAGCGTTCAGTCATGTTTACTCATTAATGGTTTGTTTGTGAATTTCCTTCCTGGTTCGATAATTAACGGGAACATATTGATTTTGGAAAATTAATGTTTCCTCCCACAAGTGAGCAAACACACCAGTAAAGAGCGTCTGCTCAAGACTTCTCAGCCCCTATAGGGCATCACTGTACGAATATCAATTCCACTTTAACCCAGACTGAAATATATTTTTTAAAGTATTTGATTAATTACCATTATGCATTCATTAATTACATTTTCATACTGCACCATTATCTGTTTAACTGCTTTGTGACCTGTAAAAGTAATGCCACTGCTTAAGCTCTGCTTTTGGTTTAATGCACAAACTAAACTAAAACACGGTTAGCATTATGCCTGTTTAATATCATGTTTATTTCATGTAGGGTAGTTTGACAAATCTTGTCTATTTTAACATCATGGTTCCTGAATTGCAACAGATTTTTGCTGGATTTTGTTTATTTTATGGAGAACAGGTTAACTAATGATCTATTTAAGAGCTTTTTTGGATACCGTTGGACAGCTGTATTGAGCGCTGATGTTAGAATCTAATAATAATAATAATTATATTAAAAATACATTAAATTTGTAATGCACTTTATATTTAAGAATATCCCAAAGTGCTACATGATAAAACTGTTAAGTGCTAACAATAAAAACACACGGAGAGTTTAGCACAAAGGACCACCGTGCCTGAGGACAGCCTCCAAAAGCAGCTGTCATAACTAGATTAAATATATATTTTCACTTTTTACAGAGTAAAAAATGTTCTTCACGCTTCCAGATGAAACCCATCACACCTAAACCACCTTGTCTTGGTGGGTCCACCTGAACGAACTCCTTTGGGTGGTGATACAGGAGCTAGGATTTATTCATACACGTGTGACAAATCGCCAGAGGGATGTGATGAAATATCAGCTGTCGACTGAGATTTTTGATAAGCTTCAGTCCATCGGATATAATGTACATCAATAACACAATCAGAAATAAGGTTACGGACAACGTTGTGCAAAGACTAATACAAAGAACGCAGAACGGTGTCAACGAGTTAAATTCACAACGTCTGGAAAGAAATGTAAAAACCAGCGTCTTAAAGTATGCAAATGTATCTAAAAGGTTTAAAAGACCTTGGCTGTGGATAAAGTGAGTCATTTTCACGGCGTTACATGGTGCGAGGTTATTATACTGACACAAAGATGTGGGAGTATAAGTGTGTGGAGGCTTTCGTTCATTCTTGTGAGTCAAAGCCACGCAGCCTCTTTTTCTTCTCCTGCCTTCTTCTCCATTCTTCTCAATGACACCTCATTCGACTGCAAGGCCAAACCTGTGACCTCACCATGCCTTCGATTATCCTCCACACGTGTTGTTGCCTCTGAGGTTCGTCACTATTACAGCCGCCGCACGAAAACAAATCAACTGCTGAATAATGTGGCTGTGCTGCTTTTAGGGCACAAGGTCATTTTGGGCCGGATTCGTTTTCGATGTGTGATGAATCTTATTTCTATCAGTGCTCCCTTCTGTCTCAGCCTCGCAGAATACTGACTTGTAAAAGTGAAATCCCATCACTCCGTCTGTCATGCTCATGATTGCTGCGAGGTAGTAAACAGTCAACATCGGCCGTATGCGTCACCGACCGGCCTGTCAAGGTCATGACACCGTATTGAAAAGGAGACGCCGGGGAGACACTGGGTGCCGCCAACGGCCGTCGATGTGTTTGATTCTTCATGCAGTGGATTTTGAGAAACGGAACAGCAATTCATATATTCTTTTCACTGCGCCTGGCGAGGAGGGATCAATAACAAGCCGAGTGTTTTTCACGGTAATTGAAACGTTGTCTGTGTTCATCAAACCTCTCGGTTTAGGTAAACACACGCCCAAGTGGGTTGGTTCTGTTGTAAATGTAACGTGAGGTCCAGTGGACGTGATGCGAGATGATAGCCAGCCTCCATTAGGTGTCGTTCTGAAGCCTTTTTCTGTCACCCGCATTGATTTTGTCCGTTGGTCTTTCCTGCTGAGGGCTGCACTTCTCCATTACCTCAACATAAACAGCGTTTGCCGGCTTTTATGACCCTGTTAACCAGGCAAGTTGAATAATAAAAGACTCCAGTGATGGGCTGGGGGAGTTGCACAAATATGGCGTCACACAAACACCTGAACTTTCAGACCTGAGATTGATCCTCGTCCTTGTACAGCCGGCCTACAACAACCTCCTTTAGAAACGGGTCGGTGATGGCCTTTTCTTTGCATTCTTCATTCACTCCTCCAGCACAGTCCTCTAGGCCTCCTGAATTCTCACTGCGTCTTCAATTTAACCTTAAAAAGGCAATGTTATGCTGCAGAGTCCTGTGTTATATCATGTCCGACAGAGGCAGAAGGCGGAAATAGAACTGTGTTTATTAGAACAGCTGCATCTGAATGGCTCAAGTACAAAACATTCATTCAGCTAAAAAAGAATTCGATTCAGGCTTCCATGGGGGGGGGGGGGGGTGAATCGAGCGCTGCCTGCAGCTTCTGCTTTGGCATGGAGCTTTTTATTCCACAAATGATCCCAATAAGAGCCAGAAACGCCTCATGTAACAACAACCTGGACCAGAACTAAGTGACCTTTCATGAGAGAAACTTGATTGTACTTTACTTTTCGTTTCTTACGATCCATTTGATGGATGAACATGTCTCAGGCAAATGCTGAAAATCTATTTTAAGAATATCTGCGCTCAACCTTGAGTTAAGTGACATTTACTGGTTACCAAGAGACGGCGACTCATGGCTGGTGCTGGAGGTGGACAACCTTCTGCCGTTTAATAACTGCAGGGGTATTGTGTTCTTATAAAGCGGTGGCTTTGGCACGAAGCACAGAATACACCTAATGGTGCCAATCGCTGGATGCCTTTTGACTGGATATTTTCTCCTGCGTCAATTGGCTTAATTTATTTATTTCTTAAATTGAAAATCAGTCGGTGTTAGCTAATGTGCCTTTAGAAATTGGAACCGTCACAAAAGGCAAGTGCGGTAACTCAAAAAAAAAAAGAAGAAAACTGGATAATTATTATAATTTTAGTGGTGGTCACAATCAGGATAAGATTTGTATGGAACCAAAGCAGAAGCAATTACTAAGTTTCACAATTCCCCCAATCACAAAAGGCCCTTTTCATCGCATGTACATTTCTAAACCTTTTCAAACATCACCGCCGTCCTCGCTTTAAAGGGCTTTTTGGTAGAGCAGAGTGGCACAGCTCTGATTTAGACGTATTGTGTCGAGGCGCCCTGTGGCACATCTTGTGAGGGGGCCCAGAATTCCCTGTGTCACCTCTGCTGTGGACATGACTGACTAACCCACTGCCAAAACTTGCCGGCTGACCGGCTGGCTGTGTGGCTGGATGACTGACTCAGGCTGTTTGGCTACCTGCCTTCTTGTCTATCTTTTTTCTCTCTCGCTCAGACCCGCTTCCTCTTGACCGGCCATCTTCCTATTCACTGGGCCCGTGTGGGCCTGTCTGGTCTGATCGCCTGTGACTCTGACCGTCAGCCCCATCGATTGGCCGCGCTCTCCATCGATCATGTCAAGTAATTATGGTGAGGCCAGAAAAGCCACCTGACCTAATAATCACTGTGGAAATCTACACGTGAGGAGTCCTCCTGCTCCCATGTGCAGATAATCGCTGCAGTTTGCACACACGGCTAATTGGCACAAGGTGGAGATAAAGAACGTGTCTGCTCAAACGCCTCATTGTGACAACCACCAGCAGAGCTACACGACACACACACACACACACACACACACACACACACACACACACACACACGCACACACACACTCCTCCAGCACCTCGGGACTGACAGCAGTAACACATCCGGTAATGACTGTAATGCACCAGAGGACGTGAGAGTGAACTTGAATGTGACATTATGGGAATCGAACCGACGATGTTCGCGGTGGCGCAGAAACCGCGCACATTTTGCACGGACGCGTCTCCGCAGAGAGGAAAGAGCTGGCGCCGCTGGCGGCGTTAAATAATGGATAGAAGGGCCTCCGCTGCTTGCAATAAGATTAGCCCCCCTACCAAAGTGGCCTATTTCCCTCCGCTGACGCGCACAGGCTGATCGCCCCCTCCGACTTCTATCCAAATATTCCATTTTAACACCAATAGCCCGACACATCGCAGCGCGCGATTTGACGCGTAAATGCTATTTTAATCCAAGGGAATGTGGCGTCTAATTAACGAGGCTGCAAACACAACCGGGCCGGACGAGAGAGAAGGGGGGGGGGGGGGGGCACACAATGCTGTTTATACAAGCTCTCTCTTGTGAGGGGAGATGCTGGTACCGGGGTGCATGCCGTCTATCGACCCAGTAAGCAGTGATGGCATGCTCAACCTACAGTCAAGGTGCTTCTTCTTGGGTCCGCTGACTTCGTGCGTCGTGGCCTTGCAGACGGCTTTGCTGATGGCGGAACCGGTCATGCTGTGCTGCGCCGCGGCGATCCGGTCCGTCAAAGACTGTCCCGACATGTTACTGATGAGGAGGAGGAGGAAGAGGAGGAGGTGGTGGTGGTGGTGTCGGTGGTGGTGGTGGAGGAAGAAAAGGAATAGGAGGCAGGCGGAGTGATGGTCGAGGATTCCGGGTGGGGGAAACCGGGGAGGACGATCGAAATGTCTTTAGAGGCAGGGAGGAGGGTAGTGCCCTCTGTGAGAATCGGCCGTCTGAGCAGGAGGAGGAGGAGGAGGAGGATGAGGAGGAGGAGGAGGAGGAGGAGGACCACAGCAGCGTACACCGGCGAAGATCCGGTGGGAGAATTCATGCGGCGGCCAAATAAAATAAAGACGGCTCACATCGAGGGAACCAAAGCAAACGGAGAAAAAGATAAACCTACGTAAAAACAAAATGTATAGTTAACGGCCAGATGCATGAGAATAATGTCCTATAATGACAGAAGACAATGAACTGCGATTTATCCCTGAGATGACGGCGGGATGCACGAGAGCTCAATCGGAAATAAAAATGGCAAATATCGAAAAACTACCGGTGGCTTTTTACACAAAACAGCATTTGTCCCGTTCCCGTTTTCTCCTCTTCTTCAGCCGCTTCCTCCTCTGAATCTATACGCACGGATTGGACCGCAAACACCTCCGAACCACACAGCACCAACTCGCTGCTTTGATTTCATTTGCATCCCCCGGTCATTTTAATCTTCTTACAGAAGGGTGTATTTCTGTGTCGAGGTTCCCGATAGGCCAATTCTGCTGCCTTCTTTTCTTTTCTTTTTTTTTTCGGTCAAACTTGTGCGTAAAATGGCAGAACGCGAATCAGGTGACTACGAAAGGAGGGCGATTGGGCCACTTATTAGGATCCGGGGAGGGCATCTTAAAGCAGAAGACTGCCCCGGGTCTGCAAGGCATCAGCTGTCACCACCTTGATGCATGTTTGGGGGGGGGGCTCAGGAGTGTCATGTGCAAACTATTCCTTATTACCTGCCGTCCAATGAAATGGAGACACATGTGAAGGAAAATCCATGATGAAATCAACAACAACAAAAAAAGCTTTCTTTGTGTGACGCTTTGGTGTGATTCAGGACTGGCGAATGTGTATGTGATGACCCCTATGATGGTATTGTGATTTGTTGTTGTTGTCATCACAGTAATCCTTTGTGTTTTTTTGTATTCTATGGCCGTGCAGTTTACAGAGGTAAGTGCATAGTCCTGGTAATGTTCCGGTTTAATTCTTTTAGTTCAAGCAGGAAAAGCCCAGTATGCATCTCAACAGAAAGGCATTATTCCAAATGGCATCAACCGTGATGGTTTTTGTTGAAATTAAAGAGAACTTTCCTGGGAATCTGAATGGAAACATCATTTTGAAAACCGTATGATCTCTGACATTTTTGCACACTTTTGCTTTGTGTATTCACAAAGTCAGGGCCCATTATTGTAATTTAAAATGTGGACTTACGGACACATTAATAGCCTCACACTAACACATCGTAATTTCCCACAGCCCGAGGTGACCCCTTCAAATGTCTTGTTTCCTCTGATTAGCAGTTTGAGCCTCTCGTGTAGACAATCGGGTCACGAATGTAGCCGGCGGTGTCTCAAAGAGGTAATTAAGCAGGTAGAATCCTCTGTGTGACGCTGAAACTCACCGCTGTTCAGAGGGAGTAGCAAAAACGCTGCGTGACACCACAAATGCATGTTGTAGTGCATGTAGTCCGGCCCACATTACATGTCATGTATATTACTATATATATAGAGGGGGAGAGAGAATGCAGTTACAAGTTTTGCATTACAATGAAAGATGATTACACAGCAAAGGGGGTGAAGGGAAACACAAAGCTGTTTCTAAACCATGGAATTCCAAATAACACTGGAGGCGTTTTTAACAAAGGCGGCTGTTCAGTCGCTGCTGCCTTAAAAAGAGTAACACATTCCATGTTTGTTGACTAGAAGAGAATGATTTTAGAGTTGATGAAAACTTCTCATACGAACAATAGAATAAATATTACTCTAAGGTCTTCATAACTAGAGGGGAATATTTATTCTGAGCATGTGATGTAATCTATTATAGAATGAAACTACGTGTATATACAATGAAGTTGAATTGTGTGCCAAAGGTGCTGAACATACTGAAAAGTGGTTCACACCATCGCTGCTATTCCTAACTAAAGACATCCTCAGTCCACCGCCTTGATGTTTTATTATACTTGAATAGTCAATTTAATGGATGTATCTGCATTACACATTCTGACCTCCTACATCCATAACATTTGTGTCTATTTCTGACTGCGAACGAGTCTTGTGTTGTCTTTTCTTTTCGTGAGAGCAGCGTGTGAAAGGAAGGCCGTGATATTCAGCGGATGGATAGTACAGACTGTGTCACGACGAGAGTTTATTCAACCCGACCGCAACCGGTTAAACCAAAAGAACACGCGACACGATTCAAATGATTACGTTTGAACAGCGCACCGTTATTCTGAAGGTCGTAGGCGGAAAATAAGGCCGAGCACTTTGGGCAGCAACACGTTGGTTTTTTGTGTACAGAATTTTATTGATATCAATCACAGTCTTATTAACCAACCACCGGTGCGATTACATTTTAAATTGGCTCGATCACAACAAAAATTTCAAAAGGATAATAGAGATGCTGTCTGATGCTGTTGGACATTCAGACAGTTTTAAGAATACGCATCTCTAGCTTTTTGTCATATCCCTTAAAGTCTTCCTTTACTCATTCTTGTCCCCTAATCTAACAACGGGCCGCACGATAGTAAGTAAGTAAGCTAAGCTAAAGTGCAAAGAATGCAAGAAGGCCAAATGTTTCTATGCTCGTGTTCCGGCTGAAAAACAAAGCTTGAGAGCTGTCCGCGCAGCCGAATGTCAAACGAGCAAATGTATGTCAACATGCACACATGCCAAACATGTGAACGCAAAAAATCATCTGTGGGAAAGTTGTGAAATATGAAAGTTTGACATGTAAGTCTGAAAATGCAATGCCTATCATTCTATAACTTACATTGAAGTTACACATTTTAAATGTAAAATTTTAAGAGGTTGTGCAACTCCATCTTTTGTCATGCAGATATGTTGTTGGTCCACCAACATTGGCTTTTACAATTTACATTTGTCTTCATTCATCGCTTTGGATTGAGGCTGCGTTTGTTTTTTTATTTGTTTTTTACAAACAGTCTTTTTTTTTCAAACCGAGTCAGACTCAGTTCAGCCGTTGACTTCCTGCTTTGCCTGTGATTGGTCCGCTGTCAGCATTTCGTACACGAAGAGCAGTTGAGATGATCCTTGGCGGTGTTGGTGTACGCGGACAGAACAGCGGCGCCGGGGTCCCGTTCTACCGCCGGGCTCTCCTCGTTGTTCAGGATGTGCTGCACCAAGCAGCGAGCCGCCTCCTCAATGTTTGCGTTTTCCTGAGAGAGGGTGTAAAATAAGACACCTGTCTAAAAATCCTGTACTCTTTAGCCACTTCCCAAACAGCCGTAGTGGCAATCTGCACCGATTGTTGTGATAAAACCACTAAAATGTTCCACCCTTACGTTGAAAAAGAGTGTAACAAAAGCGCAAGTAGAGAAGAATCATTAAATTAGCACACTGACTCGTCACGTAAGTCCCACATCAATATATAAGGTTGTAAACACTATAATACACTGCAGGTTTCTTCTTCCATTCATGTCCACATTTGTCACACTCAGCATGGAAAACAAAGCCGGTCTCAAGTAGGATTTTTGACTTAATGTACACCTAACATCGCACACCAACTTTAACCAATTGTTAGCAGAATGTCACACACTGATAGCAACTCTTATCGTCTCTGTCTTCTGAGGCTTCCAGCCCACAGTTCCTGTCCACCAACTACACCACCGACTCGCATCCTAGTGTGTATTTCATTAGACAGGATGGGAAACACAGACGACCGCATTCTCACACCCGACTGCAAGCGTTCCTCTATTTGTCTCCTGAGAGGCCGCGTTAAATTAGATTTCTTTTGTGTTTGTACTGAAACACCCAGCGGTGTTTTTAAGAATCATTTATTTTTTACATCCTTTCTGGGTGGAGTTTGCAGGTTCCCCACTACTCCTGTTGCATTAAAATAAGTGCTTTGGTATGTATGTTATATGCATTATGCAGAGCAGTGGACTTTGATTTACCCTCAAATTAAGTCATATAGTCTTTGCCTCAAGTCCAGCTGCTCCAAAACTCTTTCCATTAGGAAGGTAATCAAATAAGCCCTTTAACCTTTTATATTTACATAGAAATCACCAGTATGTAAAGTTATTCATGGAAACGGTAATACCAGCTCAATCTAGCTGCACCTCCCCTATCGCACCTTTGCAGAGGTCTCGAACCAGCCGACGAAGCCGTTCTCCCTGCAGAAGGAGTCGAGTTTGGGCTGCTGGGAGGCCAGCTGGTCCGACTTATTGGCCAAGAGCACAGCTGGGACCGGCCTGCCAGGATTCAGGGTCACCTGAAAAGTGAAGACAGTTTAGATGATGGTTGTACGGATTTGTAATATAGGCAATTTAAAATGTAACCGTAAAATACAACTTTTCACGTTTAATAATCACAAGCCCGCCGATATTATAAGACCCTTTGCTAAGTCCCGCCCTAGAACGCAGGCCGGCCAATAATAGCGCAGCATTGCTCCGCTCTGAAGAGTCCAACAACCCAAAAACTGCTTTGACTACTTTTCCTAAATCATAGTCTAAAATTGAGAAAATTTAGACATAAATGGAAGATGTACTTACAGTATCTGCAAAGTAAGTGTTACCTTTTCATTCAAAAGCGTTAAACAGAAACAATATTGCTGCACTAACCTCAACAGTAACCACGTCCGGGTATAATTATTCATCTCACATTGAATACCTGTGAATGGTAGAAGCTGACACTGACCTTGGAGTCCAGGTCCTCCTTCCACTTCAGCACGGCGTCGAACGTGGAGGCCCTCGTCACGTCGAACACCACCAGCGCTCCCACCGCCTCCCGGTAATAGACACGGGTCATGTTCCCATAACGCTCCTGTCCTGGGACGAATGGTACATCCAATCACACACACACACACACACACAAAACCCAAACGCACACATTCATGAAAATACACACTTTCAAATCCATGAAATTAAATTAATCTATTTATGTAATATCAGTGACAAATGTAGCGTGTTGGTGCGTATAGCTGCCATCATGTGACTTATATTATCTACATGGGATCACTTGAGTCACAGGCAGGCACAAGATCTACATTCCTCAACCAGGCTTCAAATGAGGGAGGGACCCACGCAGACACACACTCTCACTTGTGTATCACTGAGTCGTATTCTGTAAAACGTTTAACAAGATACTCCTGAAATGATTTGATTGTATTGGAAAACAGAGAATAGAGTCTCTGAGGGCTTTCAGGGCTCCTGATTTGGTTCGATAGGTTGGAGATGTTCTGCAGAACAACCATTTCTCAAATGTATCCCTACTTTGCTAAAAATAACAAGGATATTAAAACAAACATTCTTGAAAGAGAAATCCTGCAAAGCTTTATAGTTTCTGCAATCACATGGTACAACAATGAAGCCGTGAACAAATGTGCACGCGTTAAGGTTTGACAGACCTGCTATGTCCCACAGCTGTAGTCGGACCACAGTGTCTCTGTCCCACTGCAGCACCTTCAGGGCGAAGTCCACGCCGATGGTGGCTCGGTAGTGCTGGGAGAAGATCTGATGCACGTACCGCTTGATGATGGACGTTTTTCCGACTCCCAGGTCACCGATGACCAGGACTTTGAACAAAAGCTCCTGCTGCATGGTTGCAGCTCAGAAAGTAAAAGAAAAGAAAAAACTTCTCGAAGAATTAACTGTAACTTTATGAAGGATGTCGGTGCGCGGGTTTCGTAAATTATAAATGACAGCAAAGTCACGGATTGTAGAACAAATGTTATTGGGCTAGCTGGACATGTTCTCCAATTTGCTGAGGGACGAAAAAAGAAGGTACTACGGTTAAATCTAAGCGATATTTGCAGCGGTGTAACTCACCCCAGGCCGCTCATTTAACACACATGACGCGTCCAACTCTCCCGGGAGCCTCTTCAACGCAACACGGCGACGCTGGTGCTGCGTTCAGGTTGTCCTCGGAAATACCAAATGTCACGCAGCGGATTCTCCTGGATGGGGTAGACAAGGGTAACACTTTAAATGCGTTAGATTGCATAAGATAGCCCACTATATATGAATGCAATTGTCCCTCCCTACATATGTATGTATGTTTGTATACAGAGACGGGAGAGATAGAAGTGTGCAGAGAAACATGACAAACAAAGTTAAATTACGTCCATATGCGCTCACATCGTAATTACACTCGTCTTTGTCCCTACATCCTTGGAAGGCAGCAGCGGGACTGTGCTGCTGCGCTGCTCTGCGCGCAGTTACGGTAATGGTGCTGATGAGGGCGAGGAGGAGTTGTGTGATGCTCCTGTTGTGTCCCGCTGCCATTTCATCCGCGGATCATCGCGGAAATATCAACTGTCAAATTAACCAGCGGCTCATCCGATCCGTCGGTTTGAACACTCAGCAGGAGGGGTTTGATCGTTGAATGTTGAGGGTGAACAAGCGAGATTCTTAATATGATCTAAGTTATTGTCCTGTTATTTCTGTTATTCAAGCCCTGCTATTCTGGAAGATCATTTTTAGAAGACATAATCATCGACATGGGGTTTGTTTTTCACAGGCACTGACCTCTTAACTTTAAGGTGGGTCATTATTACCGATTTTTTATAAGATTATTTTCCTGGATGGTAATCATTGATGTAAATAATATGCATACTGGCATTGAGATAAATGGGTCGGGCCTCTACCATTTTTATGACCTGAGCAAATTTGTTTTATTCTAAGCATCACTGTAGGTAGCACTGTGTTATCACCTCTCATTCCTGTCCAGCTGCTGTCTCATGACTAAGCTAATCTCCAGGCCTCATTTTGTGTTGTTGCTATATAGCAACTAGCCTGCTATCCACATGGGGGCTGACTACACCAGTGTTTATTGAGTTGAAGAGGGAGAAGTAGCCTCACTCCCCCACCCCCCTTTTAAAATTAGATCACCCAACTGTAAATCACATGGGCAATGCTAAAATGGTTTGAGCCAATTACTTTCCCCTCATGGCGGCAGCCGTAATCCAAGAATAATCCACGTGCTTGATACAGGCTGGATTAAATGCACATTTTGTCATCTAAATCTCTTCAAATGTATCCTCTGTGGTTTTAGCTTGTTGATTTTAAGATGTTCACTGTCTTCTTCTTACCTTGGCGGGATTATTATTATTATTGAGAAAAACCACAGCCACGGGTGTCGACAAGACAATGTTTTAATGTTGTTTTAATGGACAGTGTGCGCATAGTTTTCCTTTTTAAATTCATAAAATAAACTCCTATTTATCATTTAAATATCAATCTAAATCTTTATTCATGACTGTATATTCAGTGTCTCATGGCTCATGGAGTGTTTAAACAAAACAAGACCTTTGAAGCCATAACATGCACCGATTAAATGCTTTCTTTTTGGGGTCACAGATTTTATTTTGGTGAGACATGGAGACGATATGGCTCTATCAGTTTCGTCTGATTGTCATCGGAGACTCCACAGTCGGCAAGTCTTGTCTGATCCGGAGGTTCACCGAGGGCCGCTTCGCCCAGGTGTCAGACCCGACGGTGGGGGTGGACTTCTTCTCCCGCCTGGTGGAGGTCGAGCCGGGCAAAAGAATCAAACTACAGATCTGGGACACTGCAGGGCAGGAGAGGTTCAGGTAGAGTCAGAACCATTTGTTGTAATCTGTTACAACAATCTTTCTCTCACCAAGTGTTCTGGTTGCCTAACACTAACCATATGTTCTAGCTAAATGTCCAGCACAAATACCAAGGTCCATCCATCTCTCTGTCCAGGTCCATCACCAGAGCTTACTACCGTAACTCTGTGGGGGGGCTCCTGCTCTTCGACATCACAAACCGCCGCTCCTTCCAAAACGTCCACAACTGGCTGGAAGAGGCGCAGAGCCACGTGCAGCCACACAACATTGTCTTCCTGCTGGTCGGTCACAAGTGCGACCTGGAGGAGCAGCGTCAGGTGAGCCAGCAGGAGGCCGAGAAGCTGGCCGGGGCCTACGGGATGCGCTACGTGGAGACGTCGGCGCGGGAATCCGTCAACGTGGAGAAGGTGTGGACCAGATTTTACATTCATCTAGCTTCATCGCAAAAAATGGCGTAGCCTTCGAGGCTTTGTGGGATGAGTTCACGGCCCTTCATGATCTGCTTTTGACTTTGCCTCTCTTCCCAAAGGCGTTTGTGGATCTGACGAGGGACATCTTTGAGCTGGTGCGCAGCGGAGACATTAAGATCCAGGACGGCTGGGAGGGCGTCAAGAGCGGATTTGTTCCTAACATCGTCCATTCCTCCGAGGAAGTCACCAAGGGCGCCCGCCAGTGCTTCTGTTGATTCACCTCGCTGCAGCCTGGGGTGGCGGGTCGAGGCGAGGGCGGAGAGGAGGGGGGGTGACAGGTACTAGTACTACTAGTAGGACTCCAATCTGTTGGAGCTCTGTCTCAAGACTTGGGGGCACCATGGCCAGTTTTCTCTGGAACGTGTGATATTTGCCCTGCTCAATTACGCAATTTGCTTCTATATATGATACTTTGTTTATCTTCCTGTGCCTGTTAATGGCTCTTTGTTGATGTTCCTAGCAGGAGTAGAAGCACAAGAAGCATCCTGGTCTTTTCTGTTTGCATGTGTGCGTGTGTGTGTGTGTGTGTGACTGCCTCTAACAACACTCCTGGTCTCTGCAGCTCTCCACACATCTGCTTTACCGCACTTTGCTTTCCTGAAGTGCACAGTTACACCCCAGTGGCTAGTGATGTTGTCGGTGCACTTCTCTTGAAGACTGATAGTCAGTGAAACGTGTGAACTTCAATCTGAATCAGAGACGCAAAGAGTGAACCTTCCCTATTCCTTTACGTGCATAATATATATTGCAACCGTGTGCGGACTATTTAACCATCTATTTAGCTGGTGAGAAACGAGACAGAAAGAGATGCTGCACTGCACATCCAAGTGGCTTATAACTAAAACAGAGCGGATGATAATGCAAAGTAAACTCCAATTGAACCAAAGTCTGAGGCTCGGCTGGAGTTTTTGTTTGTCCGTCTGACTGCGACCTGCCAACGAATGCTTGAGAAGGAGTTTGCACTGTGAGAATGTTTGACATCTGCCGAAAAGAGTCGATACTGTAGCCAAGAGCCATCATGGCTTAAGAATAGCAAGGAGATGAATCAATATGTTAGGTATCCACGTTCATGTTTACTACCCTCTGTTGGATCAGTGATGAGATGAGAATCCTTAAAACCTTTTGTTTGGAATGCCCAATATGTTCAATATGAAATCATCGGAGACCATTGTTATATCATTATTTGCATTTTCGAATAGCTGTTTTTGTTGCACAGCGGCATAACAGGAGTATATTTCATACCATATTTAATTTTATAAATTCAGTTTTCAGTGGTGCTGTCAGCAGCCCGGTGCCCCCATCAACAACTGCTATCAGATGTATCCCTTTATCGTTTTAGGGCTCTATTGGAAAGGGATTTCATTGGTTTGTTTAAATATGCATTAACATTTAACATGAAATGGTACCTTCAGGTCATATATGTATCCTCGTACTTTTCCCTGCAATCCATTTATAGATTCATATCCATATTTAATCATTGCATGCATCCATTCAAACTCATATTTTCCAAGGAAAGAAAATATTCTTGATATAATGTAAATACACATTTCACTTCAGTTCCTGGAATCTCATCAGAGCAGCAATAATAAAGATAGAAATGTATGTACAAAACCCTGAAGGGCAGTCGGGGTCTCTATTTCGAGAGCCTTTTGAAGGAGCAAAGCATACACGCATTCAACTTCCTGTTCATAGAGGAAACTGTGTTTTTTCTGTGTATATCAAAAACTAAACCGTTAGATGGCAGCAAACACATCGGTGTTGCTAACAAACCTGTAAAAATGTATTTTAAACCTAACCGTGAAATGTTGAGTCTTTAATGTTGTTGTGACTCTGGGATTTTGCTCAAATGTAATCAATAATAAATGCCTTGAGAAATTAATAAAGAATTGGCGAGTTTCTATCACTAAACTGGGCGTTGTGTAACTAACTGGTAACGGCGGAGTAATAACAGAGTTGTGTAACGCTGCAGGGGGCAGCTTTAATGCGTGGACAAGTGAGGGAAAACATTTCAACACCATGTTTTGCAGTTTTAACTGTTTTAAGAATATAATTCTTAACATACTGAATGGATTTTAGAATTAAAAGTTACATTTCCCACCCATTTCTCACCCGGTGATACAAAGGCGTTTGGATTCAGAGGCAACGGTTCACTGACCTTTTATGGGTACGTTATTTTTGAAATAAGTAGAGAGTTTTTGTTGCACAAATGAAGTGTGGTTCAGTATAAACTATGGTGATGACGGCTCTTGGGTTGAGGGTTTTACAAATCGGGCTGAGAAAAAGACTTCTAAACGGTTAAAACTGACTGGAAACGTTGATTAATACTGTGGAGGGATAAACGTCAGAAATGTTCTTATATCTTGTTGCTGCAGGATGTGATATCAATAAAAAAAAACAGATAAGGGTTGAGTCCTTCTGTACGTAGTTTACATCATGAGTCATCACATGTGACTCATGATGTAAACTATGTACAGGGAAATTGTCCTCTGGCCTGCAGCTTAGTCCCAAGACACTTTTTAAAAAACGAGGTGGAAAACACAGTGTGTCCGCTATGAGCACGAATCATTGTTTTATTAAAAAGAGAACAATGAAAATACATCTTTTTTTACGACAGAAATGTACAGTATATAAAACAAAATTAACGCCGTTAATGAGATGCCGTTGAGGGGAGGGGATAGAATAGATTCATGAAAGGCACAAGGGCGGCGCGTGAAGATCTCTGCGCGTCGCAGGCAGACGTCATCGCTCCTGCTTTTTAATTGTCCGAAAATCAGCCAGACTGTTTTAACAACCCAAGTCTTTTCCCCCGGCAGAAAGAAGATTCTTTCGGTGCCAGTTCATTGATTGGCATCCTCATTGGCTCAACCAAAATCCACCTTTCTTGCCCCCCCCCCCTACTTTATGGCCGATATTTTTGTTAAAGGACGAAGAATTAAAAAAAAATAAAAAAACTTTAGCGTTATCTTTCGGCATTTACTGATATTACGATGGGCTAAATTTGTATCTTTTGGATTGCAGAAACATTAGGTGTCAAATAAAATGACATCAAATGTAATTTATAATATACATTTCCAAATTAAAATGTGTTAATTTTACAGCGTTATACAAATAAAGATACATTTCTAAACGAATGCTGTACATTTGACAAAGCACTTAGATGACATACTATACACAATAAGTTATTTTCACTCAAAATAGTTGGGGTTAAAATGAGTTTTTTCATATTTCACAATTTAGAGAACGACTTGGTGATCATTCTTTGTTTTGAAAAACTCAATCGGTCATTTGGTCAGAACGTATCATTTCATTTGATGACATAAGCAACAAAAGAAAAATAAGAAAACAACAAGAATCCTAAAAACTGTACATGCAACAATTAAACATTAATACATTAGGGTCTAACAATGTAAAACTGATAAGGAATAAAAAAAATAAAACTGCCCCAAACAAACAATACTTTTCAATTATAGCAGTTGTATCAGAAAATAAAGTAGTAAAAACTAATTACAGTTGAATACAATAAAAGTGAACATGTTTCAATTGAAACTAAACAAGAACCATACTCTTTTCACAACAAAGTAAAAACCAGAAGGTGATATGGATGATGAAATACACACCACGTGTTCAGATGCGTCGGAGGTGGACAGATTGTACCAACCAAAATGCTTGTTGAGATCCAAAGTAATGTCATTAATGTGCGTGTTCAATCTCATCAACCTCCTCAGATCTGAAAAAAATAATATGAAACAGACACGTGCAAGAGTGTAAAAACAAACTGTAATTTATAACTAACAAATAAAAAAATAACTAACCACATGTATTTCGGAAAAATTCATAAATATTTTTTGTTGTTATGGAGAAAAATATGGGTCAAAAACTATGACTCCCGCTTTGTCGTTTTTACGCTTACATCTGGACTTTTTGGCCCTTTTAATGGGGGAAAAAGTAGTTTAAAAACATTCGAGTCATTTTGGTTTAAATTAGAACAAAAAGGCCACAAAATACCTGCCAATAACATTTCAACACCCCTGTAAGCAAGAATACAACTTCAATAATTTAAGATAAAAAGGCGGTGTGCAGACCGCCTGTAGGGCTGTCCTCTGGGAGCTCGGGGGCCATTTGTACTTCAGCCTCACACACTGAACCACACGGTGCCGACAACCCCAACGTTGTTTACGTGCTACTGACCCTAACCCACAGAGGACATCGTGAACCAGCAGCGTTGCCCTGGTTACCCGTAAATAAACAGTAAGCGATAAACCAGACCCACCACGCCGCAATGCCGCGTGGTGGCTTCGGCTCACTGAAGTCTGGCTCCCGGATAAAAGTGTCTGTACGGACCGAGGACTAACATTTGATGCACACAGTAGTCGTTATTCACCCCTCGCAACCCGGTGGCTCCAAAAAACGCAGGCGGCAATAACAGAGACAAAGCAAATGAGAAAGTAGTTAATGTCAAACATTCTCCCAGCTAACAGAAAGCAGAACTTGGATCAGATGATCCGTAGTACTCTTCTTCTGTTAGTTCGGTCCTTTCTAGCACGTGATGGAGGCTGGTATACGTCTCCCAGAGGGCTACGGCTAAGTACAGGTGGACAGAAACATTGGGTCAGAGAGTATTTCGCTCAGTCTGTAGCCATCAACTTAATCAGCCTCTGAGGCAGAGGTGAGATGTGTGTGTGTGTGTGTGTGTGTGTGTGTGTGGCGTCTCCCCTCCCTTTGTAAACCCAGGGGCCGTGTTGCAAGCCTCCTTCATTGCAGCATTCGGCTTCGATTTTAACCAGATTGCCAAAATGATTGTAGATGCTCTGGCGACACTCCCCAGGTCGGCGTCCGGAGGCCTCATGCGCTGCCGCCTGCTTCCATGTCACTGTCGTCGGGGGCGGCGGTGTAAATGGGGCTCTTGGTCTGCATTGCGGACTCGTATTTACGCAGGGATGACCTCTTTCTCGCTTCGCTGCTGTTCTTAATACCATAGAAAAAGTAGATGATGAAACCTGGGAAAGGAGAGAGGCGACGGGAAGTTACAAAACGCTCTCGTGAACGCATTGGCAATGCGTAAGAGGAGAACGCGGCGTCCGAACGTACCGATGAGCATCCACACCGCGAAGCGGCACCACGTTCCCCAGTCCAGCTGCATCATGAGGTAGATGTTGACAAAAACGCTGAACAGGGGCAACCAGGGAAGCAGAGGGACCTGGAGGAATGGAGGACGTTGCAAAAACTCAGCACAGCCATCTTTGAATGTGAGCAGCAGCAGCAGCACGGCCACAGGAAGCAGTTTTTACCTTGAAGGTGAGCGCCTCTTTGCTCTCCGGCTGCCTGCAGATGATGACGAGGCAGACGACGCAGAGCAGGCCCAAGAGGACGCACGGCACCACGACGGCCGGATGCCCGGCCAGCAGCTCCGTGAGGCAGTTGGCGAGGATGACGCACAGTACCGTCATGAGAAGCGCTGCAGAGACACCGGGCGGGGGGGGGCAAAGTTACTCACGAGAATGAATGAAACAAAAAGCCCTGTTTACGTCCCTTCCAGAAACACTTACAAATGGTGGCGGTGGTGGCGTAGACGATGTTGCCCGAGGTTTGCGTGGGGAGCTTTCCACTCGGACAGAAGAGCAGCTTGACGGTGAAGGCCTCGCGGAGCGGCCTCTCCTCCCCCTCGTCCCTCTCGTCCCCACTGTCGTCTCCGCTCACCGCCACCTTCTCCCCCTCCACCAGCTCCACCAGCTTCTCCGTCTGGCTGGACGAACTCAGGGTGCCCGGCTGGTACCTGCGGAGGGACAGGAGAGTGTCACAGGGAGGGGAAATCCGGATATACGCACAGCTGCATATGTTGTCTGCGTACCAACAAGACGCTTTTGTTATGCAATCCTTATTCTGAATCAAAAGAACAAAGCAAATTATAATTCGTACCATAATTGGTACTAGCAACTAGAAAATGTTTAACACGTGATTACATCTGAGAATGTGCCTGCAGGGAATAGCGGGTGCTTACCGGAGGATGAGGACGCAGATGGCCACCAAAGAGTACGCCAGCAGAGTTCCAATGGACATGAGGTCAACCAGAGCTGCCAGGTCAAACAGGAAGGCCATCAGAGCTGCAAGGAGAAGTCAAAACTGAAGTCTTAGGACATTTATACACTTTCACATAGTTTCACAAAGAAATGCTTAGATGGCTGAGAGTAGGGGGGGGCAGAGCCATCGCCCCGGTCAACTACCTGCAACCACGCCGGACACGATGGTAGCCAGGAGAGGAGTCTTGGTGCGAGCGTTCATCCTGGACAGAACGCGGAACAGCAGCCCGTCCTCCGCCATGGCGTAGATAACTCGGGGCATGGGGAACATGGAGCCGAGGAGACTGAGGGAGAAGATGGGCGGTGAGCATTTCACAGACGCACTGCGAAGGCGCGATACCACTCCCGCCCCGCTTTCCGCTTACCTGGTGGACAGCGCGCAGAGGGAGCCCACCGCCACGATGTAGCGGGCTGGAGCCCAGCCGACGTAGCTGAAGGCCTCGGGCAGAGGACTCTGTCTGTTCAGCTGGTAGTACGGCATCATGAGGGTGAGAGCGGCGGACACGCCAAAGTATGCGAAGAAACAGATGAGCAGCGAGGCGACGATGCCGATGGGAATGGAGCGCATGGGGTTCTTCGCCTCTTCGCCTGGCGACAACCAAATAAACAAAAAGAAAAAATTAGCCCATCGGGGGAAGAGTTCACGGGAGAGTCGGACCGACAGCCAATCCCGTAGAGCAGGTAAAGGCTCCCGGACAAGACGTGAAGGGAAGAGTTACATGTGGGAGCTACACGATGTGGAGAAAATCCCAGGTGTTATTATGAAACATTCATTAAAATCTCCATTTTCAGAAACAGCTCCGCTTCATGGCCACTCAACGGCTCAAACGTTCAACGTAACAGAGTTTGTGCATACCAGAAAGAAAAAAAAACCACGATGTAAAACCACTCACTTGTTGTGGCGATGCAGTCAAAGCCTACGAAGGCGTAGAAGCAGGTGGCAGCACCGGACAGGACTCCAGTCAAGCCGAACGGAGCGAAGCCGCCCACGCCAAACTCCTCCTTGACGCTGGGTTAAAGAAAGACACTCTGCGATGAGACACTTGGCGCTGAGAAACGGGCGAAACGAGTTAATTCGCCGGCAGCCATCACTATACTCACTGTGCAGGCGTGCTGCCGTTGGTGCCGTTTATGAAGCTGAGGTAGTCTTTCTCAGTCAGTTTCCAGTTCTCTGTGTCCCCCTTGACAAAGCCAGAGATGATTACGAAACCCAGAACCACCAGGTTGATGCCCGTGAAGATCTTATTCACCAGCGCCGACTCGTTCACGCCGAAGGCCAGAAGTCCTGAGGACAGGAGGAGATGACGAGTGATCAAGATGTCCTGCTACGTGGGTGGATGTGCAGCTCACAGCCGTCAACAATCAGTTAGTCAGCGACACCAAATTGACAAATTGTCTCTTTCTCACCCGGCTGCTGGCATTCCACACGCTGCAATATTAATGGCCGTTCTGGCCGCTATGCAACGCTTTATTCGGCGGACTGTCAGGTGGGGAAGCAGAACTCACCAGAGAGCAGCAGGACCAGGATGAGGGCGAACAGGTCGGGGTACTCGGCCAGCACATTGCCCGGTACCTTCATCGACATTGAGTCCGTGAAGAACTTGGAGATCTTTTGCTCCACCAAGCTGTCGAACGTTGAGCTCCAGGCCCTGGCAACACTGGCCGTACCTTTTAGAAAAGACAAGACCTTTTTAGACCAACAGTGTAATGGCGGAAAAGGGACGCGTCCACTGCAGCTCAAGAAAAAGGCTCACCTATGACGTAGGAGAGGATGAGGTTCCACCCGGTGATGAAGGCCCAGATCTCTCCGACCGTCACGTAGCTGTAGAGGTACGCAGAGCCCGTTTTGGGGACACGGGCGCCGAATTCCGCGTAGCAGAGGCCCGCCAACATGGAGGACAGAGCGGCGATGAGGAAGCAGAGGACAATAGCCGGTCCGGCCTTTTCTCGGGCGACCTCGCCGGCGAGGACGTACACGCCGGCGCCGAGCGTGGAGCCCACGCCCAGCGCGATGAGGTCCAGAGTGGACAGGCAGCGGGCGAATCGGGTCTCCTCATTGGAGCAGTCTAATGCCCGGCGGCGCAGCAGGATTTTGCCGAAGTTGGCCAGCTGGGCGGTCATATTTGCTGTGAGGTGTGTGTGTGTGTGTGGGCGGTGAACCAGGCTGTGTTTTAAATCTTCTAGTGTGGGTGGGTGTGTGTGCGATCCACACAGCTCAATGCTCGTGACTTATCCGGGAGTTGACGTACTTTGGGCAGATGGGTAGGTAACCGAAGTACTTGTTGAGTATTGATCCTGGAGTTGGGCTGCAGTCACTGGAGCACACAGGCGGCGGGTCGCTGGTTACAGTGTTTTGCGGCAGCCGATTAGGATCTGTGAGAAAACACAAAAAAGCAGGAGCTCAGACGTTGTGAAGTTGATCTGTGTGCGGTGATATCACACACTGGGCCTGAGTGAGTTACATTTCACTACATGAAAACCTGTACAATTAAACCAGTTATGCAACTTTCCTGGAATTCACACCTCCATCACTTAACAGCAGTTACACAACATGAGACAAAGTAAAGCAGAACAAGATCTCACCAAGACAAAAGAAAACCGGAGGCCACGGCCTCACCAAGGTACACAGTGCGCACCCATATAAAAAACACATGGACACCCAACTACACTCGCACTGTTTTTTCAACAGATGGACGCCGTCAGGGTGAAGCCTGGGAACGCCGGAGGCTGTGGGCCGATGATACTGTCAAATTCTGCAAGCTAACATCAACAAGGGAGAGGAGAACAGCGCGATAAGATGAACCAGCTGCACTGCGAGGAGGTACGGATTAAATACACTGTATCTATAAAACAAAACAAAGAAAACACACACAAGGGAAGTTGCTGTTTCAGAGCGTTATTCACCACACCTGCTCCTTCAACATGTTATTTGTCCCTCTTTGGCAAATACTCGCAGGGCAACTTAGAGCGAAACTATTTAGCTACTAACCCCAACAAAACTGCAAATCACACACACACGCCCTGCAGGTTGAGACTTCCTACTCCCCATCTTCAACAAGGGGGCGGCGATTAGGGCAGATCGTTTGTGTTTGACGCATTTAGAATTGTGCCGCATTGTTTATAAAGAGGAACTCGGGAGGATCAGTGGCAACAGTTCCTGAAGAGCGAAGCAGTGCAGTCACGGGTCCGTTGCCCCCGGGGCATTATCGATGCTTCAACAAAAAGAACAAAAAAACAAACAGCTGATAAAACCCCATCCTCAAGGCCGCCCGGTTTACGTCAGCAGTAGTTGCTTGTCCATTACCAAAACACACCAGACGTACACGCAGGTTCATTACAGGCCAAGGACTCTGCACAAGTGACGAGCACCATGTTGATTTCTGTTCGTTCTCCAGGATGTCGACTGACTCACATTGCATATTGCGGTCATGACTGCGGTGGAGGTTGCGCGCCACCACAGGCCTACGTTTGGATTGGTGGAGGTCAGGTTGGGAAGTTCTTATGCGTACATGAGGTAGCGTAACATGAGCTGTGGAAAGTAAGCAGGTTCGGTTCACTCGCCGTCGAGGAAACACTCGGATTAGACGAAGCAGCTGCTCCTGCGCAGATTAAACGCTAAATGTAAACAGGGTGCAAAACCAACACAGGACACACACATGAATTAAATGTTGACATGTTTGCACAACCATGAGGTTGGTTCCGATTGGCCTTTTGAAAAGAGGGTTTTCATTTTTTACTTTTGACACAAAAACACTCAACTGCCTACAATGAAAAGCAGCATTAAAATAATCTTGTGGCTAAAAAGGGGCATTTCCATTTTGCAGTGCATAATTTGATATTTTTACTGCATGTGGCAGAAACAACATCACTAAGCTGTGTTGTTGTTTGTCGAAGGTTCCATGTGTTCGGTATTGCAAAAAAAGGAGGAGCAGCAACACGCTGTAATGAGGTGAGCAGGTTTGTTTCCTCTCCAGATAATCCTCTTAAGAGACTGTGGCAGCATTAGCCGCAATGCTGGGTCAAGTAAAAGGATCATTATCCCAGAAGCCTGTTGGAACAGGAGCAGAGCGGCTCGTTGGCCTTTCAGTTGGTTCCGTTTGAAAAAAATAAGTTATTTTGATTCAATTGCATTTGGAGTTTTGCAGGACAAATGAAACGAGGGTAACCTAGAATGTGGCGGCATGCAAAAGTCTATTTTGACATTTTATTTAATATGCTTTGTGAGTGGGACTCTTTTACAGTGACATCACCATTCATGTGTGTGGGTGTGTGCGTGTATAGACACAACCGATCTGTTCATGATCTACGTACTAGAGTAAACAGGAAAACGCCCTGGTTCTAAATGCAAAAGTATAAAGTGTTAACTTATTTTAATACTAAAAATAAAGAATTACAATTTTAAATACATATTATGCAGAATGGCTCATTTTAAACAATAGTGTCACGGTATGCTTAAATCACTGGATTATAATTATTGACATATCACTTTGATGTTTGTGCCGTTGACAGGGGGATTAATTTTAATACTTCTAATAAGTATATTCGTTCTTAGTAACACAGCATAGTTGATTCATATTTTGTCTAAAGAATATTGTCAAATAGTTAAAAGTAGTACATTCCCTCTGAGATGTAGTGCAGTGGAAGGTTAAAGTAATACTCAAGTTAGTACGAGTACGTCAACAGCACACTCCGGAACAATAGTTCAGTAAATATGGTTAGAATGTACTTTCTAAAAAAAACAATTAAAAAAACACACACACAAAATTCTGTGGAAACACTGCAACTGAATAGAAGCCGAGGAGCTGAAAGGGGGCCAGCAGGTAACACGCCATTCCTGTGTGAGGCGTTGCACGTACGTACACACACACACACACACACACAAACAGTAAATCGCCCTCGCTCACACAGCCTCGTGAAAACCACAAGGAAAAGATTAGAGGGCAGTTGACGTGAAAGCGGCGCCGAGCGGAGCAGAGGGGGCCCGGGCGTCGCTTTAATGAGACCCCCCGCAGTGCGTTTCTGACAGGTGTCTGCGGGCAGGGGAGAAATACTCAGAATGTGAAAGGCATTCCCCGACTAACTGTATTCATGAGGTTATCATACAACTTGTTTTTCTTTACTATGTAACCGTAGATTATATCGAGTGTCCTTGCGGCTTCAGTAGTTTTAAGCCTCTTTGTCCGGCTTTGCAAAAAAAAAAAAAAGTGTGGACGTCTGCGAGTTGGAGCCCCCGAGGAGCCCCCAGCCAGCCGGGCACAGAGCTTAATACATAAATGTTTAATGTTTACTGACACAACATGGACCCTCTCAGATCTCTGTCCCTGCTGTGTGTGTGTGTGTGTGTGTGTGTGTGTGTGTGTGTGAAATGCTCCTGGAATGTCACACCAGGAGGAGTGGGAGAATATCCACCAGGTACCAGTTTCCCATCATCTTCACAGGGCTGAATGTTTATTGTTGGCTGCTCTCTGTGTTGATTGTATTTCATTGTTTGACAGTATTTTTTTTCCCTTTTTCTCAGCACTTAACTGTACTAGGCAGGATATTCTCTTTTGAAATTGTAAAACTGGAGGAGCTTTGATAAATAGGTTATGTTGTTTTTAAATGGTATTTATAGAAGACTGCCATTGTACTGAAACATCGTGAGGGCTTTTACCCTGTTTGTTATGAAAAAGAAGGAGCCAAATTTAGACCACAAATGATCTATGATCTAAATATATACATTATTTTCTGCTTCCACGGGCAGTGTGACCCAAACTTTGCACAAACTGAACTCACCACCATTACATTACGTGTCATTTAGCTGACGCGTTTATCCAAAGCAACTTACATGCATTCAACCATTGGGATACAAACTCGGAGGAAACCAGAAAGTGCAATTTCATCAAATAAGCCAATTTACAATAGATTAGTGGCGTTATAAGAACAATTTAAGTGCTACAATTTGTTAGTCTTTTAGTGGAGGTAGAGTCTGAAGAGGTGTGTCTTTAGATTCCGCCCACCGCCACCTGAAAGTCCCGTCATTTGATATCGGCGACACGTTCTGCCTGAAGCAGCACCTGGATTTTTAACTGGACAGTGTAGTGTGAAAAACAAAAATAGACTGTCCCTCTTTGCGCCCCACTCCCCTTCCCTTCCCCATCTTTGACCCACACATTTAAGTTCGCATGGAAGGGCATTTAGGCCTGACCTCTGACCCAGGGGAAGCAACCATACACTCACGGCTCCAGACAGTTTCTGCTACAGTGACTGACGGGCCTGATGCGTCCGTCCACCTCCTCAGCACGCAACCCAAGATATCGGGTATCTCAGCATTAATAGCTGCCGGTCCTCCGCCACACACCATTTATGGACAAAAGTGCAATAAGGGGGGTTCGGCCAATCTTTAACAAATTGTTAATGGTTACGCAGATCAGTTGTTATACAGTATCTCCAAGTATAGTATTTCCAGGCAAGATAAAAATGCCTCGCCCCTTTTTAAGCAGGGTGTTGCAAAGACTTGCACGTGCCAACGCCTCACTTCACATTTGGATCAAAGTATTAGGCAACCGTGTTATAAGTGCATGTTGTTTCTTCTTGTGAATTACAGTTGAGTTACAGTTGAAAGTATTCCTGGTCCCAATACAACTTAATTTGCGGAGCCAGTAGCTGAACAAAGGGGAGCATGGTGTTCAGTACCGTGGGGCGCTGATAGGGGGGTGAATGTGAACTCGTCTGGTGCGCTGCATCATGAATATAGTCAGCGACCTGTTCTCAGGACAATAAAACAATGGTTTTCCAGGCGTTTGAAGTTATCAACTGTATTTATTTTAAGCCAGAATTGCGTTTGTATGAGGACCTTTACTAACCCATAGCCTTAGCCTTATTCTTACTAACCCATTGCATTAGCATTTCATTCCACTTTATTTTATTACCTGTGCACTGTTGTCTTGTCTGTCTACTGTCGCGCACTAACTGTCTGTCTACTGTCGCGCACTAACCGCCAAGACAAATTCCTTGTATGTTTGACATATTTTGGCCAATAAATGTTTCCTGATTCCTGACCTCTGCAGGTTCACAGTAAGGCCGCGTGTACACTAAAATGCGGGGGTGGGGGGGGGGGCTGACCACTGAGACTGAACTGAACGACCCTTGAAGTCACCTGGCTGCAGAGCACTCCTGCCAAAAACTGCGGGGTAGAATGTGATGAACAAAGGACGTGCTCCCTTTCCCATGCCGAGCTACGTCAAACCCATTAACACGCAAAGCCCCAACAATACGAGTCATCTACACATTACAAGAATAACCTAGAATTCAAAGAACGACGAGGTCTACTAAGGTACGCAGGTCTGACTAAATGAAGCCACGTATGCAAAAAAAAAACTGCAGCACCATGTAACTTTAATTAGGCTCCAACTAGTTAAAAAACAACTGCCACATTTCCCAGTAAAAAAAAACTAAAAATATGTTTTATACGGAACACAATTCATCAAGTCAAAATGTTAACAAATGAGCACTCTCACCCCATGATTCCATGAGGTAGTTTGCTCAAGAGGAAGTAACAACTTCAGTGTAGCAGGTCTCCTCCGACATAACAAACATTGTGACATTGCTGAAGATTTGTGTTTCTGGCTAGATGAGAATGGTCAACAGTGCAATGAACAGCCCCTAAACGTCTTATATACAACTATCTAAGTATCTCGCAGTTTAAAAACAATGCAAATGCTTTTAACAGGTAAATGGTTTGTGTTCAACTCTCTAATTGTCTTCCCATGTGTACCCATGGTAGTTAACTAGAAATTATGTTTTATCAACGTCACATTCCTCGGGGGGAACCCGTTACCTGTCAATAGCCCATGATTTTAACAATATGTCAATATTAAATACATTAACAATCAATAGCAGCAGCAAGTACGTGCTGTGACGGGCAATGACAAACAAACCACCACAGCCTTTCTTCAGCGTTGAATGGGACTAAACTGGAAATACAGACAGTGTAAATTAAGCATAGATTCAAATAAAGGTGCCATGTGGCTACCTGGTTAGTCCCACAACGCCCCCACTCCCACTAATCCACCTGACCGCCGATCCCGGGCGGCATCACATTACGCACACCGACTCACGGCTCGTTGCGTCTGCTACTACAGTGATATCACTACATTATAATGAATGGGGTGGATTTTAATTTGGCTGATGCAACACAAGCATGGTATAACAAGGACCACACACACACACACACACACACACACACACACACAATACGCTAGTGAACTTTACCCGGAAGGAGGACTCACTGTGGTGACACCGGTCATGTTTTCTTACAAGAGAAACCACGCTGGCGTAATTAGTTAATACTAAAACTGACCTTTATTTTTTTTACGGAGAGGGTCAAATATGCGACGATCAGCTGTCCGTCTGCCAGGGAAGCACAGCAGCTAGCTACGTGGCTCCGCTCGCTTCTCGCGTGGTGAAAATGTTGCCTTTGTAGATTACGGAAACATCGACGCTGCAAGACGTACACAGTCTCTGGAGTTTGTTCTGGTTCAAGACTAAAGCGGATGAGGATGGCAGACCATGGGCAGTGACTAGTCAGTGTGCCACCGGGAATTTTGAGTTATGTCTTGACACGGGAGCCGTTTTGTTTAAGGTGAATTCGGTCAATTGCTAGAAATTCTCCGCTTTTTGGGGGACTTTAACGCAGCATTACATCGGTAAAACGACCTGCTGGCGGGGGCAGCTAACCGCCCATGACATCGCCGCCAGGACCAAAACATCGAATTAAACCCCCGAATGATGATACGGAAACGAGTCGAGCCCTGTTTAATTTACATTCATAAAAGTGTTATCGTTTCCCCCATAAAAGGTCACTTCATCAGATATGAATGATCTAACGTTACTCTATTGTGGTTTCCCGTGCGCGCGTCAGACCAGCAGCCGATTCTGTTCATAGAACACATTTAAAAAATGTCACCTTACTAAAAGTGAAACGTACGTTAACGGTTCATTAAGTGAAAATGTGCGTTGGACACTGAGGCTTGTACGTCACGTTGCGTCCGTTGTAAACATAAGCGCTCGGGTACGACTGTTGACACGAGGGAGGATTGCATCAGAACACTAACGAGTCCGGTAACGTTACTGGACGCGACACGGTGTCATCACCAGACGACCCGGAGGCCGGAAATTAAAAAACAAAGTTAAATAGTATTAATGAAACATGGTATAGGGCTTTACCTGAATGTCTTCTGGGTGATAGTGGTGAAAGGGGCCGGCTCGTAGCTGAAGTGTCCCGCTCTTAAACATGTGTGTGTGTGTGTGTGTGTGTGCTTTAGTCCCGCCGGGTGGAGGAGGGGGCGGGGAGATAAACAAACTGACGCAACCGGTAGGTGGAGCTTCTCCTTCAATGGAAATACTGACGTAAGAATATGTCAATATTAACGTTCCTGTGCATATTTGCGCTGCTCTGCCATGGATCTATATCGATATCTATTGAGACGTATAGACAAAGCAAAGACGAATAAGTATAAACAAGTGTTTGAGATACAGAAAACGCGTAGATGTAAGAGTGCGCGCGCGCTTGCGTTCACATAGTAGCAATGCCCTTATATGGAGTCCACGTCCCCCCCTCCCCCTGAGAGACGCGTTCAGGTCCTCGCTCACCTCTACACGCGATATCCGCTGTTGCTTTGTTCCGCAGACTCAAAAAAAGGAGCGGATACTAAAATATTTCCTTCATGTTCATTTTCACTTAGTAACCTGGGTACGATGAAGCGTCAGTTGTATTCTCGTGTCTCTCACTGACTGAAGCATCGTTATACAAACTATCCTCTTAAAATGCATATCATCATACGCATTTTAAGAGGATAGTTTGTACTGTGACATCACGCATGTAGTGTAGTTTTTTAGTCAGAATAAACGTGAACCTGGGGAGGGTAATTTATTTTAGGTATTATAGGTAGTATTGTTTGTCATATTTGTAATGAAATTTTCATTACATCCTGACAGTAATGTATAGCTCAAATGCTCTGACAAAGACATGACTAATGATTCCATTAGGTTTGCTTGAATGAGTCCTGCGCAAGCTGCTAGCTTGACACATAGCTGCAAGTACTCAATGGACATGTTTGTTGTGTACGTTCAATATGATATATAAATGTTAATAACAAATAATTTTGGGCAAGATGGGTCAGGCTGCTACTTGGTATGGACCTTTTGCTGTTAACTGTTTTCATTAGAAAATGGTCGGCATGCCTGCGCTGTTTTTGTTTGTATATATATGATCTAGTTTACTAGATATATATATGATCTAGTTTACTAGATATATATATATAAAACAAAATAAATCATTGTTTGCGATTTCCTCTCTATTTGAAGCCTCCTTGTTGTTTTGAATGCATCCGATGACGGTATTATTATCTGCAAACGTCTGAACAGGAAGGGCTGAATACACAACCCTGGGGGGCTCCGTTGTTCAACAATAGCTAAATGGTTCTGATACATTTTAAAACCCCCCCATAACAAAGTGTTTTCCCTTTTAAATAACTTTACTGTTTTCAATATCATCATTTCTCACACTGTCTGACGGTCTATTCTGTAACAGACAGGCTAGTTTCAACCTTTCATTGATGCTATACGACATAAACACTACCATGTCTAATCACATTTTAGAACATGCAAGTTGGTACGATAGATAATGTATGATCATGACTCTTAATTTGCTGGAAGCATTTTAAATTTTTCAGCCTTTTTATCGTTTGAGCTTTTTTTTTTTTCTTTCCCGTCATATTTATCCACCACACCTTCAAGACTTGTCCGCAAAATATTGTTTGAAATAAAAATGCATGTGAGGCCAAAAAGGGTGGGGACTGCTGATCTAACTAACATATCCCTGCAGAGTCCATGGTCATTGACAGAGGTCATTAATTGAAACATTTATACTGATGGATGTGTATGGTTATAAATAGGATGTAGGACTCCTTGTGCTACACAGCTCATTCAGAGTTCTATGAGAGGCATTCAGTCTTCTGCAAGATGATAATAAGTGGAATTGAGGGGGCTCATGGAAATGGGATTTCTTTTTTCTGAAAAATCTATCATAAAAAAATAAAGTTATAATATTTTGAGTAATTTCATGCTCTAGCCAGCCATGCATAGATTTAGATAAACTTCTAAATTTATCTAAATGATGAAATATCAGAAAGTATTCAGCAGTGTAGAGTATCTGTCTAACAGAGATTGTAGTAAAAGATAAAAGAAAAAAGGAAACTAAGGTTCTGCATTGACTTTTGGAATCTGTGTGAATAAATCACAAAAAGTACACCAAGCCATTGAAATTCTGTCTTTCTTACACCATTCAATTCTTTGTTTCAGGTCCTGGCAATATCTTCCTTTTTTTGGTCCATGCATTAGGACTATGACCTGTTAACTTAAAAGAAAAAAATGATGATTGTGAAATGCATTTTCTCCCGCCCCATCCATCGAACTCTGTCCGATGGTACTCTAGTAGCCACTCGTCTCCTCTTTTGTACTTGCCCAGTCACACTGCTTTGGATGCTCTTTTGATTTACTTCCACTTTATCAAGCTAATCCAACTGGGTGTCTCTGCAAACACAACAGGCGTCATGGCTGCAAACTGGGCTCCAGTGTTAGAACCGCTAACTAAACAACCCCTAATCTCTGCCATGGCCTACAGTGGCCGTCCCGTCTGCCCACTTTCATCACTCAGGACAAGGCCAGTACTTCAAAGCTCACTGGTTTTGTAGGTCACGGTTCTCACCAATGAGGAGGGTCAGGGTCAGTGTGTGCATCCCAAAAAAATATCAAATTCCAGCCTCTACTTCTGTCTGTATAAATACGCACGCACAAATCACAAGCTTGTGTCGCCCTGGAAGAGGAATCCTTTCTCAGACCTTTCATTTTGGTTCATGGGCCGTTTTCCAACCCAAGTAAGCGGGACAAGTAAAACATGTACTAAAAAACGACACCTCCTAATCTTTTTCTTTCTGAAAACGTCCAGAATGAACAAACAATAAAAAAAAGATGACAAACAGCCTTAGATGCCTCACTGGTCTCTTGGCAAAGACAAAAAACGGGGTGCGTTTTTTTTTTTAATCCTGCCAAAAAAAAAATGCATCTCCTCTGTTCTTCCTCGTCCGGGAAAGTTCTCGTATTTTACCTTTGTGACAAGCTTAGTGGCAACACCGGTGTGTATGAACCGTTTAATGCTCCTTTTTCCATTTTCATGGAAGCTGTTGTGTCCTGTTAGTCATGCCTACTTTTGAATAGCTGTAGGTCATGGTTTACATTAAAAGATCACTAATCTGGGACAACTTTAATCCACCGGAGGACAGAATTCCTCTTCCCCGGTTAGTCCTGTATTTCCTGAAAGAGCGCTACAGTGAAAAGAAAATGTGACCAATGAGGCACAATCTTTACTCACGAGGCTTCCTTAGTCACGCACATATTGTATTTCTTTCATTTACTGCTAAAACGGCTCAGGTTATTTGTTATTATTCTACACAATATATGGATCCAACTCTTTGTATAAGTGATTTATCGGTTTGTCTGCCAAATGCCAGAGTATGAAGAAAAATACTTTTTTCAGTTGCAGTTTCTTCAAATTAGTGATAATTTATTTATATAGCACCTTTCAAAACAAAGTTACATAGTTCTATAAAATTGAAACAAAATAAAAGGTAAAGTGAAAATAACCTGTGAAGTACAAAAAAAAAAAATGTATGAAAAAAAGGTGGAGGCAATCCCTCCAGTGGAAAGGCTGTGAATAGCTCGTTGTCAATGTAGTCTAGTTTCAAGTCAAAGCAACAGATTAAAATGAATTAATTATGCTCTGCAACCCAACCTCATCGCTCCAGTTATTTTCTTAAAGCCCCACTTACCAGTCAAAAGTAAACACTACGGCGTGAACGTGTCAAACCATGTTTAACATGTGGCATCTTCACATACAAGTTGTAAAATGTATGGAAAGAAAAGCTTTTTTTTCTTCTTTTTTCGACCTCATGTTCCTTTTCTACTTCCCTGTTAAATTAGGTCATCTGCCAATCAGCCAGCTCCCATGATGCCCTCTGATTCCATCCAACACCTCAGTGCGACACGCTAATTACAAAGCGGAAGTTAAGGATTCTATTTCTACTTTTTAAAACTGAATAGACACGTAGACATGAAACAGCAGGCAGCAGGGAATTTAATTGGACAGAATAAACAAGGAAGTTCCTTGTCACCAATGGTGGCACTGCAAAGATAGCATGTATTAATACACCTCACAGGAATAGAAAGAAAAAAATAAGTGCAGATTAAAGTCTAAATAAAACTAAACAAAGAATAAAGCCTTATTTCAGATCAATAAAGGTGCTAATGCACCTTTAAATAATCAAATATTGTTCACATAATGAACCTCGTCACAGTGCTTATTTTTTGTTATTTCTGCAACTTAACATTCCCAATAGCTGATTTGACAACACACAGCCAGAGTGTACGCATGACGACGTAACGGCAGAGTTAAAACAATGAAATCCTCTCCCATAGCAGGTGTAGAGCATACAACTCAGGGAAATATTGACTGGAGCGAAAACGTCAGTCTTTCTCAAAATGCTACATGTTGCTCGACTTTGGGAAGTTATCACAATCGCATCTCTGCTGGCAAAAGAAGACTTTAATCAAAGCAGGAAATTACCCTCATTTTAGACTTTATCAAAGCAAATAAACAGATATTCAGAAAACAATCATGAAGTGTAACAACAAAAAGGTTATATGGAAACATGTTTTCTTTTTCGTTGAGTGCTGAATCAAAAATAATGTACATACTGTATGTGAAATGACCAAATGAAGACACAACATCAAACGATTTATACATTGGATCTCTTAAGTTCTGCCCAGGAGCAGCAGTTCCAACACAATTGATACTTATCAGTTCGGACATTTCCACCAGCTATATAACAACTTGATGTCGAGATAAATGTACATGGGGCAGGTGCAGCAGTCTGTATTATCTTTGCAATCAGAGAGAGTGAGAGAGAGAGAGAGACATGAGAAATAATATAGAGACATGTTCAAGCTTATATGTATTTGGTCTTTGCTGTGAATCTCAGAATCCACTGATGCAGCGACTAATGTAATGGCACAACGTTAGAGCAATACAGAAGAAATAGCACACTTATCCATGTCTGTGGTATAGCTGAATAAAAGGAAATAAAGATCTCAATCAACAAACCGAAACATACGATGGTGATCACAGGCATGTTAAAAAAAACAATTGCAGGTGACACAAATATATTTTAAAGAAAGCATGCAAATTTTGCCATGCAGTCAATGATTAGTGCGGTTGACAATGACATTGAATCAGCATTAGTTTGACAAATGTTTTACAAAGAGCTCTAGTCAATGGTGATGTATACTACTTATAAACAATAGTTAACATCTTTCAAACCAACAGTAGTGGCCTACACTGGTGCAGCGAGAAACTTCTGAAAGCCAGTTATGAAGAAACAGTTACCCTATACCAATTCAAAACCCTTTAACTGCAAATGAGATTTACATTTCATTCAAGCTTGACAATGTGTAATGTAAATCTGACTTGCAGAACATTCTTACCTTTGCAGCACAGAATGACAATTCATAGTCAGATCTCTGTGATAGTTTAGTTATGGTATTGAAGATGTTGTACTTTAGTATTAGTGAACTATCGCCTTTAGTCTTTACAGTGCCCATGCAGCCACCTTTAACCTCCAGAAAGCTCTTGAGACAGGATCAAACAAAGCAAACTTACTTCATTCATACCTAAAAAAACAAAGAACATAACAGGATCAGAAATCTAATTTACAGGCTGCATGTTTGTTGCACATTAGTGCCATAATTATCCATTATTCTACTTTATTCACATTATATACAACAAGTAACATCTGACACTCATCAGGGAACCAATGAATGTATCATCTCATTTTAAGCTTGAAAATTGTGACTAAACGGCTCCAACTCCAAGATAAAGTTAACATGTCTTATGCAACGGAACACGCAGGGAGAGAGAAAGAGAGGCAGACCAAGTGGAAAGACAGAAAGGAGAGATTACGAGAAGACAAAATGGAAGGAAAAGGCATCAGACCGTTTGATCTTCACCCCAGCAATTACACCCCCCCCCCCATCTCCTTTAGTAACCTAGTGTCATACTTTTCCAGGAATGTAGTGGCGGTCAATGCTTTCCTCTTGCAGGAACATGTGAAGACAGCGCTCGTTCTGGGCCAAGGGATGACCTGCAATTCTACACCCAGCAGACAGACAAAATCCACTTCTTTTATATGCTTTTCATAGAAACTGGTACAAGTTTAGATGAGTTAGTTTACACCCAGGATAGATTAGTCGTCTTGCGTTGAGGTGGACTTTTGTGGAAATGGACTACTAGTAATGACATGTGAACTTCAGATTAGGACAACAGGTTTTGTGGTAAGAAAACGTACAGAATAACAGCTTTGAGAAAAGATTGAATCATCCTATTAAATATATTCTTTTAGCTCCTTTGTCAACGAGCCATTATTTTCCACATTAACACATTTCAGGTGACAAACATTTGTTGAATTCATATCCAAGAACACGACGTGCGTCTGAGAAAACAAAGTGTGCACAATGTGCGATTGTGCTTCAAGGTTGCATTTACTGACCTGTTGATGAACTGCTCCAGGCCTGACCGCCGCTCCTCAACAAAGGACTCGTCAAAAAGACCCCCATCGCCACGAAATGGCAACTGTCTCTTCAGGGCCTTGCCCGGCAGAGATGGTACTACAATCTAAAAAGGTGTCAGGGTTCAGCACAAAGAAAGGGAAAGATGATGAATACGCACAAAAATACTAAAGTCAAAGTCCACACTAGCTGTGCTGAGAAGTCAAATTGGCTGAAGGTTACATTTATAGATCGGAGTTCCAGCGCCAAGTATCACAATTATTTAGGATGCAAATAGGTTGAGGTCACTACACACACACACACACACACAAAAAATCATTTGAATATCAGAATTTGTACATTCATGTCCACACTCACCTTACTGTCTCTTTCCAGCTCAATCTTTAACCACTCAAAGTCGCTGTATCTTCTTCTCACACAGGACTCCTTCAGTTTGAAAATGGGAAGGTTTGTCTACACAGAGAAGTGGAATTAAATAAAGAAAAAGAAAAAAAACATCTCCGCCTTGATTGATTTTAAATTAAATTATTTGGACAAGGTGTGTAACCATCACGATTGCTGGGACGTTTGACAAAACAATTCCCATGGACTCATAATTTGAGTCTGCGTAGTGGCATGAAGGCAAAGTAGTCCAGTAGTGTGGCATGAAGACAGTTTCTTTCACCAAATAACTTATATCGCTACAATTGTAGCATAGCATACAATTTATGGGAAATTGATAAAACATTTTAAAGTGGTTTAACAAATGAGAAAATAGGGAGGAATACAAATTTCTCAGAGCAAAACGTTGTCTTCAGATAGTTAAACCCAAAGAAAATCGATTTACAATATGTTAAAGAAATAGAAAAAGAAATCCCCACACAAGTAGGTTAACGTTAACCCCTTCGCTGATCAACCAAATTATGAAACAGTACAATTTCCACATTATAGAGGAGACATTCTAATAAGGGTCACCAACATTTGAAATAGTGAAGAGAAGTAACGTTAAGTCACACGTATGACACGTTAGCATCTGCTTCCGGAAAATGTTTTCTTTCAAATGTAGCAGTGTCAGCAATTTTTTTTTTTACTCACTCGCCTTACGCTCAACTACCGGTTTAGTTAACGTTACTTAACTTGGTTAACGTATAAGGAACAAACTTTCCCGCGAGTAATGGCTCATTTGCAATCATTAGTAACGTTATCTTACAGGGCAGAAGTATAACGCTAAACCGTGAACGTCACTCTTCTCATACGTTCACCAGACGTTAGCAACCTATGTTTATAAAAAGGAAAGCCAAGCCAACCGTCTTATTTGTATACGTCTGACGTTAGGTATGCAGACGGTAAAATAATATTCATGGGTGTGTTCAACAAACTTCTCCAACCCAACCTCGATAACTTATTAAGTTGAACCTCCAATGCTGCGTGAGGCCTTCGACGATCCCCGGGCCTTGATTTTTACTGGAGCGCCATCTTGACCTACTCCGGGAGCACACCGTAAACGTCCCAGCCCGGTTGCTGACTCCAGCACCGCGGATAAACATGCTAACTAGCTAGCACCAACAGTAATTAACAGTTAGCTTAGCAGATACAAGCTAACACCGCAACCATGTGTTTAACGGCTCTTGATTTGAACACCTACCCGCATTCGAACTTCGTAATTTGTGTAACGGTTCCGTCCGACTCCAACGGTTTGTGGATCACTAACGTCTATTTCCAGGTAGTTGCTGGGGGGCCCGTACGCGTCCGTCAGGTCCTGGGGCTTGGAATTCAACCGGCGGGTGTCGGCCACCGAAGGGTCTGTCATTTTGTCGGGCTGTAATTTTTCGGACGACCGGCGGCGAATCAAACCAACTGAACGATCGGCGACGTCTCAAGTCTCACCCGAAGACATCAATTGATCACGTTAGCTGATCCCGGTTCAGCTAGGGAAGTGGCGTTAGCCGGCTCGTGTCGCTCTCTTCCTGCGTGGGCCAGCTGCCCTGCGCCCTTCCCCTCATGAATGTGAAGAGCGCGTAGCGAGTCCTCACTCACCGGCAGGCTTTCTGCACTCCCTCTAACGGACGCTGAGAAAACTCCCACAAGTCAGATAGAACCAGCAAGGTTGTTCTAATAGCAATAATTGCAGTGATGCAACAAACATGTACACGTAGATGGACATGTGACGTTGTCACGCCTAAGACCCACTTGTTTACCTTGGCCTTTGGCTGAGTTAAGTCACCTGTATTGGATCTTTTATTTGTTTGCCTTTTTCTGTTTTTGGTTGTTTGTTGTTTTTCTTTTGCTCGTATTGTTTATTGCTTCTGATTATTTTATCCTGTAAAGCACTTGGCTGGCCATTGGCCTTTAAAAGTGCTATATAAATAAAATTGACAGTGACAGTGACATTGACGTTATGTTTATTAAACAAGCCTGGATAGCACACACACAATAGCAAATGCATGCATTAGAAAGGACGGGTTACAATAAACCACCAATCAGACTCAAAAAGTACATTAAAAGATATGTAACATACACATTAATATGATTACAATGCAAGCATACCATGTTGTTATTCTAATTTTGAGGTGCCACTTTCTAATGAGTGGCTTTTCTTATGCAATAGGAGTTACGTACTTATGTTGTGTAGTATCCTTTCAAGGCCTTAATGAAGACATATGTTGCGTGAGTTTGTGAATACTAAATTTGGCTGGCATTTATCCTTCAATTTAGTGATAATGCCGTTATACATATACTAATCGTTTAATGTATGTTAAATGGTTCCTGAACTTCTAATCAAGTTATTTGTAAATAATAATATTATAATGTAATTACATTACATTACATTACATTACAGGTCATTTAGCAGACGCTTTTATCCAAAGCGACTTACATTACACTTTAAACCCATGGCTTTTTCCCATGGAGCAATTAGGGGTTAGGTGTCTTGCTCAGTGACACTTCGACATGGAACATGGGGCAGCCTAATTATAAGGAGTATTTACAATATAGCATGTAGTATTTAAATAGTAAATAGATGTTTGTGTTGCATTGTAGCAGTTGTAAGATATTTCCAGAGTTGCCACCCCCAATTTGCCGATGACAGTTAGTAAGTGAAGATTTTTAACCATTGATGAAGCCGATAGCTCATTAACTACAGTTTATAAACCTTTTATAAAGAACACATTGTTATAAAATAGTACTACGACTTGCAGAATGAGTCACTAATGAATGCTGTCTTCTTGCCAAAAACATATTGTGTTTTTTCTCACTTAAATGCATTGTGAATATTGGGATATTAGATGTCATCAATGCAATAAAACATTTCAAAAACCAGTTAGTTATTACTTGTACAAATGCTACTAAACACACAACTATACATCTTGAACAAGCCATTTGAGTTCTAAGTTAAAATCACATTTAAATATGCTAATAATTTGGGGATTTAGGCACATGGCTTGGTTTCATTACACAATATCTTATAAAAGGTTGAAGATATAACATACACATATATCAATAAACATTCAAAACCATATTACTAAACTAAAATTAGGCAAAAAATGTACCACCGGAAAAAAAAACTGACTGAAGCTAAAAGAGAAGTCAGTGATTTTACTATTTCATCACCCTTGAAATCACCCCAGGATTGCCCTCTTGTTTTGTTATTACAAATATAATCCATGGATTTTTCTTGGGGCTGTTCCTCCTCCTACTCGGCGGTTACATTAATGTTAAAATGGTAATGCTGGGTTTTATGACTAATGACAGAAACGTGGTACAAACTTAGAATGTTATAAAGTTTAGGTTTTACGAATAATTGTGCTTACTTCTTTGCAAATTTTACTAACGTCAACAGAAACAGGGCTCGGAGGAAGTGAAAGTTCTACATGTCGTTTTTTATGCCAGGGGAGCTTGAAATATGCAGACCACAAAAAAAAAAAAAAAATCTAGAGTAAAAATTGTTGCAGGGTTGACAAGCACTTGTTATATGATCATACCATGAAGCATGTTTTTAAAGGAGATACCTCCTAAACAGAACCCATCCCTTCCTCGGACAAGACTGTGGTGGTAGAAGAGGAGCAGGAGTTGGACTGGTCCCATTCGCTCTCAGGTTCGGAGACAGAGACTTGAGAAACATGGCAGTACTCACGGACAATACAGGGACGCTCATTGTAGTTAAAACTCTCTTTCAGGCCTTTAGGGAATTGAAACCAATCCTAAAAGAGAAACATCTTGTTTTGCCGTCACCTGACATGATGGTACAAAGCTGTCTTGTATGTGTCTTTCAATGACCACGGTGTTTTGGTCCATAGGTTTGGTAACTTCTGAATATGTAAATATAACATTTAAATACAGGTCTTTGGTGTGAAGGCAGCCGGGAGCTCTGGATGTTACTCACCTCGATGTTGTGAAGCTTCGGAGATGGCTTGGGAACCACAGGGATGAAGATGATTCTGATCCTGTACGGAAGGTAGGCGCACTTTATCACATGATCACAGCTCATTACATTACGTTTGTTCCCCCCGCTCTTTGGCACTGTTCTTCGGGATGTGAAGACACTGAACAAGAATGCTCTCACATGTGCAACAATTGAAAGTGCATTGCCAAATTCCCGTCATCCCTTACATGTATTGCTGTTTTAAACAATTCTTTACAACACAATAACAACTGACAACCATTTGATTAGATACATATAGGAAATATGAAAAAGCATTGCATGACCCACCTTTCATGGTGCAGCAACATCATGACCAGTAGGATGAGGATGAAAGCCCCCACCACGTAGAGCACTGGGGTCCACACGGGCATCAACATCTGATTGGGTTCTAAGAATAAATTTGTTATTTTTCCATGTATTTGTAACTCATAATAATGCAGTAGACGGCAGCTACTAAACAGTACAGAAAACTTGCTGATCCAAGATTTTAAATGTCGTGGCTGAATATTTGGCTGATTTGAAAGTTCTATGAGCAAAACTGCAAGACTCTATTAACAGAGAAATGAGTGTTGCATGTCCAAGAAATGTGAACTAATACATACCAGTTCTCGATAACTCATTGAAGTTCATATTTATTTTATTTATTTATAATTTAACTCACAAAAACACAATGCTATCATGTTTAACGCAAATATCTAGCCATTGTCCTTCAGATATTATGTTCTCGTTCATCCTACCGGCCGTTCCTTTTGGCTATTCCTACTGAAAAATCTTTTTACATATTGTAACATATCCTTCCGTATTTCCTTTTCTGTACCTGTGCTATTGTTGGATCCCCAGAGCACAGGCTCACTCCAGTCACTCCAGAAATCAGACTCTCCACAAACATACGATATTCGGCTCCTCACTTGCACCTCATACAGGGAACTCCTCGAGGGCAAGTTGATGCAGTAAACATTCACCCCACTATGAACCTGAAAAGCCTGTGCACAGTAGGATGGAGGTGAGAAAGGAGATGGGCGCAGACTGAAGACAATATAACAAAACTAAGACAGAAAAATAAAGAGATGGTATTTTTGAATCCTTTAAACTGCCTACCGCCCACTTCCTGTTGTTGATCCTGTAGCGAACCTCATTCTGCACACAATCGATCTTCGGGAATGTGCTCGGAATCCATCTGACCCACAGGTTGGAGTCAGATTCATTCTTAGCAGTCACGTTAGTTGGTGGATTTAACTTGACTGGAGACGACACAGCCCATTAAATGATACAGAATACACAACATGATGAGAAGGTGGTAGGGCAACCATTGTATTGTCACCCATCTAATGGACTTGTTTCTATTCTTATTTTATACATCCAAGTTACAACATTGTTTCTCTCCTCCTAAAGGAATATCAGAAATTAATGTTACAGTCGTGCAGCATCTCTCCAATCAACCGCAAGAACTTTATCTCCTTCATGGATTGATTTGCAATATTGAATTGTACCTTCTAATGTTGTGTTGCAAGCCAGTAAATAAGCATACCTTTGGTTCTAAGCTGATACTTCTTCGAACGGTTCTGTTGGCCACGTTGAAGTATGCTGTAAAATGTCTGGAACCTCTCGGCCTCTTTATAGGGCTGTTTACATCCAGTGTTGGTATTGTTCTCCGACAGATAGGTGGGGCACTCACTGAGGTTTGAGGAGAACCTGTAGAGAAATCACATTTCTGACACTGACATACTAAGCAAAGAGTTTTTTGGAAAGGTTTTTGCTTTTAAAAAACTGCTATAATGTTCTTCCTTAGTACGACAGAGAGTCTGTGCTCTTCCGCATAGAGGCACATGATGTTTTGGCTCATCTGACAATCAAGATGTTTCGTGCGTCAATGTTTATTATCTTGTGGTGGCAAAGATGCTCGTCTACATCCAAGGTCGACTACTAGCACTTGGGTTTTGCCCAGAGCCCCGACCTTGTTTTAGCATATTTATCTTCCAACTATATATTCCTGCTCCGAAGATGAAAGCCTTTGAGTAGGCTTGGCGCATTACTTGTATATGTGTCAACTCTGTCTCCTGTTTGCAAACATTAAATGTCCAGTTTTGATGATTTTACACCCGGTTTTGATGGTTTTGATGATTTTAATTATTTCGATAATTTCAATAATTTCGATAATTTCGACATTTGTGTGTCATCTCTAATATCACCAATATTATAATCAATGTAATAGATGTATAATCCATTAATAGAGATATATAAAAAACTGAACTTCTGTAGTTGTCATCAAGATAAATCTGAGAAATGATTCATGGGGAATTGTGGGGAAGAGTTGTGGGGAAGAGTTTCCACACTTACGAACGCAAACCATAACAGCCGATGGACAGTGAACGCACGCCAGATGAATTGACAGATAAATAAACCCACCACGCTCCCCCTCAACGGAATATTTTGAAGAAGTTGTTTCACTTTTATCTTTCACGTAATGCCCACATTTTACTCATTGCAGTTTGATCAACTCAGATCAACTACGAACTACGACTACGAACCCGCCGTAGAAGGTGTAATTGACTTCTGGAGTCCCCTCCTTATCCCAGGAACATTGAACATGTTGTAGGTTCACCACCAAACAGTCCACGTCTGCCAGAGACACAAGTGGGTTGAGACAGAATAGTTTCAAGGTGAGCACAGACACAAAACAACAGGGTTATACAATTTTATAATCATAGCAAACGATGATTGGTGAATGGCTGTCCAATCACACACACGCACACACACACACACACACACACACACACACACATTGAGGAACACAATGAGGAAATGGCGCCACAATGACGTCAAAGGGAATTTACGCAAAATGTGCTTGATCAAGGAAGTAAGACTTTACGATCAATTTACATTTTATTTCAATTCCACAGTAGAAGTTATTTACTAAATAAGGCCTAATCATATTTCCTATTTATTCATTGTACATTTCCCACCATTCTAATAGTTTTTTTGTTTATGAATGTTTTTACAAATATGGTAAAAATCACTCATATCTTGTAAAAAGTAGTTTTTTGTCATGGATGATTAACTAATACTAGATATAAAATGTAAACAATAAAAGCAGCTCCTCATTACGTTGGTCAAATGTTAAACAATTTGATCACGCCAAAAGCACTTCAGCAAATTCAATAACTGCTCAGACTCATCCAAATTGGCTAAAACCGTTATTAAAACGTCGCAATTCACAGATTTTTCCTTTTAAATGTTCTTACCGGGTGTTTCTCTGGCAAACACATGTCCTGTCAGACACAGAAGCAGAAGCAGTCTAGTTGTCATCGTGACACTAAAAAACAGGTTGTTGTCAGCATCAGCGCCCGAGTACTTCTACCACTCAATCAACGCTTTACATATTTATGACCTGGCAGGCGTGGTTTCTGTTTCCTGTGAGCGGAAGCTTTTTACTGGATGTAGATCAAGATGACACTCTTGCAGTTTTGCCTTCTGATGTATGGCTGTAATTTAAAGAAAGATAGAGACAATCTAAAAAAAAATGTAAATGATAAGAAAGACATTTTTACAGAAATAGTTTAACTAAGTGTTTAGTTATGTAGTTAGAACACCGATTTTTACATAGAACATTTATGACTTAATCTCATGTATGTTTATGTATGTTTAGTTTATTACCGGTACTACAATTTGTCCAAGGTTGTCTCAGGAAACCTGCTGCTTCTAAACCAGTGATTTGTAACTCTGATACAGCCTTAGGCCACAGGAACTACTCTAAAGATTTATTATTATGGCAAATAGTTAGCTGTCAAAAAGCATTTTCGTATTGGTCAATTACATTTTAAACCATTGAGCAGCCTGATTTCTTAGCAAAGGAAGGACAAAGTAGAGAGAAAGTCAAATCCACATCATGCGTTGTATATGTTTGTAGTTGTATATTACGTTTCTCACAAAGTTTTACTGTTTTTGATTATTTGTATTTTGTTCATGACAGAATACAATCAGAATGTGCACAAATAACACGTGTTTGCTAAAACATGGAGCTAAAATACACTTTGTGCATGTTAAGGTCATGTGGTACCAGATCAGTTTCACTGTTTTTGTGTTTGCTGTTCCAAGGTTGAGTTCTGTGGGTTTCGTTTCCTGTCAGAGGAAACTGCAACAGCAACATCTAAAGAGTTTTTGTAAAGAAGCTTTTCTCTACTAATTTCTTTTTTTCATTAAGGCAAAATGGAGGTATTTTTGCATGGTTTGTATTGTCAAAAGAAATACCTGAAAAAAAATATGTATATTATTGATAACATATGAAAAGGTGATTGAAAAACTTCCTGCATGATTTGTGTCATAGTGCAAATTGTACTTTTGCAGCCTAATCCTGACCATTAGAGCTGTATAACCATTTGGGTGAGAAAGTATTAAAGCAGTCGTAATCCGATATTTAAATATGAGTTGGCATGGTTCACAAGTCCTCAACAATACAAATCGCTTTTGATTTGTTTCTTCTTAAATGCTCAGAAAGCAAGAGTTGCAGTCTGAAACGTGCCCTCTGTGGCCACAAAAGCATCAACTCTCCAGAAGGAAATGAAAAAAAACCCTCAAAATTGCAGACCGATACAGAGAAACTTTGCAACCCTCGTTCCACAATCACTAATGTGATTCTGTGCAAAGATTAGGTGATTAGGCCGATAAGCGAGCTTCCTTCCGTGAGTTAATTTCATTACTTTTTCCTTCATATGTAACATGCATAGATGGTTGAATGATAAACTGTGGAAGCTTGTTTAAAAAATACTCTAAACACATGAAATAGATTTAAAAAAGGAATGTCATCTTCCACAAAAGTCTAAATGACAAATGTTTAATTTAAAATTGAGATGTTGGATAACTGCCCTGTATTATACACACAATAAAGTTCTTCCCAGTATTGTATGATCAACAGGTGTAACAATGACATAATGTATATATAAGTTACACAAGCTATGTTTACTACAAATAATGTCATCAAAATCAATTTCAGCTTCTCTTTAATTGGCATTACCCTGGTAACCTTATTTATTAGATTATTTCCCTTTTGCCTTACCTTTACACTGTATTAGTTTTCTTCTTTGTGTATTTTTAATTTCTTTCTTAATTTCGTTAACCTGCAAGGAGCGAGAGGCGTCGCTGTTTTGTGTCATGACGACGAGACTTTTATTTTGAAGAACCGGACGTTACAATGTTTTGATTACTTCCCCGGAAGAAGTCATTCAGTCGTCTCTCTTTGAGCTGCATTTCACCATCAACACAGAGACCGACTCAACGGCAAATGTAACCGTTTCACGGAAAGCCACAATGGGGTTTACACCGAGAGGCTTTCTCGGCGACAAACCGGCGAAGGCGCCTCCGTTGTTTCCTTTTCTCTTGACGTTCCTGCTCGTCGGGAGCCGAGGCGACAGCAACGCGATGGACAACGTCTCGACTGAGAGGCTGGCCGAGGAGAGCCACCGACAGGACAGCGCCAACCTGCTCATATTCATAACGCTCCTGACACTCACCATCCTGACCATATGGTTGTTCAAACACCGGCGATTTAGGTTCCTGCACGAAACGGGACTCGCCATGATCTACGGTGAGACCCCGTGCTCAACCTGTCAATCAACCGTTAGGTTAGCTGAGTCAGGTTAGCCTCCATGCTAACTGCCGTTGTTACCGTTCATCTCCTCAAACTACACCGGGGGGGGGGGGGGTAATTTGAATTACACAATGGAGAAGAACGAGGAATGTACAAACAATCTGTTCGCATTTAAGAGGGTTATTATTTGTCCAATATGAACTGTCAACAATAGTCACATCATTTACAGTTGAACGGTATTAGGATTGTGGATTCACATCGTCTTTTCTTTTTGTTCGAGTTTTGTGTTCTGTCACCTCTCTATTTAACGAATCGGTAACAACTTAATGTTTGATGCTTTCCGCTCCCTCCTCTTCTTCCCCGAAGGCGTGTTGGTGGGCGTGATCCTGCGCTTTGGCGTCCACGTGCCCCAGAACATGAGTGACGTGATCCTCGGCTGTGCTGTCAACAACAGTCCAGCCACCCTGCTGGTCAACGTCAGTGGGCGGTTTTACGAGTACACTCTGAAGGGCGAAGTCGGCCGTGGCAAAGGTCACCAAGTGCAGGACGATGAGATGCTGAGAAAGGCAAGGGGATGGACAGGTGTCTGGTGTGATGGAGGGTGCAGCTGTTAGCTTTTTGGTGTGTGCCCCTCCGGTATGAAAGTGGCACCTGACAAATAGGAGGAAATGTGTATTTTATTGCGCTGAATTTAGACTTTGGCAAATATCTATATCATCTCTGTCTATACAAATCTTGGCTTGAAAATGATTGAGCTTTTCTAGTTACTAGTTTTATGCCCAAATGGATGCAATTGGTCGATAACTGCCTACTGTCTTCAGGTGACTTTTGACCCTGAAGTGTTTTTCAACATTTTGCTGCCTCCCATCATCTTCCACGCCGGTTACAGTCTGAAAAGGGTAAGAGAGCTTTATTATTTATTAAGAGTTCAGAATCTGAAGATAAAGTTATTTTTCCATTAATAAATTGTATTTAAATGTTATGTCCGCATACATGCTTGCAAACATATTGAGATACTTTTCTCTGATCGTTGTGATAAAATGTTTACCGGTATATGGCCCGAGCCTAACTATTGGTAATAGACAGCCTCTGTTTTGATGAATCCGTGATCTTGTCCGTCCCAGAGACATTTCTTTAGAAACATCGGCTCCATTCTGGCCTATGCTTTCGTGGGCACAGTTATCTCCTGCTTCGTTATCGGGTAAGTCGTTTATTCATCCCTGAACACAGACTGAAGTAGAGGAACCGATCGCACGGGCCGGAGGGACCAGTGTCGTGACCTGTACGCATTCTTCTTTGCTCCTAGGCTGATCATGTATGGCTTTGTGTCCTTCATGAAAGCTGTGGGCCAGCTCGGGGGTGATTTTTTCTTTACCGACTGCCTCTTCTTTGGGGCCATCGTCTCAGCAACAGACCCAGGTAGGCGGTGCCGTGTTAGCTTCTGGCGGATGGATCGCCCTTCTGCCTTTCTGCCTGAGGCCTTTCTCACGCTCCCGTCCGGCTGTACAGTTATTGTGTGTCTTATTCTCTTAAGTCAATTGTTCTCCTCTGTGCCTCAGTGACGGTGCTGGCTATCTTCAATGAGCTAAAAGTAGATGTGGACCTGTATGCTTTACTCTTTGGCGAGAGTGTCCTCAACGATGCTGTGGCCATCGTACTCTCTTCGTAAGCAATGATTAATTACACACTGCATGTATACACACACAGCACACACAACACACCCATTTCACCAAAGCAACGGTAGTTTCACTTTTAAAAGATATTTTGACATTTCAAAGGTATCTGCACTGTTGTAAGCGTGATTTGTGTTGTACATTGTGCATATGACTGGACACTTCATCATACTAACATGCGTCCCTGTCATTTCACTGCTTGCCTTCCTTCACCTGTCCGTGTCATTCAACCGCCTACCTGAACGTATGTATGCAGTGTTCTCCTCCGCTTGGAGAAGCAGGGTAGACGCGGGGCCGGAGCTGTGAGCTCCCCAGGTGACGGTGGCCCGGTCTGGCCACAGGGGGAGGAGGGATGGCTGGCAGAAAACCAGACATTCGCTCCCCGGTGGGTGGGTGGTTTTGTTTGAGTGCTTGCACTGCCTGCAGAGTTACAGGGTTAGAACCTGATCATCGGAACCCAGTTCCTGTGATGGATCTTTTTGTAGCTTGGATGTAGACTTGACCCACCAATTGGGATGGTTGTTACCCTTTCATATCCACTCTCTGGATGATTTAAAGTTTTTCTCTATGTTCTATAGAGTGTCCCATGCTGGTGAATATTACTGCTGCTCTATTATGTTGTTGGTCTTGATTTCATTTGGTAACCCGTCTTCATTGGTAGCACCTGTGCCTTTAATGCATTAGAGACACTGCTATATAATCTGCTTATAGCACTGCATAAATAGAGTAATAAGCCTCAGGCATATTTATAATGCTTGCAACAATAATCTTTTTTTTTAGAGCTTTTTGTAATGACATAAGTATCATGATACTTCATAATTCCTGGTTACTAAACGACAATATTTTAGAGATCAGGGTTTTTTATAATTCTTATTGTATTACTACATTGGTATCTTTTTATAATACATTGTAATCACATTGGTAGAATGGACTATAATGTAATTATAAGTTAGAATAAGTTGTAATTGTTTGCTTGAAGTTATGTAGAAGTCTGTTGTTCTTGAATAGATTTAATGATTCATTTTTTCACTTGAGACAAACCATGAACACTTGGATTGACTTCCAATCAATTCCCAATCTATTATGAGAGTGTATTGTAGATTTAAAATCCAACAATAACTTTTGTTGCATATCAATTGGATATTGGAATGGTCATGCAAGATCCAAGATCCAGTTGGAATTAAGCATGCGACATCCTAATTCCCTCCCTTTTTGTGACTGTAAAACCCAACTCCAGTCTATGTTTTTCAAGTCTGTTACCTTTTTCGTGGGGAAAGCAAACATCTCCAAAATGTATACAAAAATCAGATAAAATGTCAGGCTGGTGATATCTGCCATTATTGGATTTGGGTCGTTGCAGTTCCTTTGATTTGATGCTTGACTTTGAAATATCTGTTTCTTTATTAGCATGTGATTACCATGTCACCAGATCCCCTTTCTGGATCCTTAGTAAGTGCCTATTTCCCTTTTACCATGTGCATGTTTTTTATTTGCTTGTACTCTGTCTATCTGCCCCTCAGCTCCATCGTGGCGTACCAGCCTGCAGGAGACAACAGCCACAGCTTTGAGGCCATGGCCATGTTGAAATCTTTCGGCGTCTTCCTTGGCGTCTTTAGTGGCTCCTTTGCTCTTGGGGTGGCGACCGGATTCATGACAGCTCTCATATCCTGATACATACTGCATAATGTATTTTTATACATAATGTAATTTTATACACATTGCAGATTGCAGATAGGCAGATAGAACAACATGAGAGGGTTTATAGCAGACGTTGTCCTACTCATTTAAGTTGCTGCTGTTTAATCATTTTATGGGCATATTATTTGAATCGGAGCCAGAGAAGCTGTTGGAAATCTCCATTTCTACACTGCGGGTCGACTGTGTCTGCGCTGCCTCTTGTTCAGCTCCTTGACTTTTCATCACGTGACCAAGTTCACTAAGCTGAGGGACTTTCCCTTGCTGGAGACGGCTCTCTTCTTCCTCATGTCCTGGAGCACCTTCCTGTTGGCCGAGGCCTGCGGGTTCACAGGTAAACCTGTGTGCAGGGTCATTCAAGTGTGAATTTGGGGAATTTCTTTTGGCTTGTAAAGAAGCCTGTGAGGGCATCTCTCCATAACCTTTGATGCTCTTCGATACACCTTTTGAAGCCCTCTGGTGAGGTATTGTTTTGCGTGATACTGAGTGCTGTCTGTGTGTGTGTTTGTTTCCACTCAGGCGTAGTGGCTGTGCTGTTCTGTGGGATCACTCAGGCTCACTACACCTTCAACAACCTCTCCCCTGACTCTCAGGACAGAACTAAACAGGTGTACAATCACATATCTTTATTCAAGTTTACTCAATTTGTTTACCTCAATGCTGGTTCCTTCTTTATTATTGGCCATTCATTGAGGGGGATGTGAGAATACTACCTCAGCGTGTAAAATATTTTGGCACTAATCCAATTCAACTCAGTCAACTCACGAGTAAAAGTTTACAAGACATTTTCAGAGCTTTTCTCTTTCAGTCATCCGGCAGTTTGTTTGCAATAATTGTTTGTCTCCCCCCCCACCAGTTGTTTGAGCTCTTGAACTTCTTGGCAGAGAACTTCATCTTCTCATACATGGGTCTGACTCTCTTCTCCTTCCAATCACACGTCTTCAACCCGTTGTTCATCTTCGGAGCCTTTGTATCTTTTACTCTGATTGGTGTTGAGGCTTCGCGGGTCCACGTATGATTCGTTATCTGGCGGTGACGGTCGTTGCACATAAGCAACGCGTAAATGTAGAAAATGTTTTAATGAAGCCATAATTCTTGATGTTCAATATCAGTCCCAGAATGATGTTTTATATATTTTTTTTATCTTTACTAGACTGTTATAAGCTGGACTTGTCTGCATTAGTTATGGATAAGAGTTATCCTCGATGTATTTCGAAGAAGGTTTCAGCGATTGAAAGAGAATAACAGCAACATTTAAATGACTTGATTAGTCGACACATTTTGAAACCACCATCTCCCCACACTTATGTTCCATCCCAGCTCGCCCCCAGTTGTGTTTCTTTGCAGTGTGTTGCGTCCTTGACCTTCCCCGTGCAGCTGGCGGTGTTTCTGGGCAGGGCTGCAAACATCTACCCTTTGTCCTTCCTGCTCAACCTGGGCCGCAAGAACAAAATTGGATCCAAATTTCAGCACGTCATGATGTTTGCAGGTACAGAGCTGTGATAATAAAATCTCTAATGTTTCATGAGGAATGAGTTTCTCAGAATTAGACCAAAATAATGAAGTATTTATATTTTTTCCATTAAATCAAAAAATCGGAAAGGATGAATAAACTCTGTTGTTAAAAAATATGAATTGGCCTAGATATTGTGTGTCTTCTACACTAACACTCCTTCTTAAATTGTTATGGATAGCTGCCCCTGCCTCAGCTGATATTTACAGTTGAAACTAGCGGCCCCACCTTTTTGTGCACATAATTGTTTCTATACCACGAGAGAAACAACACCCGCATCAACGTACTGTGTAGGTTAATCTTACTTCTTCTCGGGAAATAATTACCAAAGGACAGGAACATTAAGTCTAATTATATGTTGGTACTTTTCTTCCCCTCAACGATGAATAATATAAATGCCCTCTGCCTCGCTCAACGTCTCTGACACTCTGCCTTTTCAGCAAAACACACTCACAGTTTCCGTCCCCTCCAGGACTGCGTGGGGCGATGACCTTTGCTCTTTCAATCAGAGACACGGCGACTTACGCCCGCCAGATGATGTTTTCTACTACCCTCCTAATTGTCTTCTTCACCGTCTGGATCTGCGGAGGAGGCACCACGCCCATGCTGTCCTTCATGAGCATACCGTAAGGCTGCGCATTTGAGCTTCTGTGCGCTTCACCCCATCTACCGAACATTCAATCAAAAGTTTTATGTCAAAGTCACTGTGTTCTTTTTCAGGGTGGGTGTGGACTCTGATCAGGACAGCCCTGTAAGTAATTGGAGTGAACAGAAGAACAAAAATCTTTATTTTTGAAGTTGATATATATTGCACTTTCTTGTTTCTTGTTCTCCTGAGTTTGTACCCTATGGTTGAATGCACTTATTGTACGTCGCTTTGGATAAAAGCGTCAGCTAAATGACATGTAATGTAATGTAATGATATTGCTAAATATAAGTGGAAATGTTTAAATAGTAATAAAAAAAAGCTACATATTTTGCTTAGCAGAATTCCGCGGTGTTGGATGGATCCCAGCGGAGGGACACCAAACATGAGAGCGCCTGGCCCTTCAGGATCTGGTATAACTTTGACCACAAGTATCCTTTGAGTCATGGATTGCCTATTTAAGGTTCTCCCTCCAGAAGTGCGGTTGCCCTATTCGGCCTCGGACACCAGAGGGGGCTCTTTCCAAACTGTAAGAAATATATACCAGTAAGAGGGGGTTCACAGATGAGGCACTGATGATGGTTCAATTATTTAATTGAAAGTAAGGGTCGTAAAAACTGTTAATAATCCTTGACAAAAGTTTGTTCTCCAGCTACCTGAAGCCCCTTCTGACCCACAGCGGCCCTCCTCTCACTGCTACCCTGCCCACCTGTTGTGGACCGCTGGCACGTTGCCTCACCAGCCCACAGGCCTATGAGGTCTGAACACACAGCACCATGTAGTACAGTTAAAGTGGCACTTCTACACATTTTTTGTGATTCATGTATTCATATATATGTATATAAAAATCATTTCCCTCTCCAATCTCCAGAACGAAGGCCGACTCTTCGACGACGACTCTGACTCCATCCTGAACGACGCCACTGTGAGCTCCATGTACGCCGACGTCACCGTCAGCACGGACGCATCCGGCCGCACCGTCAACCGCTCCTCCGGCACCAGGGGCCTGTCTGATGACTGTGTGGATCACGACCTCGCCTTGGCGGAACACGAGGTGGCTATCAGGGGCACGCGCCTGGTCCTGCCCGTGGACGACCCGGTGGAGCCCCCGACCACTGTCACCCTGCCCTCCCCTCCCTCCCCGCCCGGCTCCGAGCCTCGCAGGCAGAGACTGTGAAAAGGTTTGGATTTGTTATTATAAACAGTGCACCTCGAGTCTAAAGGTTACTTGAAAGTTGCATATTTGGGGAGCTAAAAGAAATGGGGCTGTTGTACTTGCTCCTACGTTTGTTCTACTGTGGTGAGATACCAGTGCTGTTATCCATCCTCTATAACTCCCCAGTTCCCTTTTCTTTGGGTAAAGTTGCTCCACACAACAGGACTTGTAGTGTCTGGTTTACGAGTATTTGTAAGAGTAACTACCTTCTCATTTTACACACTTCGCCAGAAGTTTGCACTTGTTCAACTTATTACCATTTAGTGGTTTCAAAGAATATTTACACTACAGCCTCAACACTAATGTTTCTGCATCCATCCACCAGCTGATAAGTCCCTCAAAAAGTTGACATATGGGGAAGGCTCCAAAGGAGGATCTGGGGATCGTGATTAGCCATGGTGGGAATATTAAATGTTGATAGGAAACAAAAGTGCTTTGAAATTGTAAGAAGATACCGTTTGGTCAAACTGCTTCAGTATAGGATCGTCTCCACTAACTTAAATTAGAGCGCTGCCTTCCACTTTTCTTCTGGGTCAGTCTTTACCACTTATTCATTTATTTATCTAACAACAAATTATTTGTTAATTTATTATTAATTTATTGTTGTGGGACTTGATTATTAATTATTATATGATTATCTTGCCCTCTTTAAAAAATAGGGCTGCTCTATGGGGAAAGGCTGTCTTGCACCTTTTTCCTATAAAAAGCACTACAACTCTTCCAACACGAGGTACGTGGTCCGGTAGGGAAGTCGACAGGGAGATGGATGGTCCTCCGCGGACAGTATTCTAACATGCGTGTGCATGTTAAAATATCTTCCAACCCTTCTGTAGCAGATCCTTCTACTTTTTTAGATACAGGAGCTTTTCTGTGTTTGTATTTTATATGGTGTTGTGTCGCTGATGTCAGAAGGAAATTGTCCATTAATGTTTATTAATGTGTTTATTGGGGCTAACGTCTGTTTTTCAGTTTTTGTCTGATTTCATTTTCTTTCAACATAAAAAAAGAAAAGTAACTTCTGTTTTTTATCATCAAAAATGACTGAGGGCTGGCTCAACTGTTTTGAATTAAAGTGCCTATTCAGAAATTACTTAATGTAGATTTGTACATATTTTGATTTGCTGATGTGTAGTAAGATTATCTTTCCTGGTTTTTATATGACACAAGAACCTTTTTGATGTTAAATATTGTGCTCCCAGTATAATTATAATAATACTAATTATATAGCGGAAATCACAAGAGTGCACACTGAAGCCTGAGACGTTGTTCTTTTATTAATGGCAAATACGTATCGCTAATTTATTGGATAGTTAACGCCCTTTACAATGAAGCTGTTGGGGGATGCATTTGAATGCAACAAGAAGCCTTCTATGCTAAGGTCGAGGGAAACACAAGAGAACACCGCAGACTTTTCCCAAATGCATTCTTAGCCCTTTTTGTTCCTTGATTGGCCACCAAGACCATCTATTCTGTTCCCACTTCAGCGATAGATATTTTGAACTGAGGCATCTCCCAAGTTAACCCTTGTTTGTGCTGTTTACTTCTGGGTAGAGATGAGTACTTGTTCAAATGTGCTTTTATCTGTGTCAAGCTCTATATCAATACCCTGTTTGATGAATCTTATTCTTAATAACCGGTTTGAGATTTCTTTAATCTTTTATTTACATTATTTATTTCAGTAAGGTACCATTTCCTTTGCTGTTAAAACACAGTTTATGTGGGACATTTGAAGAAATTGTAATCTTTCAATGAAAAATCGGAAAATGTTGTCTGTAGAAATGGTTAATGGCAGTTGCATTTGTGAAACGTACACCTGCAAAGTCTAAAATGTGAACTCTGATTTAAAAGATCTAGTCTAGTGAAGAATGAGTGTCTCAGTCTGACATCTGTAAATGTACTACCTGAAGGTAATATAAAGAAACCTCCCAAACCTACTTCCTTTTCTTGTTGATAGTGTGGCGACCCTGTTCAGCAGCGTGTGTCCTGTGCGGAGTCACGTCGTTCTCCTCGCGCTGGCCAATCAGGGGGAGTAGCGGTGTATGTTAGACAGGGGGCGGCCAGTGATTGGGGGAAACGAAGGGAGGCGGGTGTTCCCGTATTTTGGGGGGGAAAGTCAGGGTAGCTAGAAGAGTTCCGTGTCGTTGTTGTTGTCTGAGTAACGAGAGTGTGCCGACAGCGTGGGGTGTTTGTTATCTGCTGTTAACATAACAAATAAAATGATTCCTACCCGAACGTCTTTTCGCCTGCGTGTGCTGAGTGAGCCACGCATTGTATCTTATATCTTGCTGGTAACACGGACATTATTACACACTAGCTAAAAAAAAAATTCTGTCCTTTTTAGCGTCTTCTGGCGATTTCTCTCAACCCCCCCCCCCCCACCCCCCTAAAAGGTGGGTTTTATTTTTGTGACCCCCGGCGGTACTACTTTATGTGAAGGTAAAGCACCTGTCTTCACTTTCCGTTTCTGCATCTAGCTGACGCAGCAGCAGACAGCAGCTACTACATCACGAAGGGTCCCCGGGTTAAAAGTAGACCTGAGTAGTCTGACCACGGGTCGGAGGCACCGGGGCTTCCACGCCGCAGCTCCCCGGGTCCCACACGCCCCCGAGCCCGGTAAGCTGACCCAGGAGCAGCCCGTCTGCTGGAACCTGTTCTTCTAGTTTGCGCTCGAGCGTGTAGGTGATGCGAGATGTTGCCAGCTTGCGAGGCGCTTTTCCACTATGTTGTTTTTAAATATTGTTAGTATGTGACCGTTGTAAAGTTATTTGTTTTTCATATTTGGATCACACATACAGTGTAACACTAATGCATGTAACAGTAGTCTCACATGTAACTGTTTTCACCTCTCACACATTTTATGATTTCGTGCATATTTCAATTACAGCATTTTGATGTCCAGAGAAAAAACGAGAACTTAAAGTCTGTCCGGGGCGTTGGCTGTCTGTCTGTCTCTGTAAAAGTGTGTGTGTGTGTGTGTGTGTGTGTGTGTGTGTGTGTGTGTGTGTGTGTGTGTGTGTGTGTGTGTGTGTGTGTGAGAAAGCTATACGGTTACATGCTGACTTGTGGAAGCCTGGGCTGCTCCTGAAATCTGTTTCCAGTTAGGAAGTCTCCTTTTTGCACTAAATATGATGGAACTGCTGAGGCCAAAAAGAATGCATCACAGAGGCCAATTCAAATTCCTGTAGATTACTGCTATTTTTCATTGTCGTTTGTGCGTGTGTGTGCGCACACAATGCATTTGGCTTTATGGTTGGCTCGACCAGATACCATAACTCGACGAAGTGGTTGTAAGTAAATTCAGAATGCACATGTAAAACTTTTTCTCTTTCTCACACAACGAGTAACCATTCTGATGTCAAAAAGATCAAAATTAAACCCGAATGGATTGAGTAAAAAAAACAAACAGGTATTTAGTTAGCTGAATGACCTCAAAAAAATAAATTTAAAGGGGAAGGCAGATGTTGCAACTGATCCCAGTTGTTTGGGAATCGGCTTCTAAATGTTGGTGATTTTAACCGCCATGTGGAAGTATTTCAGTCATTTGCGACAGCATGCACCAAGATCCATGTGTGTGACTGACCTTTTGCAGCCTGACACACACACACACACACACACACACACACACACACCAGAAAGCCATTGGGAGTTTTTAATATGATTCAAAGCTGATGGTGGCATGTTTAAGAAATTACCATGAGCTCAGTCCCATAAAATACTTCACAGGCTCATAAAACTTGCAATTCGTCTGACTGTGTGTCATGGTAACTCCCTGTTGTGTTTCTCCTGCAGAGAGGGTTGAGTGTAAATGGCGTTCAGACGCTATACACTTCCTTTCATTAATCCCCAATGGTGAACGCCATAACTTTAATCGAGGCGTGTTAATGGACTTCAGGCGTTTTAGTGCTACAGCAACCTGAAGGTTGAATATGTTTTCACTGGGTAACTTGGCAGGGTGATATATTTTACCTGCGGCAATTGAGGCCTGTTGCGATGCGTTTGGTCCTTTTTGATTTGGCAAAAAGATTTTGTGTTATTTTGTGGAAGGCGCTAAAAAGAGCAATCAAAGGATGTATGAGAAAATGGGCGGCGGCTGCCTGAAAAATAAAATGTTACGTGTTAAGATATTTAAAAAATGATTGTGTTGAGGGATAACAAAAGGTTGATAACACTGTTATATCTGCCCAATACACATGATGCTATGCATTCACACAAAAGCTAAGCGTGGCTTTGTAAAAAAGGCAACAGAAATTATATATATACCTTTTTGCCATGTTTCGCACGTACCAAAAAAGGACCGATATATATATATATATATATATATATTATATATAAAATTCATTTTCATTTGTACGAATATGTAAAAGTGTAAAATCTGTAGTTGGAGCTGTGACTTCCTGGAGTGATGTCACCACCCAGTTCTTGCCAGGTAACCAGCGGCGACCGGTAAAACCACAACTTTTATGGTTTGGTTTTGAAGAGATGAAGCAAACAAGATGTAACATGTTCGTGAGCTGGGGAGCTGGTACTGTAGGAAAATGTTGTTCCCTTTCATCAGGTGTTACAAGTTTGTATGCTATGCTAAGCTAACAGGCCGCTGACTGGCTTTGTATCTGCCTCTCGGCCAGTATCCATCTCGTCATCGGGCATGTTTCCCGTCAGCTAACTCGTCTTTAATCTAAAAAATAGTAACAGATGGGCGAACATTTTAAAGTTGGGGAGAAACGAACGCAGATGTTTCCTCACTTTAGGTATGAAATTAATCATGAATGTTATGATGTTCAGTCACCAGATCTCAATCTAAACAAACATCCGTGGAAGGTTTCTGGATCTTCGTATTAGACGCCACTTTCCGCCAACCTTCATAGAGACGCCCAAGGAGGGTCTCCGACCTCGCTGCTGCCGACGGGTCCTGTTTGTTCAGCTGCTCTGTTTCTCAAAGACATCTCAGCTACTGAATCAAAGCAGGAACTTAGTTCTGAATGCAGAAACAGGAAGTGCTTGACGGGTGAAGAGCGATTTGAAGAACAGCAAACAGGCGGCTTCTGGTGAAAAAAAAGAAAACCCCTCCCGTCCTCAGGTTGCAGGGGGACGTGGTGCGTCTGTCCTCCCCGCTCTCACCGACTCCGCTCTCTTGTACCCGGCTGACGTCTGGAATGTGCCTCACGCAGGGCCAAAGAAAACAGTTGGCTCTCTTTGTCGGCTGATGGGGAGTGAAAATGTTTATCTGAGCGCGCCGCTCAGTTTTCATATGCTGGTGTTGTGTGTTTATCTTTGAGGCGGCGCGGCGACGCCGCGTGGCGTCGGTGGGCCACAATGGGGGAGGCAGTGGTAAAGTAAAAAAAGAATAGTATAATGCGTAAATGGCATTGATTTAACCAATGGAGTAAATAAGCATCACGTTTGTTCTACAAGTAGTTTTTCATGAATCTTGGGTTTGTGAATTCAGTGTCTTAAGTGTTTTTTGACCATTGGATTGGCAAGCAAACGCCTGACTTTTAATAGAACAAATGTTTATTACATTGAGAAAATTATGGAAACCGTCACTGGTAATAAAAGTAATTGTTGGTTATGGCCCCAATTTATTTTTTAGTTGGCCTGCTTTTTGGAACATATTAAAAAAGTTGAAAAAAGCATTGACTGTTCACTGCTAATATTTTGGTTCTGTTCAAGAAGACGCCCTAAAAGCAACAGGATTTGTTCACAAAATCACTTACAGACTATCATTAAGTCACAACCACAAACCACTACACTCAAACAATATGAAGGTCAAATATTTTCCAACAATCACAGCGTGACATTTAAACAATGAGCCCAGTGTGGTTTTATTTATTCCTAATTTAGAATCTACATTGCAGTTTATTGGATGAAATGTAGATGAGACTTTTTAAGGCATTATAAGCTTAGATGTGGATACATTGAAATCAATATATATTTACATTTATATATAAAGCATAAGTCCCATTTTCTACCAGGTCACCCCGTAGGACAAGTTAGCAGAGTGTGTGTGTGTGTGTGACTGGATTGTGCCAACTTCACCGTTCTGTAGGAGACTTCCTGTTTCTCAGTTTTCCACTACATTCTTTGGCGATAAGATCATGCCGACACACACAGATGTTTTTTACAAGCAGACACAATACAGAGCATTTCATGTCAGTGGGTCTGCTCATGTCTGTCCTTAAGCCTTGTGCGAGAGTTTTCTGCCGCCATCATGGCATGATGTCACCTCTGTGCGTTTAAAAAAAAAAAAAGTATTTCAGCTTTATTTTATATGGACATCACAGCGGCATTAGAGTGGTGACATACAATCATGCACAATGGCCAGATGCACTGTGTTTAGGGTTCGTAGCGAGACGCTAATTTATAACTCTGCATGACTCAATACCGACGCGCGCGCGCGCGCACACACACACACACACACACACACACACACACATTGAGGAACACAATGAGGAAATGTCTATTCATGAATGAACAATTGCATGTTATACTCTGGTGTTATACAGAACCGGTCTTGTCCTTAAACCATATTCAGTAGATGCCTCAGATCAACCCTTAACTGAAGATAAGCCAAGCATTAACCATATAAATAAATGTTTAACCAGGATGGAGGGTTTTGAGTCCCCGAGTTGTTACTCTACAAACAGATCTACGTCCCCCGATGTGAGTCATGACTGCGTGACGCGGCTTGATTTCCCATTCAACGGTTTCCATGGTAATCAAACAGAACGTTTTGTTTGGGCTGCTTGGATACAAGAGAATGACGTCTACGTTCATTCGTGCCATGAGACAGCGAGAACATTTACTGCAGGACCTGCGGCGACACGGTCATCTGATGTCATCAGAACCTGAGTCATTCCCCTCCGGACCTCTGTGGGCACTTCCTGTCAGCCATTGTTTGCCTCCCATCAGATAACCGTGATGTCGGTAGTCTTATTGTTGCAGCCTTTCAGACCCACACAGTGTTTGCCAGCGCAGTTTGGGGGAAGAGTAAGAAGGTGAGGGAGATATAAAGCTGAATTCACTCCTATTAGTTCAAGAAGAGGCGGGAAGTGAAGATAACAGGTAAATATATATGACCTGGGCTTCACCTCTCCCAGTCAACAAATAAACCGGCCGCTGGCTTTCTATTAATAAGTAATAAAGTAACAGCTCACATAATGGAAGATGTATGTCCTCTCTCCATGACGACTGTGTCGGACTGTTGCTTTATTGTCCGCTCAGGAGGCAAGAGCACAAAGGACTTATTTAATCAACCCTTTTTACCAGGAGCCCCTTTTGAACTCAGCCGCATAGCTCAGTCAATCGGACTCTGAGTAACTAAATCCTGCTACAGTGAAGAGAAAAAAAGAAAACCTCTGTTGCGCTTTAATTAATCCAGCACTTTAATTAATATTCATATAGCTGGAAAACTAACGTGGACCGGATTGGTGTTGTTTTAAATTCAACTGATGTTTTCATCTGGGTTTATTGCTAAACCAATTTCCAGTATTTCATTTTTTATTGAATCTACAGCAGAAAGAGACGTTGGATACTGCGGGGAAAACGGTATCAGTTCATCAGTTGTTTTTGGGACAAATATGAAGGTCTTAACTCTCAGTTACCCTCCATCATAATCTTTACCCCGTTATCATCGTAAAACAAACATACTTTTGACCCAAGACCTTGACTTAACAAATGATAGTTTTTAAAATAAGACGTTTTGGTGGTGAGATTTTAAAAGATCATGTCGCACGACTTTATCCAAGTGTGAGTGACGGCAACCGCCACGATTCCACCAAAGGCCTCAGAGCGGGTCTCCCCATTGACAAGCCCATTTCTGTCATCCACCGTCTGGAAAGGAAGGATCGCGCCTGTGTGACTTCCTGCTGAGCGCTTCAGTAAAAGCACAACAAAAGTCTGCATTCGAGTGTGTTGACGTCGGCCCTGAACCAGAACCCAAACGTCCTCGTGAATCAGCGCTGACACGTGCTGCAGTTAGTGGCTCTGTTGGTCCATAAGGGAGTGGCCCACGAAAAGTGTGTGTGTGTGTGTGTGTGTGTGTGTGTGTGTGTGTGTGTATAACGTACCACATCTCACCAAAGTAGTCACACCAGGCATTCCTCATGCACACACACACACTGTGCATCAGTTGAGCAGAATTCCTCGCGCTCAGCCAGCGTGAACTTGATGTTGGAGATGATGGAGCGAACGGACTTCAGTGTGTGATTGTTGCCGTCGTGCTGTGTGTGATTTAACATCAGAAACCTGCACCCTGTAATCACAGCTCCTTCGTGATCGTTGTGGTGATTTGGGTTCTATGTTTAGTAAGGTCATGAATGTGGTGTTTTATTGTAGGCGTGGAGATTTTGGGAGTACATTGTGTGAGAAATCCGTTAGTGAAGGACGGCGTACTGTAGTTACAATTTAATAGTCAGGTGCAACAGTTTTTGAACTTTTTGTATTTTGAGCAACTGATTAATGTAGATTCACAACAACACAACAATTTTTACGAGGTTTGATGACGATAAAACACAAAGTATAATGTGTGTGTGTGTGTGTGTGTGTGTGTGTGTGTGTGTGTGTGTGTGTGTGTGTGTGTTGTGTCATTAATTTCACTGCCGGAAGTCCGTTAGAGGTTTTTATCCCAAATACCATCAGATTGAGTCATGAACGTGTAGCAGGTTAGCTTTATGTGGCTCTAAGTAGTTTTTCACTGTAAAACACCTGGAACTAATGACTTTTTTTAAATGAAATATACAAACCATATTTATTTGAATGAGTTTGTATTTGATTTCAACTCATTATTCTTTTTAAATATGCAGAAATATTATCACTCATAATAATTAGTGTAATATAATTAGAGATACAGGACCTGTTACCAAACTTGCAGACAACAAACCTTTAGCAAGTTAATTTAATAACTCTGTGAATGTAAACTGTCAAAACCTGAAATAAGATGTTAAATGACTTTGTCCGATTACAGGATTCAAACAAGATTTCTTTGTTGTCCTAGTTTGAATCAGCGAGGAGGATCATATTACATCTGAACGCCACACACACACAAACACACACACGTCACCTGGTTTCTCAACTTTTACACAAAACAAATCTTTAGTTGGCACAGGTCATTGTGTCCAAATGGAGGATGAAAGGCATCTGAATACAACGGTATTTGTATCAAATATCAAGCGTTTGTTCAATTGAGAGCTTCCCCTCGGTCTCGCTGAGCAGGTGAACAGCACCTCTGTGTGGTGGCTTCAGGAAGCCTTCTTTAACCTTTTACACTGTGTTTGAAAAACAACCATGTTAAAAAAAAAAAAGCCATTATCTTTTCATTTGTCACAGCCGCGAGTCTCCAGCCCCCCCCCTCCGGAGCGACGATGGCCGAGAGCCCGCACTGCTTCTACTGCCGAGAGGACCTCGGGGGGAAGAGGTTCGTCCGCAACGAAGGCCGGCCGGTGTGCGTCCGCTGCCACACCAAGTTCTGCGCCAACTCCTGCGCCGAGTGCCGTCGGCCGATCCCCGTGGAATCCAAGGTGCGTTCAACAGCTTTCAATTAAAACGCATTGCTCGTCACGTTTGTCCAGAGGGACCGCTTTTCATTTCCCCTCTTGTCACACATCCGTCCTCCCTCAGGAGCTCAGTCATAAGGGCCGGTTCTGGCACGAGGAGTGTTTCCGCTGCGCAAAGTGTTACAAGCCTCTGGCCAAGGAGCCCTTCAGCACCAAAGACGACCGTATCATGTGTGGGAAGTGCTGCTCCAGAGAGGACGCGCCGCGCTGCCACGGCTGCTACAAAGCCATACCGGCTGGTAAGACCAGACGATGTGCAAACCTTCAGTTTAAGGCGCTGAGCTGGAGGAGCTTTGAGGGACTTCATTTTAAGGATGTAGGAGTTGTCGGTTAGAGCAAATCTAGCTTTTAAAAGAACCTACAAATTCATCAAAAGATCACAGTGCATGCATGTGAGTAATTGGCCCGATTAATGTAGTTCTTGCATCAAGCCACAGCAAAAAAAAAGCAGATTGGACTGCTTGCATGAACTCTTCTTTCGTGCTCTGCAGGTACAGAGAGTGTGGAATACAAAGGGAACTCGTGGCACGACGAATGCTTCACCTGTTTCGGCTGTAAGCGACCGATCGGATCGCTGAGTTTCCTGTCCAAAGGGAGTGACGTCTACTGCAACCCCTGCTATGACAAGAAGTTCGCCAAACTCTGCGTCTGCTGCAAAAAGGTAATTCTTCTCTGACGGGAAAAAGACCTTCATCATTGCAGCTAAAAGCAGGATGAACAACAACAACCAGAATCACTATTCATAGGTTTAGCTGCTCCCTGTCATCCGTCTCCAGGCTATAACATCTGGAGGAGTGAACTACCAGGACCAGCCGTGGCACGTACACTGTTTTGTGTGCAGTTCCTGTTCGAAACCTCTGGCAGGCTCCAGTTTCACCAAACACGAGGACCAGGTCTTCTGTGTCGACTGCTACAAGAGCTCCGTGGCGAAGAAGTGCAGCGGCTGCCAAAACCCCATCACAGGTCAATTTAAGATTCATCCGAAGAATCAAGAGGGAAAAGTCCAGCAGCTTTTATCTGCAGATGTGGATGTCAGTTATTGTTTAAAAAATGTTTAAAAAAAACATCCACACACTCCAGGCTTCGGGTAATCTTCCTTTTATCGTGAATTTGTGAGGGGAAACGTGTCACAGTTCCTATGGATTTTTGTTGGTTTGCACCAAAGCATGAAACGATGTGAGACATTCAAACCTCAAAGTACATTCGGGGAGGTTTATGCCAACTTGAAAGCGTCATAAACAAACATGTCGCCATTAAATGCCCAGTGGCGTGCGCTTTAAATAGTAACTTGAGTGGAAGTGGTTGGAATAAGTGCATCCTTTTCTCTTGTGTCCTCAGGTTTTGGTAAAGGAGTGAACGTGGTGAAATATGAAGGCAGCTCCTGGCATGAATACTGCTTCAACTGTAAGAAGTGCTCCCTCAGTCTGTCCAACAAGCGTTTCGTAGCCAATGGAAAAGAAATCCTCTGCTCCGACTGTGGCAACAAGTAGAGCGGGAGAGAGTCGCTCATTTCTTAACAACGGTTTATACCGTCTCTTGTTTTCTTTATCTTTGCAATAAGGTCACAGTCTTCATTTCAATATTCTCTTAATTCCTAAAAGGACGTTTTGGGAGACAAAATGATAAAAATTATAAAAATACTGTCCAAGATGTTATTTGAGTCATTTGTTTTTGTCCGAACACTTAAACATTCACGCCGCAGTGACGGTACGACGAGCTTCGTCTTCTAAAGCTAAAATAGTATGTTGCTACGTGTAACTTTGTTTTGGAGGCTTGTGACATAAAAACATAAAACATAATACACATATATAAAAAAAGTGAATGCTAATGTTAGCATACGGCAAAAGTATCATCTCTGAAAATAATGGCTTATTTAATGGCTTTAATAGCTACTTGCTTTTTTATTTTTGAAGGGGGAAACTTTGATGTGACCGAAAACAATGTTTCTTTTGTAATTGCTCAGTCATTTCTAAGGGATTGCTATGCTTCTTTTATGTTTTGAGCAAATAAACCTTTTTTGCACCTTTTTAATACGTTCTCCAAGAAAGAAAAGGACATTTGTCCATGTGATTGGAATATATTAAATATAGTCCCTGGTCTAAAATAAAGCTCATACAAAAGTGAGTATTGCATGTGTTGTTTTTATTTGAAAAGTGTTTTTGAAGGTCCATTTTCACATGCAAGACGTTGCTAAATATTTGTCAGATTATTTGGCAGCATGGCTGTCTATATATTAGAGAGGAGACTGGACCATTTATATGAACCTTAAATATGCATTATATATTGTGCATTTCCCTGTAAAGAGGAACAACAAATATGGTTTCACTACAAATCACAATAATGATGCCACACTCACCATCATCACATACCGAATCATTAAGGCAGATCACGCGCACTGGGGGAGGACAGGGTCCCTTATGGACAGACTTTTGGTTAAGCATGAACAGGTTGAAATAAATGGTGGCACAGAACAGTCGAGCATCAGCTTGCGTCTCCTAGCGGAAGTCGAGTTACCTGCTCGCGAACAAACTGACAGGTGTTACGGTTTTTATAGGGTTCCCTGTTTAACCGTCACAGCAGTCAGTTACGCTTTTACAGGGTCGACTGACGTTTCACCAAAGCAATGGCAGAGAAAAAGGGCCACGAGATAAACCGTGACTCTGCACCGTGACGTTTGTTTCAGATTATTTAAGCCACGAGGACCCAATGGATTTGTCACAAAGCCTAATATAAAAATGTAACGTCAGGCAGTTCTGTGAAAACAAACACTAACGCTTGTTTACGCGTTCTTATTATATATAATATAAATTTGAGTTTATCAGGCTGGGTTTGATCTCCCTTGTTGCATCAGTGTTTATAGATTGGCTGAGCTGAAAGTTGTACTTATTGAGTCTTCCCTCAGTAACTAAAAGGTCAAATAGCTCCATTGTAATAATGGTGCCTAAACCAGGTATATGAATAAAAGAGACCAACCAAAGTCCTGTCATCACTACAGTATGTCTGAAATTATTCTGTGTTAGGTACTTTGAGTAATGCAGACAGACTTAAAAAACATTTTGACCTTAAATCAGGTTTTATACGCAAATATTTGTAGCATAAAAAGCAGCGCTGTGCTCTGTTGGATGTTCTACTTCCACACATATACAGGATGTGATCTTTAACTGCATTATTGTGCAGCTCATAAATGCTTTGATGGTCATATTCTTTGCAGTCCAACATTATTTAGCCACCAGAACGTTTATCTTCTGCCTACGGTTTCCTCTGTGAGCAGGTCCTCCACCGCCAGGAAGCAGCCGCTGTCCACAAGAACTGACAGTCTGGGTAGGTGTTAATTAGATAAATTACAAAAGATACAACTGAAGTAATTGTTTTTGGTAGTGTGACCACGGACCAGGACCAGGCTTTGAATTTCCAGGGTGTGACAGTGACGGAGTTAGCGAGGCCAAGGGTTTCCAAAACTACAACATTTATTTAAGATGCATTGACACACCGTTAAAAGACGGGATGGCACATCACACCAAATGCATTAAAACCATAAAAAGAAAGAAAAAGTACAAGGGTGAAACCTGCAGAAAATATGCCTCACTTTGTAAGCTGCAGTGAGACCTACCGAAGCCCGGGAATCTGGAGGGGGGGAGAAAACCACTCGGGTGTGGCTTAAATAGTGGGGGACCCTAATTGATAATCAGGAAGTAAGGGGATTGAAAGTCAGCGCTGAGGACTTGTGTCTCAACCAGATTTGGAAAAACTTGTCCATGCATTGATCCTCAGTAACGGTGCGTTTACGTGTCTCTGTAAAAAAGGGACGCGTCTCCTTTCTGCTCCCAGAGTCAAAACTAAATATGGAGAAGCAGCGTTCAGTTTTTCTGCTCCAGATATCTGGAACAAAGTCGCATAAAGCTGCAGGTCTGCTGAGTCCTTCAGTTCTCAATGCTTTTCTGTTCGCTGCTGCCTTTAATTGACCATTTCTGCATTTCTGAACTTTTTTACTCTTAAACTGCAACGCAAATTTCATTCCATTTTTAGTTCTTCAACATTGTCTTTTAAAAAAAAAAATTTAAATGACTGTTACTTAACTGTAAATCTCCTTGCTTTATGTTTCGTGGTTTTTTAATGATTTTATGTGAAGCACTTTCAATTCTCTTGTTGTTGAAATGTGCTTTACAAATAAAAGCTTTGCCTTAAATCCGAATTACAAACTGCACACATTTATGTGAATAATATTTCCTTCGCTATCCGTTTTGCTAAACGTAACATCTCTAAATGTGTAGCGTTTTGTTCATGTGTAATCTATTTTGGAAAAGGGGAAATGAGACTAAACCAAACAGCAGGCCAATAAAGGAAAGGAGCAGCTGGACAAAAACCTTTAGTACATTTACAATCGATGTGTGTCCGGCTTCTCTTATTACTTCTCTGCTTGTGAACGTCAGCTCATAAATACTTTGAGGTTCCAGCTGAGAGGCCGAAGCCAATGGCGTTCCCTCCTGGTAGCCGATAGTCACACACACAAAAAAACATGGACAGAATACATTACATACATACATTACATTTTCAAAAGACATTCATAAATAATCTCAGGAAACATTTACTTTGACTTCATCGCCACACTTAGCAAGTCCATTATCTACGGGTTTAGAGATTATTGCTATAATTTCACACATTGTAACTTGATATCAGGACATGATACAATCCAAGGTTTCCTAAATGTGAACTTGAACCTCTCGTTGTCGTTCACATTTAGCTCTGCGCTGTGACAGAAGCATGAATTGCAAATACACACAATGATCTAATGATGCTGTGTGTGAGTCTACAAGTCGTTTGGAACATTTGGAAAGGTCACGATTTATGACACAACCCAAAACACTACTCTGCATTGTATCTTTTTCTTTTAACGTGCACTCTCCTTAAAAACTCTCAATTCAAAGAAAGAGGACATTTGAATGCGCGACATTGAAATCATATTTAAGCTTTATGGATGCATCCGCTGCAAATTGAAATGAACTGCATACAACAGTGAGCGTCCTTTATTTTTTTTTAATTAATTTAACATTTCAAAAGCTTGATAGTGACATACCACAAACTGCAAAAACACTCATTACACATTATTGGACATTATTTTCCTACATTAGTATGTTATAAGTACATACACATCAATATAATTATAAAACGGACACAACCTCAAAAAAGGAGAAATACTTATTTTAACATTTTTCTGTTAAGAGAAAAAAATATATGCAGATCAGCACCACGTACTAAAGGACATTATACTTTTTTAAATATTTATATTACATTTTAGTGATATAGCTTGACAATAATTTTGGAAGCCGTAAGCGTTTGTCAGCGCTACGATATCTTTGTGGGATTGATTACCTTTTTAAACTCATAAGATTATATTCAACATGTTCGTACCCATTTCTCTCTCTCCTCCTCTCTCCTCCCCTCTCCCCACCCACCCGCTCACCCATCACAGTAGAAAAACGCAAGAAAACGCGTTCTCTGCTCCACCATCCGTGTTTGCAGAGACATCATTGTGGCCCCAACACTTTGAGGTTCTTTGCTTTGTTGCTGAACGTCTGGACCAGAATTGACCTTTAGCAATATTCTCTGGAATATTTTATTTTTGCAGGTAAGCACTTTCAAGGTAGTAACTAAACGTGGTCCTTAAGATCAGCATTCACAAATCATCATTCATAGATGAAGAAATAACTCATTTATTGATAAGAATATTGTATGATATGTCTATATTTAATGGATATTTCAGAACTTGCTTTATTCAGTTGAACTGAAAACAAATTTGCTCCGTTTCAGAATTGAATTATGGTTCTTGGAAGTATCCTGCATGTGTTTATCACCCTGTCTCTGTGGAGCAGTTCCATCACTATGGAAACAGGTGCGTTAAGTCACTTTCCATAAATAAATGTCATTCAAATCTGCATCAATCAAAATACTGTAATAATACAAAATAATATAATACATGTCATAGTTATTCATTGTTATGGTTACACAAAAGTAAGAGATATGATGGAACTCTGAGTTCTTTTTATCTCTTAGATTACAGCCTGCAGGTATCTGTGAGAAAGTCACGGTTCATTGTAAATAAGGCAGGAATATCTAAAGTAAACACAGTTTACAGTAGTTAAACACTACACAGCTTCGCACTTACAAATATGTTATATATCTTCGTCAAAAACATGAAGCCAGCTTTTGTTGTTTTGTGTTTAATCATTAAAATAATCGTCAGTTGCAGCTATTTTGATGTAAGGTTCATAAATGGAGATTTCCCCACATGCAGATGTTACAGACTTTAAACATCAGGGTTTTTAAATCTAATTAAGTCAATTGTCTACATATCAACAGTACAATGACCAGACATTATCTTTTTCATTCGGCTCCACCCATCAGATGTACAAAAAGCATCTTCAGGAACGAGACATGTGCTCCTCCGTGCCGTGTGTTAATGATTTACTGCGTGTTGTGTGCGTCCGGCAGCCCCTCGGCTCAGCCTGTGGGGGGAGGTTGCTGACTTCACCTCCAACTGCAGCCAGTGGAGACTGAATGTGTCCATCCCCGACCTGCGGGAGCTCACCGTCTGCTTCAGCATGAAGTTCAAGGTACCGACGATGAACTCCCACAAGTCGTTCCCACGAGGACTAACCAGTTCAACTCTTTGTGAACCAAGTATAATAATTCATCTACCACATCTAGACCATTGAGGACTCCGCACCGTGGAGCGCCTTCGTGTACACGCATGCTGGGGTTCAGGGCACAGCGCTGGGCTTGGGGGGGAGGAAAGGTCGTTTAGTGGTGTGGCTGCTGGGGACGGAGTGGACCACTGCTGAGATCGTCCTCCGTCCGGCACAGTGGTACTCGCTGTGCCTGACCTGGACGCACGCTAAAGACCGGCCGGCCCTCTACGTCAACGGCAACCTGGCGGACATCCAGGCAGGTGGGTGGAGGGAGAGCTCCGAGCTCTGGGGAGGGAAAGAATGACAAAGAAAAACAGAGTCTCAACATACACGTTTTCTACTTTGGAGCCATTAGACACACGCCAGGTTATTTGTAGGCCTACTGGACCTTCATTTTGAGACAATCTGCATACCAAAAAAGCAGGTCATAAAACGGTTTCATGACATTTTCTGCTGTTTCCTCCTCTCCTGCCTCACAACGTAGATTCAACTCCCTCCTTTATCGACTCGAGCTGCAAACTAGCCCCCGGTGGGGCGCTTACTCTGGGTGCATCACAACCCTGGGTCAACGGGGAGGTTGTCTCGCTTCCCGCTCCGGTGGGAACATTATCTCTATTTCGATTCTGGGATCGAGAGAGGAGCCAACAGGAAGTGACGTCACTGAATTGCACAGAAGGCACCCTGGTGAAGTGGGAGAGGGACGACTGGGACGACTGGGACTCTCAGGCCTGTGCTCCGATCCCTGACCCCAGCCTGCGGTGCGGTGAGCCGATGGGACACTTTTACACGACATTTACGTCCCCCGGAATATGTTTTCTCTCATTATTTTCGACTAAAGTACAGCGTTTTATTTAAAATTTGAAAGCAAGAAGTTTTCCTTCCCCTTTTCCCACAGTGTTAACGCACCGGTCGGTGATTCACTTTGAGGCAGTAAATGTTCTGTCAGTGTCATCGAGTGTTTTACAGCCTTTTCCATGCTTAATGGTTTCCACCGTGGCTGCCTCGGCTTACTGTGTGTCCTCAACCCTCCAATACAATATTGACCCACTGTCTCTTTGTCAGTTCAGTAAATATAGAAGCTTTACTGTGATCAATAACATGACGATCGGGAGCATTTAATCATACAGCTGTCAGAGGTTGTGTTTTGTCTTTTTGCAAAGCTAGAACGAGCTGTGATGGACACCATAAAACTTTATGTTAACCTTTGTTTACAAGGCGGCGTCTGCATGTCTCTGATTGTGATGACTTGGCTGGGTTTGAGCAATTAACCCGTCTAGTTTTCTTTTTCACATTGTGGGAGTTATTGACATTATTGTCACCACACCACATTAATCACCTTAATTATTTTATTTATTTATCTTATTATTATTAAAAAAAATGTATCCAAAATATATCTACCAAATACTGAGCTTTGTACCATGGAAACATCCTTCACAATAATGATAATAATAAGAGTAAGGATGGTCTGCAATTCACCGTTGCTGCTGTGAACGTTTTCTTTACCTACGTTAACGCGTCCTTAACGGTGCTTTATATTTCCTTTGGCTGCTGGGCAGTATGGTCCTCTTACGAAGTGACACTGATGTTTGCCATCTTCCGTTATGACGGGAACAACACTGAGTTCTACACAGCGAGAGACATCGCACACAAATGGGTGAGAAACAAACAAGCGTACAACAAGTGTGAGGCTGTATCTGTAAGAATTATACAGCTGTTGAATGAGTGCTATTTACGTTCTGTCCGCCCACAGCAAATCACAGCGATAACAACTGTTATCTGCTTTTTGTTGTTCCTGCAGCTCAGAGGGATTCTGCCAAACAGCATCTATTTAAACATGGTCTTTGTAACCAGGTAAGAGAACTGACGTTGACTCAATGCATTTCGTAATAAAATGCCTGTGAATGTCACGTCAATCAAACCATGTTTTTTACATTATTTGATGGAAGGGGAACCAATGGGTGATTAGTGTGCTGAGTTTCTCTGATCTCTGTTGCAAATCCAGTAAAGAAGACGGCCGTGTAAAAACAACCCATGAAGACGTCTCGGTACGTACGATCACACAGTTCTGGTCATCTACATTACAAGTTGACAGTGAAGTGATTTGGAAAATTGCAGCAAAGAAATAGTCTGTGCTCTCTGGTGGACAGACACTATACTTAGTCAACCATTGTTAGCCAATTTATTTGAATGAGATTTGTTCACCCCAATATTGATATTGGTAATAACGTAAAACAAATGTAATATTTTTCATGCAATGTTTCTTTTAATTCTTCAGGTGTGGTGGTCTCCCCTTCATACGAGGTAACATGGCTCAGGGTTTACTGTTATACTTAATGATTTCAGATTTTATGATCACCATATAATGGGATTTGGGTTGGGCAATGAGATGGTAAACTATGGATGAACTGGACATGGAGCGTTTCAACAATAAGTCCTCAACAAACACACTGAATTTAAGGCGTCACAAGACATAATATGAATGAAACGCTGCAGTAGTGAACAGTAAAGACACTGAGTCTCCCCTGTAGGTTCGACTGCCTGGTTCATGTCAGCGTTATCCCCAGCTTGGATGTGGCAGATGTGCAAAGGGAGATGCTCTCCAGACTGGGTGACGTCTACTACGACCCCAACGGTCAGCTGTGGCTGAAGGCCGACATGGACAGCCTGCACACCACGCCCGTTGGTAGGAAGCCGTCTTCACTTCTCCGGGTGCGTCGGGGGGGGAAACTCATTATGGTTCTGGATTGTCTTTCTGGTTTTTCCAGATAATTTCTCCGTTGTCCCAACCGATGTGGCCACAGGCACAACCACCACATTTAAACCCACAACCTCCATCAGCGCCAAGAGCACCTCAACGAGCGCCCCAACGAGCGCCCCAACGAGCGCCCCAACGAGCGTCCCAACGAGCGCCTCAACGAGCGCCTCAACGAGCGCCTCAACGAGCGCCTCAACGAGCGCCCCAACGAGCGCCCCAACGAGCGCCCCATCGAGCGCCCCAACGAGCGCCTCAACGAGCGCCCCAACGAGCGCCCCAACGAGCGCCCCAACGAGCGCCCCATCGAGCGCCCCAACGAGCGCCCCAACGAGCGCCCCAACGAGCGCCCCAACGTGCGCCCCGACGTGCGCCCCGACGAGCGCCCCGACGAGCGCCCCATCGAGCGCCCCGACGAGCGCCCCAACGAGCGCCCCAACGAGCACCCCAACGAGCGCCTCGTCCAGTGCGACCCTTGCAACCTGCATCACGACAAGCCCTGCGAATATCTCGGGTCAGTCTGGTCATCAGCCGCAGAAATGCTCTCCATTACAGTTCTGTGTGGATTATTAGAAGGTTTTCATTTTGTCTGGATGCCCCCTGCAGAGCTGTTTTTTGAGGTTGCAGTGAATGTTTCCATAACGGGGGAGTGTGACCCTGTGCAGGTTCTTTCCACCTGGGTATGTCTGGCAGAATGGAATAGTTTAGAAAAGTTTTAGGTATTCAACAAAGACTTTTCTTGGTTGTGACCTCTGACCCTCCGCAGCTTAACTCGAGTCTACCTAACGACAAGATGGTGGTGCTTGACTTCCAGCTGCTCCCCAAAGTTCAAAGGTACAGTATGTGATGAAGCTGCTACACCCTCGACTCACCACCCATGAAACATTTTAGTGACTGATCTCCCTTCCAGACATCATCCCAAACTGCCTGCAAACTTCTCTACATATGACAGCGTAAGTAAACATAAAAAGCTCTCCTGTCACAAATGCAACTCTGATTATATGCAATTATTTGCACGTTGAAATAAAGCGAGAATCCCAACTTTGCAAGCTAAGCTAAGTATCTGTAGTTCCACAGTCAATGTAGAGACATTAGAGCGGTATAAATTGTCTGCAAAGAAAAAATAAGTGTATTTTTGTGATAACTATCCATTTAACATTCAACATTTTTATGAAAAGTGTTTTGCTACATAATTTGAGAATTTTATTTTGGGTGACGGTGTAAAAACGTTTTCCAGTAAAACCTGTAATGGTAAAATATTTTTCAAGGGTAAGCAGATGTTTAGAAGTTAAATTATTGAATAGTATCTTCAAAATAAGCATATACAAAGTTATCAATATTTGTATTTCTTTCAGGTGTTTGCGCGCAAAGTTTCTAGGTATGGATCACGTGGCGCTGCACAATTTCACTCAAATTCAGCCTTGAAATTCATAAATGAACATGATATTTCCTGAAAAGTTATATTATGAGTAACTCATGCAAAGGCCTTTGCAAACAATAACTAACTATTTCACGGACTGCAGAGAGAGCTGTATTTTCCAGGTCCGGGTCATGATGTTGCCGTCAGACACACAGGAAACGGAAGAGCAGATACGACACCCACTGCTGGTGCCTTATAGCGACGGATCGATCTCCATAGCAACCGAGGACATACAGATAAGCCAAATTTGTGAGTTAGGTTCAGATTCAATAAAAGTTGAAGAGTATAACAATTTGAAACTGAATAAAATGCACTTAACAAGTGATAAGGTCTGTTAAGTAAAGACGAGATTGTCTTGAAACAAATAATCTTTTCTATTTTCAACATCCTCCCACCGTTTTTCAGTGATACTGAAGTGCAACGCAGAAACCCGGCTGACGCGGAGAGGACTGTTTCAGTGGCCGTATACTTCAGGAGGAACAATTGCAAGTAGGCCGTGCCCCAAAAACCCTCAACGCAACGCCACTCGCCTCTGGTGAGCACACACGCTTTATTTCTTCATTTTTAATCCCCGCCTGCTTGAATATAGTTACAGGATCGAAACATATTCAAACCGACAAAAGATTTGTTTTGTACTTATTTGCTGGGTGTGTTGTTTGATTTGATTATCAAAGTGACGGGATAATTTTCTTCTAATGAATCAAAATTGAAAACTTGAAACATAGTAAGAGTTGTCTGCTGAATATCACTGAAACTTACACCAAACTCGTGGTTTTTCTCCAGATTACTCTTCTCTTCTTTGAGTAGGAATCATTTCCACTTACCAAAGAAAGCTTACCAAATTCGTAAATACACAATAAATTGGCTAAGTGACATTTTCTGATGTTTACGAGCCCTAAAGCAGGTGAACGCCAGTATATCGAACGCTTCCTGTTGTTGCTGCTTTTTCACTGAACTCATTACCTGCAAATAACTCCTCATAAAGTGTCTTTGTGTATTCAGCAGGTGGACAGCGTCCACACAAATTTAACACATAAATAAATACAGTTCTACTGGTCGTCGATTACCTCCGTCGGTACATATTTTGAATTTGCTGTGTCACTGTGTCCAAGACCCTGTGTGTTGGAAAGGTTTTTATTGATGGCCACTCATCACCTGTAGAAGGCTGTGCTGTAAAATCATTAATCAAGAGGCGGTTTGGGATTAATTGCTGATTAAACGCCGGATCAAACACCTGTGCATCTTCTGCCTGAGCGAGACTCATGGAAGCATGAATTACCGACTGGAGTGAATGCATCAACTGTAAGTTAAATAGAACGAGAAAAGACAACAATTTAGAGGCCCTCTCCTCCTGCCCCCCCCCCACCCCCTCCTCAGTAAACTGTGCCTCAATACCAACTGGCTCGCTCCGGACCTGAAAGACTGTCACCGGGTGGTGGAGACCATCCCTGATCTGGATCACGTCGAAGTCACTGCTGGACTGATACGCACGTTTTTTACTTTTTGTCTGCACCGTTAGTAATTCTAATAGAATCTATGACACAAGTCCAAAGAATCAGCCAGCAGAGGAACAGTTTTGCACGTTTTATATTCTCAAACCAACAACCAGTTGTGTCATTTACCTGCAGACAACGCACTGGACGTGGTGGTGATGATCGAGGCTTTGCTGAGAGACCACTCAGCACTCAACTACCAGGAGCTGCTCACCATCCTCAACAAGCTGCAGGACGTTGTAAACCTCAGCAGGGTCACACCGAACCTGGGCCAGGCTCTGATCGACACCCTCTCCGACATCCTGGAGTCTGACAGCGACCTGCTGCCTTTTACCAACACGTGAGAGCGCGACCTCTTCAATTCGTCTCTCTGTTTATCATCTGGTCACCCTGATCTGTGCTCCCCACCAGCATCCTGAACATAACGGATGCTGTAGGAGACGTGATGGTGGACTACCAGGGCTCCTTCACTCTGGTGGCTCCTGCCATTGCCATGTCGGTGGTGGATGTGGTTCCTGGACAGTTTAGCAGTTTGACCTTTGGGGTGTCGTCTGACCGCGCCGGCACGAAGCCGGAGGTGAGTGAAGTAACAGCAACCCACAACCCCCCCCTCCTCCCTCCCCCGTCATGTTGACTGTGCCTTTAAAAAAAAAAAGGTGAATGCATACATTTCCCTCCATGTTGCAGATATTCATCAACAAGTCTCCCTTCAACGGCACGGTGGCTTTCATCTTCCTGCCGTCTGCCCTGCAGCACAGCTTCCCGCAGAACGGCTCGGCCCAGAGCCCCCCAGCGCGGGTCAAGTTTCAGTTCTTCGGCATCCCGATGCTCTTCCAGGTGAACCGTGTTCAATGGATCGGTCAAAGACCCAAAAAGGGGGAACATGCGATTTCACGCGAATGTGTGTTTGAAACATCAGTGTTTTATTTACACTAAGGCGTTATGTTCAGAGAAGCAAACCTGCACCTGCGTCGCCTCATTACTTTCAGGAGAGCCAAAAGGGGCGGAGCCTCAACACCTTTGTGGTGTCAGCCAGCGTGACCAACGCCAGCGCCCCGGTCAAAGACCTGGACCAAGACGTCAGGGTCATGCTCCGCCATCTCGTTCCCAATACAGTAGGATCCACTCATAAAACATGGCTAACTTCTGAAGGACGTAAAACTGGGATGAATGACTTTGATTGACAAGCTTTACATTTGCACCTGTGTCAAAGCTCCATAAGGACGTGCAGTGTGTGTACTGGAACTTCAATAAAAACCGTAGGTCCTGCTCTTAATCACCACTTTCACCGCTGCACAAAGCGTGTGATTCTAAACGTCTGTGTCGTCCCCGCAGAAGGACTCGGAGGCTGGGACGATCACGGCTGCAGGATATCCAACAGCAGCTCCGACTACACAACGTGCCTGTGTGATCATCTCACGCACTTCGGAGTTCTTCTGGTAGGGCACTTTGATCGCTTTTGTAGGTCACGGCCCAGAGAAGTGTTCCGACCCAAATGTACCAGCAGAGGGAGATCAGAGCGAAATGTATGCAAATGAACTAATACCACTAAGTCTGACCCAAATTCATTATTCTGGATTAGTCCAAGTCTCTGTAAGAAGAGCTTCCTATCCTCTAGTGACAGAATGCTTTGAAATCAAGCACAACCTTCAGTGCAGTGATGCTGAAAGCAGCCAGAAAGCTAAAAGCTGAAATGAATTTGAAAAATGGCTGAAAAGACAGAAATAAGAAAAGCTGAGATGATTTAAACATTCTTTGTAATAATATTAGTAGTAGTATAAGACGTAGTTGTGGTACTGGTAGTATTAGCAGTATAAAAAGAGTAGTAATATCAGTTGCAGCGTCAGCGCAGTGTTTTTAGTACTATTACTACTGAGTGGTCCTCCTGCTAGTTTTGTCCTCGTAGTACTGCGAGGACAGTCACCGTTGTCCTCTGTGCGTCTAGGACGTCTCCAGGACGCGGCTGGACGCGGCTAACGAGCAGATCCTGACCATCATCACCTACGCCGGCTGCGGCGTCTCGTCGGTGTTCTTGGGAATCACCGTTCTCACCTACACGGCCTTCGAGTGAGACCCCAGAACGCAGAGTTGTCTCGTTTTTTTTCCCTCCGCGCCGGCGCAGCACATGAACACTGCTGATCAGTGACCAGTTCAGCACTAGAGCGGATACATTTGACCCTTAGTTAGATAGCAAGGACGAGTGAAGTGTGACCACATACGCGCTCTGATCTTCCCTCACGCTTCATCTCCGTCCCGTTGTCAGAAAGCTCCGTCGAGACTACCCCTCTCAGATCCTCATCAACCTCTCCCTGGCGCTGCTGGGCCTGAACATGGTGTTCCTGGTCAACTCCTGGCTGTCCTCCTGGGGCGTTTATGGCCTGTGTGTGGCCGCGGCGTCCACGTTGCACTACTTCCTGCTGGCGTCGTTCACCTGGATGGGATTAGAAGCCGTCAACATGTACTTTGCGCTCGTCAAAGTCTTCAACGTCTACGTGCCGTCCTACATCCTCAAGTTCTGCGCTCTGGGATGGGGTGAGCCACGTGATCCGCTGGCTGTCGGCTCGCCTTCGGGCCCAAAACGCACTCCGATTAGACGTCGACGTTGAACAAATGTTTTTTTTCACGAGCCTCGCCTTCGCGGGAGTCAATTGTAACCCTGTCGCTGCACTGGTCCTCCAGGGATCCCTCTGGTGATCTGCGTCCTGGTGCTCGTGGTGGACAGAGAGGCCTACGGCAGTCGCCTCTACGCCGATGCTCCCAGCGGCTTGGAGCTGTTGGGCGACTCTGACAGCTTGTGAGATTTTCTGTTTGTCTTGGGGGGTTTATTTGAAAAGCACAGGGTTCGATCAGCAGTAAAGATCAATGAGTATAAATTACACTCTTTGGTCATTAACTGTTAAAGCAAATACCAACTCACATCCAAAAGCAACTAACGTATTAAACAGGAATATTAAAGCAACTAGAGTTAAGTGCATAATGTTTTTAATTATTTTTTCTTTCTTCTTATCTGATTAAAGGTCTATATAGTGTTGACCTACACATCTTAAGCACACTTTTTCCCCTCAGATGTCACATTTTGCTCCACCTTCTTGTTAATGTAAGACGCTCTTGCGTGTTGAAGGGCCGAACTGAAAGAGTTGTCATATGAAATCCAGATTCCAAGTTTTAAGCCAATCCTACTTGTGTTACTTTCCATTTTCTCATTGAAACCATTGTTCCCTCAGCTGTTGGCTTCAGGACAACGTGACGTTCTACGTGTCTGTCGTTGCCTACGCGTTGCTGGTCTTTCTCTTCAACATTGCGGTAAATAATTCCAACATTATAATTCCATTTCTATATACACACATTTGTATTATATGAAGCAACATCTACAATTAGACAGCGCTTCGTCCTGACAACGCTCGACAGCCACAACAGCCTTTGTATTTAATATTCTAAACTCAACAATCCTACAATTAATACCTCGTTAAAGATCACCAGCCTACTTATATTTAAAATGTAGAATTGTTTCGATTGAATCCAGCCTTCTGTCGCATCTCCTTCCAGGTCTTTGTGGTTGTGCTGATCCAGATTCGCCACATGCGAGCCAACAGCCCGGCTGGGACCCGCAGCGGACTGGTGCACGACCTGAAGGGAGTCGCCAGCCTCACGCTGCTGCTCGGACTGACGTGGACGCTCGGCTTCTTCACCTGGGGGCCGGCCAGAGTGCTTCTGCTGTACCTCTTCGCTGCACTCAACACCCTGCAAGGTTTTTAAGTTTCACCAAAAGATGCTGCTGGATGATGGAATGTCATATAAGCATCATTGGTACACACAGAGGTGGCATCTACGCTCAGGATAGCGGTAAATAAATTGAGGGAAGGTTGACGAACCGCAAATGGCGATTTCCTCAACATTTCGGTTGACACACACAGTTCAGAGGAAATCGGTTAAAAGAAGAAGGGAATCTGATGCAACTGTTTCTTAACTGCCTTTAGCTCCACTGGTCTTTGTTATGCTTTCTTCTTCCTCTGAGAGTGTCGCAACAACAGCCGGCCACTTACTTCTTACACTGCAATGCCTTGCTCAAGGGGGCGTTAGAACAAATGAGTTGTTCAGCCCTTTTTATTTGGTTTTCCAGGACTTTTCATCTTCCTCTTCCACTGTCTGATGAAGGAAAATGTCCGCAAACAGTGGAGGATTCACCTCTGCTTTGGACGTTTCCGACTTGATGAGCACTCTGGTATGGAAGCCCCACATCGTATGACGTGATTGTATCATATAATCACTGTTAATGAAGGCAGAGATGTTAGTCAATTACAATGCAGGCAAATCTGGGCTTTATTTTGTGATTTCTGATTTTCCAGAGTGGAGCCATTCTGCCTCAATTGGAGTAATAACCAGACCCAAATCAAATCCTCCAAGAGCATTAGTACCATCGGTCTGCTCGGTCAAGTCCAGCTCCACAGACAGCACATCGGCTTCCTCCGACTCCAGCCAGAGAACCTCATCCTGCAAGAGACCAAACTTGGGTGAGCAAAGCTTATTCATACTTAATAATTAATACAAACTCTCCACCATAAATATCATCTTAGCACACGCAACATTCAAAGTGTTCTATCAAATGTTGTAATTCATCTTAGATTAGTTTGAAATGATTACGATCAGATTTAGTCTGACTAAATAAGAAGAGGCTGCTAGAATCCCTGTGAAGGTCACTGCGTTCATCAATGACACGGACATTAAATAATTACATGAACACTTTGGTAAAGGAGCCTGAAAGGACAGGATTGTCATTTCCTCAAGAGGTTTCCTTTGCCATCCGACAGCTCACTTTGGGTTCAACTTCCAGTCACGTATTCTCAAACTACACACGAGAAAACCTGTTTGTTTTTTTCCACACACCTAAATTGTTTGCGGATGTTTAATCTTTTAGGCCTTTTTGTGAATTCCCTGGCTCTCCCTCGTGCCCAGAGAAGCACCGTGGCTCCAGATGCTCTGCCTTCCCACAGGGAGATGAACCAGACACCTGGATGGAGGAATCACTTGCTTGTCCAGCAGGAACAAAGATAAGAGACACAGGAGCAGACATATGCAGACATGCTAGAAACTATCATGGGAGTGTTAGAAACTGACACTGCAGCATTGACGTGTATTGTACTTGAATAAAGACCACAGATGTGACATTCATGGCTTTGTATTCCAGCTTCATTAGATCATTTTACCATGCAATTCTATTGTTTTCGCTAAATATTGTAAAAGAGCCTGTAATTATTTAGACACGAGTGGTTGATTCTGTTCCAAGGAGGAAATGGTTGCCAAGCAACTGGTGAGTGGAGCCGTGGCGACAATAGGCTGTGGCATCGGTTTGTATGAGGAAATAATACAAATTTGACCTCAAGACGATGGAAGGGCTCGACGTGTTCCCGTTTCACCTCAATTTGTGGCCCAAAAATGGGTCCTTGATCACTTTGATGAGATTATGAAGAGATTAGCACTCCATCATTGAATGGACCGCCTTGTTCATAAAATAGAGGTTTTGAATATACGACTGGAGAGGATTGTTGGCATCGTGGAGACGTCTCTGGAATCCACACTCCATGAACTTCTCCCCATAAAGTTTGAGTTAGTCTGGTGGGGTTTTAATGAACCGTAGGGCCTTGAAAACAGCTCACCATTTGCACACCAAGAGGCTGGAAACAGACTTCACAAAATTACGTTTCCATTTTTATTTATCAACTAGCAGAGTATTTGAAGTCCGAGGTTTGTGCGGCGTGTAAGTTCCAGTTGAACTAATATTCTATATATTGTGTAAGTATAAGTGTCTACAGAGCCTCCCACTCTATGTGCTCTTCTTTGTCTTTACAATAACAATAATGGCACAATCGGACAACTACCGTGGGCTGTAAATCAAGCCTTCATTTTGCCAGATCTTCTTTAGCAAACAGAAGTCCAAAGTGAAGCAGTGACCCAATCTTAAATTGAAGGTGTTACTATTCAATAACCATCACTGTGCAATCGACATCTACTTCATAATGATTAGTTAAAACAAAAAAAACTGCTTGTGATATTGATAAAACAATGTGTGCTGTCAAATGGGCAACTAATAAAGTAAAATATTATAACATTTTACACCAGGAACATTCCCCAGTTTGCCAGAGTTTAATCTGATCCCGTTATAATGAGATACTATTTATGTAAACCCTGGACAAGTGCCTGGACGGTTGAATTTATTGGGTGGCACAAGAACACAAACTACTTGGATACAAATGTCATCCTGAATCATATTGCAACCCAATTTTACTTGACATCAAGAAAGAAAAGTTATCTATGCTTAAACACCATGTTTCTTTTAGCCAACAACCAACTCAAACTGACAACTTCTTGGTGGTGCAGGACGGTAGGGGCACCTGCACAAACTGAAAAGAGCAACATTATACAGAAAACTAAACTTACTGTGAACAGCTGCTAAATGAAGTTTGGCACAAACAGCAGTAAACAAAACATCCAGAGGAACTAAAACGTCTTCGTGCAATGTTACCGAGGGCACATTCAAGAGCCAAAGCAGTCCACCAGCTCTTTTGAAATCCAAGGACCTGCACGATTGCTCAGAAACCGTTGCTTGACCAGATCTTTGACTTTCTGGTAGACGGCGGCTTCCGCCTAGAAAACAAACCATATACAACCTAATGAGTCACTGTGATCTAATAAATGATATATAAACACCATTAAGACACGTGTAGTCATCTCTAGCTGACACCCACCTTGACGCTGCGGTAGGTGGGGAGATCCAGCAGATAGCTCTGCTCACTCAGCTCTGCAACTCGGAGGAAATAACTGTAGAGGGCTCTCTTGCAAAGTCTGCTGGAGAAGCCGGTCCCGCTCACATATGGAGATCTGGGGGAAAAGAGAGAGAAAAAAAAAAAAAGAGTCCAATGAAAGGCTACTCTTGAATTAATAGTCTTTCATACACTGTATAATATATTATCCAACGTCACAACGTCTGTTTTAAAGATTCTTGAATCCTGCACCATTTGCCACCCGTGTTGTTAAATGTAGACAAACCAATAAATAACAAAAGCCGCTGTGGTTATTATCTCTGCTACAGGAAATTCCAGCCTTTGCGTTTTGCAGTAAGTGTAACATCCCTCAGCAGTGATTCCTAAAGAAGCTAGCCAGTTAATGCGGCGCCCTGAGGGGTCGCTGGTGCTGCTTCCAGTATCCACTCGTAAGCCTACAGGCTGCAAAGGTAAAGCGTGTTTGTGCACTGCGTTTAGTGCCTTGTTCTTAAAGCCATTCACCTCAAACACTATTTTTGAGATGGCTGTAAGAGGGGATAGAATAGCTCACCACGACAATGCCTACAGCCAATAGGCTCTCGTTGTTAAACAATATATTGTACATATAATGTATTTTTCCACACAGAATTCAAGAGATTTTGGTGCAAGTCAAGACGTTTAAGAAGCAATTAAGAGCGTCAGTGATTGAAAATAATTTGAATGTTTTTGTTAGTAGGTGTTTTTACCATTCTTTGGATTTCTCCTCACCTCACCCTACACGCTGTACGTTCTGTATTTCTTCCCCTTAAATGTATTCTCTTTTTTCATTTCCTATTTATGGGTTATTGTGTAAAAACCCTGACACTTAAAACCGCTGTCGCCCATAAAACAAATGGTTCAGGCTGCAGGACAGAAGCTGAAATACAGAGCAATGCTGCACGCGGCAAAGCAAGATCTCAAATCTATTCTGGGCTGTAATCTCTGCTCAAGGACAATGCGGCCTCCAGTGAGAGCCACGTCTGTGTCGCATTCTAGCTACTGGACATCAGCAGTTGCCAGAGATGGCAGGAGCCCCGGGCGTCTCTCAGACTGTCAAATAAGCAAACTGCATCACGCCCTGCCAGCAGTTGTACTTCCTCCATGGAACCGGCTGCAGGAGTGTAAATGAGGTCTAAGCTCTCTGCCAGCCCAGCCCAGCACATCACAAAGGTTGAAGGCAGGGATGAGCTTAGGTTTCTTTACATCTTAAAATGAGGGAAATTTTAACATCATGCCCATGTGCAAAAAAGCTGTTGAGTTCTTGTAAACAGGTTTGTATCCTACCCGCCGATGATGAAGCCTTTTCCGCTGTCCAGAACTTCAACGTCCTTGTCTCCGAGGCACCAGTTGATGCTGAGGTTGTCATGCTTGGAGGTGCTGCTGCTGGGCCCCACGTAGTCGCCATAGAGACAGAAGATGTTGTGTTTTTTGTAGGATGGCGGCAGAACGTCTTCCCAGCAATCACCCAGTCGCATGTTGGTGATTTCTGACACGTCCTCATTTAAAAGCTTCTGACCGGCTAAATAAACAACAAGAAAATCTTTTCAAACAGGTGGAACCAATTAATCCATGTGAAATGACATCTAATTTCACACTAAAATCTTTTAAGATTACTTTCTCCATTTCAGCTACCAAAACCAAGCTCACCTTTGTTACATCACATGTAACAAAATACACTTTCACTTTTTGGAACTATTCCTCAGCTTATATTTAGTATGCAAGAGTTTTCCTAGATAACTATTGCTGAAATAATACAAATCAGGGCGTTTCCTTAAATGTTTAATAGTTCCTTTGAAGGCTCCCTATATAAAATTCAAAGCAGCAACATAGCAATCCATCGACTTTCCGTCTCTTTACCTAGCACCATGCTGCTGATGTAGAGGGGCTGGATGAAGTGGCTCAGCAGTGCACCCTGCAACCCGGTGACGGTCCAGCGGCAGAGTTTGTCACTACCGGACATGCAGCAGACTTTGGCCCCCCACATACTCGGGTCAAGGTTGGGCACAGGGACCAGCAGGCCCTGGGAGTGATACTGCAGCTTCATAGTCGTCCAAATATTCACACGGCCCCTAAAGAGGACAGTATGCATTATTATCTTAAGGAAACTAATAATGACAACATGTTTCACAACCTTTGAAGGATGATACCATCGTCCCAAGCAAGATCTACTGTTTTGGAATTTCTATTGTCCCGTTGCATCTCTGAAAAACTCTAGAGAATATCGCTAGAAGGAAATAAAACAAAAACAATACTTAAAGTAGAAGCTGTTAGCTGCTCCTGCAGGACACTGATTGGTGTAGAGATGCAGACTGGTCTTGGGTTTGAGCTGAAGCTGGGGGCCGTCTGCACTTCTCTCAAAAACACACATCTCCTTGGCCTTTGGATCCGCATCAAAGAACAGCAGAAGCTGTTTGTACAGAAACCTGAACAGAAGCAAGAAAATACCATTCCAACACCGGCACAGTGGATGCACCAGAAGCACCATCGATAGCACAAAAAAAGCTATATACATATTATTAGTATTTATCGTTCCAATTTAGTGAATTAGGGCCCTCGTTGAAAGTTACATCAGCAGGTTTCGTACCTTTTGAGAGCCCGTCTGGCGATGATGATTGCGTGGCAGTCATGGACCATGGTTCCATTGTAGCGAAGCCACTCACTGCAGCATGAACGGCCCGTTCCCAGAGCCACCACCTTGTAATGCTGGTAGGGACCAGCTGCTGTATCCAGCAGTTCTGTCGAGAAAAAAGGTACGCGGGGGACATTTAACTATGAGGTGAAAAAAAAACATTGCACATGTTCAACAATACATTTTGAAAGCTTTGATTGCCTGAGCTTTGATACGACTCGTAGGTCACAGCCGATCAGACGCTCAATAACCAAAAGAGAGGCAGCACTTCGGCTTTAAAATGTCAGAATTGTGGTTGACAGGCGTGGTGATGTTACTTGTGCAGTTTCCCTGTTTTGGATCAGTTATTTAAAACACCATTACATATTTTTCTATGTGGATGGAGACTTTATTTTTGTACAGCCAATTAAATATTACATCTACAATAGGGAGACATTTGCGAAAGTATGCTAAAAAAGGTATATAATATAATGATAAACGATACCTCTCAACAAGACAAAAGCTGCCATGTGGCTCTTGCAGCCGTAGAAATCAGGAAACATCTTCAGGAGGCTGTCAAACTTCTCACTACTTATTGCTGCCATGAGACTCTTGTGCCAGTTAGATCTCCGAGCTAGAAGACGGGAATAAAACCCAAACACAGCCACATATAAAGAATTAAACTTATTGTGGACATCACAATGTTGTGAAAAACCCCTTTAGACATTAGTATATAATATGGTAATAAGATACTACTGCACTGTACCGGGTAGTAAAAATCTCTTTACTTGATGGAACCGTTTTGTTTTCAATCACAGACTCAGTCTAAAATACTTTTACCACATTTAGGGGGGGGGGAATCGACGGCAGCGTTCCTCTAGGCACCCCCCCACCCGTCGGCTCGACCATCTGCACACCCACCCACCGACCATTCGGGTCCCCCCCCCCCCCCCCCTTTCACTCCACTAAAGATATAAAGTGACTGCTTTCCGGTCTTCCCCACAGAGAAGACCAAAACAATTCACCACTTGGTTGTGGAGTGCCCGGAAAGCCAATAGTCCAGATTACAGGAGGTTTGTTCGATTTACTGTGGCTTTCAAGGAGAAGTCCTTAACTGCCCTGAAGACTAAACTAGAATTAGAGACAACAAATTGAGTGTCAGCGACAACAGGGAGCAAAATTATGATTATATAATCAATGCGGAAATCAGTGGGCGACGTACCATGGAGAGACTGGGCATTGTGGTCGTCATCAGAGCAGTCATCCTGAAAAAACAAAATCAGTCTAGAAAAAGATAGATTTTGGTTTTCGCTCATCAACTTTGAGCCTACGTATTTATTGCCCCAGCATCGAGCTGTTAAGACACGTCAGCACATCTTAACAGACAAGATGGACCATCTGAATGTGAGATCAATGTTGAGAATATATGCTGTTGTTCAGTTCAATAACCCAAAACAGTTCACATATAGTCTTTGCTAGGGAACTTTAGCAAAAACCTTTCCATTTCTCTACCTCATCTTCCAATAGGCTGTCTCCAGGTGCATCTTCGAGTGGTGGGATTGAAGCAGTTTCCTCCTCTTCGTCGTCGGAAAGAAGGAGCTCAGCAGGGAAAGCTTTCCTAAGACAGTAACATAGCAAGTGATCCTCTTTAATTGTAACCATACATCTTAACCACAAACTCACAGCGCTATCTCAACAGATATGTCAAATTAAATATAAAATCAATAGCAGTTAGTTATGAACACATTCTGGCCACGTTGGAAGAAGGATGAAGTTAAAGTCTCACTCATGCATAGATTCTTTTTTCTTCCCTGCATGTGATAAATAGCACAAATGAGATCACATGCTTATTTTAAATTTCAGATATTCAGCTGAAAAATTCAGAAATGAATTCATGTGCTAAAAAGCAAATCAAGGGATGCGCTGAAGAATTGTGAAAGCAGGATACTAGCAGTTACCAAACAAAATAGTTAATCTCAAATATACAAGCCATATGCAAGTCTTCCTGTTTGCTTGTTGCGAATATAACGTTGTTTAAGCTTCAATACAAATCATTATTACTTCGTTATTTGTTTCGCAATATTAATGTTGGCAACGCATGCATTTATCACCATGCTTGCCAGAGCCAACTACATTTTTGACATTTGATGCTTGAGAGCTGTAATTTCCTTCTCTTCTTCATTTAACGCCTGACCGATGATGTGACCCACAGGTCCTTTTGGAGACATTTCCCTGCAGGCTTTTTTTCTTTGACTTTTCTTATTCCACCTCACCTTATTCCAGCAGCACCCGGGGTTGCACCATACTTAAATGCCTCTTGGTATTCCATGATTTTCACAAATCCTGTAGAAAAACAATGATTTTAAGATACTGTGAGGGTTACAACTTCAAAGCTCCGCCAAACGCCAACTGTAACACCATCACTAGAATACGTATTTACTAAAGCAATAAGAGTACGAATACGAGAGGCTCTACTTTATCGTCCAATAATGTAACAGTTCGGGGTGTTGTTAGGCTCGACGCGGAGCGGAGGTTTTATAACACTGTTAGCAGCGAAATTATAATTAGTTAGCAAATAGCTGCCTTCCAGCACGAACTACTATTTGCCTCCAAACGTTGTGTATCGCATTTCAGTAGTCTAGACAAAAAAATATAGTCCCCGTACGTGCGTGTAAACAGCATCGGGTCCCGCAGCATCTCATTCATTCACATCGCTCGGTCTAAGGTCGCGCAAAATCTGGTCAACGTTAAATGCTATTTGATGCTTTTGTATCGTTCATAAATAGTCTATTTAATGTTTGATATTTGGGCCGTTGGTGGCAAAGAAACTGACAGTTTTAACAATGGGACCGGGCTGTTACCAGCCCATTATTAGTGTTAATCAATGCAACGTTACACCAAACGTACAGCAGCTAGCTACGATGGACGACGTTCAAGCGATCACACGTAACGTTAACGTTAGCTAATGCTTGTGTAGCTAACGTCAGTTAACATTAACGTATTAACGTTAGCTACCGCTAGCTAACGACGAGCTAACCGCAAAGTGGGCTTGTTTTTCAAGGGGAACCCAGTTGGCTCCCCTTGAAAAACAAGCTGTAAACATTTTATATTTAAAATATTTTAGGAGAAATCCGTGGAACTAAAACATGTCAGCTAACGTTGACTTCCAATGTATCGCTAGTCACCGGGATATCTTAACGGAATTCTGCTTCAGGGTAACAGACAAACGCCGCCATTACGATAAAAAAAATACGTTTCTATGACGATAAACGATTTAAACATAAATTGACGCCACATATTATTCCCAAGTTTACCTCCAGGCCAACGAGAATAAAGGTAACGTGACGGTCTCCGGATCCGGACAGTTTTTAGCTAACTATCCGGTAAAACTATTGATAAAACATTATCGTGTGATGTTTTCAGGAGATTTGATGGTGTTTAAGTAGCCGTTAGCTCTTTACCTTTTAACTCAGTGTGTCCAGGTAGTGAGAGGGCGGCCACCTGCAACGCAGACACGCAAGGGAGGGGGGCGGGGCGATCCCCAGGTGATGACCACAGGCCCAATGACGTGCCAGTGGTGGCCCTTTTTTAAAATGTAAATCCGAGAAAGTTTCTTCCTAATATTTCCATTTTTGCTCTTATAACACTGTTCTCTATGTTGACAAAAGTATATGAACACAATTCCCCTGGTTTATCTCAGTGCGTCTGGGTCTGGGTTGAGGTCATGAGTGTGCAGACCAAGTCAAGTTCCTCCACACTAAACCGGGTGAGTAATTTCTGTCCTGCTGCTTTGTGCACTGGCTTCTTGTCACGATGGAACACGATGGAACTGCCTCGGGTTAGATATCACAAAATATCAACGTGTGCTGTGGCATTCAGATTTCCCTAAATTGGAACTGAAAGGCCAGTTAAAGCCATGAAAACCGCTGGGACTAAAGTATGACTTTACAATCCTTTTAGTGCATAATGCACATACAAGATATTTGGAAATTATTACAAATAAGAGGATGAGCATATAAAACGAGACAGATACCTGGATGCAACTGAGGTATCAGTTCAAAATACACATGTTGAAAACAGGAGGATGTCCGCTCACATTGGTTGAGTAAATATAATAGTTGCATCTGTGTGGATGTCACCTTTTTGGTTTGAATTTAGATTGAATGTGGGAAATGGGAGGAAGTGAAAGATCGGGTCAGTCATGTTTTATGTATCGACTGCATAAATAAGCAAATGGGTACAGAATGGTTTGGGGATTTCTATGAATTTTAAATCTGTAGGGCTGCCCACACATACACACTCATACAATACAAATACCAAAGCACGCACAGGGAAGCTCCCACGATGAAATGAGTTTGCAGTTGTTGAAATTAAATCTCTCACTCAGACGCACACACACGCACACACAATTTACTAAGGTGTCGATAATGTGTGGCGTTATTTGCAGTAGAGTAATGTTCCCCTGATCATTGTTCAGCTCAAGACTGATCTCTATTTCCATTCCCTTCACCTCGAGAGAAAACCTTCATATCAGTCCCTCTTGGGCCTAATGAAGCGTTCATAGGAGCGTTTCTTTGTCTATGTGTGTGTGTGTGTGTGTGTGTCTGTGTTGCATATGAGCCTCTGAAATGTGATGTCTCTCCCCCCTCAAGAGAGCCAGTAAGGTGCAATGGAAAACTATCCCATGTATCATCTTAATTTTGAATAACACCTATTTCCTCCATCACTCCCCTATTATTGTCTCCCTCCACTCCCTATTATCTCTCCTATTTGTATCACTCCTTACACTTTTTTTGTTTTCACACCCATACGCTTTCTCACAAGCTGAGAGATTTCCCTGTTTATTATATTTTTTTAGCGGAGAGGCGGAGTGTTTTTTTTTGGGCTCAGGGACAATGTGGGATTCCCAAATACAATATCACAGCTAATTTTTCTGGAATATGGACAGGCAAAATTGTGAAATACTAAGCCTGTTGACAGTTTTTTAAAACCTATGTCATTGTGGGAAAGTGTGATTGTGTTGGTGTGCTTGCATGTGTTTCTGTCAATCTGTGGAATAAAATAAACCCTGGGCACAGTTGTTGAGTGATGTTATTGATGCTTGGCTGTCAGGGCGAACACTGCAATATATTCATTTATGTTAATTAGCATTGGAAACGAAAACCTAAATTTGGAACAGATAGTTTTCCCCTCTGGTGTCCATATTGTGTGCATGTTTACTGTGCTTAGACTCCACCCTAAAGACTGTCATTAGGTGGCAAAATAGCCAATGCAACAGCTGTTACAATTCTAATTTAGCAATATTGTAGACATTTTACAGTAAATAACGGGTAGAATAGTTATCCGCACACTTAAAACTCCTGCAGAGAACCCTTTATTATTGGCTTTTGGTCTTAATAACTGAAAATAATGGTTTAGTCAGGCTTTATTTCAAAGAGGCTAAAAATATTTGCTTTCACTAACTTGTGAATATTGTACAATTGTACCTCTAAATCTTATTCTTTGACTTTTGGCCTGTGAATATTTACCCTGTTTGCAGTGTGATAATTTACAGATTTATTTTAGAAAACATAGTGGCTTCTGTGCCTAATTACGTGGATGGTAATGTGTCTCACCAGTTGACCTTTGACATACACATGGTGGTTTACCAAGCATCATGTCAATTTGCAAAATGATTCATTATTAATCCTCAAATTTAAATAATGTATCTTTTCACACAGTTACCAAGACCGTATGCCAGATTATTAAACATTTTTATGTTTCATAATTTATGGCACGAGTAACTAACTGCACAGCGAGGTCCTTAATATTGGAAATTCATGGTTGGGGAACATTTTTAAAGCATGTTAAAACTCCTTTAGAGATATCTAATGTATTACTGCTAATAGGAATGTACATGTTATACTAAAATGTAGTGCATTTTTTGCAGCTTAATCTGATTCATTCCACCACTTTTATTCTGAAGGAGTTGTGGAAGAATGACATCTGAGTGGGAGGTTGTTGCTTCTGAAAAATAGAACTTTGACATGCATGTACAGCATAAGCCTCTCATTCTTCAGTAACTGCATACGGATTGCTGGTGAATCAAATATGGAATTTGGAAATCTAAAACTGATTTCCAACTGGGTCACTGGCTCCATGCACAACTGAACAGGGATAATTGGACATTTATGTATTTTTCCTAAATGCATTTGACAGTCATTTCCCCAGGCTCACCACTAGAGGGTAAAAGTCTTTTTCTCGCTCACTCTCTCGGCTTGTTTCTAAAACTCACACATGACCTACAAATCAGCGGTGTTAGGCAGAAGAGAGGGAACAGAGAAAGGGAGTCATTTCTACATCAGCCACCCTCCAATTCTTTTTATTTATAGAGAAGCACTTGTATGAGCTATAATTGCTAATCAAAAAGCTATATTGACCACTGATTGGCAAGTTGATGAAAAAAGGAAAGTATTATTATTTAGGACTTTAATCAGAAGTTAGAGGATAGAAAGATGGAGAAGCAATTTCATATATGGAAATCCTGTGTAGGACATTTTACATAAATTTCCCACAATTGATTGTCAATTTGTGAATCTTCAGAGGTCTCCTCTGCTTCTGAAAAGAATCAGTAGGAATCAACTGAAGGACTGAAAAAAAACAGCATTTTCATATGTCAAACAATAGTATAAAGGTATTTGAAGTAACTCAACATTTACTTCCTGTATTATTATAACGTTTCTCTCACATATTCATGGTGGTTGTGTGTATCCAGATGACTTTAGCGATCCCTCTGAATTTTCCCTGTGGCCTTGGGGGAAATGTCTGCTACACGGATTGCTGCACACTTTGGGACACACATTCAAAACCCCTTCAGGGGAATTTCTATGTTTTATTGAGCACCACCATTAGGTCAAAATAGGTCCAATAATACGACCTATTCCAGCCTAAACCAGAGAATCAGCCAATATAACATTGGCTGCTAACATCTTAAACCAAGAGGGCGATGGCGTACTTTTTAAAGAGTGACGTTTGAATTAATGGTTCTTCTTGACTGCGTGTGTAAAACTTGACAGGGGCTGTCTTTTAATCTCAGGGAGAGTAGTGGATTGCAGAGAGACACAGATCAGGCTTTTTCAACAGTGCGTGAGGAAAGAGACTGGTGTTGATTCCATTTTTGACGTACTGCCATCCAACTGTGCTGGGAGGAATCTCGAAAAGGAGTCTGCTACTGATGTTAGGAGGCACACAGTGGTGCAAATAGCAGCTGCACTCAGGGACACATATTGGGCTGCTAAATTTAATCAGGCAAGAGGGAGACCAAACAAAAAAAAAAAAAAGATCATGCACTTATATATTTATCTATGAGGAGCTTTATGTGTTTTTAAAGAGTCGATATTTCTCAGTGCTTCTGTCTTTATCTTCTCTACGGTCTGATTGCCCGACTCTGCTGAAGCTGCTGCTTCATGCATCTTTAAAAGATGAGAGGGAGGCTCCACTTTCTCACGCCATGTATGACGAGGATGGTGAAAACCAAAGACAGATGAAGGATGAACACACCCTCCACCACAATATGTTTATATGAAACGTAATCCTCCTTTGTCCCCTTTTATTTTTCCCGCGTCGCCTGGTATTTCACAAATCCCCCGTATTTCGTGTCGCTCTCTGTGATTCTCATCAGGATAATTATTCACACACAGGCATCCGCGGCACAAGCATCTGCTTCTCCTTCTGTTGACCTCACCCTGCTTCCCCCTCGTTTTTTTTTAACTTTTCCCTCCTACTCTCCTCCCCTCAAATGCACCTTTCACTTATTTTCCCATCCTGGCGGTCTCTACTGTTCATTTGCTACTTCACAGCCTTTACAAATTGCAAACATTTTCTGCATCCCTACAAAAGGGAGAATATCAGGTGCACGAGGTGACTTACAAGTTTATAAGTGCATTTGTACACATTTTCTTTGTTATATAAAATGTACCTTCAAAAAATCAGAAGGAAGGGGGATATTGTGCACATTTTATCGGTTATACCCACAATTTCAAATCCCAAACTGATACAAATAGTGCATGTTTCCTCAGCAAAACTGTGCTAAATTGCAGTAAGTGGACAGACATGAGAGAGTAAGAACTGACATTGGATATGCAGTAGCCGTGCAGTAAACTGTATGATGATATATAAACCTCTTATGTCCAAAATGCATTTTCTAAAGGATCTATGTGGAACAGACAGGATTATTTTTCTTAACGATACAACATTTCTGGCATTAAAGAATAACATTTTGAACGGGTATAATGAAAGAGTTCTTAATCTGGAGAGATTGAGGAGTTTTCTGGAGCCTGCAAGCAATACATAAGTGGAGTTATGAGGTTTGCATTTAACCAAAAATTATGGTCACCTTTGTGTATGTTCCTTTTTAATCCCTTACCAGAATCAACACTGCAGCAGAGGTGCGTAGACACCTATAAGAGGGTCATTACTTTCCTTAAAACATGCAGACTTTGTATTATCACATTTAAGACGATATCCTGTGTAGCTCGGGCCGTCACATTACGGACCACAGGAATCAGGAATCCAATTAAAGGGTGAAGTGACTCCCACTTATGAAAAACGTATTATGTGCTTGCGATAAAAAACAGCTCTTGTTTGCCATCTCAACCCAATTAAGGAAAAGTACAAATCTGAGCCGCCCATATTCCCCAAGAAACAACAAATCATTTGGCACCTTCCCACGGTGGATTCTTGGATAATCACCTGTATTCCCTGTGGCCAGTCCAAGCCTGGCGTTGCTGTTTTCAGATGTGCTGCACAAAGTGAGTAGAGGCTGACAAAATTACAACAGAGATTTAATGAACATGTTTTTTGGACGTGGACCTATGAGCTTGCATGTTGTATCAACCTGATTAGACAGAAATAGAAATATCTCTAAAGCTGCAGTATTAGACGGATTATCGGGACATTTTATAATCCTACTGACTGGGGACATCCCCTGACTTTCAGTGTAGTGCCACATGAGGTTGACTTCTTTTTTTTATTGTTTTAAAATTGCCTACCCCAACAACCCTGGGATCAGACAATGATTGTACCGGTTTATCCGAACTGTGATTAGCGTCAAAGATATTTCAGTCAGCCTCTACTGCGGTTTGTGTTTAGCGTTAACCGGCGTGCTAACCAGTTACATTTGGACGGTGAAGTCCGGTGAAGTGAAGGAAGCAAAACTGTTAAACATCCGCTTCATGGCCTCGTCACGGTTAAGTATGTTAGCACACTGACCGTAGCATTCAGTAGAGCAGCACACGGCTGATTGTAATCGTGTTCTGTGTCCTGTTTTCATCCGGCCCCGTCTCCACATATAACAGACGTAAATTTCAGGCCTGTCCTGAAGCATCACTGTCGTCATCTTCCCTACTTGCTACATGTCCTTGTTACACCCGTCACATCTGTTTGAACACTTCTCTGGCACACGGGGTGCTATAAATAGCTAGATGGCATCTGCAAGGAATTCGAAACTACTGCAACATACAGAGGACATGGATGTACGTTTACAGCATGTACTCACAGAGCTTCCACAACATGTGTTATATGATAGATTTAGTGCTCAAACAATAGTTGATTTCATAATTTTGGTTAATTTAAAGAAAAAACATTCTGCATTTTAAGTATTAAGAAAAAAAAATCACAATAATCAATGGTTCAAGCTTGTGAAATGTGATTTGGATTTTCTCTTGTTGTATCATCAGTAATATACTTTTGTATTCTGAACCATTGGTTTGGCAAAAAAAAAGCAATCAGTAGACATATATTTGAGCTCTGAGAAAGCTATAATGCGCATTTCTTCATTGTTATCTAAAACCAATTGACTGATTGTCATAAATATGAATTCATAAAGAAAATCCTAATTAGTTGCTGCCCCACATGCTGAGCATGGATGCCTTTTGTTTTCCACCGACACTTCAGAGTACAGATGCATTATATGATGCATGACAGGATAGCACACTGCATTACATTGACTAAAGTGGCTTTCCCATCACTGAGACCGATCATCGTCTCCCACAAACAGCATCACAATCAGAAGGGAAGAGAGAAATATGACACTTAGTTAATAGAAGGCAGACATATAATTGTATGCCCGTAAAATTAATTGAATGGCGGATAACGTTACAGAACGGGGGAAACCTTCCATGTATATATGCAGAACAGACTCACTCTGGATAAAATGTGGGGGGATGGGAGCTCCTCATAGCCGCAGCAGGGGATATGCAGTATGCATATTCAGATAGCTAGCAATGCGTACAGTATGGCAAACAGTTTGCATGCTAAGGCTTATCGAGCGCAGGTACTGCACTTAGCTTCATTGTTACAAACAAGCTCTTTTCTTTTCTCTTTTTTTTCAGAAATAAATGGGTCGAGAGTGTAAAATCCATATGAAGCAGAAGTAGACAGAGGGCTTTGTGATTTTGTATAGTGCACAAAAGAGCAGTCGATGAAGAGAGACGGGGAAGGCAAGGGCATCTATAAGACATTGGCCTGGCTCAAACCTATCAATTAAACATCAATGGCCAGCAGGGCATCACTTCATGCACTGCACTCAACCTACTGTAGATGGAATGCAGCAGAAATGCAGGTATTCAACGAAGACTTGTTCTTCAAAAATAGGGCTGTGTTGATTAAACATAAATGAATAAGTGATAGTTGGATGAGTTTCGTCAGAATGTGTGTGTGTGTCTGCACTGGGTCTTTCCCCTGAGCGGTTCTGTTCTGCTCCTCTCCAAGGTGACGCCAGTTACCATGGCAGCAACATCAGCCCTCTAAATCTCTCCCTCTTCCTTCCCTCTGTCTTCCTCTACTACCATATTTTTCTCTCCCTCTTTCTTCCTTTTTTTTCCCTCCAGTCTTTCATCCCTCCGTCTCTCTTCGTCTCTGCTCTCCCTCACTCTCTGCCACCTCCATCCTCCATCACAGTAAGCAGGCCACCAGCCTACATTTACATGGCACAGTTGGTTCTTGGCCAGGCTCTCTCGTCTCTGGCAGCGACTTATGGAAAATTGGTACACATACCACCACAATGCTGCCCCCCGATTCCTCCATTTACACTGAACGCTGGTAGATTCCATGATCCTCCATCTTCATTTCACTTTTGTTGTTGATCTCAATTTGCTCCCCATTTTTATTGTGTTACAAAAGACACATTGTTACACGTTTTATGTGTAATATGTGTAACCACACATATATTCTTAAAATATATATTGTATAATTATTCAAGGAGAAATTTCTGGAAATGATCTGCTGTAGTGTCACTTTTTACTTCTTCTTCTGCTCCTCTAACACTGTGTTTTTTAATCCATCAATCAAGACAAAGTCGGGGTGTTGTAACCTTTACCTCATTGCAGCAGCATTCTGCACACACTCCATACGAGCGTCACGTCTCTGGACTGCACACAAGTGAGGACAACGGCTTAGAAATGTTATCACACATTAAACAAGCACATGTGTTCCTGCCTGACACGTTCGGCTGTGTTACAAAAAAAGGGCAAAATCGGATAAACTGTCGGTAAGAAAACCAGTGGGAGTTTTGCATTTCAGAATAATAGAGCTCA